AGGAAATAAGTTTTTATAATTTATTAACATTTTTTTGCTTTAATTAAATAATCTTTAATATTCTTAATATAATTAGCTTAATAATACTTTTAAATCTTAATTTAGGTATTTATTTAAGAAGGGGGGGGGGTTGTCTTTTCTTATATATGCATATATATATATTTATTATAATATGGAATTTCTTTTTTTTTTTTTTTTTTTTTTGCATGCATTTATTTACTTAATTAAATTTAGCCTTAAGTTTAAATATAAAATATTATATTTTTAAAAAACGCATTATAAAATTTACTATATACTTATTTATTATTTTCTTATTAAGATTAAAAACTTTCTTTTTCTTTTAATAATTTAATTTACTTTTTCCTTTTTCCTTTTACCTTAATTATTATTTATACCTTATTAAAAGCTTACTTTTATAATTAATATAATAAGAATTTTATATTATAAGGTTATAATTATTAGCTTTAAATAATATTAATCTTTTTATTTTAAATAATATTAAAGCTAATTATTTCTTTAAATTAAGCTATTTTATTAATAATAATTATAAAGCTAAGTATATCTTTAAACTTTATTTATTTAATTATTATAATTTTTTATACCTTTTTTATATTATTATATTTATTAAAGGTATAATTAAATTTCTTAATATAATAAATATAATTAATATAAGCATTATTATAAAAATTATATAAAAAATAATAATTAAAAAAGGAAATTATAATAAAAATGTTTTTATTTATAATTAAGGAAAAATTATAATTTATATACTTTAAGTAATACTTATAAGGAAAAGCATTTTAATAATTATAAAAGGTTATAAGCAAAGCTATTTAATAATAATAATTAAAGTAATTATATATTATTATTATATACTTTTTATAAAAAGCTTTATTACTTTCTTTAATAATAATAATATTTATATAGCTTTTAATTAAATTCTTAATATTATTTAAAAATTATTTTTTTTATAACTTATTAAGAAACTTATTAAATAATTCCTTAATTACTTTTTTAAAGGTAAAATTAATAAATTATTAAATAAGGTATTAATTTTATTTAATATTAATAATTTTATATATATAAATACCTTTTATAAAAGCATTATAAAGAATAATTTTAATAAATTAATTTTTATTAAAAATGCTTTTTAACTTAAAGAAAATATAAATATCTTTAATTAAAATTTACTTAGCTTATAAGTTATAATAAATAACTTAAGAAGGGAAAGAAAAATCCTTTTATATTAAACTTTTTAATCTTAACTAAGAAAGATTTAATAATAAAAATATTATTATAAAAAGATATTTAAGAATAAGAAGATTATAATATTTTATTTTAATTTTAGCTTAATTTAAAGATTAATTAAAATTAAAAAAATATTAAGAAAAGAAAGAAGGAAGAAGAAATTTAAAAAAGGAAAGGAAATTTATATATATAAAGTTATTATAATAAAAAGAGGTAGGTAATATTAATAATAAGCTACCTTATTATTAAAAGAAATAATTTATTACTTTGCTTTTAATTAAGATTAATTTATTATTAAGAAGGAGTTACTTACTTTTAATTTTTTTTTTATAAAAAAGTTATTTATTTTTTTATTATAAAGGAATTTTAGCTAAATAACTTATTTTAATTTATATTTAATAAACTTATAAATTAAAAAAAAAGTATTTTATAATTAATTATTATTTAAGAGAAATAGGAAATTGCATATTTTTTTATTTTAATTATTAATAAAATAATAAATTAATGGCTTTTAATAATAACTTATAAGCTTTTTTATTACTTCTTTTTTTTAATTAATATAATTATTTAATTTAAGGGTAATAAATTATTAGCTTTTATTATTTTAGCTTATATATATTATTATACTTATTTATTTATAGCTAAGCTCTTTTTTTTCCTTTCTTTTTCTTTTTTTTTTTACTTTTATATTATTATTAATTAAAGGTTAAAGGTTGGCTGCTATTTAGCTATTTTAATAATAATGCGCTTTTAATATATTAATCTTTTCCTTTATTTAATTCTTATTTAAGAATAAGCAATAATTATTTGCAAAAGCTACCTTAAGCTATAATTAAATATTAATTATATTTCTTTTTTATTTTTAACCTTTTTTATTTTAATTATTTATATAGCAATCCTTAAAAATGCAAGGCTTTTCTTATTATTATACCTTTTCTTTTTATTATTTAACTTTTATTACTTATTCTTTATTTTATTATTTATTTTCTTTACTTCCTTTCTTTATAATTAAAAGCTAAGATATCTTTTAACTAAAAAAATAAGATAAAGAAGTGCTTTTAATTATCTTTATATTATAAAATATTTTAAAATCTTAATGCCTTAATTTTAATAATTAAGCTTATTAATTTAAGAAAGAATAATTTAGCATTAATAATTTTAAAATTTCTTTACTTTAATAACTTTAAAAACTTACTTAGTAAAGTATTATAATTTTTAAATATTATAAATATTTAAAATTAATAAAACTTTATTTAAAAAATAAATATTAACTTTTTTAAAAATCTTTTTAAAATAAGAATTATTATAAATAAGGTTTGCTTAAATAATATTTAATAATTTTAAATTCTTAATTAGCTATTATTTTTTAATATAAAATAAATAATATTTAATAATAAGCTTATAAAAACAATATAAAAATATTTCTTAAATATTAATTTTTACTTTAAGCTAAGAAAATTAATTAAGTTAATAAATTTAATAAAATAATATTAAGCCTTTCTTACTTTTAATTTTTTTAATATAAAAAGGATGCTTTATAAATGCAAAGAATTAAGAATTTAATATATTATAGCTTTTATAACTTAATAACTTTTTATTTTTAAAATATTATATTTTTACTTAAAAAATCTTTATATTATAATTATATTTTACTTAAGAAATATTAATAATATAAATTAATAAAGAATTATAAATTTATTATTATATTTATTTATATATTTAATTATTAAATAATAGCAATTTTTAATAAAATAAAAAATTATTGCTTATTATAAAATAATTTTATATTAAAAGATAGGAAAAGCAAAATAAATAAAAATGTTAAAGCGCTTATTTATAAATATTTAATAATTATCTTAAAAGATAAAATATAAAATTTTAATAAAAAGTTTGCATTAAGATTAAAATAAATTAATAAAATATTTTATAAATAATATATTATTAAGTTTATTAAAAACTACTTTAAAAAGAATTAAGGAAAGAATAATTAAAAGGTATAAAATTAAGTTAAGGTTTTTTTAATTAAAATTATATATTATAAAATACCTAAAGCTATTATTAGCATTATTACTTAAATATTTACTATTTAATTAAAGCTTAATAAAATTAATAAAGCTATTTAAATACTTATATTAATTCCCCTTATTAAAATTAATAATATAAAAGTAATTAAAATAAGAAATAAGCTTTTATTATAAAAGGATATTATTTAATAATAATTATTTAAATTATAATATATTAAGATTATTATTAATTATAAAAAAAGTATAAAGAAAATAATACTTTTAATATAAATTAATTTAATAACTTAATTTTAAATATTTAATATATAATAAGGTATAAATTTTTAAATAGCTTAAAATTAATTAAGTATAACTTTAATTAAATAAGCCTTTAACTTAAATATTGCATTATAAAATATTTTAAAGTTAATAAGAAATACTTATCTTAATATATATAAAGATCTTTTTTATTTATTTATTTTAATAATAAATATAAATAAAATTTAAAGTATATTAGTTAATTTAAAATAATTAAAATAATAATAAAATTTACTTAAAGATAATTTAAAATGTTTATAAGTAAGCTAGCTAAGTAATTAAATATAAGGCATAAATATTAAAAGCAGAAGTATTATAAAAAGTAAAAATAAAAGCAAAAGCTTTATAAAAAATAAAAGCAAAAGTTAATAAAGCTAATATATTATACTTAATATAATAATTAAAAGAAAAAATAAATTTACTTTTTATTTTATAAAAATATTTAAATTTTTAATAGCTATATTAATGCTAGCTATTAAAATAAACTTTAATAATTAAAAAAATATAATTAATAAATATATTATTAAGCAAATCTTAGGAATATTTAAAGCTTTTATAAAAGAATAAAAGCTATAATAAGATAAGTAAGTAAGGAATTAAAGATAATAATAATAATTAAGATTAAAATAAAATAAATTTTAAAACTTATAAGCTTAATTAAAAATAATAAAGTCTTATTTTAATAATTTTTATAATATTTATTATAAAATACCTGGAAAAGGGTATATTAATAAGTATAAAGAATTATATAAAAAATAATATTATATTAAATTTTAATTAATTATAAAAAGCTAGCTTTTATGCTTATTTTAAATATTCTTTTAAAAAATTAACTTTTTTCTTTTTATATATATTTAATGCTTTAATTAAGCTTTTTATATTTTTAAGAATTTTTAAAATATTTATCTTTTTCTTTTCTTTAATTCCCTTTTATTTTTATCTTCCCTCTTTATTATATTAAAGCTCCTTTTTAAGTTACCCTTAAGAGGGTTTAGCAAAACCTATTTCCCATTATTTAAGTGGCTCGTTTTTAATATTTCTTATTATTATTAGGATAATAATACTTATAATAAGGGGTGTATTAAAAGGTACAAGGGTTGTATGCCTATATATTAGCGCTAGCCTATAAATAGGCTCCTTTTAAGCGTTTAATAGCGGGGAGATTTCTCTCCTTAATAACAACAATTAACTATCGTTTGCTTAATTGCTTCATCAGAATCCTCTTGGAGCTTGGGAATTCTTTGGGACACGCGTCATTGGTGTAACAACTCCATTCGAGACGTCCGGTTGGTGGCTTTGCCACCTGATGTCAGCTCTAAACCTCTTCTGCCAAACCTGCATGACCCGGGGTTTCAGCAGGATCTGACCTTATGGAACCTCACAGGCGGACACCGAAGATCAAGTTGTCGATATGCTCGCTTAACCAGCACAATGGCAAACCAAATCAAGCAGTATTTCCTTGCTCCAAGTTGGGATTATCCTCCCAAAGGATCCATCGTTCTCGGCAACATCATCGTCTCACCCACCCGGCCGGTGCCACCCCTCATCGCTGTCGCGTCTGCTGCCGGGTCACAGGGTCTGATTTCCTCCACCAAGCATGGTGTGGAGTGGCAAAAGGGCAAGACAAGTGCACACAAGTTCGGAATATGGACCAAATTGTTCGTCACCTCCTCGCGCCTCCCCTACCCTCTCCCCAAGGCCGGTCGCGAAGCGCAGGCAAAGCATACGCACCCGTGCTCTATTACTCGCCTCGTTGTCTAAAATCCACGTCCGCTCGCTTTCAGGTTTTACTGACACTCCAGTAGCATCGACTTCCTTGGTATCAATGTCGGAATTGACGTGTCCTCGGGCTCTGATGACACCTTCCGCTTCGAGAAGATGCGCACAGAAGAGTTCTTTCCCGACGGAGAGTACATCAACACGCTTCTCAAGAGAAGCCCCGTTGCGACCAGAATGTTGACCAAGCAGCACAAAGACCTCTTCGTCATCGTAGGTGTGAAGACGGTCTCCGGCGCGGCAGTGAAGCGAGCTCACTCCGGCAATGCCGGCGGGTCTCTGGACATCAGCATCGATGCGACAGTTGCCGGGTCGCCCGTTCCGGCCTCAATAGGACCATCGGTGGTGTCTTCGTCGGAAGACAATGAGAGTGTTTCGTTCGAAGGATCCGATGACTTCGTCTTTGCTTTCAGGGTGCAGAAGTTGCGAGTGAAGAGACGTGAGGAGAATGTACGTCAGGAAGACTACGCCAAAGGCGCCCTGTTCGAGTATGGTGCTGGCAGGCGGAAAGAGCCTGAAGCTTTGGAAATCAGCGAGCTAAACTCATCTGATGGGCTTGATGGTTTTTTGAGTCAAGGTGTCGATGACGAAGGTGACCAGGCTGTTGTATACGTGCCCAAAACCATGCCTCAGGCTTAGAGGAAGTAGATTTCACTAAGAAGGAATGGAATACTTTGCTGTCCCAAGTTGTGAGCCGCTCGCTGGCATTTTCCTCGCTATAGGATCAAGCTGTCTACCTATTCAATTCGTTTTCTATCCTGCTGAGCACTTCTGTTACCGCGGCCTCACCTCGAGAAAAGTCATACAGCGGATTGACCAGACGGTAAGCACCATCCCTCCTCTGAGACAGCGCATTAAATATAGCGCGGATCCCACGGTAACTCCTCAGAGGAGTTAGCCAGCCCGCATGCTCCGGAGCGTTCTTCTCCACAAAGTCTAGCATGAATGCAGCAACAGCGACACCTACTGGGGTAGCGAACGACGTCCCCGACATGCGGCGCACACCTTGGTACTGAGCCTGTCCAGAGGGCCATGCAGCCTCGATGTCCTCGCCAACGACGCAAAAGTTATCGGTCCCTTCGACAGCCGTAGGGTTGAATTTTGACCGATTTCCTAATCCGTCAGCCGAATGAACGCATATAACCCTATCGTGGCTGGCTGGGTATGCTCGGGGCGTGTTTGACGCGTCGTTCGATGCTGCTGCGAGGATAATTACGTTGGAATCTGGGGATACGGCATTGTCGATGGCCCTCTGAATCGATGGGATGCCACGATGGAAGCCAAAAGACAAAGATATCATGTCGACATTCCACTCCTGACACGCAAAGGTGATCGCCTGTATTCGAACATCGGTTAGTCCTGATACGAGGCTGAGGAGGAAAGGTGTTGACAGTATATTAGAAGAGAACCACCTACATCTGAAACGCGATCCGTATCATCAAGCACATTGTTTTCAGTGACCTTCGCAATGTACACGTCGACATTACTGGTGAGACTGAGAATGGTGCTCGCAATGTGTGTGCCGTGGCCTGAGGCATCTTCGTCCGCCGGTGAACCAGTCCAACTTTTGCGCTCCCGTACTCGTTCGTCACCAAGAATTTCTGGATGATTTATGTCAATGCCTGTGTCCAGGATGGCAACTCTAAGTCGACTAGAGTTTTGCTCCTCAGGTGACCGATCCTTGTCATTGTCGACGCAGAATTGATTGACGAGCCGTACAAATCGCTCGATCCAGTCATCAGTCGCGGTATGCCTACTAAGATTTAGCCTCGGATCATTTCATCAGTAGCTATTATAATGCACGGAACTCACATGTCCGACGGTGGCTCTGTCGTCTTGCTTTCGTTGCTGAATAACTCGAAGCTTTGCGGCACGACTGATGGTGAGCACGACCGAGCCCTCCATGCACCTCTTACAACTCGAGGTACGGATCCAGGAATTTCGAGTTTGTTATACTTCATCTGGCCACTCCGAACTTGCCCCCCTTGGCCAACTATCTCTCCTAACAATGGCCCGAGATTCGGCGATTGGAGTGGTAGTTTAATTTTGGTTGATGCTTCATCGTCCAAGGAATCAATGGAGATGAATTCCTGAAATGCCCGCTCCAGTTCCTCTTCCAGTGGTTGGACAACAGAATCGAAGATTTTGCTGCGCAGCTCGTCGTCTCCTGGATCCTCAATACCAAGATCCATGTTGAAATCCGGCTGCAAGCAGCTTTCGACTGCATATCGTAAGCCCCGCGAGATGATGTCCAACTTCTTCTTGTCATATACCTCTGAAGCAGCGGCAAAGTATTCATCTATGGACACGATGTCCTGATCCCGTCCGAGCATCCGTTCGAGGCTCTGTCCGAAATGAATTTCTAATAGCATGATGCCGAGTTCCAAGAATTCCGGGTATCTGTGGAAGCTCACAAATTCATCCTGCGATTGAGATTTATCCGATGGTGACCTCGCTGAAGGCACCTTCAGAAACGGTCGCATTGGTATGACATTGCCATCGGCGAAGAACACAATGTTTTCTCGCTTCCATCCCCCTCTCGCCCAAGATCCACCGTAAAGGTAGAATATCGAGTAGGCTAGGAACACCGACAGGGTCATCTTCGCTATTCCGGACATTGTTGAGCCGGTCGGTGATATCAGCTGTTTGAGATTGATCTGGTTTTCCAAGGCGGCGGGTAGAAGAGCACGTTTATCGGCCCAGCACTTGGAAATTTTGGAGTCGTGCAGAAGGATATTGAGTCGCCAAAATTCAGGACGAAATCCAGGCTTGTAACGGTCACAGATGAATGCCATGGGGTCTAACGGGAAGTACGGCCATCGTGTTGGGCTGGGCTGGCCCTGAGAGCAAGAGTCGGTGACACACTTGCAATTTCCCGCTTGACGTTCGATCCTGGTAGAACATCAGCTGCCTGCCTCATGAACGATAATTACATAGATTGTATGTATTCTTCATAAACAAGGCCAGTCTCACAGAAACGCGAACTTCTCGAAGAATACTCAAGCTATGCTCACCTAATCTCATGACAGCTGTGGACTTGGATTTCACCCCATTGCCTCAGTGGCCCTTGTTCCTCCTTTGCTAAAACAGTGACGATTCCCGGGAGCGCATTGGCGTTTGGTCCTTTGTATGTACAAAGACGGAGACCCAGTTCACGGACAGACTGCAAGTTGCAGTTACAGGCCATCACGGAGAAAGTATGGCCGATGAACTCCCCAACTCCTGGAAGTGGCCGTCGGAGGATGGTAGCGCGGTCCTGTTCGAGTTTCTCTTCTTTGACATCATGGCCCACGCACTGCAGCTGATCTGTCAATGTGGCCAGTGATTGCGAGAAGTCCTTCCAGTCTTCAATCCCACGGGAATCAAGATTTTGCTGTGCCAAGTTCAAAAGGACTTCCGTGTTCTTAGATGGCGTCTGGGACTGGGCCCCCAGATCACGTAGTAGGTCATATGAGACGGCAGTTTCAGGATTTCCCTGCATCTCATCAGCGATACTGTCTGGCCATAGATTGAGCGTCAATTTTGTAGTGCGAGGTTCTCTTACCAACATTGACTCAAGACATTGGGCAAGCTGAGTGATGGTGTTTTTGAATTCATCGGCTTGTCCACTCTCCTGTATACTGGCGAGGTGCTTTTCCAGGAGACTGATAGCTGCTGAGGCACGGCCCAAGTATGCAAATTTTGGACTCCTGCGGTAAGATGCGCCGTTTCGAACGGCTTGATCGTTGCTGTGGTCCTCACACCGCCCGATCAGCTCTTTGATGATGGGAAGAGCATCGAGTAGAACATCAACTCTGCTAAAGTCGCGCCTATCTGACTGGCTGTCCGACTTTGAAGCTCCCGAGAGGAAGCTCTTCGAAACCAAGACTTCTGGCGGCTGAAGATGTAGTCGCGGTTTGTGGGCAGCCAGTGTCTCGAGGATTGGGGGTGTCTCAGCCTGGGCGGCCGGGACTGCGGTGATTTTGCTCGAAATTCTTTTCGAGAACAGCTTCCTTTTTATGTTGGTCAGGCCCATGGCTCTATATGTTGATGAACATCCTCGGCCGATGCCCTCTGGGACCTGGTCCGGCTGGGGCAGAGGTACGCGTGGCAACCGTTCGCTCAACGGCAGCGGGTGATCGGCGCTGTTGTGACGGTCCACTGACCGCGTCAAGTACAGGCGTTGCAGATCGAAGGAATTGAACGAGTGTTGAGACGTGGACGTGGACGTCGTTCGAATAAGCCAGCCCGGTGTGTTTCAAGCAGGTCTCGCAGGTAGTCAGATCACGGGCTCATATTTTGTCAGCCGCCCAAGGAGGGGTACTGCGTGGGGGCCAAATGTGCAACACTGCAGGCTCTGATATCCCAAATGGGTAGAGGTTACACCACAGTAGCGGCCAGCCACAGCTGAAAGCCATGATCGACATTCTTCAAGGGCCTCAGAGACAGAAAGTCAAGATTAATTATTCGCAGATGATTGCAAATCTGTCCTTTTATGATTTGTTTGAAAATCATGTAGATTGTCAGTGTATAGTGTTTTGTAATGCTTTATAGTATACGAGGGATCAATTGTTGACACTTGATACCACGAGACTCGCACTTGTTGCATCATCTATGTGCATCTTCGAGCCTGGTCCAGGTTGATCACTGTTCCTTGTCACTTCGCCATAGTCAAAGCCTCGTCAACCCATCCCCTTGGTCTTGCAAAGCGATCCAGGGGCAAGGAAAGCTCAGCCGAACTTTCATATTCTCTCAATCGATGCATGTGGATAGTTGTGAGCATTGACAGCAATGAATTGTAATATCTACCAGAATCGAAAGGCCTATGTACATGGCGCCTATCTGCAAACGACCGAATCCCATCTTTCCAACACTGAGGCCTGCCATGCCCTATTCTGAAAGGCGAATGCAGCATAGCAGGGCAGATCTACCTCTATCAAAGCCCATTTATGTACGAAAGAAGGGAAACTCAAAAGGTCTTTTCCCACGGCACCCCTAATCGTCCTCCTGCTTACAGGCACTGAGAGTAGTACTGGTTGCTGACCTTGCAAGTGCTCCCGGAGGCACAGCAGGTAGATCCGGTCCAGCCTGTGCCACCGCACTGGGCATACTTGGCCTGGCAGTTGGTGCCGGGCGCGGAGGTGGTCGGGCTCGAGGACGTGGTGGTCGAGGTCCGGGTGGAGGTGGTGATGGTGCTCGACCTGGTCGAGGTGGAGACCCTGCTGGTGCTGGACGAGACGGAAGATGAGGAGCCCGGGCTTCCTCCTCCCGCAGGCGCGTTGAAGGTCGAGCCGATGGGGCCGAACTTGATGTTGGAGTAGACCACGTTGGAGTTGGGTGCCGACTTCTCGATCTCGGCCGGGACGCCAGATGTAGTCGGGCAGGAGCCGCGGGCGGCGCCGGGGGAGCCGGCCTTGTCGACGGGGAAGGTCGAGTCGAGCCAGAGCATGTTGACCGCGTGCTGGAGGGGCGTTGTGTCAGTATGGGGTGGTCTGAGACCCGGTAGACAGAGAGAGTATGGGGCACTTACGTCGTCCCAGACGGAAAGCACGAGCACCATGGGGGCGGCGACGGCCTTGCCCATCTGGGCGAGACCTCCCTTCTGAGCGAAGACGTTGGTATCGCCGAAAGCCGTCTTCTGAGCGTTGCAGTAGTCGGTGGTGATGGAGTTACCAGGGTTGCCGGCGACGGCTGACTGGGAGTTCTCGAAGACCTTGCCGTTCTGGACGTAGAACCGCTTGATCTCGCCCAGGTTTCCGTCGCTACCCTTGAGGAACTGGGTCACCACAGTGAGCTTCTTGGTAGTGTCGAGGGTGAATCCAGAGCCGGGGCCCTATGGCATTTCGGGTTAGTAACAGACACAGTATGGTCAATGACGCTGCCAGGAGAGTCAAGGACGGGCAAATCAACATACATAGAAGGTGGTGTTCCCCTGGCGGTAGGAGTTGAAGTCACACCCGTCAGGGTCACAGGTGCCGGCATATCTGTCTGTCGCAAATGTGCCTCCACAGTCATCGCCCTCGCACCGCTCCTGGCCGACAGTTCCGCAAGGGTGAGGAGTGTAAGCAGTGCTGATCTGGTTGGCCTCCCAGATATCCATTTCTGAGCAGCATGACCCATAGTTGCCGTGGCCGGCATTGGGGTCGTTGGTTGATGCGCCCCAGCCTTCAGCATTGGCCTGGATCGAAGTCAGATAATGGTGCCTCCTCGGATAGACCAGGACTTGTTCAGGGGTGACTTACTTGACCGTTGATGAACTTCAGGTCGCGAGGGCACTGAGAGTCGCAGTATCCAGTACCGTACTTGGCTCCGGCCTTGTTGGTAGGGTACTTGGAGGCACCACCATCCTGGTCCATGGACACGAAGTACAGGGCTCCGTTCAAGCCACAGGGCAGGTTGCTCACATCAACGTCGAAGGTGAACTCGTTGCCGAGCAGTGTGAACATCTGATACTTGGTGTCTGACTCCATGAGGTAGGTACGAGAACCAATGTTGGCGTTGGCACCTGTGGTGACGAACTTGAGGTTCAGGGCGTTTCCTGACGTGGTAATACCATAGGTGCCGCTGTAGTCTGAGCCATCCACGCAGCAGTTCGTCGCGCAAGCTGCGTTGTCTGAACATATGGTCGAGTTCCATTCGTTGCCTGCGCCGTTAGCATAGTCCATATTGACATTGTGATCACTGGAGTAAACAGAGAGTCCGTGTAGAGACTGTTCAAGTCTTACCAGTGTAGCAGTTGGTGTACCCGGAGGTAGTGTGGACCCATCGCCAGTTGGCGTCGATGGTCACGGACCCGGCGACGTTGGTGCAAGTACCACCAGCTGCGCACTTGGCCCAGGTCAGGGGAGGATGAGTCTCCGTTGTCAAAGTGCAAGCGCCTTGGGCTGAGACCGTGGCCACAAGGGCCGAGATAGTCGCAAGTTCGCGGTACATGGTCGTGGAGTTTGGGGAAATCAGGGACGAGGAGGCGATGCTAGAGGTTGACGAGTAGATGGCATGGAGATGCTCAAAGCTGGACAAACGCTCTTTTATAGGAGTCCCGAGACACGAAAGCCTCAAGTTGAGGCGCGGAGACAGATTCCGGAGGCATCACATAGCCTAAGATGCCAATGTTTTCGTGAAGTCGCCACGGCCCGTGGCTCAGCGCGACGCTATCCAAGTCTTCACGCGGGGCCCCACGGGGGCTGGATCATCGTGACCCTTCATCCTTGGCCCTTTCCTGAAATGAGATAAGTAACGACGGTTCGCGGGCCGTGGAGTGTGGTCAAGCAAGGAGGCTAGTGTTCTCTGGGGGGTCACATGGAGTCTACCCAGATGTCTGCTCAAAAAGTCTGGCCACTGCTGCGCGGCTTGCAGCTCACGAACTTCCTTCTTTCCGCAGAAGCGCACTGATGATAGGAGAGTGACGCGCCGTGGAGGATCTGTCTAGATTCTCAGCCCGGACGTCTGGCTCGAGGTGAGCAAGCTGGGCAGAACCGGGATCGTCGCCACCCTCTTGGGACGTCGTTGCTTAGTGGAGTAGCACAAAAGTCTACGCAAGTGGGGACCTGATCAGGCCCTCGAAGCTGACAATGCCACTTTTCCAACGGGCGCTAGACCGGGGAAAGTCCGGACTGTGGGACCAGATGATGGATTAAGCTTAACAAGTTGGATGAGGCTCTGAAGGTCTGGAGCGGTACCGGGCTAGTCGGCCGGGGTCATAGCCGCATGTGGACAAACGGAGACGCTCCGCCGAGGAAGATAGGAGCTAGATGTATGTAGCCGTGTCCAGTCCCACGGGCTAGACTACATATAGCCGCCGAGCACTGTCAGGGTCGTATTAGGCGTTCGCAATCGCCCCTGTCCATCATTTTGGATGCAAGACAGCTGCAGAACCAACGCCCTCGTGATGACAGGGTCGCCTGTGACTGCTAAGTCGGAGTAAGCTTCCACAAGACTGCTTGACGTTGATTTGGTGAGAATCTCACTACTTGGCGCCTTAGCCACGGAAAAGCGGTGCGAACAGCAACAGTCTCCCTTCCTTCCGTCCCTGCTCTGGTCGGGTCTCGGGCGGGCACCTACATCCAGGACTTGGTCGAAACATGGCGCTAGAAATAAATCGGACTCCTGAATTGGCTATGCCTATACTGAATTGGGCGATGTTGAGGCCCCGTCCCCGCAAGTGATGCCACATCCTGAACACATAGACACTGCAGCCCCCACACGTGCTCGCAATCGAGGTCGGATGGTGATTTGTGAAATATGATCAATGACACCCTGCGGCTGGACACAATCTTCGGATGCTGCCGGATCACCACAACTTTTTCATTTACAGCAATGCACACCGAATGCTACCCACCAGCATCGTGCGTCGTCCGCCAAGGACGACCCAATTTATTCATATTAACCGTGAACCGGCCGCATGGGTCTCCGGAATCCCTTCCGGCCCACGAAGATGCCCTCCACTCACTCGTGGGGCCCTCACGATGCGTCTCCTCAGGCACGAGTGCTTTTCACGGACCGCACGCCACCTTGCCCTTTGGACCGTTCCAAGCGGAACTCCTGCCGACTTGTCTCCCATGTGAGCACTTTTCAAAGGGTAAGTGCCAGAGTCCCTTCCTGTACTGCAGTGTCTCCTTGGTATTGTTTGTCTCAGCTCCTGGTATTGCTTACTTCTCCGCTGTGCCAGGTAATGTGGCTTTGCCGCCTTCCTTTTCCCTCAGAGTTTGCTAGGCTGCCAGTACAATCGCAGCAATCTCTTGTTCTTTTGGGCCCATTCAGGACAGTGGTGCAACCTTCTTCCGGATAAGTGTTACGTCGCTACAGAAACTGGGCGGAGTGAGACGGTAGCAGACTCACACCTACCGCTTCCTTCTAGCCGTGACTGTTATCTCCAGGGGCACAGATGTTGCAACGCTGCATTTCAAATGTTGTCGCCACTGTAGGGCACGCTTGCGGCCCCAAACCCTGCACTTCTACCTCTGTACCCGAAATTCCGCCGGCTGCGCTGATCAGCACAATGTGGCTGTTGGTTTTCAAGAGGCTGCTGCTATTCACTTCTCCCCGCTGTGGTGCCTCGCTGTCGAATCTGAACTGTGACACAGATTTGAGTGATCGGTTCCCTCGAGCTTCATGGTGAGAAATGATTCTGAATTCTCTTCGTAGCGAGACAGGCTCTACCAAACTTTTTTTCTACTTCGACATCCCCCACATGGTCCCTCTCCTCAATCCCACCCACCTTTGTAAGGAAGCATGGGCATGACTTCCTGAGGGGCGCCGCGTCGGCCCGCCTGGTGTTACCCAACCGGAACATCTCCAACTGCAAGATGAGGTTGCAGCAAGTTGAGACAGGTGATCAAAGGCGTGGTGGGCTATATTGAGCCCAACGCGTTAGCAAATTGCTCACATGAAAGATGGAAATGCGTTCCTCTATAGGTCGACAACCCGTCACGTGTCTGTTGCAAGTTTTGCAGTAAATAAGATTGATTTTGAAAATAACATGTGAAGGAACGGCACGCTGTCAGTGTCCAACAGTCTCTCCGGACGGTCTGTTCACTACGGAGCTATTGAAGCCTTCTAATATGCTAAGACTTTTGTTGTCCTAATAATTGGCAGTATTGCAATTTCAAACATATTGTATGGTCGTTGAAGTTCATGATCTATGCTTGCAGCTTTTGCACTGTTTCGTCGTTGCGATAAGGTCGATGCAATGTTTGCTGAAGAATATCAGTTGAAAGAGGCGGTCACAAGAGCACATAATCACAGAGTGCTGTTGTGGTGTGGATCACTCTTCAGCTGCAAAAATGGGTCTAATGTCAGATACCTTGTTCGAGATCTTAACCGATGGAACAGCTGATAAACACTGTTTTATCCGGAGTGTATGTGCAAAAACCACAGAGATACTTTCTCCTTTGTGGGCTCTCCACTTGGTAGTGGTTATGTCTATCTTCCCTTCCGGTAAATGTGATGTCTTTCTGCAGCTGCATCATCCCTGAAGATTTGCGATGAATTCTTACAGAACTGTGACATTCTCAAGTTTTGACAGCAAACTCCAGGTAGATTGCTGCATTAGAAGTCAGAGATTGCATTGAGATCCTTTGCAAAAAGTTGCAGCATCTGCTGTTTATTGTTGAAGGTACCTAGACCATGTGTCATAGAGCACAAGTTCCAAATTATACTACCACTGACTTATGCTCTTGATTTTGAACTGCTTTGTTGAAATTGTGCCCAACTCATCAACTAAAATGACGCTAAGCTAATAATGTCCATAAGTGCTCACTTTTGATTGTCACATGCACCTGTGTGTGCATTTGTGCGGTCCGCTATAATGTTGGATTGGAAACGGGGCTTTGGTAGCTAGAAACCACAGCAAAGTGTGAAGATGGTGCGGTGCTATTGCTGCTACAAAGCCTCTGCCCCAGGAAGCATTTGCCCCAAAAATTTGATTTTTATGCAAAATCGTCTGACGTTCTCCTGCACATCAATTAATACAGTACGTGCAGCCATCCGATCTATTAAACAAGCAAAGGTTGCAGGTAATGCTGGTCAGGGATATTGGCCATTCACAACAATTCAAGACTTCAAGGTTCTGCCGCCTTGCCCTTGCTGGGACGTCATAGCGAGACGGGTTCGCACAGGTGCTGGAAGTCAGTGCATCAGTGCTTTAAGTTCCCCGCAGGCCACCTCCGGTATTTAAGTTTGAGGGGCGCCACACCACAAGCCAAGACTTTCGACGCCTGGCTCGGTGCTCATTATTGCTCTTCACCTCTCAAATCAATCATGCCACGACAAGTCCTTCGGCGGCTGGTAGCTGCCGCCCTGTCCGCCACGTCGGCGGCGCAGTCATGGCCCAACGGGCCGTTTGTCACGGAGGGATCGTCGATTCGCGACGCGAGCGGCAACCCAGTCACGTACGCTGGTGTAAATGTAGGTCAATCCCCAGCTTCAGCGACAGGCTCCAGGAGACGCTCACAATGAATCGTTTGGGGCTGCTGGCTGACTCCATTAACATAGTGGCCGGGAGCCGCCGAGACCATGGTCCCGGAAGGCTTGCAGTACCAGTCCATCGAAACCATCGTGTCCAAGATCAAGAGCTTGGGCATGAACTCGATACGGCTGACGTACGCTACCGAGTTGATCGATCAGATCTACACGAACAACATGACGGACGTTCCGATCCAGCAGTCATTCATCAACGCCTTAGGCCAGGACAACGGCACCGATATCTTCAACAAAGTGACTGCCAAGAATCCGTCATTCAGCTCCAATACAACAAGACTCCAGGTCTACGACGCCATTGCGGAGGAATGCGCTCGGCAGAACATCTACGTCCACCTGGACAACCATGTCTCAATGGCATCGTGGTGCTGTACCCCGTTTGATGGAAACGCTTGGTGGGGCGACACCTTTTTCTCTCCTACAAACTGGACCCGAGGTCTTGCCTACATGGCTGAGCATGTATGTCTATGTTCCACCTGTTTCTCCCTCTAAGTTCAACTCGATGTCCTAATGATTTGCAGGGTAGAAACTGGCCAAATCTGATGTCCATGTCTCTATATAATGAGCTGCGCCCTCCCTTCTCCAGTCCTGAACCGCCAACTGCTGAGAATTACACTTGGGAAGTTTGGTACGACCAGGTAAAAAAGGGCTCAAAAGCGATCAACTCTGCTAACCCAGACGTGCTTGTTTTTCTCTCGGGAGTCAACGGGGGCGTCGACCTGTCCACGGTCGTCAACGGTGAAGCCTTCGAGCCAAGCAACCAGACATTCAACAGGTCCGACTTCGCCGGCTACGAGAACAAGCTGGTCCTGGAGCTGCACAGCTACAACATCATCTTCTCAGTGGACAACTGCCCCCTCTACAACGAGAACCTCTTCGACGCGGGGTACTCCGCGGTAAGAGACAACGCGACAAACAGGTTCCCCGTGATGATGACCGAGTTCGGTTTCACCAACGACGCCACGACGTGGCAGAACGACACGTACGCCCAGTGCGTGCAGGCGTTCCTCAAGGACCAGGTGCCGGACCAGGGGTGGATGATCTGGGTGATATCGGGCAGCTACTACGTCAGGCAGGGGAGGCAGGACGCCGACGAGACGTGGGGGCTGCTGAACCACGACTGGTCGGACTGGAGGTCGCCCGAGTTCATCGACGGCGGCCTCAAGCCCCTGGTGAGTAGCACCCTCCGTCAGGATTCCCGAAGCTAAGAAGTCCCTTGAGATCTCGACAACGCTGTCGGCTGTCAACTCTTCGGCGCCTTCCGATGGGACGAACGGCTCGGCGAGCGCCCCGGGCTCTGAGTCAGTGGCATCGGCCGCTCGGATGAGTGTTTTGCAGATTGCCGTATCGACCTTGGGAGTTTGCATGCTCGGAACCTTATTTTGAGCGAATCCGAGTTATCAAGTTGATCTAATGCTAAGCATGCGCGAGTCGTACATCTGGACAACCTTTGGGGAGATCCGCTGATTGGTTGGGATGCTCCGATGCTGTTTCATCGGCGCATTGTGGTCAATTTCTCGGGGTTGGATGGATATCACGTGTATTATACCCAAGGCCGTTGCTACCTTTTTTTTCTTCATATTCTAGAAGTTAGATTCTTTAAGTGCCCAAGACATGAGCACCAGTAACGGGCTGTTCCAGACCAGAACATGACCTTTCATGTCTTCCAGGTGATAGTCAAGCAGTTGATCACCGAAACCAAAGGATATCAGTGAGACTCGTTGTTAGTTTCGTAGGATTAATAGTAGGCGTGTTATGGCTGTGCAGTAACCGGCGTGTCCTTCAGCCGCCCTGAGCACATGACAGTTCATGTGCCTTGACAACCGGATCCGGAAAGGCCGTGATGGCTCATCGTATTGGCAGAAGTGGGCCCAAGGCCCGCGAGTCAACGGGTTTCACTTCCGGATATAACTTTTTCGACGGCGCCCGTCAACCTCCCAAGCCCGAACTTCATTTTGGAAGAAGCTGCAGTACTCCACTATCCTTGTCGAATCCCACGTGCTTGCGTGTCAGCAGGATCTCATGGCATTGGGGATCAATACATCATTGCTTACACTGGCATATTTAAACCGTCGGACATAACTAGGAGCGGAGAACCAACAGGTCTCCGGGCCCTGTCCCAGGCCAATTAGAGCTAGGAAAGGGGCGGGCCCACTTCAGGATTTCTTGCTATGTGTATCGTTTGGTTCCCACGTTGGCAAAGGCTCACCTGCATCACCTTGGCCAGCCAAGTCGTCACGACCAGGTCGTCACCTTCCAGCCCTCAGGCTTACTAGAGCTTAAGGGAGGCTGCAACGTCGACTTGTCCATCAATGTAGCCTTCTAGGCTTTTCTCCCCTCTGCTTACGATGAGCAACCACCCTCCCGGAGTTCCCGAGGCGCCGTCACCGACAGAAACAGAAGCTGCAGGAAGCCCCGGCCGAGAAGCTTTGGCCGAGGGTTCCACGGCCCAGGACGCGCATGATGATGGACAAGATCATGACCTCGACTCGGACAGCGTTGCCGACTCGGCAGTCGAGACTGACATTCTGTCAACAATGACAGCGCCGGACGAATTCTTTACATTTATCGAGGAAAATGGCAGGACATACCACAGCTATAAAGCTTCAAGTAAGGTTGCATTATGTCAGATCGCACACAATTGCTGACCAAGACCCCCGCCAGAATACTTACTTCCAAACGATGTGAGAGAACAGGAGAGAATGGACCTGCAGCATCTCTTGTATCTGGAAACGACACATGGGAAGTTGTTCCTTGCCCCACTGCGCGAGGACCCGAGGAGGTGTCTGGACCTGATGACAGGAACGGGGAACTGGGCGATTGACTTTGCCGACGCATTTCCGATGTGCGACGTGTTGGGCACGGATCTCAGCCCGATACAACCGCAATACGTCCCTGTCAACTGCCGGTATGTTTAACTGCGCGTCGAACAAAAATTTCACCCTCTGACGGATGGACTGCAACAAGATTCGAAGTAGACGACGCCGAGGACCAGTGGAACTTCCGGAGCCGGTTCGACCTCATCCACGCCCGAGCATCGGTTCTCTGCTGGCGCAACTATGCCGCTTTCGTCGGTGAGGCCTACCAGGCATTGGAGCCCGGCGGTTGGCTGGAGATGCAGGAGTTCACCCACAGGCCGGTGTTCTACGGCGAGGTCTCGAACAGAAGCGCGATCAAAAGGTACTGCGATCTGATTGTGCAGGGCTTTCAGAGCCAGGGCATCAACGTCGCCGGTTTCAGGGACATGAAAAGCCTGATGACAGCAAGAGGGTTTGTGAACATTGAGGAAAAGAAATTCATATGGCCGCTTGGGACATGGGCCAAAGGGCGTCACCATCGGAATCTAGGAATCCTGTTGAAGCAGGACTTCCTGATGGTCGTCGAGGCCCTTGCCCTCCGGCCTCTGTCCCATCTCGGGTGGTCTCAAGAAGAGATCCAGGTCCTACTGGCGGAGGTGCGGCGAGAGCTTCAAGACAACAGCGTCGATGGCGCTGCAGAAATGTAGGACCTACAACACCACCCGATCCCTTAGCCGATGTACTCACCCTGACTAATGTACTCAATAGTGTCTTTATTTATGGCCAAAAGCCCCCAGGCTGATCTCTCAGAATCGTGAGGCGCCATCGCGGGGAACTCACATCATCTGCAACCAGAGGTGTCTCGAGACGCCCTACCGTCAGCCTCAGTCATCAGAGCTCTAGAGAGCACTTGATTAATATAACAAAGCGACAAGCGCGACACAGACACGTCATGTCTGATTGGGCCCAAGTGCGCGGCACTTTTGGTGGTAATGAAGGAGCTTGCGGATGAAGCCGCACAGTGGGGGATAAAATCAAACGTCAATAAACATCAACATACAAATGCAATAAGCACAGCGCAAAGCGCCGATTTTCCCTCGCCCGAACTTTCACCCGCCCCCGAACTCACATGCAAGCCCGACCGCCGACATGTCTCCTAAATTGGCAACTTTAACTCAATGCTCGCTGAAACCGTGTTTCGCCTGGTCCCGCAAACCTTATTGAGCCACTGGCGGGGAACAGAGTGCCAATGGCTCGATCCGGATGGACACGGCATCATACGGGGACCGCTACAGCAGATGCGTGGCAGTGTTGCTTTAAGTAACACCTTGTCTGCAGTACGAGTACGATTACGATTGATTCAAGGTGTACATAGAACACACTTGATCCGCCTTCGACCGGTCAAGGAGCTTCCTCATTCCGTCGTCTCCATCGAATGGGTCTGCCAAAATGATTCAACTGCAGTATCTCCGACTCCCAGGTGCGGCGGGCTTTGTTTGGCTCGCTCTGGGTACTGTAAGGCGGAGTGGCCCAGTCTCCGTGGTGTCAAATTGCTGAATCCATCTACAGACTGTCTTATATTGTGTCGCGCGATGTGTCTACCTGCTCTACTTCCATCCTCTGGCCAAATTCCCAGGGCCCAGAGCCGCCGCTTTGACTGAGGCCAGTATTCCCACCGCCAGAGCGCAAGCGAGGCAACCCGTGTTGACGCTTTTGCTGTAGCTATGGAAATGGAAGTCATCAATGTCCGGAAAGCACGTCTTCCACATGCTAGAGCAACACAAGAAGTACGGTGCGTTGAATGACCTCAATACCCTCTCTCCGTCTTTATGACAGGCAGCATCCCTAATCATGAACCCCAGGCGACGTCATACGCCTCGCACCTAACGAGTTGACTTTCGCATCCGTCCAGGCCTACCGTGATATCTACGGCCACGTGACCACGGGCAAGGAGCGGTTTCTGAAGTCAGATGCCTACGACACCGAGGAGCCCCGAATCTCGTCCGTGAGGGACCCTGCTGTGCACGCGCTTCGCAGCGCAAGGCTTTGTCCCATGCCTTCAGTGCCCGGGCTCTGCGGGACCAGGAAGACGTGGTGCATCAGTACGTCGACCTCCTCGTGAAGCAGCTTGGGAATTTCGGCGCGGGCGGGCTGAAGCCTATCAACGTTACCGAGGCGTACAACTGGCTTACTTTTGATGTCATTGGTGAGCTTGAATCCAGCGACTATTCGGAACTATGCCCTAATCGCTTTTGCTAGGTGATCTCTCCTTCGGGGAACCATTTGGCGCCTTGAAGGACGGCTCGGACCATTGGGTTAACCTGGTCCTGGACTCAGTGATATTTGAAGGCCTTTCTATGAGGTTCAAACGCCGGCTCTGGCTGAAGTTCGCCATCCGTTTCTTCTTAGGCTCCAAGAAGATAGAGCAGATGAAAAGGAACTGCGTTGAGCATATGACTTTGTCGAGGGAGAAGGCCAGGAAACGCATGGAGATGGGAGACTCCTTGACACGGCAAGACTTCTTCGGCCACCTGATCAAGAGGAAGGAGATCAGCTAGGAATACCTCATGGGGAATGCGCAGGTCCTTCTCGTTGCAGGCTCGGAAACGACGGCGACTTCTCTTGCGGGTACGACGTGGTACTTGCTCAAGAACCAGGACTGCCTCCGGACACTGACAGAGGAGATTCGGGCTTCCTTCAAGTCTGTGGAGGACATCACTGGCGATTCCACCGCCAGGTGCGAGTATCTCCATGGAGTCATAGAAGAGGGCCTAAGGATGTTCCCTCCAGTTGCCGCCGGGCTACCTCGCGTCTGCCCCGGCGCCGTGATTGATGGCCAGTATGTCCCGGCGGGCTATATTGTCTCGTGTGAGAACTACCCACTGGCTAGAGACCCTCGCTATTGGGTCAACCCGGACGACTTCCGACCGGAGCAGTGGATTGGGCAGGGTCTCGGAGACGACAAGCGAGCCTTCCAACCGTTTTCCAGGTGAGTAGAAATGTGTAACACCGAGACACCGGTGCGACCATAGGTTTAGCTAAGAACTTTGGACAGTGGGCCGCGCGCCTGTTTGGGGATCAACTTGGCGTATCTTGAGCCCCGAATCACTCTCGCAAAGATCATCTTTGCTTATGACCTGGAGCTGGTTTCCCGAGAGATCGAGGACTGGAACCGCTCATGCACATCGTTTGGTCTTTGGAGGAAGCCTGGACTGCTAGTGAAATTTCATCCCCGTAATGGCGCCTAATTGTGCTCGCTCGATGCCTGTAGGGCAACATGATTCGAGTGTCAGGACGGTTTTCAGGCGAAAATGCGGTTGTCTTCAACGGCGACCGGAGGTGCCTGCGGCCCGATTAAAAATGGGTATCGTTGCAATACATTCTCTCATGGCATTAACAGGTGCTTTGAGTTCGCAGAGAAAGTTTCTACGAGCACATGTGGCTGGCTCTTCTCACTACCTCGCATCAATCTTCTCTCTAGATCAGCTGATTCTTGTCCGCCCGAGCCAACACGTTGTCAACCTGTCTACTATCGAGAGCCGTGTCCTCATTGTAATCAGACAAATCTTCAATTCGAAGCGTCTGGTATGGAAATGCAAGACTCAGTGCCAGATATATACCCGTCGATATGAACGTTGCTGTCAACCACGATGCTTTGTCTGCGGCTGGTATTAGCCAATTCGTCAGGACTGGTGATCACTGTGGTAGAAGAAAGTCTCACAAAAGTATGAGTAGTTCCCGATGTCGACTTTAGCATCGATAGCGTGGATAAGGCCCGGAAGGTTGACGGGAATCGCTACCAGCAAAGCGACCAAGGCTCGCCAGTTGACGCCGTATGAGTATCTATAGATTCCGTCGTTCTGATACAACATGGGAATGTGGAGCTTGCGAGAACGGAGAATCCAGTAATCGGAGATCTGCGATTTGGCATGAGCATTGGCTTCGATACTACGCTACTCCCCTTGTTCAAGACTGAAGCTCGCTCACCATTATAGCCACCACTGGAGCAAGTACAATTATATACCCGCTGAGGAACGTTGTTAAACTCTTGGCGCTGGCCTGAATTTCCCACGGACAGGTCACCCAGCCTCCGATAAAGGCGGTGACGACCGCTCCTCTCCGGATATTCAGCCACCGTGGTAGTAGGAATGCCAGGTCATTGCTTGTTGCGATAGAGTTTGTAGAGATATTCGTGCCCAACGTCGCGAGGCCAAATGCGAAAGCGCAGAAGAATGCAGCAGCACGATTTGTCCAGAGACCGATGATAGAGGTTGGATCCCAGTACAAAGTGCCGTAGATAGACTGGCCGGCTGATGCGATGACTATGCCGATGAAGGAGAACGACCAGTAGACGACGGGAATGAAGAGAAGTTGCCAGTATGCCACTGATGGCTTGTTCCCGTAGCGAGTGAGGTCAGACTATGGCAAGGGCATTCAGTTAGCTCATCCCCATCGGTCAGAACATGTCTGGGAGCTCGCTCAACTTGCAATATTCAAGGCTAGTGTAGTCTTGCCACTGACAGCCACGTTTATACTCATCACCCAAGCCCACCTTTTGGCATTGCCGGATACGCTTGAAGGCTGCGAGAAAACAGGGCCAGCTCCGCCCGTCTTGACTGCCCAACCGAGCATAGCGAAGGCAGCTACCACAGCGCAGACTGATTTGGTCAAGAAGAGCCACTTCATCTTCCTCGGGTTTATCAGCAACAGAGGGAACTGGACTGGATGATGAATCAGCTGAGCAGCTTCGTGGTATGGATATCGCCAACTTTCTCAAAGGTACTCACAGATCCAAAAGACAAAGTAAGCAATCATCTTATTGCTGGAAATGCTTGAGGATACCGCCAACGTGTTTGGGAGTTCTCTAAGGCTCGGCCAAATGGACTCGAGCATGATGAGCATGCACGAGGCTCCGATGTAGGTGTTGATGCTGCAAGAATTGTGATCAATAAGTTGCGCCGTTCATCACCTCACATTTACCCGTACGAAGAGACACATACCCAAAGTATATCAAACCAAGCACAAGTCGAGATACCACAGCAAAGTACGAAAAGTAGAAGCCCATCGACGCTCTCGAGGCAATCGAGAAGGGAACATGGTGGATGGATCCGATGGCACCATTCAAGGCCACGGTCAAGGCGATAAGGATGTTCCCAATAGCACTGTTGATCGCCAGGGAGATTAGTTTCATGCATTTCAACTATCTGTGCCACCTTGACTGACATTGCTGCAGATGCTTCACGCCAACTGAGTCCCAAAGCAAGAATTGACCCGGCCTGCTGCATTGTCCCCACGTTTGCACCGTCTGCCAGCCACAGCCAGAGGTAATCGATTTCTCTCCATGTTCTCTTATCAGGCGCCACCACATCGACGTCTTCGTTCGACCAGCCGTCCCGTGTTGCAAAGGATGCCCGCGGCGTCTCGAGTCTCCAATAGCCCAGATTCAACCTGGTCTTGGGCTTGTGATCGGGGTTGTGGTCGGACCGCGTATCCATTGTGAGAAAGACGGCTTGAGAGATTAATGCTGGCCTAGGAGAAAAGTCCGCCAGAGGTGAAAAAGCCGCGAGCTCGAACACGGGGAATATTCTTCTGCAGCGATGCGTGTCTCGCCCTGGCAATGATGAGGCCACTCGAGGCCGGAGGAGCTCGCGGATGCCGGCTTCGCCGAACCGGCAACGACTTTGTGTAACCGCCAGAAATCGACAAGCGCATTATCTCACCCTGCCTCGACCATCACTCCACCTTGACTCGCTGTTGTAGCTTCCCGGGCATATCATCAAAGCATGGCCCCTAGCTTCGTCTCCCTGGGCATGGTGGTCCTAGACGAGCTGCACTTCCCGCACGCGGCGACCATGCACGACGTACCGGGCGGCTCCGGCGCCTTCAGCACGCTGGGTGCGCGCCTGGTTGCCGGCACGGAGCGATCCCACGAGGTTGGGTGTGTCATCATGGCTGGCGATGACTTTCCAGAGAGGACGATTGCTCAATTCGAAAGCTGGGGCGTGGATCTGATGGTGTCGAGAAAGCCGGGGAGACAGTCCACCCGAGGATTGCTGGTGTACGAGGATAGAGAGTTCGGACGTAGGTCATTGCTTTAGGGTCAAGTCGCATTTGTGAGTTAACTCATCCTAGATAAGACGTTCCAATACACGACAAAGCGCCTTCAACCAATGCCGAGCGATCTGGCTTCATCATCTCTGTTGGGCTCTTCGGCTGTCCACCTCCTCGCGAGTCCTGATCTCGCACAGGAGCAGATTGAACAGCTTCTCGACCTCAGAGAAAGCAAGAACATAGAAGCTCGCCCACTGATTGTTTGGGAGCCTTTGCCGGGTGCCTGCAGATCAGACCTGAGGGACGAGCATTTCACCGCAGGGAAGCTCGTGGACGTTTTCTCACCCAACCATCTTGAGTTCCAGGCACTTTTCGAAGATTCCAGTCGACCCTCTGGAGGCAGACTCCTCGACCGGCAACTACTAGAAAGGTACACTGAAATTTTCCTTGACCGTGGCATTGGCCCAGATGGCAGAGGCGCTGTCATCATCCGCGCTGGTGGGGATGGTTGCCTCGTTTCCTCAAATTCGATACCCGGACGACATAAATGGCTACCAGCCTTTTGCGACAACGACTCTGCAATCGTTGATCCTACAGGTGCCGGTAACACCTTTCTTGGCGCCCTTGCTTTTGCTATGTCAGCCCGTGGCGAAGACGTCCTCGAGGCCTCAGCTTTGGCTTCCGTAGCGGCTAGCTTTTCGCTCCAACAGATCGGGCTGCCCAGTCTCTGCATGGAAATCGAAAATCAAGATCATTGGAATGAAGACACTTTTACTAGAAGATGCGAGATATACCGAGATAGACTTTCACGTTGATGTAGCCTGCATAGTGGTGAGACCTCACAGTCAAAGCCCTTCGGAGCAACTCCATCTTATCATCTGACGAGAAACGAATTGGGGGACTTAAGCTTGTTAATTTAGTTAAACCGTGTCAAGGATGAGCAAATTTAATTAAAAGCCGGATCAAAAAATCGAATCAAAATTGGATCCATGGCAGTGGTTGCTGCCGTTCAACAAAGGACAGCAGCATCTAGAGATGGAAAGACTAATTAAATGTGACCGCGCAGTTCTAGAAACCACATAGATCCATAGTATTACTTCCCTGAGCCCTGCGATACATACCTGACTGGGTTTGTACTGAATGCATTAAGCAAGGGGGCTCAGACACACTTGCGTAAGGAACGCTGCGCATGATGCCTTCACGCCTCACTTTTAGGCTCTTCAGTATCAACATTCCTTGACCTTTCCACATTTTCGAGACCAAATTCCGTGTCCAGTGTCACCCGCATGTCGACGTGTTTCTCGATGAACACGAGCAACAAGCCCACCAGTGCAAAAACAAGTCCCACGAGCCAAACGATACGTAGTGCCTCCTCGTACACGTGGAGTGTCTGCTGCAGTGTCTGTCCCGTCAAGTTCCTGACGTTGAGCGCGTAGCTGTACGCACCTCCGTTGGAGAGGGCGGCCCGTACCTTGGAGTCGTTGATACATCCGAGCCCGGCTTCTATGCGGCTGTTGAAGACGATGGACGGGATGGTAGTGCCCCATACAAAGCCGAAGGACCGGATAAACGAGTAGGTGCTGGTTGAGATCGCAGTGTCGGCCTCGGGGAGTACTGCCTGGATTGCGGGGAGCTGAGTCGTCAGGGGGAGGCCGATGCCGATGCCCGCGATAATTTCGAACGAGGCCCAGGCTACGGTACTGGTGGACGGGGACAACATTGAGAATAGGCCGCACGAGATGGCGAGCACGCTGAATCCGGCCCAGTGGAGGGGCTTGTATTGGCCGATCTTGGTGAGAATGGCGCCGGCGACTGCGCCAGTCGGAATCATGAATGCGTTTATTGGCAGGATATTGATCCCCGAGTCGAGTGCAGAGTCGGCTAGCATGGACTGGAAGTACAGAGGTAGTATATAAATACACCATTGGAGAAGTATCGAGACAACGAAGTCTTGCAGATAGACGGACGCCGAGGTACGATGGGCAAACAGGCGCAGCGGCATCGTGGGCTCCTTGCAATAGCCCTGTTGGACGAAGAACACGGCCCATCCTACCACTCCGATCACGAGTGGAAGGATGATCGGCCTTGAGCCCCAGGGATAGACAACACCACCTTGTATAAGACTAATCAGGATCGACGTGATAGATCCGACGAAGATAGTGTTGCCCAGGTAGTCGATGCGGGTCAGCGAATGCATCCAAGGCGGTGATCTGTTCCATGAAAGGCGCAGAAAAGGCACCATGATTGCCAATGTCAGCGCACACACAGGCAAGTTGATCCAGAAGGCCCATCTCCAGGTCGTGCGGCTGACGATTGCACCACCAATGACAGGGCCAACAAGACTCCCAACGGCGCACGCTCCAAGGACGCTGCCGAGGTATGTGCTGCGCTCTCTCAATGGGACCAGGTCACAGACAATAAGGTCAATAAGCATCACCATGCCGCCAGCACCCAACCCTTGCACCAGGCGGCCGGCGATGAACATGGCCGAGGTGCTCGCCCCGCCAGCAACACCACTGCCTAGAGCAAAGAGTACCACCGACACGATCATGGGATAGCGCCGGCCGAAGATGTTGGAGAGCTGGCCATAGAGGGGCTGTATCGCCGTGGACGCGAAGACGTACGCGTTGGCCAGCCAGATGTACGTGTAGTCCCCCTCGCCGCCAAGGTCGTTCGAGATGGTGGGCAGCGCGGTGAAGATGATCGTGGCATCGGTGGCACTGACGAACCCGGCGAAGCAGAGGCCAAGGAAAACCAGCCAGAATCCCAGGCCCTTACGGCTTGTTGACTCCGTCTCTATTGATTCCTGACCAGCAGGGCAAGGGCCCTCCGTCGCCGGACGGCGGACGCGACTGTTTTCCTCGGTCATGGGCGAGGCGGTTGATAATGATGTGATGTGTGCAACGGCCTCAGGGAGAGGTCTCAGCCACAAGCCAATTACTCCTTTAGAACACTGACGCGTTGTATCACGAGAACGAAAAGTCCTGAGCCGTAGTCAACGCAGAGCAGACTGACTTGAGGCCTTCGAGGATGCCGTATTAGTAGAGGTGATAGCTTTCAGCTTGATTATGAAAAATGAGAAGAATCCTTGTCCAGCATCGTCTCTGCTGAACTTCAATACAAGGGCTGACAATTCCAGTGGCAGACCAACAGTCTTGACATGGTAGTTGGCTTATAAAGATTCCACTACGCTAACAACCAACTGCATCCTATTCTAATGCAAATTGGTCATGGACACCAACAGTCCGTCATGTTTTGCCCCTGAATGGTCATGTAACCTCAATTCTCGCATGCAGCTGGTGCAGGGCACACACACTGTGGGTTGGAAACATTGTCTGCATGTACATTCAATTGTTCCAAGACTACGTTAGACGAAGAAGAGGGTGAGAGCATGTCAAATTCGACACATACGATCTTGGTTAAACAATAAACAAGCTGTTCTAAGATTCATCACAAGTAAGCGCATGGAAGCATGAGAACTTCAGATTGACGCCACATTGTTCTGCAGGTACGCAAATTGTGTAGATAAAGCCACAGTGGTCGCGAGCCCTACGGGTTTCACAGAGGTACGACGAGATATTTGTCAATTGCCATAATACAACCACGACTGAGAAAGCCCACACGGCGCGAGAGATTCGTATGGAATGGTCGAGGTAGGCACGTCTCGAGACACTGTTGCCTGAAAGCAAAAGCCGCTCGAATGAATTACCGGCTTCGTAGACCCTTCCCACCATTTACTTTTCAGTTTCTCGCCGAGGTCATCAACGGGCCAGCCAGCCCGTTGGCGGCAGCCAGCGAGCAGATTCAGAACTGTGACTCTCTGGCCGCTGTCTTCTAACGGGCCGCCGGCTGTGATTTTCACGAGGTAGCAATTTAGCCGAGAACGAGGTTTGCGGTCGAGAGTTTAGACGCGGCGGGGACATACCAATAAACAAGCACTGCGAACACATGACACTCGAAGCGAAGTCTTTCAACGTCATTGCAATTCCGCATACTGCGTTTATGCATTCTCTCAGGCTTCTTCGCTGTTGTGCGTACACCTCGGGCCCGCCCAGCATGGGCTGGTGGAGCAGAAAGAGGATGTGGGAACAGTAGTACAGTTTCATCGCCACAGCTGCGCCAGACGCTTCGTCAGATGCAGAACGCCCTTGGATGACTTGGATATAGACTTACCAAAAGCTGTTGGATGGATCCAGATAGGCTCAAAGGCATCCTCGGCCGAGCGCGGCTGGGGCAGAGGTTCAAACTCAGCAGTCAGGTACGTCTTCCAGTCTTCCAGCATACTCCTGAGCTCCGCAGCCCTGGCTATCCGGGCTAAGGGCTCCATCGCGCCGTCCTCCATGTTCTCTCTCGAGCAGTACCCGACCCCCTGTGCAAACAGGTACACGGACCGAGCTGCAAGGTCAGAGGGCTCCAGGGCCTCCGCCTCTCGCGGTACGCAGCCCAAACATCCTGGCAGAGCCATGCCTACCAAACTCCCTGACGCACGCCCATGGAATCGCCGTGTATGACCTGCGAGCGCTGAATTAGGAAGACGCCGTGGAGGTGCCTCTCCCAGTCTTGGCTGGATCCGTCCAGCATCTCGAAGGTAGAGACAATAAGTGAGGTAGCGAGCAACTCCAGGCTGGTCTTGTACGTGTTGTACTGCATGGCCTTCTGGACGTAGCGCAGTGTCTTGTAGTAATAGGGAAGGGCATCATTTGGGTCGTAGAAGGAAGCCTCGTTGGGCTGGCTACTCAGGGATAGGTGGCGTGAGGAAAGAGCCCAGATGGCATTCATCAGTCCTACATTATGCATCTGGCTCCTTTTAACGGCTTACAGGCACGCGAGAATTTTGGGTGAGACCACTTGCCGCCAAGTGTGGTACCAGAGTCGCAAAGGGTATCCGTGGGTCGAACAGATCCAACTAGAATAATCAATAGAATTCAGCAAGACGGGACAACTCGAACAATAGAGGGAACACAAAAGGATGGCGCAGCTCACCCATTGGCTAAGTTGTCGCACAAAATGCTGGAACAGCGCAACCTCCGAAGTAGTTAGCGAAATGGGCGAGGCCGATTGCCATTCCTTCTTCTCCAAAGCTTCGAACGCTATGACGCTGGTAGTCCGCTCTTGAAGAAGTGGGTTCGATGATGCGGGCGATTGTCCAGCCTCCTCAGGCACTGCATACGCCCCAGTTGGTCTGGTCTCGAAGTGACTAGGAGACTGCACGAGCGAGTCGTCAAGTATGCCGATACCCTCCAAGTCTATATCGACGTTTTCTGGACGGTCGGCTTGCAGCGCGGCGTCGTGTAAAAGCAAGTCGACCCAGATAGAGGTCGCGTTATCCACGTTGGCCCGGGAGGAGCCAAACGACGCTCGCGGTTGACGGTCTTGCGGGGTTGACGTATCAGTACACAACGTGCCGTGCTCGAGTTCGGGCTGTGGTGTTAACAAGGTCGGCTGCGTGGAGACATCGATGTGTGACAAGGGCGAGATGGCATCTCCATCCTGTGGTCTTCCTCAGGCCCCTCCCTCTAGATTGCCTTCCCCTAGTGAAAGTGCGCACGGGAGGCATGTTGCCTGGCAATCAAGATTTGAAGCGTGCGGAGCAAGTTTCGAGCTTCACACTGGCTTGAAATGGGCTCGAGTCGAGGAGCTACCTACTGCAGTAGGTAAAGCACCCGAGGTATCATGGGACGCAGAAGTGGGAAGTTGGAACGGAGACCGATTGGGTGACTGAAGTAGGCCCGCAGGCTTATGTAAGCGAGTACTCAGGGAGCACCACACATGTCCCAGGGTATTTACATGAGCCAACGCCCGTTTTAGGTGGTTGGTCTTTTTTGGTCATCACCCAGATTCAGTAGACCACCACTTATTCGAGTTCTCCTAGTCCATACAGGCTGCATTCAAGCTGACAGAGACCCGAATACACAAACTAGAGTTTCTGTACGCTGTCACTCACATAGGGAGGAGCACGAAACAGGATGGCCATGAATCCACGACAGGCAGCCTTTGGTTGCTATTCATTTCCGGGCATCAATTGCCGTTCTACTCCTGGCTTCTGCTTTTGCACTGACGCCCTAGAGAGCCCAAAAGACACACCAGAGGGAATCTAAATGTATCGAGTCGTGTGTGGCTTGAGTCACTGCAGGTGGACAAACATTCCACCATCCACTAATATCTGCGACCCAGTCATGAATCCACTCAGTTGCTCGCAGCCCAGGAACACCGCCGGCCCAGCCAGATCCTCTGGTCTGCCCACCCGTCCCATGGGAATCCGATGCTCTAGGTACTTGCGCTTGACATCATTTGCCATGTCCTCATCCGCCAGCTGCGTGTGGATTGTCCCGGGCAGCAGGGCGTTGCACCTGATCTTGTCCTTTGCAAGCGCAATAGCCATTGACTGAATCATCGACAGTACAGCCGCCTTGGTTGGCGTGTAATGTACTTGAAGGCCGCCTCCTTGTAACGCACTGATCGAGGAAATGCCTATTATCGATCCGCCACGGCCTTGCTTTTTCATCTGACGTGCTGCCGCCTGGCATGTGTAGAGCGTTCCGTTGACGTTGACTTTTATAGACTGGTCAAATATATCTTCGTCGATTCTAGTTCAGAAAAAAATGCGTGAATTAGCATCATGTATGATCTTGAACGTGGTAAGGAACCAGAGGCGTTGCAGTTCTTACCAGAGGAACTCGCACGCTTTGAAAATGCCAGCGTTCGCAACAAAGATATCAATGCCACCCCAGTTTTTCACGGCTTCTTCGACCAGATTGTGACCCGTTTTCGGCTTGGTGATGTCTCCAGGCACCTCAATGAGCTCTCCAGCCGGCAGACCTTCGCTGGCGCCTCGGCTCCTGATCTCCTTCGCCGTTTCCAGTAGGCTGTGCTTGTGTTTTGCGTCTTGGAGGAGATCTAGGTGATTCACGGCGACATTGGCGCCTTGTCGTAGGTATTCTAACGCTATTTCTCGGCCAATGCCTGTTGTGTCGCCGGTGCTGCAGGCCGTCTTCCCACGGAGCAAACGCCACGATGCCAGCGCAGACATATTTACTCTGTCTACCGTGGAAACTTCAATGAAGACAGATGGGATGGGATTGCACTCTTGCTGGACATGAGAGCGTTCTTTGTTGTCGTGTCCACGGTGAGCTTTCAAAATATTTCAATTCACAGGTTGGTTGGGCCTGGCTCTGGAATTTGGTTTCCCTAGTGAGAGCCAAGAAAATGCGAAGCGTCTGGAGTAGGACGTGTGGCAGGCAGGGCAGCCCCGGAGCCGGCTCGCGTCTTGGGCGTAACTCGTCTCGAGGGCACACGCGAATCGGAACCGCAGCATCTTCCCCAGAATTACCCCATGCTGATCAAGCGGCATGGCAACCCTGGGTTTTAAAATGGGTTTCTCGTCCACGCGTCTCGCCCCTGGATCTTGAGTTACACATGCTGCTGCGAAACAAATTGTGATGACTTGCTTTTGACCTGTAAATGATGCCCCTAATGTTCTGAAATTCTGATCTCCTGTTAAGAAACGTCCTGTGCTATACTGCCACGGTTATACGCGCCGCCATATATGATTTAATGGCCGATATTTATTCTGGTAGGTTGAATCGTGCTCATACAGACATGGCAAAATGAAGTATCTTTAGCGAGTACCTACAAGATTGAAAGGCACGAAATATACCGTAGCTTCAGTTACATTGTCGAGCAATCGTCATGCGGTCTTGACGTCAAACCAGGCAATTTTCTCAGTCCTACTCATGGTGGGTCATCGCTGCATCCGCTACCTTGGCCTCCAAATATTCACGACCATCATGTCTTGCAGCACCACCAAGGCCAGGGTTCTGCTCTTTCAGCATTGCAAACGTCTTTTCTGCGTCCCAAGCCCAAGGAGTATCTGCCGCGCGAAGAGCAAGTCCATCTCTTCCAGTGTGCGCTGATTAGATTCGGGGTAAAGTGCCCAGACTGCGGCGTGTTAGCGGTCTCGTGCATTATGTAGTTACATGATAATTCCGTCGCTGGCTCACCAATAGGAATGCTGATGATATTGACTGCTCCAAAAATGTACATCATCTTCTCGCTTATGGCACTGACAATGTACGGCAGAACTAGAGTCAGTGTGCTAGCCGGGCGTCAGCTCTTTGTACGGAGAAACAAGTCGTCGTGTGCGGATCGCGTTTATAGCACTCACCCATTGCCAATGCTCCAGCCAACGACTCCAAAGCTGTTTCCCTTGGCCCGTACCTGCAGAGGGAAAATCTCTGCTGGGTATAGCCACGGTACTGTGAGCCAAGTGGCACCGAAGATGAAGGTATACACAAATACAAAGGACGCCGCAGTAGCGCCCCATTGGTTTGCTGTGTCGATGTTGCCCTGAGCTCTTGCGTCAAGGCCAGCTCGCGAGAGGCCACCGACCAAGAACATGGCGATCCCTTGCCCGACCGATCCCCAGTATAAAGTCCAGCGGCGGCCGATTCGATCGATCGTGAAAGCGCAGACAAGTGTCGCGAAGGTGTAGGTGATGTTGTTCAGCCCAGAGACCCATTGGGACTTGTCAGAGTTGAATCCGGCGATGCTGAAGATGGCTGTAGAAGTCACACAAGCAGGTTAGTAAGAGTTGAGAACCCTAGAAAGAGAGACAAACAAGGTGCATGGATGCAACTTACTCGGACCATACATGGTGACGCCAGCTATTCCGGTCCAGCACTGCATAATCTGGAGCCAAATAACCAATTGGACTCGTCGGGCCGTGTGCAGCTTGCCGGACCTGAGGCCGAAAAGCATCGCGATGTACGAAGTCCCGTCTGTCTTCTTCTCTAGCTGTACCACCCCTTTGATATTAGCAAGTTCGGCCTCGGCCAGTCCAGCGTCGGGTCCAGTCGTTTCTCGAAGGCGCTGCAGAATATACAGTGCCTCATCGTCTCGCCCGACTCTAGCCAACCATCTGGGAGACTCTGGAAACAGCCAACACCCGACAAGTAGGAACAGGAGGGGAATGATCTGGAATGCAATAGGAAAGCGCCATCGGACCGGTGAGTTCCCGTTGTCGATGAACCGCACAGCGTAGCCGAGCCAGTAGGCGACGACCACACCGATATGTTCAGTGTGAACTCCATCGCGATGAATGTTCCCCGAGAAGTATAATCCGCCAGCTCGGAGGCCCACGCGGGAACGATTCCGTTCAAGATACCGGTTCCGATGCCGTTGACGAGTCGCGCGCAAATCATCCAGCTGGGGTTCATGGCCGAACACTAGAGCGCCGCACCGAGGATACCCCATAGGGCACCGGCCCCGATCGCCTTGATCCGCCCGTAGCCATCTCCCAAGGAGCCCCCCATGAGGCAGCCCAGAAGGGTTCCAAGGTAGTAGACGCACATGATGCCGCCTTGGAGGAGAGTGTCGGTGATTACCGGGTTGCCTTCGTCGGTGACATGGCCGAGGCCCATGAGGTCAATGTAGTCTCGAGATTCGTTGACGCCTCCCATCATCCCCTGGTCGTAGCCTTGGGGGCGTCAGTCTTTCCATCCCTACCACCTTCAGGGTGACCACATTCCGCCTAAGCTTACCGAAGAAGAAGATAGACAATCCGGCAAGGGAGTTGATGGCAACGAGCAGAGCTTTCTTTTCAAGCTTGCCATGTACCATCCATCGATGTCGTTGATCCATTGTGTCAAGTCCTGCCGAAGCCTGTCGAATCTGGATGAACTCCTGCGTTTCGTCTCTTCAACAGCAAAAGAATTATCAGATGCGATGCGTCGCCCAACACAAAAAACCTATTTATTGGGGGAATACATGGTGTGTAACATCAGAGCAGTGCAGAGTATTTATGTTTCGCCGTGAAGTTTAATTAATCTCGACTCTAGCCCAGACATCCGGACCAACTAAGAGCGCCCAAGTAATTTCTCCCAATGACGCCGCAGCCATGCAAGGCGCATCAACGATCCTCAGAACATGTGTCAGGATTTCCAGTAATGTGCACGCGCCCTTGGCCCTGGGGTAACGTAGTTCAGCACGAGAGGCATGGGTCCTTGCGGGGCGAAGCCTGGGGCAACATTGACAGTGCCCATCCATCCCGGGCACGGGACCCCATGGGGGATTGACGGACGGGAGCGCGGGGAAATGTCCGAAATGTCGTATGAGATACTGATTGCCGGAGGTTTGTTCGCTCACGAAGCGAGTCAGCCCTCGAAACGATGTGCTCATCTTGCTAATCCCACGTCGTTGGCCTAGCGTGGCGCGTGTGTGCTCGTCTCGAGGGCAGGACTTGGCACAGCCATGCTATGCGCCTTGGGTAACAGGCTAGATGGCACCAGGAACGTGGCGAGAAACTGACGGCGCAGAGGTCAGGATGTCGAGTTTTTCCGAAAAGCTTGATTCTAACATGCTGCAGAAATAGCAGTAACGAAACTCACAACAACTACACGCCACATCACGTCGTTGACCAAGCTTCAATACTTTATGTCAGCGACCTGGAATGGTCAACCAAGGTATTCGCATTCGGCAGCACGTAAAGAGACTTTATTGATGCTAAACTCCATAAATGGGGTTTCTTTATTCACCGCTGTGTTTATGGCGACGACGAGGCATGGCAGAGCTATATGGAACACTTTCAGGCAATATTGTTGTGTTCCTGAGAGACGGAGAAGGGGACGCACTGGTATACGTGACATCCCTTTGTAAAGCTGGCTGCCCGCTTCCCCTCTTTCAACCCTTCTCCTAAATTTATCACATGAATTAAAGATACCAAAATACGTCACACGGATGGCCGTAGAAGACCAAGACTTTCTGGATGGTGCTAGGATTGATGCGCCGGTGCGCGAGACGTTGTCGAACAACGCGACACGCACCAAGGTTGAGCTTCCAGAAATTGATCGATCATATCATTCATTCCAGTCAATAGCATGTGCTCTCTTCACGTGCCTGGTCATGTGGTCAGGTCGCGCGAACGTCTTGCCACAAGACTTGACTGGACATGGAGAGGTGAGCACAGGAATTCCCATGTTATCTGCAGACTTGGGGTGATGGACCCTGTAATGTCGATTCAAGTCTCGTTTGAACCTCGCTCTGTAATCGCAAACGGAGCATTGCTCTTGTGGATCATCATGTCGTCTTTTCTGATGCTTTCTATGTCATGTAATTAGCCCTTACCCACCCAGACTCAAGATCACGTTGAAGGCTTTATGTTTTGCGGCAGCGTTGTGCTTATGCAGATTCCACTCACCTCAATTCCCCTGGTGTTTCCGTTTTGATGTTGCAGTAACGACATGTAATGTCTTCTTCTGGATAAAGTTTCGTCCTCCTTTTCGCGGTTCTCGCTTTCTCTGGTGTCTTATCATCAGAAGGATGTTGTAAACCCGTTCCTACCCTGGGTTTGCGTGGTGCTAGTACTGGCAGAATTCTCTGCTGCTGTTGTGGATCATCGTCGTGAGGCTGCCAGTGGGGAACGGAATGCTCGAACAGTCGCTGACTTCCTTCAGGCAAGCCAAGTTGCATCCGGTAGCTGTTGTCCACAATTTGTAAGTTGAGTTGTGGTAGATTTACTGTGGCTGGCTCCAGATTTTCCTGCCGTTCGCCTGGCCAGTCTAGCTCTGCACCTGAAGGCTGGACACCAGAAGCATTCATGGCATTGTCGAGATCAATGGGCGGCAAGGAGTTGAGGAGGGGTTCGGACGGGTCCAGAAGAGTTTCGAAGAAGGCATTGTTTCCTGGTCCAAAGTCTAAGAACTCGGAGTAGAAGTCGTCATTCAGGTCTGGCTCGAAGGGCATTGACAGGTCGTCAAGGCGACTCTTTTGCTCGTGGGTTGTTGATGTCATGATTTCATAAGGCTCTCGTAATTTACTGCTCTCGCATCAGGGAAGTAAATCCCTGATGGGCTGTCTTGTGTACGGTAGAGTCCTGTCTAGTGATCAGCAGAGTAGGCATTGTTTCATCTGAAAGGCATCAACTCGCTCGAGGGCTAACGTATAGACAAAGCCGACCCCATCTCTCATGCTCCCGAGCGGCATCCTGCTGAAATGAACCCAGCCCTCCTGTTGGAGTCCAGATAGTAGTTGTCTAGTATACTGGTCTCCAACACTCCTGTACGAGATGCGCCAGCATCGTGGTTACACGGAGGGCTTTACCGCCTACATCCCCTGCTGTAAAGGCAACGATAGAATGTGGAATGGACACCATTTGGTATCCGCTAGGACCCAGACCAAGACCATACTCTGTCCTCAAAGAGCCATTTCAGGATGGTCTTGGTCTGGGTCCTAGCAGATACCAAATGGTGTCCGCTCCACATTCCAGCTTTGTCTAAACAACTCGAACTCATTCCTTCCGATGCTGGGCGCGCACCTCATACAGGAATTGTAGGATCACCATGGTCGCAGTTTGCCGGGAGCTGGGGTGAAATACGAGATTCAGCGTCAGCCCGAGGATCAGGCTGACGCTGAGAGTAAATGAAGAGGTGGAGAAAACACTAAATAGCGGGATGGTCACGTCGTTAGATAGACGTGAAGGGCATGGTGAGCGCGATGCGACTCATAAAGGGGTTGTTGTTCACAGCTGAGAAATCTGTGTCATGAAAGCCAGTCTCGAGCAGCCCTTTATATTCGACAGCTTCAGTACACTCAAGTGCTGCGATAAGGTTACTTCAAGTGTACAACAACCCAGCAGTTGCGGACTTTGGTAGAACTTTGTGTACTAAGTAGAGCCGTGGTACTGCAGTATCAGGTCCGCCGGACGCACCTATTGGCCAATGTAGAGGCCTTCCTACTAAGCCCCCTACTATCAATATGATACTGCGGCTGGGATACATGCACGGACAGTACGTTCCGTGGCGTCTTGCAACCCCGCATCTTGACGTCTAATTTTAGAGTTCGTTCTCTCTCGTCCATTATCCCTCCGACAAGGCCAACTTCATCGGCTGCTACTTGACCTCGTTCGAATGCATCTCCGTGGACCATCATTACGAGTAAGCCGAGCTGTTCTCGAACATGAAAAGGGCGGCGGACCAAATAAGTGACGAATGCTGACGGCTTCAAGATTAGCCACTCGAAAGACAAGGCGTCTCGGTACCAGTCCCGCTTGGCTGCTTCATGCCCTCTCTTATCAGCATGTGTTGACTCCGGTGTGCTTTCAATCTATAAAGTTGTGGCTCCGTACGATGAAACTCTGGGAGCCTGCCACCCATTTAGTGTCTTACGAGATCATTGCTATCATCTCCACCCTTGATCATTATTGTGCCACCTGCCCACCTTTTCAGATTTAAGAATTTACTGGCCTGTATTTTCGAGCCTTGTGCCAGCCTCATTTCAAACACGCCAACAGCTGCCGTCATGGCTATGACGCTTACCAATGCCAATCTATGATGGGACTCTTCTTGCTTCTGAAATCAAGTCATCGATAGCTTGCTTTCCGTGGACGTGCTGACCTCATCGCACAGTTGCTCACCCGACCTATTCTCCACGCTTTACACGACATCATACTCATGGCTTTGCAGCTATGCTGGCATAGAGGCTGGCCGTTCATTCGAGTGGCTGTTTGACAACTTCACACGCTTGAATCACTGCTCAAATCCCATCTCGGCGCGGAACTACTCGACATCGTCGTGACGGCTTGAGATTTTTCCCAACAAAAAGTTCATAGATTTGTGGAGGACATACATGACCCGATGGTAGCGGCTCAAGCCCGCAAAGCACCGGGGGCAAAGGCTTTCTAGTCTTTTTTGATCTCTTCTCGACTACCTCGAGGCATGTGTAGTCAGTCACTGTAACAGAGTGATAACAAACCTCGTCCCAAGTTCGGACCCATGAGAGTCACTTATCTGACATCTCGAATCACAGCAATCTCCCTTGCTCAGAGCTTACGAGACATGTTGTAAAGTGACTTGTCCATGTTATAAACTTGCCGCTCCTTGCCAATGGAACTCACTCAACGCAGTGACACCGCTCTCGCTCTTCCTGATCTCCCGCCACTACTATTTAAATGGGGTTTCCTGGAACCTTCCCCTGTGCAAAATTTCGACCAAGAGCAACTCTTTCCACGGGCCCATCACCAGAAGCAAAAACATAACACAGGCGCCTCAACACAAAAGCAGTTTCGCGGGACATTTGATCAAGATGAGCAATTCCAGCTTTTTGCCTCAAAAACACATGGATCCCCTTGGTATGATCGAACAGTTTGGGGGAAATCCAGGCAGTGTTTTGGGGGGTAATTAATGTTTTCTCAACAAGAGTGTTGCAGATTTGCTGACCTAACTCTGCGCAGACGAGGACCCGGACAAGGACGGTGAAGACTCCGTTGCTGCAAAGAAATCAAGCTCAGCCGCTACGCACATCGACTCCACGTTGAGAACCTTCCCTCGATTCAGCGATCTGCCTGCACATCTTCGGGCAAAAGTCTGGAGAATGGCCTGGCTCCCGCGCCGAGTCATACCGTTTGGTAGCAAGCCTGCACCCAAATTCAACATCTGCAACAAACCTCAACGCTGCGAGTGTTGCGCATCCGTGAACTTCAGGCCGCAGACCAGCGCTCCAGCGATAATGTACGCTTGCCGTGAGGCCCGAAGCGAAACACAAAAGATCTCGAGGCCTTTGTCGACGTGGTTCTGGGAGCTGTGGCTGCCTAGGAATCTCTCCCGTGCCTGGAGCAAGGCCCAGTATCAGGAATTTTGGGAAGAGGTGTGCTACAGGGACGAGATGCTCCGTATGATAACATGGTTCAACCCGACTACCGATCAAGTCTTCATAGGGCCAGAATCCGTTTTGCGTATGTCGGAACAAGTCGGCCCACCAAACCATGATGATGTCTTGCAGGCAGCCCTCGATCCCGCGTTAGTTTTGATGCTCTCTGCAGGCCTTTTCGAAGAACACGAGAAACTGGAGGCTGAGTTTGAGGTACTGAGGTCTGGGCTGCGGGCTCTCTACGATCGATATCTCAAGCCAAGGGATCATATCTACATCTGCGAAGCTGGCTTAAACTTCCTCTTGACTGACGAAGGTCTGCAAAAGGCCATTCAAGAAGGCCTTTTTTCAGGTGAAGACGAAGAGCAGCGGCTAGTTTCTGCCAGCGATGAGGTTCTCATCAAGAAATACGAAGCCTTAAAACTTTTCAACCACAAACACACAAACATCAATGCCTCCCAGACCCTGAGGACATGGAGAGATACTCTGAATACATGGCACACCAGGAGATCTCAAGCTCGACATGTTCGGCTTAGGGCTGAAGGCCGGGCGGGGTCCACATCATCTCGAAAATCTGCATCCATTCGAGTCCCCATATCGGATTCACAGATGTTGATGATAAAGATAGCCGACTTCTTGATGTGGGATCAAGGCCTGGGCTTCTTTAGGGGGTTGGAGATCATGGATCTGACTGGCCACCTCAAGAAAGATCACCCACTGGTACGGGAACATGGATTCAAATTGCCAGACTTTGCCCAGGGAAAATTTGCCAAACATGATGCTATTCATGCTTCGAAGGAAATATTGTTTGATGAGTCTCTTGTGAAGATCTCGCTAAAACTTCGCGTCAACAGAGAAGACATTTTAGGGGATCTAGGGGTGGTACCTCAGACATGTTCTGAGAAAAGCACACAGGCGAGGGACTAGTTACTGATAGTCTACGTACACTAGCGAGTAGTCATTTGGAGACTGCCAAAGCATCATCTTTGGACGTGAGCAATTCCACGGGATGGTATGCATCCAGAATAGATTTTTGGCTGATCAGAGAATCCTCATGTTAATTTCCGTTTCTTCTCCCCAGCGGTTCATCAATTACTTCTTCTGAGATTGTCGCCACAGGCCTTTTGGGATTATGACGCAATATGTGAGCCGTCGTCAACTTTGGAAGTTCACAGACATGTACGAATACAGTCTAATCCGCAACGCCTTGGGCGGATGTCCAGATTTGCGGGGGACAGAACAGCGGTCCGCGAGCTGTGCCTGACACAGGCGCATGCCAATGGAATTTCTCTTGGCCAGGTCAGCCGTTCGCCAGATACCAGACCAGGCGCCAATACGTGTTTACAGCAATATGGCGACCATGGAATCGGGCACAGTTCCAGGAAGCACTATACAGCATATTTGGGTGAACAGCAAAGGAAGACCCAGAATTAGTATCTTCCAGAAGTTCAGGATTAATTGGTGTTTATCGTTAGGTACTTTCTCAACCTTAGTCCCGTGAGGCAGTAGGACTCCCAGGCTAATGTACATCCTGCCAGCCTGTGGTTCCACCTCAGTTATCTAGCCCAAGTCAGTTCCATCGCGTCCTGCTGCAATAGGAGAAAATAAATCGGAAAGCCCGAAGCCGAATCGCGTTGTATATTCCCATAAAAGACGGAAGAACTCACGGGGATAGAGGTCCTAACAAGGCATACGGTGCCGCAAGGCATACGGTGCCGCAAGGCATACGGTGCCGCAAGGCATACGGTGCCGCAAGGCTCGATGAGAGCAGGGAGCACCAAGACAGACATGAAGAGACCGTATAGTTCCAGTGCCTCCATGAGTAGGCCAATCATGATGTTGGGCTTACGACTAAGGAGGGAAACTTCTGAAGATCATCCGGAGATAAGAGCTTCGCTGCAAAAGGTCAGAGCAGGGTGCCTGAGTGGAGTGAGAATCATTCGATCACCTTTGACAGCATGGTCATTTCATTTCAAAGGGGAAAGGAACAAGTTATGTGCATCTTCAAAACGTGAAATTCATTATCGTCTACTAGGATTGTGCTGAAAAGAGGCAATCCTTTCCTCTTGAGATACTACTACAGTACATCCAGGCTGAAGGACGACATTACCGCTCGTGTAGCGACCTGCCAAGTATGAGGTGTCAAAACCCGAAGAGACCCGTGCCAAACTCCTGTAACCACTTTTTAATGCGATCGCCTATCCTGCACTCCCATTTGCCCATTCCGTGACCGATTGATTTAGTCGACCTCCTCCATGGCGCTGTCGCCAGTCTCGGCGGCAGGCGTGGAGTCGGAAGCGGCAGGAGCATCAGCGGCAGCCTCAGGCTCCTCGTCCAGGTTCAGGCCAAGAGACACCAGCTTGTGGATACGCTCGGCGAAGCCAGCGGGCTCATCGATGGTGAAGCCAGAGACCAGCAGGGAGGTCTCAAACAGGAGCTGGACGATGGACTTGACAGTCTTGTCGTTCTCGCCGTCGGCCTCGACCTTCTTCTTGAGCTCCTTGACGATGGGGCTCTTGGGAGAGATCTCGAAGGTCTTCTTGGAAGACATGTAGCTGGACATGGAGGTGTCACGGAGGGCCTGGGCCTTCATGATACGCTCCATGTTGGCAGACCAACCGAACTGGCCGGTGCGGATGGCGCAAGGGGAGCCGACAAGCTTGTGGGAGACGACGACCTTCTCAACCTTGTCGCCGAGGACGTTCTTGAGAGCCTTGGTCAGGTCCTCGTACTCCTTCTCCTCCTCCTCACGCTGCTTCTTCTCCTCCTCGGTCTCCTCGAGCTCGAAGTCCTTGGTGATGTCAACGAGCTTCTTGCCCTCGAACTCCTTCAGCTGCGTCATGGCGTACTCGTCGATGGGGTCAACCAGGAACAGAACCTCGAAGTCCTTGGCCTTGAGAGCGTCAAGGAAGGGGGACTTGGCAACAGCGGCGAGAGACTCGCCGGTGATGTAGTACATGTTCTTCTGGTGCTCGGGCATGCGAGTGACGTAGTCGGCCAGAGAGGTCTGCTCGTCGCCAGACTTGGTGGAGTTGAAGCGCAGGAGCTTGGCCAGGATCTGGCGGTTCTGGGAGTCCTCGTGGATGCCGAGCTTCAAGTTCTTGGAGAAGGCAGTGTAGAACTTGTCGAACTGCTCCTTGTCCTCAGCGATCTCCTGGAAGAGCTCGAGAGCCTTCTTGACGATGTTCTTCTTGATGACCTTCATAATCTTGTTCTGCTGCAGGGTCTCACGAGACAGGTTGAGGGGCAGGTCCTCAGAGTCGACGACGCCCTTGACGAAGCTGAGCCACTCGGGAATGAGCTCGGTGGCATCGTCGGTGATGAAGACACGGCGAACATAGAGCTTGATGTTGTTCTTGGTCTTCTTGGTCTCGAACAGGTCGAAGGGAGCGCGCTTGGGCACGAAGAGAATGGCGCGGAACTCAAGCTGACCCTCGACAGAGAAGTGCTTGACGGCCAGGTGGTCCTCCCAGTCGTTGGACAGGGACTTGTAGAAGGCAGCGTACTCCTCCTGGTTGATGTCGGAGGGGTTACGAGTCCAGATGGGCTTCTGCTTGTTCAGCTCCTCCTCTTCGATCTTGGTCTCCTTGACCTTCTTGGTCTTGGGCTTCTTCTCCTTGTCCTCCTCCTCGTCGTCGACCTCCTCGATCTTGGGCTTCTTGTCGTCACCCTCCTCGGTGGTCTCAGTGGCCTCCTCGTCAGGGACCTCCTTCTCCTCCTCCTTCGTGACGTGGAGGTAGATGGGGTATGAGATGAACTCGGAGTGCTTCTTGATGACCTCCTTGATCTTGGACTCGTTGAGGTAGTCAACCTGCTCATCCTTCAGGTGGAGGATGATCTTGGTACCACGGCCGATCTGCTCGCCCTCGGTGTCGGTGGTGATGGTGAAGGTACCACCAGCGCTGGACTCCCAGACGTACTGCTCGTCATCGTTGTTCTTGGACACGACCGTGACACGGTCGGCCACAAGGTAGGCAGAGTAGAAACCAACACCGAACTGGCCAATCATGGAGATGTCAGCACCTGCGGTCAGGGCCTCCATGAACTGCTTTGTGCCAGAGCGGGCGATTGTGCCGAGGTTGTTGACGAGGTCCTGCGAGCAAGTTAGTCATCTGTGTTTGTAAAACGATCTTAGCTGGTAGAGCTATCACTTACAGCCTTGGTCATGCCGATACCAGTGTCGCGGATGGTCAGAGTCTTGCTCTCCTTGTCGGGGATGATGTCGACACGGAGGTCCTTGCCCGAGTCCAGCTTGCTGGGGTCGGACAAGGCCTCGTATCGGATCTTGTCGAGGGCATCTGATGCGTTGGAGACGAGCTCTCGCAGGAAGATCTCCTTGTTTGAGTAGACGGTGTTGATGATCAGCGAGAGCAGCTGAGAGATCTCAGCCTGGAACTCGAAGGTTTCGCCAGACATCTTGAAGGTTTCGTAACGTCGTCAATTACTGAAGAATCAACAGTTAGCGAATGTGAGGTTTGCTTGTGCGGACCGAAGATTCGGAAAAGGACAATGTAATGAATGCAGCGCAGTGCAGTTGGGTGTATTAATGTAGAAGGGGGCAAACTTTGGTGGGTCGCTGTGGAAACGAGAACAAACGGAAGCCTTGCTTGTTTGCTCCAAAGCCACCTGCTCCCTGCAATTGAGAGCCACGGCGGATGGATTCCAACAGGGAGATGCAGTGCGCATGCGTTTCCAGTCAAGGAGATCAGGTCGCCATCTCCCTTGGAAACATAAGGCTGGAGGGATCTCGCTCAGGCGCAGGCCAGGCTGAGGGCGGGGATGGGAATTGTACAGCTGATTCAGGTGGTGGTGGGGTCTTTGGGTCTGCTTACCTTTGGGTATCACTGAAAGCGAAGGGGAAAGAAAACTTTGTCAGATCGAATCTTGCGATGCGATGTCTGAGAGGGAAGAGAGAAGAGGTTTTTGGCAGTTGATGAAGATGGGAAGTGGTGAAATCTGTGAGGTTGGGAAGAAGAGGTTGGCGTTGCAGAGCAGCAGGCAGAGGGGAGCTCAAATACGTACATGGAGGCTTCGCCCATGGAAATTCTAAGAGTTTCTATGGCGCCTTCCCCCTTTTGATTGGCCGGACAGGGGTTGTGCAGACCCACTACGTTCTGGAGGGACCCTGCAAATGCAAAAATATCGATGCGTCTTGCTCGCCGCAGCCGTCCGACCTGCAGAGATCAGAAATCCGAAAAGAAGGGCAGATCGGATCTGGAAGAGGGTCTATTCCTGATCCAACGGGCATGGAAACGTCCATCGGCGCCGTGGAATGATCTGGGGCTCGCTGGACAGGCTCAGAATGCCCCAGAAGCTGCCCGTTTGCGTTCATAGCTCTGCGGTGCTCCAACGGCAGCCTCACCTGCAACTCGAGGCAGCTACCCTGAGGTCAGGGGCCGCAGCTCGGTCCGTGCCATTTTACCTCTGCCTAGCAACGCCCGCCTGGGGAAGTGAGGCTGAAAAGCTCCATTCGGCAGGCAGACAACGTACGTAATTGCCGCTGTGGTCGCCTCACCTGCGCTTCAACAATATTAGCCACAGCCACATCTTTTCTTATTGTCGAGTCTACCATGTACCTCACGTTTCATACCGCAGAGATCATCTTCGGGCTTCACGCATCTGATCAAGCGCTTATCGGGTTCCTATGCATGTACAGCTAGCTAGGCTGATTGATAGGCAAATTCGGAACTCAAGAGGGGAGGCTGAGTTCAATCCAGCCATGTTGCCTTGCATGAACCTGATCTAGGCACCTATCTGCTAAGTGCCCAACTAGGTATCTTGTAGATTTGGGTATGCCGTATCAATTCACCACATGGCCGACTATCTAGGTACCTAGGTATCTCCAATACAGGCATTGTGCAGACTGACAAGCCGCCCCGTAAAGAAGCTTCTGGGTGAGGCGTTACACACGTATATTCGCCCATCCAGAATATTCTATGAGATGCGGATAGCACGACAGACTAACCACGTATGGTATGGACAGGCGTCTTGTCGTGAGCCATGGTCATCTTCGTATATGAGCAGATGAGCAGTGGTCAATTGAAGAGAAGATTAAGTATTGTAATATCTTCTTCGATGTAGGAAGCCCATGTGGAAGCAAGGGATTTTTTGCATGGCTTACGCATGCTGGGTGCGCGCGCAGTCCTCAGTACTTGCAGCTCAAGGGGCCGTATCCCTCCTTCTAGCATCTACCTAGGTACTGATAGTGCGGTTGATCTCTTTTGTAGCCTTCGGCTATATAACGTCTGTTCTTCAGTGACAGTTTGTCCAAGACCGTCGCTTCTTAGACGTCTCAGTCTCCAGCCGCCAGTAATCGAGCTTCAGTGCGGGTCTGAAGGCCTCCAACAGTGATCATCCCATAGGTGGCACACACGCCTGGAAAGTCCCCTGATAATTGGATATAGGGACGGCCTGCTGTTCTCGGGACGTGTTCGAGTGTGTCTCTCTGACGTAAGACTTGCGATTTTGCTTCTCGTCGCAGATAGCATCACGAGATGGACTTTGTCGTAGTTTGATAGCAATTTTTGATTCTAATGGCTTCAGTCCCCGCTTATCTTTGCGTGTCTGAAGTATTTCATGCCCACCCACGCGATAACAACCCACACCCAGGCCATCACACACGTCAGTATGATCAAGGCCGGATAATACCCCGTGATGGGCAGCGTGGGGTCATCCTCCAGCTCGGGCGGTGCGTACGGCGTCGTGCCGACGTCCCAAGCCCAGTTCCAGATGCTGAAGCACGAGCCCATACCGATCACAAACACCACCCATGTGACGACCAAGATCACCCAGCCCCACCACTCCGTCTCCGAGTAGTCCCAGTCGTCGTCCGTAGGGAGCAGAGGCGTAGATGCCAGCCCAGAAAGGCTCAGAGGTGACCTAGCCCGGCTGATTGTCCGTCGGCGCGGCAAGGAACAAAAGTAGCCGTCTGACCCGGAGCTCAGGCTCGCCAGCTCTGGCCCCTTCCTGCTGCCCGCGTTCCTCCCTATGTGCAGCATGTCCTCGTCGTCCGTCGTGGTGTAGCTCATCGTGGGGCTTGTGGGCGTCGGCTCGTCGACCTCGACTTTGGGCTTCGGCAGGGTCTGGGCAGCGGATGCCCCGGGCGCCGCGCCGTCGCGCAGCAGGTTGGTGGCGGCCGTCACGGCGGGCGCGTTGCGGCTCGCGTAGCCGTCCATCGAGGGCCGGGGTGTGATATCGGATATGCCTAGCCCGAAGGAGCCGCCCTCCTCCGTGGGTGTGCTCATGCTGTATGTCTCTGCCTGCTTCACATCGATGCTCAGGCTGGCGCGGTGGGCCTCGCGCCGCTCGCGCTGGGCGCCGCGGCCAAGGAGGGCCACTTTTCTGAGGGATCCGCGGCGGCGCCTCGTCTTCTGCTGCTGCAGTGCGGTGGCAATCGAGGATGGCGGCCGCGGGATGGGCATGTATATGGTAGACGCAGGAGATCGGTTCTCCTTCTCGCGCTGCTGGCCTGGGCCGTCGTGCTCGTGGTGTTCGGAGGGATGGGCGCGCATGAAGGAGAGTTTAGAGAGGAGGCCGCCGCCAGAAGACATGCGTCTGTGGCCGGGGCGACTCGGATCTGTGGCACCAGCAGCACCTTGGTGGGTGTCTTGGGTGGAGGGTAGCGGTTCCATGATGGCTCGGTGGCGGCGCAGATGGTCCGCCCGGGCCGGACTGGCAGACAGCTTCGAACCACAGACCACAAGAGGGCTGATGTCAGATGTCAGATGTCAGAAATGGGGTCAAGAGAGAGAAGCTTCCGCCCCACATGTTTGGGATTGGAACATGTGAAAACCCAGGTAGTGGTCAATTCTGGTGGAGGAAGATGGGAATGCCTGGGGCATATGCAGCAAGAATAATTGGCAGCATGGTAATCTTCGAGCGCGATGGGTGTGTGGCGCCTGGAGGAAATCTGCAACCAGGGAAAGAAGCAAGCAATTCAATGCGACTCTATGTCCGCACTTATTGTAGCTAGCTGCAGTAAGTACAGCAGGCTACGGTAGGCTACCTGGGTAGCGTACGTACCGGTCTCGAATACTGTCCTAGAACCAGAATGCCTGCCGAGAGAACCTGTCAAGACCCCTGACTTAGCGGCCAGTTCCCCTGAATCCTTGCACCTGGCCCGGCAAAGCAGCAATGAAAGTGAAGTCAATGCACGCAGGGAGGCATTCATCATGCCAGTCTGAGTGCCCGCTTGCGCGGGGTGGGCGCGACGAGCGTCGACATTCGACCCTCTCCGTCCAGCCTCACGGTCTGGTCCTGAGCCTTGCCAGATTCTCTCTGTGACATCCGGATCTTCAACAGCACAATTGATAGTTTCTTCAACACACAAGCTCCCGTCGCCTAACGAGCATATCTGCAGATCGCCGCCCATAGTTGCAATGCGCTAGGCTGGATTCAGCAGTTGGGCTGCTTCTTCCAAGGCCCACTATCCCCAGACCGATCGCGACCGCGACCGTCATCAAAGAGATAGAGCCGCCTCTTGTGCCTTCTCTCCGTCCTCGACAGGCACATGGCTTCTGGCCTGTCGTCAGCCCTCCCGCCGCCCTCCCCAACTCCTCCCCTTCTCGTCGAGCCACCCCCTGAGGACGACAACCCCGACGCCGATATCGAAATCGACCTCGACTGTGCACTCGACCGCCCACTCTCGCGTTCCAGCGCCACCAGCAGCACCGCCAACTGGAATGACATAGGCGGCCTGCTGCCCTTCCGGAACAGCGCCGCCCTGCTCAGCCCCGACACGCCACGGAGCATCCGCCGGCCAGCCAGCAGCATGTCGACCGAATCAGCCCTCTCCGAGAATGGGCTCGTCCCAGCGGCCCCGGCCCCGGGGCCCTTCAACTTCCAGACTCAGTCCATGTCCACCTCGCCCGTGAGGTCGGTATGTATTCCCCCTCTTCCCAATCCCCCACACACCGATACACACAAATATGTACGGGCCAAGCTTGACTGACACTGACGGCGACGTGCAGAATATCGGCCAGCGTCGAGGTCACCGCTACAAGCACTCCTCCATAAGCGCCCAGCACCAGATCTTCCAGGAGCCACCACCGCGACCGCCGCCTGTCCTCCCCGCCTCCCTCCCCGTGCCCACTCTCAAGGAAGCCTGGGGCTCGATGCACAAGGAGCAGCGAGCCCGGCTGTACTGGAGCCTGTGCCACGCCTGCGTGGCTGGGTACGTCTTCTTCAGCGCGGGCGGCTCACTCGCCATGACGGCGCTATCCCACCTGGTCTTCTTCGACGTCGGGTCCGCCGCCATCTGCGTGTGCGTTGACGTGCTGGGCAACTTCGAGGTGTGGCGGCGCAGTTCCATACGGCACCCATTCGGCCTACAGCGCGTCGAGGTGCTAGCCGGCTTCGCCATGAGCGTCTTCCTGGTTTTCGGCGGGTTCGACCTGCTGAGCCACAATTTCAAGCACGTCCTCGAGAGCATGGGTTCGCATGCGCCGCATCATCCACACGGTCACAGCCATGGCCACGGAGGGGGAGAGGGCGAGGGCGCCGTCAGCGCCGGCACCGTCGACCTGGCCACCCTCGCCGCAGTGCTGAGCACCCTGGTGTCGGCGTACGGGCTCAAGAACCACGCGCGCATCCGCCGCGTCATGCGGCCCAGCTACTTCTCGTCCTTCCTGCCCGAGATCCTCGCCAACCCCTTCCACTCACTCACGCTCTTCTTCAGCTTCCTGATGCTGCTGCTCCCCGCGCTGCCGGTAGGGTCATTCGCCTGGCTGGACAAGCTCATCTGCGTCGCCATCGCCGTGTCCATGTTCGTGCTCGGCATGCGCCTTGCCGTGGCCCAGGGCCTGATGCTGCTCATGTCGTACAACGGCCGGCAACACAGGTCCACCAGCAGTGCCTCCTCTTCTGCAGCGGTAGCGACGACAACAGCCCTCGGTATCGGCGGCGGGAAGAACAGCAACAGCGGCGGCAGCGACGCCGACGCGGTCGTGCGCGAGATCGAGTCCGAGCCCAACGTCGCGCGCGTCGAGGAGGCCCAGTTCTGGCAGGTCCACTACGGCCTGTGCATGGCCACGCTCAAGCTGTGCGTCGCGCGCGGCTGCGACGACGCTGCCCTCAGCCTGCTGCGCCAGCGTGTCGCCCGCATCGTGCAGAACAGGCTGGGCGAGGGGTACGGCAAGGGAGGGGCGCTCCGGTGGGAGGTTACGCTGCAGACGAGTACGGACGCGGCGTGAGTGGAACGGGGCATACAGATTTTCATTTGTCTTCCATTCTCCTTTTTTGGTAGCAAGCGTTAGAAGTGTATGAGGTATTATCATGAATGACAATTTGCATCTTGACGGGCCAAATAGACGTTTATGCTGAAAGGTGGTCCAGCTATTAAGGGGTCGCTTGTGAGTGAGGCCTCGGAAGCGAAAAGCATACATTTCTTGACTGGCATGACATGTCGATGAGGACAACAGATTTCATATGTTCTACAGACTCGTAAGCCCAGACGACCACGCCATACATGTACGACCCTGAGGTTGAGTATCTTTCTATTTGCTCGCAGCTTCAAATGTATACATGTGGTGTAAGTAAAAGTAAGCTGGGTGGGAAGGAGGAGCCCAAACATTTCAACTCAATGAACGACGACCACCGGCCACAGAAACTCCTGCCCGCAAAAACAACCCCACCGCTGTGATGAGATGTATACATCATAAGTCATGGCGCCCAACGAACCAACACCAGGCATGTCTGTTCTTCCGCGGATGAATCAGACACGCCTACCCGAGGTCGGTTTCAGATCAATCGGTCAGTCAGTCAGTCAGTTAATCAGAACAAACCCCACCGCCCGCCCTTCTCCTTCCTCCCCTCGCGTTCCTTCTTGGCCCCGCCGCCGCCGCGCGGGCCCTCGAGCTGCCTGAGGCTCTCCATCTTGTCGAGGACGAGCTCGAGCAGCTCCTTACGGCGGATGACCTCGAGGTGGCGCTTGATCTTGGGGTCCTCCTTGGCGAAGCGCTCGATCTGGTCGTCTGAGAGGTGGCGGCCCAGGCGCGCGTCGAGCTCGCGCGGGAAGTTGTAGTAGAACTCGGACAGCAGCTCCACGTTGAGGAACAGCACCGCCGTCTGCGCCAGCTTGGTCGCCGCCGCGTCCAGGAACACCTCCGGACAGTAGTACTTGTTCTTGAGGTCCTTGCACTGCCGTGACTTGACCGCCAGCAGCCGCATGTTGATGATGTCTGCGCGGTCCCGCAGGAAGACTGCCTCTCGGCCTGGGTGTGCGTGGTGTGTCAGCTTAATTGGATTCGCAGGGAAAGGGGGCAAAAGAGGGAGTCCAGTTTTTCTTCAGTCGACTTACCCTTCTCCAGTAATGCGGCACTGAACCCGCCCGCGCCGATCCTCCCGTCGCCCTCGACAATGATATCTCCCTTTCGGCACTTATCCACGAAGCCCATGACCTCCTTCATCTTCCTGCGCCCACCAACCGCCTTCTCGAGGTTGGTCAGGGCGCTCTGACATGCGTCCAGCTCACCCTTGAGCACACCGCCGACGTGCTCCCGGCCGGTGGTCCACTCCCTGTCCTCGACATCGATCTCGAACTTGTACGGCTTAATACAGTTCTCCACCTGGTCACTCGTGCTGTAGAATCTCTCGTTCAGAATGCTCGACGCGGCATTGGTGATCGCCTCGCGTGCAAAGGGGTGGTTCGCGAACGTTGACTGCGCAATCAACTGCTCGATGTGCTGCTGGATCGTCGTGGCCACGGCACTGGTAGCCAGACGACCCACACCAAGCTTTGTGAGCGACGCCGTGGAGGCGTCGAGCTGGCGGTGCCAGTAGGGGTTGTTAGGGTCGGCTTTGGGTAGGTCGGCGAGGGTGTCTACCTCAGGTGGTGGTTGCGAGAGGTCGGTGATGGGCTTGTTCCAGTAGCGGAGAGCGAGCAGATCCAGGACGCGCTGATCGAGCTCCTTCTTCAGTATTTCCTTCATTTGCGGGCGGCCGAATTCCTCGGTGAACTGCTTGAAAGAGTGCTTGAAGGCGTCGAGGCTTTCTGCAAGGTACGACTCTGCTGACAGCGGCCGGTCATTGTACTGGACCTTGAATTCGTAGGTGGCCTCCTCGAGTTCCTGTTTTATCGCATCGTGCGTGCTCTGCAGGCTGGCAGACATGGTTTGCTCGAGCACGTGCATCAACTTCTTCCGCAGGGTCAGTGTGCCTAGGCTCAGGCCGACGTCGGGACCGAATTCCAAGGGGTGTGACGAGAAAAAGGCATTCTCGTTCTTGGCGATTGTGGTAGTGAGGTTGCTGCCCAATCCCTTGTTGAACAGCGTCTTCACGCCAGGTGCGCGAGAGACAACCCCAACATATCCAAGCCTGAGGGGATACTGCTTATCTGACAGTATGGCCGCGCCCCGTATCGGGTCCACCAGATCCATCTTGGTGACGACGCCGATCGTTCTCTCGCCCCTAGGGTCTACCCTCCTGCTCGCCCGTAACGCTGTGGAATTGGCCAGGTCGACATCTGCCGCAGATATTGCGAGGATGACATTGGGCGCTTGGATGTATTTGTCGCATAATTCTGCGATCTTCGACTTGAGTTCCAGGGGTTGGTTTTGGCCGACGACCTGGATGTAGCCCGGTAGGTCGATCAAAGAAAGATCTGGCACACTGGGAGAGTAGATGCTCAGTCTGATGGGGTCGTCAGAGACACACTCGCTGTCCGGGACCGCCAGGTTGAGGTCCGTAAGTGTCCTTTGAACGGAGGAGAAGTCGGATGTCTTCAAGCCCAGGTCCGGGAACTCGCCGTACTCGGACTTGGAATCGGGGGTGTTGACCAAAGTGAGCTCGATCGGCCGTCTTGTGACCATGTTTGAGCCCTTGGGCAGGAACTCATGGCCCACAATGGCCTCGAGAACCGAACTCTTCCCTGAGGATTGCGACCCGATGACAACAATAGACGGCAGTGTGAGGGCACTGGACTGGCCGACGTTGGAGAGGATATTCCGAATCTCGATCATTTTCTTGGTGAGGACCATCATCTGATCGTCGTTGGCGATTTCCTCTCCTTCTCTCTCGTCGTCCACGATCTGGGTCCACGCGCCTGCTGCGGCCGCACCGGTCATGACCTTGCCAGACCTGCTGTGTTTTGGCGGCTCGTCTCCGGGGTCTGGTCCTCCTTTGCCCGTGCCTATATCCTCTTGTAACCGAAGCACCTTCTGCATCCACTCTGGGAGCTCGACCGACTCTTTCGTATTGTCCCATCCTCTCCCTATTTGGCTGGCGATGTCCTTCGCACCGCCAAAGATATCTGATGCGGTGTCGGCCGCGGTCGCCTTCATGTTCTTGTACATTTCGGACGCCGAGTTGCTGACCTCTGTGCCCACGTTAGCACCCAGCTCCACAAGCCTCGTTGTCCATGTCCAATCTTACGTATCGCCTGGTATTGCACCCACGCGACTCCGCCTATCATCAGCCCACCAAACATGGCGGGTATCCTCACGAACTTGACCAGCAGCCTGGGCAGGAGCCTCGCGAACGAGGCGTTCCGCACGATGACGGCATTGTGGAAGGCACTGCTGGGGGGCCAGACGCGCTGCCTCGTCGCGTGGATGGCTGCGTCGGCGCGTTGAAGGCCTCCGGTGGGGAGCCGGAAGCGGTGGTAGTGTCGGACGGCGGCTTCAGGGAGGGCGGCGGCGACGCGGCGCGTGGTAAGGGGCAGTATCCCCGCTGCCAGGAGCCGTCCACTCATGGTGGTGGCGGTTGAAGAGGACGCAGGGAGGTTGGAGATGGCATAAAAAGCTTGGAGACGATGAACGTTTGGCTGACTTGTCCACTTGGTTTCCCTGGGGGGGAGGGAAAGCAGAGGTCTTCAACAGCAGTTGTAAAGGTGTTGCATGAATGAATGCAGCCAGCAAATGCGGTCACAAGTGGCGTGTGGAGCTAGCTACGCAGACGCATAATACACACCAGCCCAGAGGTGCCGTGGGGGTTCGGTGAACATGGGACACTCGGCACCCAATTTCGGCGGGGCTTTCTACTCTTCCCTCAACACAGCAAGCATTATCCATTCCTGGGCTGGCCTCACCCCATTTACCACCTCTTGGAATCATACAAGTGCCTACGTTCTGTATCTCACATTGGTGTGGCTTTTCCAGTTGCACATAATAACGACAGCAATACTCATGGAACCAACTAAAACAGATCATCAGAACCCACGCACGTCCATGCATTGAATGCAACCCTCTAGCCAAGTATTATCAAGTTCCACACAGGGTTCTGCATGTCCATATCCAATGCCTGACAATTTATTAGTCCGCATGAGCGTGTTTTTGGTCGCCGCCGCCGTTGAGCGAAAAGTCCCGGCACGCACGCCGTGGTCGCCCCACTCCGAACCCCAACCCTCTCCGGGCCCAAATACCCCCTCCCCCCTTCCGTCCATCCATCCCGGGCCAACATCTTCAGCATCCGGGAACAAAAAAACAAAAAGAGGAACCGCCGTGGTTCGAACACGGGACCCCAAGATGTATACCAGATTGGATTGCAATCTTATGCTCTACCGCTGAGCTACGGTTCCACTGTGACAAACTTTCCATGATTGAATTATTCATATTGATTCAAAATCCCTTTGGGAGAAGCCATCCCGGAATCCACGGCCGCCCCCAAGGTAGTATCACCCGGACAGAAATTCATCCAGCTAGGCAACCAGGTCAAGAGTCCGTTAGCCTTCCCATCTGACTTCATCTGAACTATCTCCAATGGATTTTGAAATGCATGCTGCCGCTGTCAAACTGCCATTGGGGACAGCCCCGACTTCCACTTCGGTCGCACACACGGGTTTGGCGATGACGGGTGCTCTGCTCCTTGTGCGACAAATAAGATCGAGATTGTCATTCTGCAAGTGCAGGAAGCTTACTTCAGTGACGGCTTGTGAGTTCCAACTGACTCTGCTGACAGGCTGTCCATGTCGGGCTTTGACGAGACTATCCTCAACTCCCGCAACACATTTATCCTCAAAAGCTATGTCCAGAGATACGGGAACGCGTACGTGGACTACGTCGTCAATGAGACGCGGTACATCACTCGCACCATAGGTACAGCAAATTATCTAGATAGAGCGCATCACCCAGGCTTAGTTCACACACTTACCACCCAACACCCACACCCAAATACCCATACACTTAGCACCCACACGCTTACACACCCAGCACTTACACACCCAACTCCCACACACCCAACTCTTACACATCCAACTCTTACACACCTACACATCCAACACCTACATACCCAACTCTTGCACACCTATCACCTACACACCTAATACTTACACGCCTAATTCGCACAACTAGTTTATACACCTAGGGATAATTAGATAAGCTAATTGGGTATGCGAATAAGGTGTTGAGTGTGGGAATTCTCACATGGTTTAGTGCTGGCGATGTATTAATGTTACCCCCTTTTTGCAGTGCGAATCTCTGATTGCAATAATAATACAAATCAGTCTTTCTCCAGTCCGAACACTGGTAATGCTTCCGTATTGCCTGTAGTCTGGTAACCCGCTCTCAGACGATGCATTCCAAACAGTGCTACTCCCACAACATACATATTCTTTTAGACTATCAGAAAACCAGGCACCCTCAATGAAACATCAAATTGCCTGCTCCGGACTTGCATTAAAGTGAAGCCATATTATCCAAATCAAGAGCTCTTGACTGGCTCGCATACCCTACCTAGGTAGCATGTCTACTGTGTCATTTGTGCCACTGCTTGGTCGCAGAAGTGTTGAACCAGACCCAAATTTTATGATGTGCCTTGCATCTACTGGAAAGGCGTTATGAGTTCTTCTGAACGCTTCTCATACGGCAGTGAAAATGGTCCTGCACCGAATTCAGTCCTGAGTGGGGACACTACTACAAGAGACTGAAATTAGACCAGACTCAACACCATGAGTTACGAGTTACGAGGCTGCTGTAGAAGTAGTATACGAGGAGGAAATTGAGCGGAAATGTGGAAGTATTAGCTGGCATTCAGTCGACCTTGCTACCTGTACCTGGGGTATTAGATGGTAGGTTTGATGTTTCTACAAACGTGGACCCAGGACAGGTTTCTTTCAATCACGAACAACGATAGGTGTCCTGGTGGACACAATGATCAATGTTGACCCAGCCATCACAGATTCATCCACCATATGCGCTTGATATTGGACAGCACTGGAACAGATAGATCATCGATGGAGTGCCAGAAGATCTGACGGCCCATGTGACAACGTTTATGGGACTTCCACGTACGTTGCTTTACAGCAGGAAAGATTCGAGAGGTCCTCCATCCAGTACCCTGTTACGCCTTTTTCCAAAGTCGGCTCGTGATTTAGGAATGAGGAAAGCACCAGCGCATCGACGACTAGAAGCAAGCGCCGAAATAAAAGACTCTGTATCAAGAGCAACGGGTGAAACCATAGGATTTTGCTGTTCATGGACTCAGAACAGGTGAGCAGACCATATTTTGTGACGGCTCACAGAGACATGGCAGACGTGACAGTCCTTTCCGTCCCCTGGGCAGCCATGAACATCATCAAAGGTGTCCATTGAAACTCGGACGTTTCCCCGTGACTCACCGGTTATTGTGTTCCACACTGGCGTATTCTTGTCATCCTTTTTGTTACCTGAAGCTATGTGGAGTGGCAATACCCAATACGATTCTCCTCCAATAGGATCGATCTCTCCCATCGATGATACTTTGCCCTTGAATCTTGGAGCATTGTCACTTAAGCACAGAGACATGACCTGAAGCCGGTGATGCCTTTCGCTGGACGGTATCTCATGTGCTCGGGTCAGAGAGGAACAAACTGCTTTGAGCAAGCTGAGCCCACCTGTCACGAAACCTCATCGCTGGTCCTGGCGACCCGCGACTCAAGGGGAGGCAGTGCATCTACCCGCAGCACACACCGCCGACAAAACGCGGTAAGAGGGAGCATCCCACCCGACAAGCTGGAACTGCCAGCCGACGTAGCGCCACCTGCCCGGCAGATCCGAGCATGCCCACCAAAGGAAGCCACGATCACCACTCGGTGACGACGACGGGTGCCATCTCTGCACAGAGCACCGCGCCAATCTCAAAAAGCACATCTCTCGCTCTCGCTGAGCACGGGGCGAAATGTGAGCTATCCCATCGCGCGCGACTCATGGCACATGAGGGCAGCGCCAAGCTTTCCTGGCAGCCGACCCAGAAGGCGGGCGAAGGTGGCGGCGATCATACTGGCGACGCCGAGCCCGGAACGGGGCCTGGCCTGGGCAGGAGCAGGAGCAGCCCGCCCGGTCGCCCTCGCGCTCCGTGCTGTCGAGCCCAACGGCGCTGCAGCCCCGCGGGGCAGATGCGGCAAATATCGCCTGTGATGCTGCGAGGCGGTGCTAGCCGAACAGCCGTGAAAAAAAAAGGGGGGGGGGGGGGGGTTTACTACACGTGTAGGTAGTACATGTAGGTTATGGTTGTGGTTGTTGTAATGTGGGCGTAACGTTGGTGGGCGCTGTCATGTGTTGCGCAAGCTACGGGATGCTCATCTCGGTGCAATATGAGGGCTCCTGGGTTTGTGCGTTGGATGGGCACATGCGTACCCACTTTGTCATCCCGAGGAGTATCTTGCACCGCTGCTCGCAGGAGGCTGCCGTCACTTGTTGCATGATCAAGTCGGGTTTGCTCCGGAGGGCAATTGGCGCTAGCTGGCCATTATTAGTATGTAGGGCATAGCATGACATATTGCAAAAGGGGATGGGGTCGACAGAGAGAGAGAGAAAGAGAAAGAGAAAGAGAGGCCTGCGTATGAGAAAAGTGGTCTGGTCGAGTCAGGGGACGAAGTGAGGGCTGTGCAGCGACATTGGCTGTCATCTTTAACCGGCTAGCTCCATGCTGGGAATGAGAATAGCATCAAATGAGTGCCGGAAATAGGTGGTGTCTTGTCGTGGGCGGCAAAATGGTCAATCAGCCGGCGTTCCATCCTGCCAAGAGGAGGAAACTGTGGCTGGCGGGCGCGAAAGTGGCCTCGGAAAGTTCCCCCTTCCACAACGACGGAGGTGGCAACCAGCAGTCTGACGATAGATGATGGGAACGTGGAACGTGGAGCGTGCAGTATTGCGCACAGAGATGCTGGAGATCGGTCGTGAGCCGAGCAGGCAACTTTAGGGTCCGTCCCCCCTGGCGCCCCGTCCCATAAGCCCTCACCTCGACTAACAGGGGACACCCCACAGCCATCCCGGGTGCTGGGCAAGGGTGCAAAAAGGGGAGGAGTGGTGGTGATTGGCCGCGTCGGCCCTATGAAACGCGTTCACAAAGCTTGGCACAGCCTTCTCCTGCCAACATGAGGGCCGGGCTGGCTGTGCCGGGCTTGACAGTCGCCCCTTTCTCATTTAGACGCACCCATGTGTACCGTGAGAGCTGACGCACATCGTCCGAACTTGTGCTTGTTGCCGGCAATGCTATTGTTGAGCCTGTTTCTATCTGCCCATCTATCTCTTATTTTTGCGCCCGGCGATTGACATTACAGGTTCGTCTCGTGATGCCCTATCGGAGGCAACCATTATCGACAGGGTCTCAATCTTGCGAGGGACAGCCCCTGGCCTGTGTTTGCCAGGCGCCGTCTTGTGTGTGGTCCGACCTCCTTCAAACAGACAGGCAGCCAGACAGGCAAGGTACTGGTGTAATAAGAGTGCCACCGAGTACCGAGCACATGTCTCTGAGACATCATGTCTCCGGGAGAAGCTGGCTGGTGCCAGGTGCCGGTGCCGGTGCCAGTGCCAATGCCAGACGCTGTGGCGGGGGAGGGAGGTGAACATGAGATTGTGGTCAGACAGCCCGGGCACAGGCGTGCGGGATAGATACACTACAGATTGGGTACAGATTACAAGACCGTCGTCGCATCTCCGTCTTGTATCCATCTGATGAGGCACTAGCACGACCACGGCTCTGCCAGCCCTGCCAGCTCTCCTAATGACGGGCTGCTGGATCTGGTCGGCGAGGTGGTATATTGCAAATTGTGAATCGTAAACCGGTGGATGCAGCTCTGATTGTGCTCACTGCTGATCAGTGATCGCCAGCTGCTGTCTACCCTGTATCCCCAGCCTGCCACGGCTGCCCAGTGCTGAGCGCCCAGCTCCCTTGGGCGGTGGGAATTTAGATCTTCGTGGCCGACCCCGCCAGCCCCCTTGACAGACCTTCCTCTCAGCCTGCGATCCATGCCCATCATCCCTTTTCTTGCGGCACGTCTGAGTCGCTGCGCACCCAATGGGCGCGCACGTCTGCGCTGCTCACCTTCTACGTGTGACAGCTGCTGTGCCGGGCAAGCAAGGCAGACAAGGAAGAAGATGAAGATCGTGAAAAATGTGCCTGGTTGGTCCTGCCACGTCCTGTGCGACCATGACTACGTTTGGCTGAGGGAAAGGAAGGAGAGATCTGTCGGGCTGTCTCTGCCCCTCCACCTCGTACCGGCCATGTCACTCCACGCGCCCAAACCGCAGCCGCGGTACAAGCTGAGGTACGCAATTAAACTGCATCTTTCGCATCTCGTCTCATTGATTGGCCCGTACTACCTAGGTATGGTAGATCATGTGCCCCAGTACGCAGGTACGCAGGCAGGTACGTCGACAACTCCCGAGGTCGGCTCGACCAATTAACTCTATCTGCCCCAAGCGGCTCAGGATCTTGCCCGACCGCCTGCCCTGTCACTTTTCCCTGTCCCTGTCCATCAAGGGGCTCTCCTACCACACCAGAACACTGCTAGCCCGCTAGAGCCCGACGTTCAAACACAACCACAACCACAGACTTCTGAGCACCCTGGGAGGAGAACATCCTGGGCAGACCTTTAATTTATCTCGTGTACACCAGCCGCCTAGTGAACGATGCGTGGCATCACCAGGGGATGCGATGCGATACGATACGATGTGATGCTCGGGGGCAAACAGCGTCAGCAGCAGCGTCAGCAGCCTCAAGTTGAGGACAGTCGGGTTGTGCCATTGGCCCCTTCCTGTGTCCCCTCCTGTCCCATCGTGTGTCCACCGTATTTGTCCTGTCTGACTGTGCAACGACGGCGGGCTCCTCGTTCCTCTGCAATGCCCATGCCATGCCGTGGGAGCGAGGGAAGCGGGAGTGCAGTACCGTTCGTTCACCCCGTCGTCCTTCCTCGATGAGGCAGACTGCCCGTCCGGGATAGTTTACCGTGCTGATGGGTCCCGCCGCTGCTGGCCGGCCCTCCCATGCATCCACATCCACATCCCAAGCCTTCCCACTGCGGATCCCAAGTGCAACGTCCAGGGTACGATGTCCTCTGCGAGGTGTGAATGGCAGGTGTTCGTCTCGTCTCCTTTCCTCCCCACTGCACTACGCGAAACGGAATGAAAATCGCCCCATCCTGCGCCCCGTTGTTTCTGGTCTTGGGCCTGCTACTGTAAAGTGTGTCTCTCCTGCCCTCCTTCCCTGACTTACACCCTCACCTTCCTCCGTTTCTTGCCCCCAGCTTCTCCCTTTTGGCATCTCCCTCTTGCCAAACTTTCTGGTTCAGGTGCACCCCCGACGGTCTCTACCCTTCCGCTCCTTCCCTGTCTCTGACTCTCCCACTCACTCTCTCCACCCCTGCAACGCAATACATTCATTCACTCTTGAATAAGTCGCCGCCCCCCTTTTCTCCGAGGTAGACTTCTTCTCTCACCCACAACGCTCTCTACCACCGACCGGACGGAAAACCGTGACACTCCTTTGTAAATTCAACCACTCTCCTTACTTGGCCCTAAGCATTCGTTCGTTTCTAAGTGTTGATCGCATCACTCAGTTGGGAAAGTTGAGGACTCTGCACGAACCAGTGCCTTGGTGGAAATCGCAACCAGACTTTGAACTTCGGAATCTTTGAGGAAGAAGGGAATCGCGACCGTTCAGTATCCTTACGACAACTATCCTTCGACGTGGTGTTGGAAACATACACAAGTGTTGGCGCAAACGAGTTTAACAGCTACCTTACCTACCCGCCCGCCCCCTGACATCCAGTTTGGGAAGCAACAATCTGCCAACTTTGGAAGGCATCGACCGAACCATCTCTGACCGATTATCGGATCGCATTATTCGAAGGACTCTGTGGCAATCTTGTTTGGGCCTGGAAGTGTCGAAAGAAATCAATCCATCATCGCGCTTTGAGGAGGCTGGACTACAACGGCTTTGTCTCAGACTCAGCCACCACCCGCCCACGACGATCAGCACTATCGAGGTCAGTACTTGGCTTATGGACGACTTCTGAATTGTTCTTACCCCTGTTGCGCTGTGGATTGGAGATGGATTGGGAGTCTCTGTGCATTCATGTTTGTGGTTGAGAGGAAGAGTAAGCCATGGTGGTCTGGTGATCGTGATGATCTGTGTCTCATGAGGCCACCAGACTCGAAAGCTTCCACCTTCAAAGTGGAGGGGACTCTGCCTTGACAGACTTATCACATCCAAGTGGACTGGAACAGTATCGCAGAGCCTGTTGTCATCAAGCAACCAAGTGCCACACAGTCCTTGTCGAGCTCTGCCCAGCTGGCAGGCTGGTCGGTCGCATCCTAGCTATCACCCCTCTAGCTTGTGTCGACAGCAAGCTTGGGAATCAACACACACAGCACCCCCTCTGCCACCAACCACTCACGTCCTCGAGAACCACCCCCGTCTTTTCATTCACGATACAGTTGTCTCTCGGACCCTCGCCCCGGTCACTTTCCCTGACACCAGTCAGAGCGCACCTGTTGAAGTGCAAGCAGTGTGCCTACTTGGGTCCAACCTGCACGTCCACATCTTGCATCGCAGGTTTGTCAGTCCTCTTGACGTGACAGCAACCACAGCCACCTTTTTTGGACATCATCATCATCAGCCTTCTTGTGTATATTGATTGTTTTGGTTCACGTTTGCGTTCATTTCCGTTCAGTCAGTCGGCGCGATACTGACCATCAACCAGCTCTTCCAAACTCCGCGTTTAACGCAAAAACAATCAACATGAACTCCAAGCAGCTCCTTTCCCTCTACGCTACGGTCGCCCTTTTCGGCGGCCACGCCGCTGCCTTCTGGCGCATGGAGTGCCGTGGCACCACTGGACAGGCTCGTATCGACCCTTTGGTAAACCCAGGAGTCGCCGCGGACCACGCCCACCAGATCTTCGGCTCCGGCGGTGAGTTCCCATCCCCCATGTTTTGACGAGACAAGCAAGCGACACGGCTGACAAATAATCTTGCAGGTTTCGGAGAGACCACCGACTACGACTCCCTGGTTGGGTCTAACTGCACCTCGTGCGCCGCCACCCAGGACAAGTCCGCCTACTGGAGCCCCATCCCCTACTTCAAGTCTGACTCTACTGGCGAGTATGAGGCTGTCGGTAATGTCGGCGGTATGCTCGCGTATGTTATGCTGTGACCATTGCCAGCCCATGATTGCTTGCTGACGCAACGTTACAGGTACTACTTCTTGAACGGTGAGGACATCAAGGCTTTCCCCAAGGGCTTCCGCATGATCGCCGGCGACACCAAACGCCGCAACTACACTGTCGGCAACGGTGACTACCAGGCGCCCGACCCTGACAAGTCTCTTTGGCGCTCCCTGAACCAGGTCACCCAGGGTGATCTGGCCCAACGTGCACTTGGTTTCAACTGCCTGGACTACTCCAAGGCTGCCGAGGGCTCTCTGTACCGTCATTTCCTGCCCTCCAAGGACTACATCGATGCGAACTGCCCCGACGGAATCCGCTTCGAGCTCATGTTCCCATCTTGCTGGGATGGCAAGAACCTGGACTCTGACGACCACATGAGCCACGTTGCCTACCCGGATCTGGTCATCAACGGCGACTGCCCGTCCGATTTCCCTGTGCGTCTGCCTGGTCTGTTCTACGAGACCATTTGGGACATGGCCAAATTCAGCGACAAGGACGGAATCTTCATCATGTCCAATGGTGATCCTTACGGTACGTACTTGCCTCTTTTAGTGAGAAGCCTAGTAAAGACTGACCAAGATACTGCAGGTTTCGGCTACCACGCTGACTTCATCATGGGTTGGGAGGAGAACGACAGCTTCAAGCTTCAGGATGCCGTCGACATTTGCACCTCTAGCTCTGGAACAGTTCAGGACTGCCCTGTCTTCAACCTCCAGGACCAGTCGGCCATGAACGAGTGCAAGATTGACCTTCCTGGCGAGCTCCTGAAGGAGGATGTTCTTGGCCCGCTGTCAGACCTCCCCGGAGATGTTCAGGTCTTCTGGGGCCCAGGTCCCGCCTCTGGCTCTCCCGCCGAAGCAACCGCTCCCAGCTCCGTCGTTCTGCCCACGCTCACCTACTCTGCTGGCTCAACTGCGTCGGTCAACGGCAGCTTTGTCCCAGGTAATGCCTTCAAAGCCGCCAGCACCCCTCAGCCTGAGCCCATGGCCGATGCCGTCAAGGGAGCTGCCGTCGTCACCCCTGCCATCTCTGCCGCGCCCACCGGCGCTACGGAGATCCCTTACTCGACGGCCTACGAGACCACCACCCTTGCCGATGGCACTGTCATGGTCAACGAGGTGGTTTACGAGGAGGTGGTTGACTACGTCACCGTCGCCACGACTACCACCGTCTACGTGGACCCCACCGAGGCCCCTGCGGCTCGCCGCCGAAGCGCTCATGCCCACCACCGCCGCCACGTTCACGGCCGCGCGCACTAAGCTTGGGCAAGATACTCCTTGTCTGATGGACATTTGACCGTTTTTGCGATCTTCCTGCATACTGCATACGAAGGAGCGTTTGTTTGGCCTTATTCTGTAAACAAATCTGCCGATGAGATGAACTCCCGATTTGAACTTCGATTCTTTTTTCCCCTTGTTCTTTTTCCCAACCGGTTCTTGTCTTTTCTTTCACAGGCCATTGACCGTGCTCCACGGCCGGATAGGCTGGGGAGGCTCAGGCAGTTGCAGGCATCTCACGCCAGGGTTCAATGGCAGGCAGATTTGTTCATCTCGTGGAGGGATCGATCAATGGAGGCTTTCGAAAAATCCAGTCGGCAGAGACCAAAATTCACAACCAGTACCCACAGAATAAGAAAAGCGGCCAGCTGCCTCCGGTGCAAGTAGCATTGACTGCGAACCCATTAGGGTGGCCAAACCAGCAACAAAAAAAAGTGCCTGGGAGGGGGTTGTTCTGCTGTTTCCACAATTGGCGTTTCACGATGAGAGGCATCATCAGGCAAGGGCGAGCATCCGTGGTCTGGTAGCATTTCTTGCATTGCACGACGACTTGATGAGATACCTCTGATACCTTCGATTCATAAATGAGTTTGGCATAGCACTTCCGATTCCTTCCTACTAGTAGGTAGATCAATTGAAGCTGCTTCCACACACGATCAAAGAGAGCCTCTCCGATATGCCTGTAGAAGTAATTGAGCGTAGGTTCCTCCCTGGACGGATGTAATCTTGGTAGTCTCGGTGAACCCTCGCCAGGGTTGGGGGTGCGGAGTGTGGTGGTGTAACACGGCCAAGGCTGACTGAAAGAGCGAGGAAGCTCACGATTGATCTACTGCCTAACCCGACCCTCTGGCCTTTCCCAGACGGCCGGTCCGCCTGCGATGGACAAATCAGCCCAGCACACATGACATGTGGCGGCGGCGGCGGGGTGGAGAGGTCGACCCGTTTCTGGAACCCCGAGAAGGGTAGGCGGCCGTCCCAACGGGCTGCGAGGTGTCTCAAGTGTCTGGAATGCGATCGCCTCTAGCAACGGCTCTGGCAACTCATTCCAGGCAGTCACCCAAGGCATGACGAAAAAGAGCAGAGCTGTTTATTCCCTCTTGTAGCATGCTGCTGCCGTCTTTTACCTCGTCCCCGGCCACCATGGCGGACGCCTCTTCTGTCATCTTTCCTTTCTCTTTTGCCTCCCGAATTTTTGTGTTTCCCACCCACCTAATACTGTAGTGTTTCTTTTTTCTTACTGTCGCTCTCTCTAACTCTTCTGCTATACCCTCACTGCGAATAGTAGTGCGGGATTCTGAGCTGAACATTTATCCCATCTATCACGTTCATTGGTTTTCGTTGGGGTAGTCCGGCTTTTTCAGCCCTGCTGCTTACACGGAGTGAATAGCCTCGCTTACCCGGAATGGCCTCCTGACTGGCCCACGCCATCACGGCCACCAACAACAGCAGAAATATCTCACATAACAAACCTAAAATCCTGTGGACAAGACGAAAATTCAACAAGTGGCCTGGGGCTTGGAGGGTAAATAATCATAATGGCTGACCTGTCAGCCGCGGTGGACAATCTCAAGGACGGCGTCACGGATGCAAGCAAGCGTGTGGCGGCTGTGCTGCCGCTGTGGGTGATCATCGTCATCGTGGTGGTGGGGACGGGCCTGCTCGCGCTCCTGGTCGGGCTGTGCTGCCTGTGCGCGTGCCGCCGGCGCCGTGGGAGGAAGGTGGCGGGCGACGCTGCCAACGGGTTTTCGGATATCCACCGCCACCCTGCCACGGCGCTGCCGTCCGATGGGGGCAGCCGGAGCAGCGAGGAGGGGCCGGGCGGAAGGCACAAGCTGCGCAAGCGGCCGCCGTCCTCCTCCTCGTCTTCTTCCTTTGGGAATGACAATGATGGTGTTGTTGTCGACGACAGGGGCGTCGTGGTCGAGGAGGTCGAGGAGGGGCGCGGGCGCGGCGAGCCTGAGTTCCGGAACATGGCGTCTGTGCCTGCGCGGAAGGCGAGCCTGCTGGCTATCCCGCCGATGCTGACTGGTGCGCTGAGGGCGAGCATTGTGTCGATCGGTGGAGGACGGAGGTCAGCAGGAAGAGGAGGGAGTGGTGGGCTCAACATCAACAACGACGAAGCCGCGGACCAGGGGAGAAACTGGCACGGGAGGCGGACTTCCGAGGCGTGGATCGACGACGACGCGCTGCACGGGCCCGAGGTGAGCCCGACCAAGCGGTCGTCGGCGGCGAGGAGGAAGAGCAGGATGAAGTCGTGGCGGGCGTCGATCCGAGAGAGCTGGCCGCTCAAGACGCCGAGCCCTACGCTGCCGCACCTGCCGCACTTTGGCGGGAACGACGGGAGGCAGGCCGGCGCCGCCGCCCACGAGAGCGTCGCTTTGTTCCAGTACAACAAGAACTACGGCGGCACCGACGGCGACCGCCTCGTGCCCAACCTCCCGTCGCCGCTCAGTGCCGCCGCCAGGCAGCGCGATGGCCAGCCTTCGCCGCCCAGGCAGCTCCCCAAGCCGCCGAGCCAGGCCCTGCTGGCTGCCAGCGCCAGCACCGCGGGCCTCAGGCCGGTGAGCAACTTGTACGGCGCGGGACCGGCGGTGAGTAACTCTCCTCGGAGCAGAGGGCTGAGCTACTACAAGTACGAAGACACGGACCAGCCGGTCAAGAGCTCCGGCTCGCCGCGCTCGAAGACGGAAAGAGGCGTGGGAGTGGGCACGGGGGTCGTGGGGCCGAGAGGCAGAAGGCCCTCAGCGGACTCGACCATGTCGCAGATCCTGAAGGACACGGAAAAGAGGCTGCAGGACGGCATGGTGACGGGAGTGGCGACGCGCAACAGGTCGGGAAGCAGCCCCTCAAAGCGCACACCCGGGCTGGGGCTCGGGCCGGACGCGGTGACTGTGGCCATGGTCAGGTCCCGGTCGCGCACGCCAAGCCCTACAAAGCCGTCCAGGATGCCGCATGGCGCGGCATCGTCTCACGTCCGCCAGGGCTCGCAGGCCTCGTTCGCGTCCGAGCCCGACAGCCTGGTTGGCGACGACACCCCCTCGCTCCCATATCACGGCCTGACGAGCCCAAGCCGGTCGAAGCCCTCGCAGCAGCTGTCGCCGCACAGGAGGAGGCCATCCCTCGTGCCGTCCTTCGCGAGCAGCGCCTCGTCGCTTTCTACTATTCCGAGTGAGACGGAGGAGGGGCCGCTGACGCCCAACACCACGGCCCCCAACAGCAGCATACCTTTCGGTATGAACCAGATAGCTGGCCTGGGCGATCCGTTCATGCCATCCAAGGCCTCGACGCCAGCCAGCAAGAAAGCTCAGGGCTCAGCAAGCCGTGGAGCTCATGACTCCGGGGATCGCCCGCACAAACGGGACAAAACCTCGAACACCAGGTCAGACAGCCCGCTGTCCCCAGCGACTGGGAATATGCGATCGCCCGACACGACGCCTACCCGAGGAGGTGCTCGCAACACAGCGGCCCAGGGCGCGAACAAGACCCCGAATCCCGTGTCTCAGCCCAGTCGCGCATTAGTACTCACCGTCCCAGCTTCGGCTCAGGGAGACGACCGGTCCGGCAGCTCCCACAAGAGGAAGCCGTCCGACGACCCCGCGGCGACCACGACACCGAGACTGTCCCTGGTGATTCCCGGCAACGAAAACAAGCCCAACCCGCTGTTCAAGCGCCTGAGCGACCTGGCGCCGCCGTCCCGCAGCAGGGACCAGACGCCCGAGGTGGCGCACGCGCACCCAAGCCCTGCACTGTCGAACGCCAGGCTGTCGAGCGTGTACGATTTCTACGCTGACATATCTGAGCCGTCGAGTTTCAATAACACTAATAATAATAACAACAATAACCGCAGGCGGGCAGGCGGCGAGGTGAGGATGTGTCGTCGTCGGCGGCGTCCGTATCGTCATCGCTGTACTCGGACACGGGCGCCGCAGAACGGGAGCGGGAGCGGCAGAACGCGGCGCTCAGCCGCATCAGCATGCTGCTGAACCGGGACGTCACGGCCCCGAGCCGGCCCAAGCCCACGGTGCGCGTCGTGCCGAGGGACTACTACCCCCACGGCAGCAACAACATCAACAACAACGACGACGCCCGCGTGTCGGCGACGGTGGCGGAGCTGCGCCGCATGAACAGCCAGGTGAGCACGTACAGCACCGCGGCGGCGAGCACGTACAGCGACGGGTCGTCGGCGGCCACCCTCGCCGCCGTCAGGCCCGAGAGCGTGGTCCCGCCCCGCAGGGCCGCGGCGGCGCGGAACTACCACGCGCTGGCGAGCCCGATCAAGAGCAGCCCGGACCGCGAGGTCAGGGGCAGGGATGAGGTGGGAGGCCTGACGCCGACGCGGAACAGGAGGCTGGGGAGGAGCGGCAGTGATGAGATGGGTGGCAGTGGAAGTGGAAGTGGCAGTGGAAGTGAGGACGGGGTGAGTCTGTACGATCAGGATGGGTTTTATATCACGCCCGGGCGGAGGGCGGGGGTGAGGTTTTGAGATGGGGTGGGTATACTGCCGTCACTCATGAAATGGCTGTGATGTCCGATATCTCGCGTTGCTTGTGACTGCTGGGTGTTTTGAGGTGTTCCTTTCCTGTACTATCAGCATTATACCATTCTGCAGTAACTTGGGTAGCCCATAAGTATAATTTTCCTAGATTGATTTTTGGTGTCGTGTCTTCAGATGCAGGTTTCGTTAAATCCCGTACGCGCCCTCGTACGCAATCCAAGTCGAGTTCTCATCACGAGTGCAGATAGGCTGTGATTCAGGTAGACAATGGCTTGGGTGCGAGGGTGGAGAGGGACGCGAGATGGAACGAGGCGCGCGTCGTTGAAGTTGTCCCAAACTGCTCAGGCACTCAGGGTTTCACTGACGGGAAGAGCCTAGCGGGCCGTGCGTGGCCGCGGCAGGGATTGTCATACTTCAAGCTGTGGAGCACCCCTGCTAACAGTGTATGCAGCAGATACGTACTCCGTGTTGTTGCTAAAGAACAGCTGGAGCTTCACATCGGCCTGCCAGTGCAGGCAACTTGTTTCGACAAGAAGATACTCATTCACTCTCACTTTACACAACACTTCTCCCCGACCTCTTATTTTTGCACTGCATATCAAGGTCACCACCACATGGCAAGTCAAAAGTGAGGACCACTTACTGAAAGGATCCCCCCAAAAACGATCATGGCGAGCTTCCGCCCGCTGACCGTCCTGGTCGGCGTGCTGCTGTCTCACCTGCTGTTTGCCTGCGTGGCCGCCAAGGATGAAGCTGTCCTCAACGCCGAGATTGGCAGGCTGAACAACCAGAGCCTCCTCTGGGGGCCGTACCGTCCAAATCTCTACTTTGGTGTCCGGCCTCGGCTGCCTCACAGTTTGATGACCGGGCTGATGTGGTCCAATATCGACACATTCAACGGGCCAAAGGACAGTTAGTCACCCCTCATCCCTCTCTCACTGCGCTTGCCAGGCGTTCAGCATAATGTGCTGAAGATGCCCGTCAACAGATCTCCGTTTCACATGTGAGCAGCACCAGGGCATGGCGGGCTATGGCTGGGACGAATACGACACTCGCCGGGGAGGTGTTCAGACCATCCACGACGCTGGAAACGGCGTCGATATCACCACCTCTTTTGTCAAGGTTCCGGGCGGCGGAAACGGCGGGAGCTGGGCTGCAAGGATCAGAGGTGTGCCCCGGTCCGGCGCCCCCGACAACATCAAGACCCAGGTTGTCCTCTTCGTCTCCCAGGAAGGTCTGGGCAGTGAGTTAGAGACCGAGGCCGACGGTGATGTCAGCGGTTTCGCCGGAGATGTCACCCTCAATGGCCGGTCCGACTCTCTTGGCGAGTTCAAGCTCGTTGTCACCCACGGCACTGGTGAGCATCCTCAGGGCGGTTCCGAAGTCGATGACGAGAAGGACTTCGACAAGACCGTTGTCCAGTCAATGACCCTGCCGCCCGAGTATCTGTGGCAAGCCAAGGGCGTCGCCCTCCGTCAGTTCGGGGAGCGCATCCAGAGCCTCATGGACAGCATCGATAAGGAGTCCCCGCCGCCGCCGCACCAAATGTACGCTCTGCAGAACAGGCCTGGTGCTGGCAACGGTCACCTCATCCAGAAGATCTTCGAGGGCCCATTCGAGTTCGACATCCTTTTCTCCAGCAAGTCCGCAGGCAAGGACCTGGGCAGTGAGGACCTGACCAGGGAGATCAAGGAGACCACCGAGTCCTTTGGGGACCGCTTCACCAGTGTCTTCAAGCCGCAAGCCCCATTCACTGCCGACAAGTATGCGAAGTTTGGTAGAAGCATGTTCTCAAACTTGATCGGCGGCATCGGATACTTCCACGGCCAGCATGTGACTGACCGCTCCTACGCGCCTGAGTACGAGGAGGACGACGAGGGTTTCTGGGAGGCCGCCGCAGAGGCGAGGGCTCGCAAGGAGCAGAAGCTCGAGGGCCCGTACGAGCTGTTTTCCAGCATCCCTTCGCGGCCGTTCTTCCCGCGTGGCTTCCTTTGGGACGAGGGTTTCCACCTCCTGCCCATCGCGGACTGGGACATGGACCTGACCCTTGAGATCATCAAGAGCTGGTACAACCTCATTGACGACGACGGCTGGATCGCCCGTGAGATGATCCTCGGCGACGAGGCCAGGAGCAAGGTCCCTGAGGAGTTCCAGGTGCAGTACCCGCATTATGCCAACCCGCCCACGCTCTTCTTCGTCATCGACGAGTTCATCACCAAGCTCAAGAGCATCGCCAACGGCAGTGCCACCTCTCAGAAGGAGACTCTTTCTCAAGACCAGTCCCTTGGCACCGCCTACCTGGACAACCCCAGCCTTGCTCTGGATTACCTCCGCCAACTCTATCCTCTCCTCCGCCGCCAGTTCTTCTGGTTCAAGAAGACCCAGTACGGCGACGTCAAGTCATACGACCGCGAGGCGTACTCATCCAAGGAGGCCTACCGATGGCGGGGAAGGACCCCCCGACACATCCTCACGAGCGGGCTCGACGACTACCCCCGGCCGCAGCCTCCCCACCCGGCCGAGCTGCACGTCGACCTGATGAGCTGGGTGGGGCTGATGAGCAAGTCCCTCATCAACGTCGCCGAGACGATCGGCGTCGCCGAGGACGCCGAGGAGTACAGGAAGATCCTCGACGCCATCGAGCACAACCTCGACGACCTCCACTGGTCGGACAAGGAGGGGTGCTACTGCGACGCCACCATCGACGACTACGAGGAGAACGAGCTGGTCTGCCACAAGGGCTACGTCTCGCTCTTCCCGTTCCTGACGGGCCTCCTGAAGCCCGACAGCGCCAAGCTCGGCAAGATCCTCGACCTCATCGGCGACGAGGAGGAGCTCTGGAGCCCCCACGGCATCCGCAGCCTGAGCAAGAAGTCCGAGTTCTACGGTACCGACGAGAACTACTGGCGCAGCCCCGTGTGGATGAACATCAACTACCTGGCCGTGATGCAGCTCTACGTGAGTCTACAACCCCCTTTCTTTCTTTCTTTGTCTCTCTTCAATCCCCCGCTTCATCCCCCGGCAGACCCTGTCTCCTCACACGAGATACTGACATGACATCCGTAGAATGTGGCAAAGCAGGACGGCCCGCACCAGGCCAGGGCCGCGGACCTCTACAGCCGCCTGCGCAAGAACCTCATCGAGACCGTCTACAAGAGCTGGGTCGACACCGGCTTCGCCTGGGAGCAGTACAACCCGGAGACGGGCGAGGGCCAGCGCACGCAGCACTTCACGGGCTGGACCAGCCTGGTGGTCAAGATCATGGCCATGGAGGACCTCGCGGGCTCCGGCCACGTGCGCGACGAGCTGTGAGGCGGCGGTCTTGCACATGAAGCCCATGCATGCATCAGGGGGTGGTTGGCCCCGGGGGGGGGGGTGAAAGGGCTGGGAGAGTGGTAGACTCGTTATGCTGCTCCTGCCGCTCACGTCCACTTAGTTAAAATAGATGGCATGTTGGCCGTGGTTCAGGGGCGTGCGTACGCACTCGTATCAGTTAAATGTCCCCGTGACATATACTCCAGAGAAGCCATCGAGGCGTGGTGCCGACCACGATCGAGTGCGAGCAGATTTACAGAGCGCTATAGAAAAAGAAATGGCCATGATCTCGAATTCTGGTTGATTGGGCACCCTTGATGACGGCCGATGATTTGATCATGCTGATGGCATATCTCTTGTATTGAGGACGTCGTTCCACGGCCGGGCCACTCACTCATTGATCACTTACCCTCCCAGCCACCGAGCCACAGTCTCGAGTGAGACATAACTCCTCAAAGGATCAATCGACCACTCAACTTGTTACCCATCCAACTGGCGCTGCCACCCTCTTCCATTTCCAAATGATATAAATACCAGCCTCCCCCCAGTCTCCCCGCACTTTCCCCCTTTCCTCCTCTCCATATAAATATACAAGCCCACCGCTGGGCAGGGAGTTTTTGTTTGGTGTTCTCCCCGCCCGGCCGGACAGGCAATTGTTCGAACGGTGTTGCTGTGTTGTACTGGCTGTTTAAACACAAGAAAGTTTCAACGACGATCATAAAGCCATTGAATCATCCAATTTTTGGAACCTGAACTCTGAAGAGCGTCTCTCTGAGGCGCAAAGCAGAGATTTCGAGAGAAAATTTTAAACCCCCCCCCCCTTTTTTTTTTCCTTTCGTTGTTTTGTACTGCTTGCGGTGGAGACGAGGAAGAGACATAATAGCGCAAGTAAGTCTCGCGAATATGTGATCGATTTCCGAGGTCGTGAGCAGTGGAGTGGACGCCTCAGTAGCTCTTTGCCTCACAAGTCATATTCAGAGGGCCTTGTTTGGGTCACACGGGTCTTGAATCGAACGGACCAGAGGTAGAATAAATGCATGCATGCCTGTATTGCTGTGGTGCGTGAGGAGACCATCCTCCTATGATGATGCTACAGTTATCCTAACCCACCCAACGCCGACGCGACTAACTGCTGTGGCGACCCAAAATGTGTACACAAGCCAAATCCCAAAACAGGCTCGTTTATGGTAATCCAAAATGCGAAAAGTGGAATACAGGTGCGCTCCTCTAGCCATGATGCTCTCTCTCTCTCATCGCACGTGTGCGCCCGCGGGCTTCGACAGGATCCCGTCGCCCTTCTGTGCCACCTCCTTCCTCGGGAGCACCACCACCTCCCTGCTCAGCAGCTTCCTCAGCTCCGGGGTGATGATCTTCTGCCGGCCGCCGGGGCTCTTCGGTTCGGGCTGCTTGCCCTTGTCCGCTTGTTGCTGCTGGGTGCTGCCGCTGCTACCGGAAGGCGTGGAGGGGCGGTTGTCATTGTTGTTGTTGGCGGCTGGCGGAGGTGATGGCCGAGGGGGGAAGAGCGATGGTGCAGCCGTGTTCAAGCTGAAACGAGGGGCTGGGAAATTGTTCTTCTTGTCGATGGCTTCGATGAGCCGCTGGAATTTCCTGAAGAGCGCTTCGGCGCGGATGAGTGTAGACTCGAGATCGATACTACCAGAGAGCTCGTTGACTGCAGCAGTGAGGTCAGTAAGCAGGTCTTCCAATTTGGGGCCGGTCAAGTCTAGACAATGCAACATACCGTATTTCAGCACCTCATCAAAATGCTGAAGGTGCGTGAGGATCACGTCCCGGTGTTTCTCCAGAATAGCCAGAGCCACGAACAAGTGGAAGCTGCTGGTCTTGTAGTCCGTCCACTGGGCCTCCCACAGCCGCAGGATGTCCATCCAGGGAAACTCCCGCTTGTACCACACCAGCAACATCCTGAAGAAGAAAAAGAAGTTGGTGCTGTCCGCCTTCTCCAGGTGCTCCCACAGCTTGGGGTCCATGAAGTGCACAAGCTGGTCCAGCGTGGTCAACTGCGTGCGCATGCCGGACTGGTCGCGGAGGAAGTTGCGCTCCATGCGGTCCATGAAGTGCTGGAAGGCCCAGAAAGCTATCGCATCGTCCTGAATTACGGCGTAGATAGGCGCCAGTAGATCCGACATGCCTTGGACGTAGCCGAGCTCCTTGTTGTACTCATTGTATGTGAGTAGGAGGTCCTTCATCTGCTCCATGTGCACGTTGGTGCCAACTTCCGCGAAAGGGGAGGCAGGGTCCGGATGAGGGATGTTCTCGCCTGCAAAGATGGGAACATTTCGGTCAGTGCGGTGGACGTCCTTCTCTGTTCACGTCGTCAGCTAAATGGTGGAAAATGCGATTGATACTTTGAGGGCTGGCCTTACCGATGCGTGCACGTTGCTCTCTCCACCAATCGCCTTCCTCTCCCTGACCGCCAAGATCGACGAGTCTCTCCCACCACGAACCTTTGAGCTTCACATAGGCGTCTCTGAGTGAAGCAATTTGGGCTTTGCGTTCAGTCTCGGTGCTGTGCCAGTCGTAGACACCCAGGAGGAACAGCCATGCTTCTTTCCGCACACCGTCCTCCGGGTCTAGCCCACCGTGGAACACCCTTTCCTTGACTTCATCCACAGTAACGGACAGCCTGCCTGTCCTCTCGTCGAAGAAGGTTGCCCACTCCTTGGAAGTGACAGGTCGTCGCCTCTCCTCCAACGAGAAAGAGCTCGTGCCCTCCAGCAACTCAAACTCGCCCACGTCAGTGTCCTCCATCTCCATGACATCCTGCGCAGTCCATATCCTCTGGCGGCGATCCCGCTCGCTCTGTTCCGCTATGCCCATCGCCCATCGCGCCAGGTATATCCTCGCACTGTCAAACTCATCCTGCAAAGTCTTGACCTCGGGATTGCGCAGGAGGCTTCTCACCTGCGGCGGCACGCGAGGGTTGTCGAGGACGTCGTTGGCGGCATTCCGTGTGAAGGTGGTCACCTTGCTGAATTTCTCCATGATGTTCCACCCAGTCTCCTTGACGAATTTGGTGAACGGATCCATCTGTGCGTCCCTGCTAGAGCCAGCACCGGAGCCTGGCTTCGCCCCAGCGGCACCGCCCACCGTGACGCCACGGCTACTATCCCGGCGGCCAATGGACGAGGGCGTGCTGGCGGTGGGTTTGCCGCCGAAGCCCTCGCTATCTTCTGTGGAGGGCTCGACCAGGTAGATGTTTGGTTCCGCCTCGCTCCTTTCGATCTTGACATATCTCCTGAGCCACCTGAGGACCTCGTCGCCACCCCAGAACATCTGGCCGCTCTCCCCAAAAGGGTCGAACTTGTCCTTCATGTGCTTCTTCTTTTGTAGTATGGTCGACTCACACTCGCTGTCGTGGAAGAATAGGGCCGGGAAGCTATCCCCAGCCCTGCTGTTGATAATGACTGAGCCGAACCACCATCCTAGGCTCGGTGGGCGAACGAGCAGGCTGTAGATGGCGCTGACGGGGATGGCGAAGGAATAGTGGCCAATGGACCCACGGTGGGTGGTGACTGTCGGAGGCGGAGGGACGAGGTAGGACTGTTTCGGGGGAGAGTCGCCATCAGAAAGGTCAACTTTGACGTACGTACTGGCGGCCTCGCCGAGCTGGGATTCGGGCAGCCATGCCAGCAAAAGGTCGGAAGAGGCTATCGTCTGGGAGTTTCGGGAGTCGGCAGAGGAGGGCCTAGCGCCGGGCCCTGGCTTTTGCTGGAGGAGGGCTATGAAGCCGGGGATGTTGTCTTTGGAGGAAGGCGTTGGGTGGATGTAGACCTGTTTTCAATGGTGAGCTTTCCTGGTGCTGGGCCCTGACACATGTAACACATGTGATGATAGTGTCATAAGTTGCGTAGCAGCCTGGGGCGAGGACTGACCTTGCTCTTGGAGTAGAGTAACTTGACACCTCTCCCCGTCTCGGTATGTGTAATGGTGTTGTACTCGCCCTCTTCATCATCGCTCATGGCATAGAGGCTCCCTGGTGGTGACACCTGACGTGCTGGTTGTGCATCTCGACCTTCTCGTGAGCGAGCCAGCTCATCCGACGTCATCGTCCCGAGAGGCCCGAGCAGGGGCGACAGATGTGCAGGGATCGTGCACTGAGAAGTCGGTTGAGGAAACGAGGCGTGGTCGTAGTATTTTTCTGCAGGTCTCGACGGTATTGTGAAGGGTGAAATAGAAGTTCTCGTAGGGAAACGGGGTAGAGAGGGAGGAGGTTAAGAGACTAGATACATCTCAATCATGTGGTGTCAGTCCCGGTGCGACAAAGCTGACGGAGGCCTGATGGAGGAACCCCGCGACTGCTCCACCCCGGTCGTGTGGAGGGGCGAAGTGCTGCAAGCGGAACGCTAATCGCCCCGGCCCCAGCGGTGGGCTTGCTTGTGATAGCGTCTACCTTTCCGTGATCAGCCTTGGGAGGATGGGTCGTCGTCATCTGCACACTTCTGCTACCTAGGCGCTCTCCTAGCTGTGTGTGATACAGTTCACTGCATACGCCGTGTATACGCAACCCGTGCATGCTAGAACCATTTCAAGCGAGGATATGGCTTCACTCGTCTCTCCGTCGGGCCAACGCACCAGTGGAGCCGAGTAAGACCACGCGTACTTACAGGAGACATGAATGGCCATCCGGGACGCTGGAATTCCTGGATTATATGCAGCTGCTTGTGAAGAAAGATACGCATGTATTCCGAACTCCGAGCACCCTTGTCTATGTCTACCACAATAGCGTAACCCAAAACTCCATGCATGCTGCGTCTGAAGGACCCAAGATGCGATTGATTATGTCCCAGGCACGCGCAGACGAGACGTCAAGACTTCCAGAGTGATGATGTCCACGGGCCACACCGTTGTATTAATCGTCCGACATCCTCGTCAAACTATCTCATCCGTGGGCCGCTGGGTAGCCGCCCATCCTCCTCGGCCCTGACGGCAGACCACCGTACCTGTTGCCTCCCCCACCGCCGCTGCCAGAGTCGAACTGGCCACCAGGCCCGTAAGGGTCATAATCCCCACTGCCCGCGTTCGCCGCAGAGCCTCCCCTGCTCCGCGACGGCATGCCACCGCCCCCTTGCTGCGCAGGCGGCGGCGCGAAAGGGCCTGTAGAGCTGGAAGGCGACGTGGTCCTCGCACCACCCCCGTAGAGCCGCTGTCGTAGCCTGTCCTGCGCGCTCGACGCGCCGCCGCCTCCTCCTCCGGAGCCCATGTCCACGCTGTTGCTCTGCACGCTGCCCGCCCGCTGGCTCGGCAGTGGCCGTGCCTGGATTGCCTCTCTCCCAGCCGGATCCGGCGTGGCGGCGTTGCGCGCGAAGGGGTTCCGGCTCCCTGCTGCCGTGGCGCCCCTGCCCGCGCCGCGATTTTGGTCCCACAAGCTGCTCAGCCCGCCCTGGGCCCCTTGCTGCGGTGCACCATACCGGGACGCCGCCGGTCCAGAGTTCTGCTGAATGATGGGCGCTGGTGGCGGTGCCTTTGGGTCAGGCGGGAGCCAGTTGGGCAGCGGGCGGCCGCTCTCGGTGTAGTGCTGCCGTAGGACGCGGCAGACATGTGTGTCGTCCTCGGTGTCGCCGTCGGCCTCGGAGGCGAAGACCGAACGCTGGAGGTTTGTGATGCGGGAGGTGGTGTTTGTGAGGATGTTGGAGTACCAGGACGCCATGATTGCGGGCGGCGGCTGGCTGCCTCTATGTTGTGTGGTTCGGAAGAGGCCCGGCTGACTGCAGCAGAGGCTGCCCTTGCGATTGCTCGTCGACGAGAGGCAGAGGGTCGTGTGCTCCGTGCTTCTCTGGCAGGTCGAGTCGGTGTGGAAGGAGGGTACAGGACCCAGGTGGGATAACGATCGGCGCCGCCGCAAGCTGCTCGAAGTTGGAAGGACGGTCTGCCTTATTTGCTTGAATTGTTCCGTGCCAAGCAATCTGTTCGCTCAAACTTTTAGCTTTGCAAGTCAAATTGACAGCACAAGGTTGCCTGATCTAGAGTCGAAGGTGAGTGTGCGAGTGCGAGATTGGGTTTCTGAGGTTGGGGTTTTGAGTTTGGGCCGTGGTGCGGGCGGCATTGTCCTCTCGAGTTGTCCTGCTTGTCTCAGGTTGCGCTTTGCACCGGACGGCTGGCCCCTCCAACGACTGGACCCTCCAACGACTGGAGCTGGATGGACCGAGCTGCGCCCCTGTAATACAGAGCCTAGGTTGTCGCCCGACCCACCCACACACCCTCCGAGTAACGACCCTGAGTTTACGTTGTAAAAGATCTACCCTACCGCTCAGCAGCCATACACATGCTCCGGGAAAATTATTACTCAGGGCAGTAGGCAGACACATTGAAACGCAGCATGCAAATATCACCGGTCGGCATCCCGGGGGCGAACGAAGGATTAAGTACCTACCCTTCTTGTGCCCCATAATCGCGTCGCATCGCACCTTCCATAAAGCCGTTGGCAAGATATATTAGTGAAGAACTGCTTGTTACTACCGTTCAAGGCTTCATCTCTAAGCCGTTGGTGACAGCCTTCTGCTGACTCTGGGTAAGGTAAATGAGGAGCAGGTGGACTGGGTCTTTGAGGCACACAGCAAGCGGTGTTCAGGTACCAATTAAGGCATCTGAGAGCCTCGCGAGCCTCGAGTTCATGCTTCGATGGCGGACTTTCGGTGGGACAAGCACGAGTGTGATGGCATTCGATCTAACTTGGAATGTGGCAACCCATAGAGTACCGTCGTCGACGACCTCTGCGGGCAAGCGCCTTATGGAGGAGTCCGTGGAAGGCTTTGCGCGCAAGCCTGGGCTTGCAGGACAATCCAAAAGAGCTCGATCGTGTGGAATCATGGTTCGTTTTGGTGGTCGTCGTTCGGGAGCCGTTGTCAATCAGTTTCATCTCTGGGTATCATTCGTGCGATGTTCCCACGGGAATCTTTCAAGGCACGGCGTAGGCTTGTGCGAATCGACGTTACTCCATTTTCTTGTGTTGCCTGACCGTCAGGCCCATTTTGCTGGTTGAACCAAGATACGAAGCCATGCCAAAGCCATGCCTATCAACGCCCAGTCATCATGCCCCCATGTTCGTGACCCGTTTATTTGTCCTTCTTCGCCTTCGCGCCCTTGACCTTCGCGGTGCCACGGAGGGTCTTCATACGGTTCTTGCGTTGCTTGCCTGTTGTCAAAGTTAATATCGGGTGGTGTTTGTGGCTTTATCGATTGTACGTACGCTGCTGGCGGGAGGCTCTCTCGGGCTTGACAGCGAGGCCGACACGGACCTATGTGATTGTTAGCATCCTAGGGAGTGTTGAATTGTCGGATTCCAACATACGAGACGGTGTCGTGGCTCGAACTTCTTCAGAGCCTCAACTGAGTCGTAGACGAGCGCAAATCCGCTGGTCTTGCCACCACCGAAGTGAGTCCTCAGGCCGAAGACGCTGACCTGCTCGGCGGAAGCCTTGTACAGCTGGGAGAGTCGCTCTTGGAGATCGGACTTCGCGATGCCGGCGTGGCCAGGGTGGAGGATGTCACTGGATAAATTTGTTAGCAGCGCTCAAGGCAAACGGAATGCGCGAGAACTTGCACCACCATCTGCTTCTGTTTGGTTGTCAGCATTTCGTCCTTAATTCCAGAATGGCACGGGAAAACATACTCTTCCAAGCAGGGGGTTTCGGATAAACCGCCGCGTGCGGATCGTGATGGACTCAGACATGTTGGCTGTGGTGGTGATGCTTTGGGTTGAAGGGTGCAAGATTGGTTGGCTGGCACAAATGCGAAGGCACTCAAATCTTTTCGACACTGGTGGGGGCTCGTGCTGCCGTCTGTCAGCAGCTGGCAGCAGCTGGCGCAACCTCCCGTGCAACGCTATGCCCCAGCAAGAAGTAACTAGGTACCCGTACGCAACAACTAAGCGCTTCTATATAATACGTATTTTACACACTGCGCCGTACTCTGAAGCAACGGCAATGCACCAGGAGAAGGATCAAGACAAGTGTAGCAGGCTCAGGGATACCGCGTCCACCTGTGGGAACATCATTGGATAGAGGCTGTCTTCTTGGCCGAATACGACAGAGTGAGCACAGTTCATTCATGGAGATCACTAAATGTTTGAATTGTACGCTGCACACTGAGGGTATCTCACACGGCTGTTTCTCAGATCCATCCAGACATGCGGCGTCCCTGTCACCTCCCAATACTGAAATAGACAAGAGCATGTTCCTGAGGGGTACCTCCCAGGCTTCACGAGAAGAGAAACGCCCTGCATTCCGGTGGATCCTTGTGCCAGCAGGAAATGAGAAACGCAGTGATTACCAACTTCAAAGGCCCCGAAAAGAAGTTGGATACCTTCCGATTCAGTTCCCCCCAACCGCAAAACATGCCGATTTTCCTGTTCCTACAACGCCTTGCCGGACTGCACGACTAGAATGCAAGCAACTTCTCTCTGCTCGTCTCCTCCTCCAGTTCCTGCTCCTTGGTCTTCTTCCTGCCCTTCAGGACCTTCTTGGCGGCCTTCTTGCGCTTGTCGCCCGCCTTGGCCTTGCCCGCCTTGCCCGTATCCTCCTCGCTGTCCTCCTCCGAGTCGTCCTCTTCGGAATCGTTCTCCTCGCTGGCCATCCAGTCTTCGAGATCGGCTAAGTCATCGTCGCTCTCTTCGACGTCGCTGACATACTCGACGTTACCCTCGAGCTCGTCCTCGTCCTCCTCTTCTACCTCCTTCTCCGCATCCTCCTCATCCTCATCCTCGACACCTTCGTCCAGGTCCTCGTCGCGAACGCCCTGTCCCTCCTTCTCGAGGCCCTTGAGAACCTTCTCCCAGATCTTCTGCGACACGTTCAAAGGTTGGTCGCCGTAGGCGCCTTGTCGCAGTCTCTCAAGTAGCTCCCTCTCGATCGTCTTCTCCAGCCGGGCAGCTGCCTCTGCTTTGCGTTCGCGGGCGGTTTCACGGTGCTTCACCTTGGGTGCAAGCTTGGGGACGAGCTTCTCGCCAAGCCGTTCTTCCTCGGCGGCTAGTTTTCGCATACGGGTAGCGACTCGGTTGAGGCGCCATACTCGTTGTTTGGCCTTGAGCCTGAGGAAATCCGGCCAGTACCTGTACAGGATGCAGTGTTAGTACACTGACGGATTGATTTGCTGCAGGGAGAAGAGCCTAGGAGGAACCGTACATCAACTTCTCGTCAACCATCGCCAGCGCTTCCTGGGGATTGGCCGGCAGCCGTATCTTCTCCCACAGGCGGTTTGGCATATGTGCACGCTCGACGGTCTTCATGTAGAGGTAGAGAACGTTTGGCTTATCCGGGTGAGGTCGAACGGAGGCATATCGGCTGTTGGCCAGAGGGCAGGATTGTCGGTTGCAAAGCCCGGTGACATTGTACTCGTTGCGGCAAAAGTTGGTCTGCTTCTGGTTGTTCGGCGTCCGTATCTTGAATGCGCAGAAATTTTGGTCTACAAGCAAGTCAGCCGTCTGTCTCTTGTCCAATCCTTCAGACCGTCCATGTTTTCTTACTGATATATTGCCAAACAATCTCGTCGGAAGCCATGGTGGGCGGCAATCACGGAGTCGTGATGTTTCTGTCCCTGGAGCGTTAGAGGAGGCGGGACGGATGCTCAGAGAGCGAGGTTGCCTCTCCCAAAGGAAAAAAAATGGTATCGATAAAGTCCCTTCCCTTAGCCATCGAATCCTTGCCTGCGGATTTGCAATTGCTGACCAATGAACTGCCGTCTAGTGGGGTTCTGTGGGTCCAGAGCTCCTGCGCCGTTGCACCACTTAGGTACCTAGGTACATTGTGTGGTCAGCTAGAACTGAAGGCCTCTCAAACTTGAGTAGCTCTCCGTCCAATTGTCAACTCATACACCCTGAGCTACCTAGGTACTTTTACATACGCCATCTCACTTGTCGGAGACGATATCAAGACTATCAATCTCCCAGCAAGAACTGGTCAATGTACCGGTATGGTCGCATAGCCACTGGAATTCGGACTTTCCCTAGAGGTCTCGAAGCGTCACACTTTTCCGTCTGCAGGCCTCTACGATCTGTCGTGTCTGCTTATCGACGTGTGCACACGAGCACTCCACAGCACGCCCAGGTCAGGAGCTCTCAGCATGACTTGGAAAAGCATGGCATCGATGTCATAGCCGGCCGATCGAAAGATGACACTATCTACGCCCTCTCTTCAGCCCAGGGCAGGGCTGGCATAGCTGTCATCCGAGTCTCGGGCCCTGCATGTCGGGAAATCTACCAGAAGCTATGCCCACACAAGCAACTCCCAAAGCCTCGATATGCCACCGTCAGGACACTCTATAATCCAGGACATCCAGACGCGGCAAATATCCTCGACTCCGGAGCCCTGGTTCTGTACTTCCCAGCCCCCAAGACCGTCACTGGCGAGGACGTCCTCGAGCTGCACACTCACGGCGGCCCTGCCACCGTGAAAGCCGTGCTGGGCGCAATCGCTCAATGCTCTTCCGGGCGAGCCCACCAAAATAGCATCCGCTATGCCGAGCCTGGCGAATTCACGAAGCGCGCCTTCCTCAATGATCGCCTGGACTTGTCACAGGTCGAGTCGCTCAGCGATGTTCTTGACGCTGAAACGGAGCAGCAGCGCCGTGCCGCAGTGCGCGGGAATTCTGGTGCCCGCGGACAGACCTATGACTCTTGGCGCGAGGAGCTCCTGCTCGCCAGAGGTGAGATCGAGGCGCTGATCGATTTCTCGGAGGACCAGCACTTTGACGAGTCGCCCCGGGAGCTGTTGCGAAACGTGACGGGAATGGTGCAGAGGATCTTGCGCTCGATTGATGTCCACGAGATGGCCGGGCAGAGGACGGAGCTGCTCAGAAAGGGCATTCGAATCGCGCTCCTGGGCCCACCGAATGTGGGAAAGAGTTCGCTGATGAACTTGATTGTTGGGAGAGAGGCTTCCATCGTCTCCCGTGAGGCAGGCACCACGCGAGATATCGTGGAAGCCAGCCTCGATATCGGCGGCTATCTGTGCACATTTGCCGATACAGCGGGCATCAGGACCTCCGCACTCTCAACTGATGGTGTCATTGGACCTATTGAAGAGGAAGGCATCCGGAGGGCACGCCTAAAGGCCCTTGGCTCCGATGTCATAATTGTCCTTGCTTCAATCGAGAGGCACGTAGACGGCGCACATTTCATCAACTACGACGCCGAGACACTGCAATTGGCAGCCAAAGCCGAGCAACATATTATTGTGGTCAATAAATGCGACTCGGTCGATAAGACAATGCTGGACAATCTCCTGAAGGACTTTGGCTCGTCTATTCAGGCACATGTGGGGGCTCTGGCAGAGCCTCAAGCTGTTTCCTGCACCAAGGCGAACGAACCATCTGAGTCCCTGGAAAAAGACCCTGGTGGCATCCATAGCCTCACACAAACTCTAGTCCACCGTTTTGAGGATCTGACATCTCTACCTGAAGACATGCAGGATCTTCTCGGTGGGACAGAGAGGCAGCGACAACTTCTAGCGCAGTGCCGACTACATCTCGAGGATTTCATGGGCCAGGCTGAGGCTGGGGGCCTGGAGTCAGATGATGTCGGCGACGAACCTGACATTGTTCTTGCTGCTGAGCATCTTCGCTACGCAGGAGATTGCTTGGCTAGAATCACCGGGCGCGGAGATGCCGGTGATGTGGAGGAGGTGCTGGGGGTCATATTTGAGAAGTACTGTGCCCACTTCCCGGTCTTAGTTGACCCAACTATTGCACGATGAGGCCTTTTGCTGACTGGCTGGCAGGTTTTGTGTAGGAAAGTGAATTATGATCTAAACTCAAGTCTTATCTTGTCTACTCTAGTTTAAGATCCCCAACGCCAACCCATGGTATGAAACGATTGTGGCGCCCAGTGCATCCGACTCAACTCGACCAATACATGAGATGGTATACATGACCAAGGAGCTCGTTTTTCTAACCCGTCCGATTCTATTCGCCCGCCCAAAATCAAGGTGCAGTGACGGGATGGGGATCAGTGTGTCGGTGTGCCCAGGGGAAGTAGTTGTACATGGGAAGACCGTGGTCGATGATGGATGTGATGGGGGTAAGTGAAGTGACAACCGCAACGCCGGCCTGAGCCTGAGCCTCTCTATTCTAGGAGGTATTGGTATACAACAGCCAGCGCCGGATTTCTGGGCCGATCCAGATCTGAGGATGCCCGTTCATGGACAGAGCCGGCACTGGCTGTGATGAGGAGTCGCCATAATCATCTGGGACTCGTGACAGCCGAGTACCAGGCATTTAAGCGAAGTTCAGCGACCTCTTGTTGTCCTTGTCGTCGTCGTCAGGCTTTGAGTTGTAGCCGGAGCGACCCTGGTTCTTGTCGTCGTCATCACCGTTGGGCTTGGAGTTGTATCCAGAGCGGCCCTGGTTCTTGTCGTCGTCATCGCCACCGTTGGGCTTGGAGTTGTAGCCAGAGCGGCCGTAGAGCATGGGGCGCTCGTTAGAGATCATGGAGAAGACAGCCATTGTGTTGGTGGTGGGGTTTTGTTTGGAGTAGGTGAAGGTGGTTGTAATGGTGGCTTGGGAGATGTTTGTGTGTTGGTTTGCTTTGAATGCTTTGCTTGTTGATGATGGTGATGATGATGAGTTGGAGGACTGGATTTCAAGGCCAGACGACGAGGTCTTATATAGACGAGGGACGCGGTGTTGCTGAGGTCGTATTCTTGCCTCCCTGCTGGGAGAACAGAGCAGACTGCGTTCACAGTCAGACCCGACCAGACTACATTCTCAGTCAGACTCTAACCGCCCGTCCCGTCTTCAGCCTCTTCCATCGATAGACAGGCACCACCATCATTCGCAGCAGGCGCATCGTCACAGCCTCTCACCCTAGCGAAGGATGACCTAAGGATTCAGGGTTTCTCGGATGCACAGGATGCGCCTCCCACGCCAGGAATGACACCCACGGTGGACACCCTCCCACACCCACACGGCCCCCCTGCTGCCATGTGGTAGGCCATCTGACCGACCCAGGCAGCGAAATTCAGGATGACAGATGCAACCTCAGGCCCCAGCCAATCCGGCTGAGACACTCGCCAAAGTGCCTCGCATGGAAGCCATGGAACCCACTACCTGGGGTCTATTTTGGGGGCCAAGGCATGGGGCAGAACGGCGGGGCGACCTGCTAGTACCGTTGCATTGGTACAGCAGCCAGGCGATCGACAGGCGTAGGGCTGAGTACCTACATACAGCGCAGCACAGCACAGCACAGCACAGAGTCAACGGCGTCCGTCTCCAGCGGAGAGGGTGCTGTCTCTGATTCCCCCATCCCTGCACCAGCCCAGTGGGACTTGGTGGCTGCATCGCCCCGACTGGGCTTTCTCCCGCTCGGGATCTGACTTATCACCTTCCAGGCATAGAGAGTACGAGACGAGACATTCGAACACGACTTGTTCATCACAGCTGCAGCCTGCAGCTAGCTGGCTGACAAAGTGGACACGCGCCAGTATGATCCGAAATGATGGTGTCGTTGGAGGTCCCTTTGTCGCTATCTCGACACGTCTCCTGTCGGGTCGAGTCGAGTCTAGTCTCACACCGCGACATGGTCACCGCCGTCCTATTTCCATCAACACATGTGGAATTACCTAAGCCTTTCCAGGCCCAAGACTGGTTTCGAGCCGTTTTGTCATCATCACCATCACCGAAGAGGAAGTTCGTCTCACCCACACATGCAGGTAAGCAGAGTCACCGGTCCCAAAAGAGTCATGAGTACCATGATGCCGGTGTGAAACGGCTTCCAGATTGTCGGCCAATCCGCCGGTCAACGGCAGCCAGGGCGGATCAACCCGAACAGCAAGCAATCAATGCTGGTATCAGAATGATTCGAACGTGTTCTGTCCCGTCCCCTCGGTTCCATTGCTTACACATCACCTGCATCGGGAGCGCCTTCACGGCTCCGGACTCTTGCGCCCTGGCTTTGACCTCGAGCCCTTCACCGCAACGTGAGTTGAGGCAGAGTCGCCCTCGAGCAGGCATCTTTCGGCAACCGAAACTGCAACGTTGACCATGAGGCTCTCTCGCATGCTTTCCTGCCTCAGTGCAGCATCCCGCCCCAATCCCACTATCCGTCTCGTACGAGTCTCGCATGCCACATGCAGCCCTACAGCCTTATCGTCATCAAAGGATCTCCCGCGGCGTAGATCACCCAGCTCTGTCTCGGCCAGACTGGAGCATGGCGCAGGGGCAGTGCGCTCATCTCAGCCTGCATTGGCGACACCACGAGTGAAGCGACACCACGTTCAGGCACCGCGCTATGGAATGGCCCCCAAGGGACTGCGGGTAGTTCCCAGTCAACCTGCGCGGCGGGTCGCACTGCCGTCGTCACCCGCTGAAACCTTGAGGCTCTGCGAGCCGTACGGTATGCCGACACCGACTGTGCCTGGTGTAGCGTCAAGTGTCACGATCCTTCCGCTCCGAGCTCAGGCTCCCACGGGGCAAGGGAGAGACACCATGTCTCGCATGTCTCGACGACTCCATGTGGTACCTTTGTCAAGTCTCATATATTTTGGGGCAGATTGGAGGATCGAAAATAGCCGACCCCACGGCGTCGGTTCTCTACTGGAATGCCTTGGCTGAGGTCCGGATGAGGGCTTGTACACAGGACGGATGAGGGCCTGTACACAGGATCACGAACTCATGTCTCACCCTCGCGTAGATGCGAGCCTGCAACGCCGCGAACGACAGCACGCCAACGCCCTGATCAGACCTGTTTCGCGAGCAGCGCTAGCTGCCCTGTGGGCATGCAGGCACAACACCGGTCTGGGTCTACACCGGTACTTGAGGAACAGTAATCACCACCTCCCCCAGGCTGCCAAATCTCCCCCCGTGCCGTGCTAAGTTAAGGAGTTAGTCATTCTGCGTCGGTGAACGTGGCACAGCCCCCCCGCGAGGACCCCCGAGGGATATTTCCCCCGTCTTACCTTCTCGGTGACGCGAGGCCGGAAGAACCCAAGGGGAAAGAGGGCTCGAGCCAATTGCATTTGACGAGCCTGGCGGACTGGCCTCTGAGACCCCCCACGCGGCCGCACTCCTTGCAGCATCTCCCATGCCGCATCTGCTTGGTGCATCTCACACCGCCGGTCAGATCCTGGGGGACGTGTCGTATCTCAGGTTCCCAGGGCTTTGTCACCACCACCACCACCACCTACCCACCACCCTCCACTACCGCGTCCATTATTGTTATCATGATGATGATGATTTTCGCTTGTGCCTGCGTGCGCGATCGCTGCGATCAGGCAGCAAGTTCTGGAACGGTTCGTGACCGGGGTGGGGATTCTCCTGCAGCTTGTTGCTAATTCGGTACCGTGATTTGAAAGCGCCCCCTGTCGCACAGTTGCGTCTTGCCAAGTTTTGGGGGGATACGCCCGTCAAGTCTGCTACTCACCACATACTGGGAGAGTCCGACGAGCCATCGATCTGGGCAGCCTTTGACGAGACAAGCTTCATCGGCCGTATTTCACAGCCGCCTTTTTTTTATTCTGGAGGCGTCGCTTAGCTTATTGGGTTCTTCCTTCTCACCAGCGCTCGTGTGGCAGTGCCTTTATCACCGGTTACGCACGCGGCTTACCTCATCTTTTTCTCGTTCATACGGTTCTTAGTGGCTTGATGCCACGCGAGACAGGCGTGGTATGGCTGGGGCTGCGCCCCCTGGTCGTATTCGTCCTCATCCTAATTTACATTGTCGCCCAAGTCGGCGGACAGAGAGACAGAGAGGGAGTAAAGGCTACGTCCTCAGTCGTAATGTATGTACAGAGAAGTTGAGCCCCCGCCATCCGCAGTCGGCTAGGCTCCAATCCCCCCAGGGGCTGGTGAACCACTCTCTTCCCCTTACTGGATGCTCCAGTCGGTGTCCTTGCCCATGGAAATGGAGTCGGCGTGCCACGTGACGCCACCGTCGGTGGTCTTGAGGCCGGAGGAGGAGGCGCCGTGGTAGGAGATGATGGTGCCGAGGTCCTTCTTGGCCTCGCTCAGCGTGATGGTGACGTTGTCCCAGCTGAAGTCGGGCAGCGTGCCGCAACCGTCCGTGGAGCACTCGTTGGCGCTGTAGATGATCTGGGGCTTCATTCCCTGGGCTGGGAGGAGAGCACAAAAAGGGAAACAGTCGGTCAGCCCTACTGCTTATTTTTTTCTTTCTTTTCCGTCCGTGGATTGTGGCGGCTTGAGGGCGTGCGGCTCCAGGGGAGGGGGAGGGGGAGGGGGAGGGGGAACTCACAGTCAGACAGCTCGGAGACCACCTTGCCGTTCAGGGTCACCTTCTGGTCGATCTTCTTTGTGTCTGCGTTGACGGCGACTGGGCAGGATTGACCGGGTCAGCAAGAAAAGACACAAAGCCTCCAAGGCCCCCTCCCGGGCCGCAGCGCTGGAGCAGGGGAAAACTCACTCTCAAAATCGAGCTTCGCGTCCTTGGGCACGGCGACATAGGCGTTTCCGGTCTGGCCCTCGGGCGTGTACGTGCTGGCGGTGACGCACCACTCGTCGGCGCCGGCGTCGCACCCGCACGACGCCTGGTCGGCGCACCAGTTGAGCAGGGGCTGGACGAGGTTGGCCTGCGAGACGTCCGGGACGTTGGGCTGGACGCCGACCCAGATGGAGATCCACAGGGACTTGTCGGAGGTGTCGTAGCCCTGGATGACGGCCGGCGCGGCGAGCGAGTAGGTCGCCTTGGTGATGTAGGCGGCGCCGTCCCAGGGCCCGAGGTAGAAGCTGTTGCCGAAGTTGGCGGAGGCGGCGGGCAGCAGGAGGGCCGCGGCGTAGAGGGCCGCTGGGGCGAGGTGGCTGCGGGCGGGGGCCATGATGGTCGTTGGGATTCTGGGCGTGGTGTGCACTTGGCAAGCTCGGGAAGGGGGAGTGGTTTAAAGAGTGAGGTTTGACGGGTGTGGAGTGAAGCAGTGTGTAGAGATCCGGTCCCTGGAGGGTGGTGAGGCTGAGATGGGAGAGAGTGCCAAGAACGAACCATGCTGGTGGTGAGAAAAGAATAGTATTTATTACAGTGCACAGGGGATGCACGCCACCACCAACGATACAAACCGTCTCACACGATGGTAATTTGAGCGAGCTGCCATACGACACAGGACAGCACATCGTTCCTCGTACACACAGCAAAGCCATTGGTCCCGTGGTGAGGAACTTTCCTTCCGCCCACTCCCCAAAAGGAGATGCGCAATAACAGTGAAACATAAAATGGAGACGGGCGAGGTCGAAACAACCAAAATGGCGCCCCGGGGACTCAGTCCCGCTTCCTCGAAATCCCAGCAATCACGGCAGGGCAATTGTGTGGGGTTTACCTCGCGGGCGACATTTCCCCATGTCATGCTTGCCGGCAACTGTGTGCGGCTCGACGAAGTGACACTGAGGAAGGAGATCAGCGCCTGTATGGAATTGGCATCACCGTGTTGTAGATGTACACGCCGCTTGAGGGCTGGCCTGGATTCTTTCTGAGCCATCGCATGTTTTTTTTTTTTCTTGAAAATAATCGAACTGAACGTGCGGCTACAACGCCTGTCGAGGGCGTGGATGAGCCATGTCGAGGTTCGAAGCAAGACCACGGGCCGAAATGCTTGTCCTCGTTAGCGTGCGTGCGGCGCGCCGTCTGCAATGTGGTTTGTGAAGTCCTGTCATTTGATTAACAAGGCTGTGTGGGTATCGTAAGGTCTGGCCTGGGCCCGGCACTTTGCTGGGTTCAAGCTTTCTTGGTGGTCTTGTCTTTTCCGGGATTACAGATGCGAGCCCCCAAAAAAGCGGAGGCGGCTATTTCCGTCCCATCGTTCGATGTGGCCGTTGTGGGGGGGCCGGGGGGTATCTGTGGGATGAGGTTGCTCGTATGCTTTGGCTGCTGCGGACGCTGGCGAGCCTCGTCTATCTATGCATGTCCGAGCTTCCCAGCCGATGCACATGTCTCCCGCAGCGTCTATCTGTCTATGGCAAGTGATGGCAGCATCAGGACGTACGAGTCATCAAGCGAGCAACTCCCAATTTCACAACCAAGACGCTGACTTGCCGCTGCTCGTCTTGCATCTCTTCCCGCGAATTGCCAATAGAGCCAGTGCTCGCCTCCCGATGCCATGACTCTGGGACTGAGGCCCTTTTCTTGGGTGATGACGCTCGAGACATCCGGGCTGCCATGGAAACATCCGGTGATGGGCCAAGCCGTAGTGTCGTCCAGACCATTTCAGACCATGTCCCATGACCTCACTCATCTACCAACCCGTCCGAGTAGTATTCAAACGCAGCAGGGAGCGGCGCCTCCTTGCCCCTGCCGTCGTCAGGATCCGCGACCTCGTCCCCACCGCCAGGCGCCCCGTCCGCCGGCCCCGGCGCCTCGACCTTGCCGACGGGCATGACAACCTCGGGCGCCGTGGCGCGGTCCCCCCTCAGCACGCGGGTCATCCACTGCGCCCACTCCCACGGCCTGTCGCGGCCGCCGGGCAGGCTGTTGAAGTACTCCCAGCCCATGACGCCGCCGAAGCGGGCGTGCTGGCCGAGCATGAGCGGGATGACCGAGGCCAGGATGTCGAAGGGGATGAAGCCGCCGCCGTTGTCCGGGTTCGTGACGAGCCCGACGACGACCTTCTCCGGGGCCCAGCCCTTCATGAGCAGCATCTCGTACATGATGGGGTTGGAGCAGTCGCCCCAGCCGCAGTCTGGTTCGTTGAGTGATGTAAGCATGGTGGTCAACTGGTAATGATAAAAAGAAAGGAAAAAGGGGACAGGCCAGAGAACGTAGAACAGACTGAGGCAGACTCACAAAACTGGCAATTATACCACGCGATCTCGCGGCTCCTCATGACCTCCAGGGCCTCATAGTCAAACCCGCTGAGGTTGTTCCTGCTATCCAGCAGCGCCGCCGCCACGGGCGCAAACGTGATGATGAAGTCCGGGCCAAAGTCGGCCCTGAGGCGGTCCACCAGCCGGACGGCCGCACCGAGGCCCATCTCCTCCTCGACGTCGAGGTCGAGGCCGTCCAGCCCGCGGGCGCGCACGAGGTCGCGCAGCGGGCGGTAGTAGCGCTCGAAGGCGGCGTCGTCGTCGCTGCCCAGGCGGTCGGCGGAGAAGGTGCCCTTGGCGGCGCCGCCCAGCATGCCCAGGACGCGCACGCCGCTGGCCTGCAGGACGCGCAGCTCGGCCCATAGGGTGTGGAAGCGCGGGTGCGAGGGGGCGTGGTCGTTGAGGGTGATGCCGTCCGGGTCGCCGTTGATGTGGATGGCGGCCAGGATCAGGTGGGTCAGGCGGATGCCCGGCTGCGTCACGAGTGGGAGGGCCGAGATGGGCTTGCCGTCTGGGGTGTGGTGGGTTTGGTAGTAGGTGATGATCCTGGGCAGGGCCGGTGGCGGGGGGACGGGAGCCATGGTGGGGTCGGGTCGAGAGCGAGGTTGGTGTTGAGGTCCAAGTGGTTGTGATCCCGGACGTGGTCCAAGGTGAGACTGAGGGTGGTGAGCGTGGTGAGGGTCAGAGCTGCCACCGTCGGGCTGGAGGTGGGGCGTCTGCAGTGCTTCATGGGGCAGGAGCAGCCTCTTGAGAACAAAACATGGGTCAAGTATAAGCAGTGTCTTATATACCATCAGAAGCCTCCATCTCTGCTGGACCACGATCAGGATGGGCCTGAGGGAGGGCATATACTCAACAAGCAGAGGCGTGCACCCAGGAGTGAATGAGTGAGATGAGATGCTAGCGACTCGGGCTTGTTGGCACACAAGTCAACCCCTCAGTGGGTCCATCCTGCTTGGAAGAGCTGCACACTGACCCAAGAAGCTGGCTCTCTGGCTCTCTGGCTTGACAATATCGCCGCTTTAATACGTAGTTTCTACAAGTATGTGATCCTATCCCATCCCAATTTCAAGGTCAACAGCAATCTTGACAGTGATGCAGACACAGACCAGTAGTTCCTCAGGCAGAACTAGACATGAAGTGCACTTGACACCACGTTCCCCAACTCCACCACAGCAGCCAGGCCACGGCCCCCTGCTGTGTAGACATACTGCCAAGCACCGTTTAGTAAACGGTAACTACTCCTACTTGGAAGCAACTCTAGTCGAATTTCCATTTTCTCACTAGTCGAGATGCAGCTTACGGAGTAGGTAAGCAGGTGTCCTCTAACCCAACCAGCATCACCACTTTCACAGCTTGGTCTTGATATTTGTATAGTAGACCACTATCAACCTGCCTTGAGTTATCAACTACTGTTGAACTTGTCTCTGATCAAGAGGGAAGGGCTTTGGCTCGCCAATCCAAAGACATGAGGCATGTCTCGGTGGTGGTTGCAGGCCGGGTCGGTCCCGCACCGGATCGGCACAATTCGGCACCCCACACGACCCCACGCCACAATAATAAGCTTTATAATTTTGAAACTGACCCGTGTTCCAACGCAAATCAGCGACGGTTCTGTAGTGTAGATGGTTATCACATCGGATTCTGACTTCCGCAGCATCCTTCCGGGAACCTGAGTTCGAGTCTCAGCAGAACCTTCCTCTTTTTTGTTTTTTCTTTGGGCACACCTTATTGCTTCCTTAGAAACCACGCAAGCCGAAGATGTCCAGCAGATCCAAATCTCCTCTCGTAGCAAGGTCACCAGCGCCGTACAGCAAAGGCAAGCACCCAGACCGGTTGTCGGGGAGAAGGGGACGCCAGCGCTATAGAAGGGAGTCAGGCGTCAGGACAGTTGCCTGAGAGGAGAGAAGAGGTCTTAGCCCTCCCAGCTACGCTTAATTAATGTACCGCAATGAATATCGCCAATGTTGTTAATTGTGAGGCTATTCCACAGGGAATTATCCCATAAGAGGTGGGAGGTTATCTTATAGGAAGTTAGAGATTGTCTCAGATGAGGTTACAGAGGAAGATATCCCATAGGAGATTAGTCCCCCTGTCCTAGACAATCCTGGCCAGACAGTTTCGCAGCGAGTGTTCATGGACACCTAGACACAGCATGGTGGCTTCCCTGGTTGTACAAATCACATCCCTCTTCCTCACAACGTTTGTTTCTCATCACGAGGGAGCAAGATTATAAGCCATGGACCCGCCGCTCCCCTCGGAAACTGCCCAGAGCGTTGCAAGAGAGACGGCCGGACGTTGTTACAAGAACCACTTGAGTTACGCATGGCGAATGCCTCCACTCGCAGAGAATTAGAAGACATGCTAAACCATGATATGGTGAAGACCTTCCAATGAGCCCCAGAGATCGGCCGTCAGTCGGCGGAGGCTCTGCGTGAGACATGGCGCAGTCTAGCATACGGCCACTATGCCCAGCATCTACGAAGGCATCCGCGGCGAAGAAAGCGCAGCTCTAGCTGGCGCAGACGGACACACAAAGGCGTGAGCATTCTATCGTGTCCGCAAGATGAGTTTAAGCATCCAGGGACATCAAATATAGGGCCCTCGAGACGTAGGGCAAGGCTTTGAATGAGTCGTGAAGCTCCTACTCCTACTCCTGATCCTGATCATCACGTGCAATCAGCACCTTCTCGTAAATCACAGGCCAAAGCAAATACCACGGGTGGTTCGATACCACGAGTAACTCAATACTACGGGTGATTTGATACCACGAGTAATTCAAGATCACAGGTGATTTGATAGTCTTAAAGTGAGAACGAACATGGATGAATATACAGTGGTGGTCAGTGGGCAGTGGACAGTAACGAAGCGGAGGGGACCATTGTGGTAGGGGCAATATTCACTCACATCAAAAGTCAACTGCTAATGACCTATCCGTATAGGCTGTAGCTGTAACAACAGCCCGATGCCCCCAGCTGCCCATCTATTTCAGTCCTTGAACCTAAGACCGTAGGTCAAGAACAGGAATCTCCAGCAACACTTTCGCGGAACCGGCCGGCCGACAGCAACAGTCAGAAGACCTACACCACGTATGCACAGCTGACGCGAGAGAACTTGGACACTTTAAACAAGATGGCGAAGGAAAAGGGAGTTATTAAGAATACGGAGATTTAAATCTACAAAAACGGAAAGTACACCGGTACATCACTCACGCCCGCCATAGCTGCAGCAATTAGAGCACATCACCGAAGTCTAATTCATACCCGCATACCCAACACCCACACACCCAAAGCCTATACACCTGCTATCCAACACCCATACACCCATACACTTATACACCCAACACCTCCATACCTACTACACACACACCTAATACTTATACACCGAACACTTATATGCCATATATATATGAGTATATCGCTATGTATTCATCAGATATCCCAATGACGCTGGTGTAAGCAACGGCCTACCTGTTACTCAACCTGACTTCATCAAGGCTCCAGAGATGCAAGAATACCACCCGTTCCCAATATACGAGCATATCAAGGGAGCAGTTCTCTACAAAGATGACCCTTGGTCACCGACGCTGCTGCACCCCGCCGGCGACTGGAAGGACTGGGAGAAGGACATAAAAGACGCAAGGCTGTAGAGCGCCTACAACGGAGCCGCCTTCGCGTAGACGAGGAACCAGGCCCTGTCCTAACTCGGGAGACCTGAAGACCCCCCCGGGGGGAGGGAACGCGGAGGTCTTGACCTTCGCCACGGACGGCACCAACCTCGACCTGTTCGCGCACTATGCTGCCCCATCCGAGCACGGAAAGCTCGAATACCAGCAGTATCCTGTCGATTCGGCAGACCTCACCGGCTAGTATCAGGGGCTCAGGGCCGGCTGGAGGGGGCTTGGGAACGGGCAAGACCACGCGAGGAAACAACCACGCGCCGTGACGGACCAGCTGAGGGAACGCTGGAGGCAGCATCGCGACGCCCCGGCCCTCCACGCCATCGCCGATGGGGCTCCTGTCCCCACTGCTGCTGTTCAGACAGCAGCAGCTCGAGCACCAACTCGGGGGGCCCGACACCATCCGGCAGAGAACGTTCATCTCGCCAGAGTGCCAGGTTGAGTGGAGTGGCTGAGAGGGGGAGGGGGAGTGAGTATTCATCAATCCTGCAGTGACCACACTGGGAACAAACGAACGAATACTATGGTAGGCCAATGTATGTATATTCGTACATGTTACATTCCTCCACCTGGGCCCCGACCCCTGCCTCCTCTCCCACATCGGACCGACCGACTGCACGCAAAGACGCGCACGTCACATAAGACAGACCACACACGCATGTATCTTCCTACGTAGAGACCACTGGCAGTGGGCGGAGGGCGCCGCAATAGTCGCGAATTCCTGGTGGTGGTCCCGCTCAGGGCGCCCCCCTCAGGGCGCCCCCCTCGGGAATTCATATAGATTAACTAACCACTACTACTGAGATCAGATCTCAAACCGAAAAAAAAAAGTTTCCATCCCATGCATGCATGTGCGTAGTTCAGGATGGTCGACCGCCACGCGCCAACGTCCAGGGATCTTTTATCTGCCGCGGGGTGCGCCGGGGGCCTGAGCGAGACCTGGCAGACCTGTCTGGCCTGCCATTGGCGTTGGCACCTCGGGGGCCCGAACACCTCCTTCGGGAACGGTGCTTGGCCGTCACACTTGCAGTGCATCCTTCCGTCAACGGCAACGCCTGAGAAGCCTCTTTGGGGGGGGGGGGGTACCCTGAGGCCGTCACTGGTATTCTCCGTTGCTGCACATCGCATTGGTTTTGTCACAAGGGTCGGGCACGAGCAAGATTCCAAGACTGGGGAGGGCCTGTCCGCGCCGTGTTGGCATGCAGTAGTCTCGACCCAGATGCTGGGCACGTAGGTGTGCCCCATGCATGACTTATGAGGCAGAGAATAAACCAGCAACGCCCTGGGTGGCGAAGAGAATATGAAGATTATAGCTACAAGAAGGTGACCGCGATATATGCTGAGATATATAGGTGTATATGTGTATAGATGCAAAACGTGCCCGCATATGCGCGGCATACAAAGGCTTGAATTTCTTTTCCACCTTGCAGACGTCCTGGTCCTGACGCGTCTGACGTCGCTTTGCTCTCAAATCCAAAATCCTCCAATGCAGAATAGGAAAACAAAGTGTCTTGATGCTCTCTGCCTTCCCACTGATTCCCCCAGGATGGGGGAGGAAGGGTTTTTGTAATGACATTTGCAGGCCGGCTCGGGATATCGGTGTGGAAAGCAGTTTGAACGCCAGTGCCTATAATGTTTGAATGTGATTGTGTGTTCTTGCACCACAAAGTTCCGGCCGTGACGAGATAGACGATGGATATGGGGTCATGACAGTCATGAGTTGCTGATCTGGAAAACAAAAGTGAAGAACAGGCATTACAATGGTTTGTAAGTTCCGCGTGCAAGAAATGAAGTACGATCTGGAGCACCCCCTGACAGAGCCAGCCGGGATGGGTCTTCTCGTCTTGGTCGTGGCGTAGGCCTTTTGTTGGCGTGTCGATAGAAGCTGGGCGATGTACGCCTAGCCATGAGTGACCAGATCGGGAGCGACCTGGACGAAGATACCTCTGTATCCTTCGACATCGACCACGGATATCAAATCCTCGGCCACATCGCCACCCGTGGTCTTGGGTGTAGGCCCTCACAAGAAGCCACCCTCGCCGCCGAGCACACCCACGCCGTTCCGCCAGCTGCTGCACATCTGGTCGTGGGCATTGCGGTCCACAGCACGCTCCCTCTCGTTCTTTGGTGAGTTGAAGAGGGGCGGCGGCCCACGAGGCTGCATTGCCGAGCGAGACAGCCCAGCGGGCTGAGCTTCTGTCTCGCCGCTAGGGCTCCCGTTGAGTAGCAGGCTGCCGGTACTGCTCAACCTCCTCGTGAACTCGGTAAAGCTGAGTCTCTTGCTACCGTTGCTCGCTACCGATTGCCGCTTCTGCCCTTCTGCTATCGTGCTCGTCCGGTATAGAGCCGCCGCCGGATTGAGCCCGCCTACGCTCTCCTGAATCGAGGTTCTGCGCGAGGTCACGCTGCTCCTCCCCGGCGACACGTCGAGGGGCTGCTGGCTGACGCTCAGGTTCAGGCCACTGAGGCCGGTTATCTGGGTTTGACTGTACGATCTCTGAGCAAAAACCGGCCTGTTGGAAGAGCCTCGACCAAGGTTGGACCCACTATTCAAAGCCATCAGCGTCTCGGGGTTGAAGGCGATGGGAGACCGAGGTCCCATCGTGCCACGAGGAGACTGAGATTGAGGCGTTCGCCGCCCAGACACGTAGCCGAGTGTCCTCCGTGACTGGGCACGGATGCCTGCTTGATCTTCCTCCACATCGTCCTCTCGTCCGTATCCAGAGTCGCCATGGGTCGAATCCGAATCCGAGCCTCCCGGGCCGTCATCTGACGAGTCGTCCAGGTCCCAAGCACTTCGTAGCCCAGCCTGCTGCAACGAACCCGGTGGGGAAGCAGGCGGTGAGGCCGGCCGCCTCATCATCGTCTGTGGCCTCTGTGTCCTGTCCTTCCTTTGCTCATCCGCCTGCTGCATCAAGGCTTCGAAGCGGGCGAGCGAGCTCAACTTCTCTTCGCCTGGGACCTGCTGATCAGACCCTGGAATGCAGTGCAATTGGAACGCTCTGTCCAGGATCGTCTCTCGCGGGGCTGGCGGTGAGCCGGACTCTATGGTTGCCGGTGGGGAAAATGGAGGCATGGACCCCATGCTGTCGCGTACGTTCCGTACTGGGGAGCTCAGGGTGGAAGATCGCCCCTGCGCTGTGGTCCAACCTTCTATAAAGCCGCCGTAGTGCCCTCCAGCTGTGGTTGCAGGCGAGGGCAAGTCCGATGGCATCACAGAAGCATAGGTTTGCGGCGCAAGCGGTGGCACGTTGATGCCAGCTAGTGACGAGATGTCGCTGCGCCGGGATCGACTCGGCGTGTCGGAGAACGTAAGGGGTCTTTCCCGGCTCGAGCCTGTCGCCGCAGACGTCTTGTGCTGCAGTGTTGACTTCGGGGCACTTGGCGGTCTGTTTTGGTAGTACTCGGAAGCGTCGCGAGGCTGTCGCTGTGCGAAGGGGCTGTTGAAACTGTTGGAAGCCGGAGACATCGGGCTCATTGGGGTTACGTCGGGCATGTTCGGTTGGATCGTGGCTTGTATGGCCCTCGCCCAGTCGTTGAGACTCTGTCCCTCGCGGGTAACCTCCTCAGCTCGAAACCACAACGTCAGCGGGCCGGACTCCCTGCTCGAAGCAACGAGACCTGCTGCTCGACTCGACCGACGTTTGCGAAGCTTGTCTGTGGCAGGATCAGGGGCAATGGTGATGATGAGGGTTGGTAGCACTGGTCCCTGCTTGCGATGCGCAACCATCTGAACTTGGCATTGGGCGATGGTGTTGGCGGCATACTGTTGGATAGGCTCCCGGTCGTCCTGGGCCAGGATGAAATTAGTCCAGTTGCTCACTTTCGCAGGTGCGAGGGCACCACGCGGATGGTCTTACCGAGGCTTTGTATATTGACAGATAGGTGGCGCCATCAAATGAGATATTACTCTGACTCCGAGATGTCCCTCGGCCGTCTTTGCAACGCGCGCCTGGCTGGGCTTGGGAAGGTGAGTCCTCGGGCTTCACTTCGCGCTGAGCACTCCCAAGAACTACGTAACGGGCCTGCTCTCTCGAGGTCAGAACGACGGGAACAAAAGCAAGGCGCAAGAAGGCGAGGGGCGGGTGCACACCTTCCACAATGCCCGTCCCAGGATTGTTCCCCTGTCGGGCGGGACAGTGAGATAACCCTCCATATTGTTGTCGTACTTTACAGACCGGTCTGATGTGGGTGTGGGTGAGCAACCTTGGCAGGTTCACCTTAAGAATCCTCAGATCCTCTGTGCAAGAGAAGTGCACAGTCCAAGGCAAGTTGAGGAATGTTGCAAGTAATGATTAGGCATTAACCGACACACATGATGAAGAAGAAATGCAAAACAATTCAGCACGGGGCCAGGCCGGGATAAGGCTTGCAGGTCTGTGTCTCTCGCTCACTCGTCCTTGATTTTCTTTACATCCAGCAGAAGACAAGCACACCCTGCCCTTCACCGAGGGTCCGGTCAAGGTAGCGGAGGGGAGGGGAGTAAAATGGGTACGAGCGGACGGATTCTTGGGAAGGCGAAGGGTCACTGCCTGCCAGCACTGCAGCAGGGAGGAAGGAATACAGTCTTCTTCATCTGGATGCGGGAAGGGACAGGGACAAGGCTAGAAGAAATAACCCATGGGACGCAATCTAGACGAGACAATTGGCCGATGTGGTCACAAAAGGTGGCCTCCATGCATGTCGTCCATTCATTGATCAAAGGGGCGGCTTGCAACCAGATCGTGCATGTGGGTACTATACAGATTAAACGAAGAAGTGGAAAGAAAAGATACCGGGATGGTTGTAATAAAACAAGATGGATATTGACAGGCCTGAAACGGACCGGGGCAAGTCTCTCTCTCTGGCCAGGGGCTGCTGCGTACCGGCGCGGTAGATTCCTCCTAGCGCACGGCTAGGACGTTCTATGCTGTGGTCGCCGCGTGTCCGGTTTACTTTTCAGGCACGCGCACATCATGTACATGGGTCAGGTCCGGTTCTGGGTTGGGGGCGATTCCAATAACCCAGCTCTGAGCCGGAGCGAGCTCCCTCCTCAGATGCAGGTGGATCCTCTCGATCAAGCGAATTGAATTCTGCAGCCGGCAGGGAGAAGTCGCCATCCAGGAACCATGGGATGCAGGGTCTGCCAATTTCCAGTTTTCCACCGACGGGAGAAGACTCCACAGCTTCCATTGCCGATCAAAGATGCCTTTTGGCTTTCGACGACGGGTGGTCTAGGGACAGCCATGTGCGCACCCGTCTGAGGCGCACATTTGCAGGAAATGCATTGTTTCTGAACTGTGTGGGCACCGCCCAACGACGGACGGACGCCGCTTGTTGGAAATGAAAAATCTCAACAAGAAGCCTGAAGGACGTCGCAGCAGTAACAGCGAGGTCCAGTAACCAAGGCTTTCACAGATAAGACTGGGCACGCAGATACGGTAGGCTTGCGCCCTTGCCGGTGTGCTGGCGTTGTTGGGGGTGAAAGTGTGGACCGAGAACAGGAGTCTTGAGGTCAGGTGAAGGCGAAGGTGACCAACCCCCCAGCGGCGACCTGCATGTGTGGCTTGACATGTTCTGACCGTCCCAGCCGGCGGGCCTCGCTGTTGCAATATGGCCGACCGGCCCCTTTGTCATAGGGCTCGGATTGGTCAGATTTGGCTTCTCTGTGGTTGCGTTCGAGCCCTTGTATGTAGGTCCCAACGATGGGAATGCAACATGGTCCCCTGCTCGCAGCTGCAGTGTAACAGGAGGACGCAGGAGCGTGGATTTGCTCTGTCGGTGCGAGGGGCAAGAGATCTACCATCGTATGCCGGGGAAGCTCTGAAAACCTTCCGCATTGCTCCCAAGCTGCTGGCAATGCAGTCAACGACAGCAGTCGTGGCCTCCCATGACGAATCACCAAGCAGAGCAAGGGCAGTCAGTCTGCCGGTCTGCTAGAATCTGCGGTCTAGAATGGGAACTTGTACTCCTTCGAGTACCATTGCCACCGTTTTGGGCCTTGGAGGGCGCCACGCAACAAGGGGTAGTGGGCCTGAGTGTTTTCTTTTGCCTCTTGACGTTTCTGTTCAATTGCGAGCCCGAGGTCGCTTCGTCACGCTTTGACTCTGGGGTCTCCATCCTGGCTGCTGCATTCGTGAGACCCGATGGGTGGATTCAGGGACCTCTGGTGCTCCAGTGGCCCAGTAGTCCAGTACTTGGTGCCAAACGCAGGGACTGTCCTGCACCATACTGTACCGCGGAGAACATTATTGCGCGCGCGGTGCGGCACGGATCGCCATCTGAGTTGCAACGGTCATGAGGCCATGTCACCCCGTAGGAGCAAGGTGGCGAGAGTGGCTGGCAGGTTCGTATACATACGTCGTTTTTTTACAAGGCAGGCTGCTGTGTGGATGGATGAAACAACGATGCTGCGCATGCAGTTCGCAGCTCGATCGCATCCGCTGCAACGCGCGCCCGTTGAGCTGCACGACACCAGCAGGGGAAGGCGCAGATGCGGTGCGGTACAGCTGCGTACAGTCAAGTGATCCATGATGTCGACGGAGAGTCAGTCACTCAGTCACTCAGCCAGCCACGGGCTGTGCCGGCAACCGATCCATCACCACTGTCGGAAGATGATCGAGGGGCTTTCGGGGTGGACTGCATGTTGCTGTGTTGTGCTGTGTTGTGGTGAGAGTGCTAAGGCCGATTGTGAGGGTGAAGATGAAGGAGGGGCTTTGCCTGCCGCCTTCCACCTGCCATCTTTTCCGTTGGCCTAGGCTCTCCACAGTGTCTACCCGCACGTAGGTAGTGCAGGTTTGGCATGTACGCACGGCCAAGACAAGACGCTCCTTCTGGCACTACCCGCTCTGCCGCCCACACACCCCTTCCCGTCTGATGTTCTGACGGGCCTGATCCCACTGTGTGGGCCCCTGCAAAGTCATCGACGGGTCTACCCGAATCAGGCTAATAACACAATCCCAACTCCAATAACAAGCACGTCGTCGATTCGTCAACTCACCATCCCGGAGTGGAGCGGGCATGGCCCCGTCCCGTCCAAGATGAGCCCAGAAGCGGCCGTCGTCTTCACGGTCTCCAGCCATCACACCTCACCGCTTGAATGCAATCTTATTACACACCTGGCCCAGTGCTTGCGTCCACGCAAACAACCGAATCAGAAGCCCGGAGAATCTTCTACTGTGGGCAGCATCGCGCCCGTATCGATCTCAGCATCGCAAGCCTAGCCCCGAACGATCTCAGGCCAAGGGGATCATCTGCATCCAGGCGTGTGGTGCGCTGCACACCCACCTCTGGTCAATATGGGCTTCTCGCTTATCATTATTATTATTATTACTGTGACAGGTTTGACTGGCTGGGCTGGGCAGGGCTGGGTGTGATGGCTTCATCGATCGGTCCAGCTGTCAAAACGCCCCTGCTCCTCTTTGCTTTTTCTTCGGCACTTCACGAATTCAGGATCTGATGGCGTCAAGACTTGCTTTTGATGCAGCACACTTCCAATATTCCAATTTTGGCCGCCTTCACACCGACCGGCCCGAACATTCGAGACCTGGTCCCTCGCGACACCACCTGCCCAAAACAAGCATCCAATTGCATCCACTCAATCAATCAACTATTCGGCCTGCGGAACGACTGTGACCCTCCGGTGCAAGCGTCGCTCCGTACTCCGTATTCCGTGGGATCTGCTCAGTCTTGCCTACTACGTGCTATACCTTCGGCTAAAATTAGGTGCAGGCCAGGTCCATTTGAGGCATCCAGCCCGGCGTCTTCCTCGATTTGTTGAAACTAGAGAACTTTGCTCGAGTCCCGCCTGACCAACTGCACAGAGTTTCTCTCCAGCTGCAGGCAGCCACAAGACGCCATTGTCAATGCTAATGCCAACCGTCCATCCAGGCCATCTCGCAGCCTTGCAGGTGGCTGTCCCCATCCATCAGCCCCTGCATTAGGACTGCTTCCTGGGGGGGTTCTTGACTCAAGTCACACCACTGCACGCCGGAGAGTTGCACCCAGTCCTTCACACTCAGCCGCTTGGCACTTGCCTACTGGCTCCTGGCACCTGGCTAGCCGTCCTTTCTCGCCCATCTTCCGAGCACTGGTGCTGTTCGCGCCACGTGGTTTACCCGCCATAATGACACCAACCTCGGAGGTCGTCTTGCTCGCCGATGTCGCGTGTTCAGGCCGCCTCAGTTGACGGTCCCTTGGGTCCTGAACCCCCAAAAGCGCCGGCGGATTGTGACAACCCCGGCCCGCATGCATCAAGATCCTCACACGTGCTAGTGGGTGCTCTCGGAACTCTACTGGCCGGTGGTGTTGTCAATGTCTACCTACCCGACGACCAGCTGTGGCTGACACCCGTTGAGCCGCCAATGCGCTATCCACGCAGCTTTTCCAAGCCCGCCCGGCGGTCCCTGGGCGATGAGAAATTCAACAGCTTGCATGAGATGCTGGCAATACCCCGGTGCAGCCGAGGCCCTCTCCCTTCGGCCCGTTCGGGTGCTTTTCTACGGAGCTTATGTCTCGCATCGTGTTTCTCCGCCAGGGCACCCGCACTACTGTTGTGTCGACACGGAATCAAACCGAGGCGATGCCTTCAACGTATCCCACAAATCATTGCGGGTAAGCTTGCGATGCCCCCAGTACTCGTCCCGCTCCGCCAGCCAGGCTACCAGGATGGCACAAAATGGTGTTTGGGCTCCGAACCCAACCGGGGTCCTTGACGATAGTCCCAGGGCGCTGGGAGTCTACCGAGGTCCTTCAGAAAAATCCCCGTCAGTTATGCTGTGCCGACGCGCCAGCACGTACATATGGCGCAGGGGCTGGACCACAGCCAGAATGGGGCCGTCAGAGTGGATTCGTCTCAAGAGAAACCTGCTCGCATGCGTGTGATCCCAAAGTCGTCACGTATTACCCCGGATGGTACCAGCCATGTGGTTCAAACGGGCGGGTTTGCCTCGTATAGGTGAGACGGCCGGATTCGGAAGGCCTACCAACGACATGGTTTCTGTGGAAGCGAGCCCATGCACGCTCCGACACTGCGGAGAGCCAACAACCGAGAAACTTATCTCTCACTTTGTGGACGTCATGTGAAGATCCATTATGAGGTACGTCTCGTATCATGTCGATATTGCTTGTCTTCCAAGGCCCATCTTCACTCTCGGTGATCATCGCTGCCGCCAGCACACAGTCTACTTCCATCCCACTCTGCACTGTCCTCTCGTCTCCACGAAAGCCCCCATTTTTTCTTGCTTTCTCCAGCGCACAGGATTGCCCGCAGTGGCTTGGTCGAAAGATTGATACCGAGTATCTGGGAACTGCACGGCAGGCAAGGACCCGCAGCTGAGCGCATGGGAAGCTGCAAAAGGACCGCGATCGACAGGGTGAGGCAATCCGGGTCGTCGGTAATGTTAAATGACATGATCCACAGCGACGGGTCCGTGATGACCATTCTGCAATCGGCTCAGTGACATCCGACGGGTTCGAAGTGTGCTCGCGATATTGGGGGGTGTTGAAGCTTTGGTCGGCCGGTCTATCAGGCCGTGCCCTCATCTCCTGCCGTGCCGTTCCCCCAGTCTGATGCGACCTGCCCACGATGATCACCACCGTGGGCTTGTTTGCTTGCGCGCAGCTGAGACGAGATCACCACCACCCTGTTCGAGTGACGCATGCCTCTACAGATCGGACCCTCGATCTCTACCACGTCGGCCATAGTCCACGCCCCACCTGGAGAGACGCTCCGGGGCTCGAGCCCCCCCCCCCCCCCCGGTTCCAGGCAGCACTTTACGGTACCTGTCAGACCCCGTTTAGACGAGCGTCGCTCGTCTTCATTCTCATTTCACTCGGGCGAAGCACGAGTAATGCCAACCGATGCGAAGCACGATTCTGCTCCGGGGGCACTCACCAGGCACCCGCATATGACGTCTGAGTGCTGGTAATAATAGAGTCGTCGAGCAAGGGGAGGGAGTCAAGTGACGAGAAGAAGCTGCTGGGATCCCGTCTCTCCCCAGCTTCTTTCCCGTCCCGATTGCAAGGGTTCACATCAGACCCGAATGAGACTATAACTGTAATTCTTCACGAGCCGGACTTCGCACCCCGGTCGTCTGACGGGTCACAAGAGTGGTGTTATAAGTGATATGTTATCGGGTTATTGAGACCGCTCCTCTCGGCTATGCAGCAGAACGGGGTTTTTGATACAGTCTGCTGGTATTAGTACTAGTTGTTGTAGGTGTTGATAGGTTCTTGCTATTCGATATAGGTCAACTTTGGGCAAGTTATTTCTTTGCATCAAAGATTTCTCCGGCCAGGTCACATCCCGGCCCCTGTGCAGATCGTCCGTAGTGTTTCAGTCAAGAATCTTGGTATCAGCTTCAGATAGAGTATGTCTCGTGATGACGGCGAGGTCAATATGGGTGTGAGGCGCCCATAGTATGGTACAAGAGACGCTTTTCCCGGTATATTCCAACGGCAGCTGGTTGGGAGAGCTGACCGTTCTAAAAACATGGGTGGTGCCTCGCACCAGCACCTGGGCACTCCTGATCAGCCGACCAACTCACCTCCAAGTCTGACCGCAATTTCACAAGCACCAAAGTCCGCCGATGTGGCTCTCAGCCATCGCCGGGGATCTACGGATGCCGCCTTGCTCCTGCGGCAGTGTCTTCCTCGAATGGGGGAACGCCTTCAGCCGCGAAGGAAGTATGACGCTTCGCGCCCGTACGGTTTGGGTTTCTGAATAGCCCCATCAAGTTTCACCCGTATCTTCCGGTGTTGTGTGTCACTGTACAGAGCCCGCGGTCGACCATGGTCTTCAATATATGCGCGCAGAGACATCAAAGGGTGAAAAAGATATCGTCCAGGGCATGTATCTTGGGCGTGTTGTGATGGATAGCAGGGACGTATGTGTTTCATCAACCGTCCAAAACGATCTCATGGGAGTGCGGTCACACATTCAAGGCCATAAATACTTGCTCTAGACCAAATCCCTTGCGCAATCCGTCAGTCCTCGCGTGTAAGCGTTTCCCACGCGTCTAGAAGGCTGGGGGCACCGTAAGCAACGCGCACCGTAAATGTCCGAGCCGTCAGCGTGTTGGGCGTATCAAAGTGAGAACTGAGCAATGACGAAAGGGACTTGCGCATTCCCCGTCACGCGATCTAGGAAGGATGAGAGGGGAAAGGGGGAGCGAGCAACCTGTCAAGGGGCCCATGCTGCGGAGGGGGGGGGGTTGGTGATCTTGCCCTCCACATATCTGGATCACGATGAAGGTCTTCCGGCGCGGCAGAGATTGTTTGCGAGGGCGCTGCCGATGTCTGAAGCTGGTGTTGGCGGGGGCTTTTCCTCACAGCCCGATGGTGGCTACAGGGTGTAGTTGAGCTGCACAGCACTCTAAGTAGGTGGTGTACCCGGTAACTGGGTGATACCAAGGCGGTTGAATCTGTCGAGATATGGGTGGATCTTGCTCCTTATTCAGCGGCAGTCTGGCCTTGATTTGGCAAAGTTCAGGGAATACCGAAAAGATGGCTCCCTGCCCCCAATTGTCTTCCACTATGCAAAGAATGGCTCTGCGGCGTCCATGCAGCGTGTGTCCCATTAATATAGTAGAGATGTCTTTCCCCGATGGCACACCTTGGATAAGTGGCTGCGTTGGAATGGGCTGGCGATGTTTCAACCTCTGACATTGATTGTTATTGCCACGAATTTTAGTCTAGATGCTCATATCTAGTTGAGGAAGTTCATCCAGCGCAATTTCGAACTTCAAGCTGTGGTGGAACATCATCCATGAGGTTGGCAAAGGGCTTGCATGTTGTGACTAGATCGCACAATAGGCTTTGATACACCTGGTGAGGCTGAACCGAGCTGTAAACAGTAGGTCTCGCTCGAAATACAAAATGATAGTACTTGCAACCCTGAGAAGTAAGGATATCGCACCCGTCCTATCATTGAGGCGCTGTGCTGAACTGTGTCAAACTCAACTTGTTTTGGCAACCTGGCAAGGATACAAGGGGCCGGAAACCAGAAATGCACAAGAAAGATAATGTACAGGAAGGATTGTCGTGGTGTACCTATATCCCACATTCAAAATCTGAAGAGGAGGAGGCGGGCAAGCGGAAGGTTTGGCTCATCACCCGACCCATCCACTCTCACACCCCCCCCCCTTACCGGAAGTTATTCTCAAAGCGCTTAAAGGTGTACCCTATGAAAGGCAGTGTCATCTCTGGCGTCTCCTGCTGCTCGGGTGCTGCGGCGGCTTCAAGCCCGCCGTCAATCTCCATCGCGTTGGCGGCCTGCTGCTCCAGGTCCTCGGTGGGGAAGTAGGCGGTGTCGATGTCTGACGACAGTCGCGGCTCGAAGGGGGCGCGGAAGCGGCGGAGGTTGTCAAAGTCGACGCCCGCGAAGAACGGGTGGCCTTTCAGCTCGTGGGCCCCGCTGCGGCCGAGGCGGTTCTCGCTGTTGCAGACGAGGCTGTGTGGTGGGTTAGATGGGAAATGAGCAAGAGCAGGTAGGCGCATTTCTTCCTCTCCTTGGGTAGGGTAAGAGAAGCAGGGTAAGGTTATGGACTGCATGGAGTACTTTTCCCCATGTGTATGTGTGTGTTGGGGCGGGGGAGGGGGACTGGGTATGGGTATGGGTATGTGTGGAATACATACCTTCGGATGAGGTGCTCGGCGTAGTGGCCTACCCGAACGTCGTCCGGGAAATAGAGGCAGTGCTGCCAATTTACTATCTTCCGATAAACGTCTCGCCGGTCCTCCGCGCAAAAGGGGGGCCAGCCGACGAGACACTCGAACATAATTGTCCCGAGCGACCACTGTGTTCAGACCAGTTAGCATTGGTGTTGAGGCGGGGAAGGGGGAGATATCCGCATACCCAATCACAGTCAAACGAGTATCCATTACCTGTCAGGATCTCAGGTGCTATGTCTGTGACAAGTTAGTGACTTGGAATGGGGGCTGGCATGAAGGTTTCTGGAGAAAATTACAGTCGGGTGTGCCAACAGCGGAATAAGCCATCAGTCGACGCGACTTTCGCCACTCGTTGATTTGTGCGCGGTTGCTAACAGTCAGGCTGATCTGGTCGATGTTGACGGAGTATCGATTAAAGTTCTGAGAGTTTCGCGACGGACCATCCGCGCCACCGTTCAAGAGTTGATGGTAGTAGTTGTTATCATGCAACTTCCGGAAGCCGGTTGAGAGGCCGAAATCCGTGAGCTTGACGTGGCCGCCTCGATCCAGCAGGATATTGTCTGGTTTGATATCTCTGTCTCCTGACTTTAGCCAAGCCCTGGGGATGAGCCCTGACAGCCGGTGGGCTTACCTGTGTATGAATTCGAGTTTGTGGACGGCCTCGATAGCCATAATCATCTCAGCCACGTAGAACCGTGTGATGTCCTCGCTGAATATGTCGTACTTGATCAACATGGTCATCAGGTCCCCTCCTTGCAGAAACTCCATCAACATGTACAGGAATTTGGTATCCTGAAATGTCGTGTACAGTTTGACGACCCATGGGCTATCGGACTCTGCGAGTATGTCCCTTTCGGCTCGCACCCGAGCGACCTGGTCTCCAGCGACCATCTGCGTCTTAACCAACGATTTCAGCGCATAGATCTTGCCGTCCGTCTTCTTGCGAACCAGCTTGACCTCACCAAAGGCGCCCTTTCCGATGAGTTTGATGGTCTCATAGTCGTCGGCCTTGTTGCGGGTCCTAAGAAATCGCAGATACTTGGCCTCCTGCCTACCTGCGTTGGTCCACGAGGTTTCCTGGCTGCATCTTGGGTCCCTCAAGCGTTGCTCCAACTCATTCTGTCTGCAGGAGCTTCAGCGTCTCGGCTCACCAGGATCACGGGGACTGATCGGCACTGACCGCAGGTTCCGCTCGCGAGCCCTCTTTACACTGTCCCTGAAGAAATCGGCGGCCAGCTGTGAGCATTTTGCCCTGTTCTGTCTCGCCCTGGGTCCATAAAGGTGAGGGTTGCGCTCAGGCGCCGGGGCAAAACCCTCGGATAACATGGATTCCGCTCCCCGCGGGGCCACGGTGTAAGCCGCGGGTAAATATGTTACAGTGAAAGCAGATGAAGGCGCTTCATCAAATGGTCGCTAGAACAATGACGGAAACAACGGGTAATGATGAAAATGCCAATATACACTTCCCGAGAAGACGGTCAAAAAAGAAAGGGCTGACAACAAGAGCCAATGCATGCCCGGTTGTTGGTTGTCTCAGGTGCGCTGGCCCCTATCACTGGGTTCCCCTAAGCCTCGAGTCCGAGGGTGAGGTTGGGTGTGGGAGAGGGGCTCCCAACTTTTTCCCTCCCAACCTTACGGGTGCTACGCGACAGCCGAGAAGGCGAATCATGCGTCCAGCATCGCAGGTGCGCCACAGAGCGATGAGACGGGCGCAGGCAGGCTTTCATGCTGCCCAGCTGAGGTCGACCCAATCGCCTGGGGGACGCCGGCTGGCTGTAACTCTAGCGCGCCGGGTCCATCGCCAGCGTCGGGGTCGAGCGAGTTGAAACATTTGGAGACACAGACGGTACGCTCATGTACGGGGCCGCAGCTGGGAAGAGACAAAGGAAGGCCCCGGCAGCAGCCGGCTTGGGTGGTGGACTGGAGATGTAGACCGAACAAACAGAACAAACAGCCTGACTTCATTGGGATATACCGCGCACAACATCTGGCAGAATACACTCTCAGATCTGCAACTCGGTTATCTCACCTGATACAAAGGCGTCATCAGGCCCCAAAACCCAAAGTAATTTGTCTGATGGTTTCTTCCATTCAGAGGGAATGCTTCCTCGACAGTGGAACACCAGTTGATCAGTACGGCAAGCGTGATTCCCCTCTGCCGCTGTTGCCGCAACGCAGCGCATTATCTTAGTTATCTTCGCCGTCTCCTCTAGCAAGATATGACCAGTCGTCCCATCGTCCAGAGGGGACCAGCCAGCTAGCTCGCCTCTTGGGTGCTGCTCATGTGACGCCATCCAATACTAGAGGCAGCGGAGGCAGTAACGGCCAGAACAGCTGTCTGTCCTAAGCAAAGTGATGCCCCCCCCCTGTCGTTTTGACTCACGCTCCCCCCTCTGCATAGAAAAAAAAGCCCTTCGCGCATACGCCCACGCAGCATTAATGCATATTAAGCCCTCCTTTAATTAAGCATACTTATATAATATTTTTATACCTTTTATATATTTTTTTATATCTTTTTTATACTTAATATAAATTTTTATATTTTATATTTTTTTATAAGTATTTATTTTATTATTAAATATTAAAATAGCTTATAAAAATAATTATAAAAGAAATAATTAAAGAAATTAAGATAATTAAAGATTAAAAAAAGGGGTGCATATGTTACGTAGGCATGCACGCGAAGGGCTGTTTTTTTCTATGCAGAGGGGGGAGCGTGAGTCAAAACGACAGGGGGGGGCATCACTTTGCTTGGGACAGACAGAGGGAGGTTGTCGAGGTGGCAGGATAGGCGAGTTCCCTCCGGAGTCTCACTCGCAACCCCACCTTGGGAAGGTGCTTCGGGATCTTCTTGGGGAGGTCTCGGGGGAGGAACAGCCTCCTGCATTCTGTGTGAGGACGAGCACCGACAACTGAGCACCTGCAGTCACATCCTGGACTGTTTTAACGTTTCTAGTATGCTATTGTGATATTGTGAGCATACGTGTGCAGTCTACAACCTTGAAGTGATTAGGCGGGTACGGTTATTGCCTGGAGGTCGGGCTGTTAGGTGGCTTTCCCCACCACCCTTCCCAGCAAACCAGGGCCCGTCCCCAAGGTTCTCCAAGCCCAACGGATCCCTGTCCACAGGTGCTTGCCGGTGGGTGTGTATCCCACCTTCTCGAGGTTGCTTCTTTGACCACATGTGTCGGTCCCCATCAACCAGACCACCTCTTCCGCAGCTGGCAGTGTTACTGTGGTTGGACAACACACACCACCACCGCCACCACCAGCAGCATCTCTTGTCTCTTTATCACACTGTCAACGAAAGCAAGCAAGCAAGCAAGGCAAGGCAGGCCGGCTAGACAATCAGCCCCAAGCAACAGCATGATAAGCAACCACTGCTAGCAGCCTGCCGCATGTCCAGATGACCCACGCCCTGCGGATGCCGTCATCCAGGCCCTCCTGACCCTTCCCGTAGACTCCACATACAACATAAACCATACACACACACACACACACACACACGTACACATCTAGGACGACTCTCCCAGGACCTCTCTCCCAGAAACACTCATACGCAAAAACTCACACACGAGGAGACAGACAGAAGACAGGGACTCTCCAGACACTCCCTCCAGCAGGCGACCAACGCTCATCCGAACCTCCTAGACCTGCCCCGAGCACCGATACCCTATCATCTAATCCCTTCGTTTCCGCCCCGTCAGCGGAGGTACGCAGCGGGAGATAGAGACTCCTGCAGAAGACGCCGTGGCGGAACGAAGCCCTCGTTCGACCGCCCCCATAACAACCCCATCCAGCGCCGACAATCCATCCACCACGCCACGTCCTCGATCTTCTCCCAGCACTGACCTCTCTGCCCCATCCTCGACCGGACCTGCGGCCTCCCAGCACCACAGCACCGACCCAGCCGTGCCCACCTCCAGCTCAGACACCCCGAGACACGGAGCTCGTGCCTCAGTCACCGACTCCGCCGCCCGCCAGGTGCTCGGCCGGAGACGACGGGCCGACGCCGACGACGGCTCCGCCCAGCTCCCTGAAGGGGCCACGAGCTCCCCTGCCACGCACAACACCACAAACGACTGGCGAGCATCCAAACGTACGCGCACAGGCAGCATGTCAGCCGACGGCGATGGAGAGGCAAGTTCAAACGGGACAACCAGGGCGGTTACCACCGAACCTCGGGCACCACAACGATCCTTCCCTGCGCCTTCGACTAATGGAACACACAAGGCTGTCACCTCGTCGGTAAATGGTTCGTCGGTGCAGAACGGGAAGGCCGCGGCCCGGGACCCTCCCCGCGACTACATAGGCCACGACCGGGAGGAGGTCACGCGCCTTATGATCCAGGCCCTCTCCGAGATGGGCTACCAGTCGGCCGCCGAGAATCTCAGCAGGGAGAGCGGGTACGAGCTGGAGAGCCCTACGGTCGCGGCTTTCAGGGCGTCGGTGCTGAGCGGGAAGTGGACCGAGGCAGAGCAGCTACTTTTTGGAGCGGCCACTGCTGGCGATGGTGCAGCCCGGGCCGGAAACGGCCTTGTACTGGCAGAGGGGGTCGACCGCGACGACATGAGGTTTCGCATACGCCAACAAAAGTTCCTGGAGCTCCTCGAGCAAGGGGACTACAGGCCCGCCCTGACGGTGCTTCGTAATGAGCTGACGCCTCTGAATCGCAACGGTGCTGAGTCACTCTCCCCTCTTATTATGTGTCGGACGCCAGACGACGTCAAAGCGAAGGCGGCATGGGACGGTGCACATGGTGAATCCAGACACAACCTGCTGTCCCAACTATCCAGTACGCGCCAAACCCCCCTGCCCCGCTTCACTTTTTAGTATGGCACTCCCAGCTGACGCTTTTCACAGGGTGCATATCGCCATCTGTCATGTTGCCGGAACACCGATTGGCAGTGCTGTTGCAGCAATTTAAGGATCAACAAGCCGAAAGCTGCATATGGCACACAAGCTCGTCCTCGCCATCTCTATACTCGGATCACACCTGCGACCCAAGCCGCTTTCCCACCGAAGCCATCATTGAGTTTATGGAACCAAGCATGGAGCCGGACGGAGAGGTCTGGCAAGTACGCTTTTCCCACAATGGGAAGTACTTGGCAGGGTGCGGCTCGGGCGACAAGGTCTTCATCTGGGACGTGGAAACACTTGGTCTGGCATTCAGCTTGGCGGATCTCAAGGGCGGTGTCGGTAACGTTGCGTGGAGCCCGGATGACACCATGCTTGTGACCTGCGGACGGGATGGCTATGCTCGGATTTGGGATATGAAAGTAAGTCAAGGCAGAGAGGCCCCAACGACATCATTGCTGACATGTTTGTCCAGACTGGAACGGAGATACGTCACCTCGATCATTTCTCAGAACCCATTAGTAGCTGCGTGTGGGCTCCTGATGGCCGCTCATTTGTGCTCGGCGCGTTCGACAGAGAGCGATCATTATGCACGTGGAATCTCAGAGGCGAAAAGATTTACACCTGGAGCAAAAAGAACCGCACCGAGGACCTTGCCCTTTCGGCAGACGGGCGCTGGCTGGTAGCCATGGACGACGAGGACCACATCCACGTCTATGACTTTGCAACCAAGAGCCTGAAATACGACATGGAGCTACCTAGTAGGCCTACGTCGGTGAGTATCACCAAGGACTCCAAGTATCTCTTGGTCAACAAGCAGGATGGTGAGGCACGGGTATTCGACATTGCCAGCCGCACATTTGTGCAGAAGTACAAAGGTCACAGCGGTGGCGAATACCTCATCAGGAGCGATTTCGGTGGCGCAAACGAGAACTTTGTCATCAGTGGTTCTGAAGGTAAGTTACAGCAACTCCGTCTTTTGACTGTCCACAATAGCTGACAGGCCCATGACAGATGGATCTGTGTTCATCTGGCACAAGAACAGCGGACACTCGGTCGCAAAGTTGGATGGTCACCGACCGCGGTGTAACGCCGTGGCCTGGAGCCCTACTGATGCGTGCCTCCTGGCATCCTGCGGTGATGACGGCGTAGTCAGACTGTAAGTCGTGGCCCACGTTGAATATCTATGTGTAGCGTCTGACACGTGCCAGATGGTCAAATAAAGCCCGACTACTGCAACAGACCGAGAATCATGCTGAGCGAGAGCGGGCGGGCGAGGTAGAGGGCGTCTATGGCCAGAAATAGGGTTTCGGCTGGCCCCTCTACTTCAGCCCAGAAATGGAATCCCGAGGCCTCTACTTGACCACTGAATGGTACCGCTCGATGTTTGTGGATGGTGTGTGGGCCGGGACCAGTACACAGCAGGGTCTCCGATACCAGACGCCAGATCATTAACTGGCACCAAGGCTCGCGAGCTGAAGCAGCCTCTGATTGCGTTGCCAATTGGCCGTGTACATACGAGTGTCTAATCATATTACTTTAGGAGTTCAACGTTATCGGGTATCCCCTTCCGGCCGTGGCGTTTGGGGGGGACTGATAGGGAGGTAATCAGGATCACACAGGAATCTGAGAGGCTACAGGGGAAGAAAACCCCCCAGCTCCTTGGACAATCATCATTGGCGTCGTCATTGCACCAGAGGGAAACTGCTGGCCTGTCTGGGTGGAAGAAACCAGCGAAGGTGGAATACAACTGGGTGTTTTCGGTATCGGTTCACAGAGGCTGCGTGGAGCAGCTAGAGTTCTCTTGGCAATAGGGATTCGGACGTGGCTTGAGGAAGTTTCTATACCCATAGGCGAAGAGCGCGGTCGTGAAGTGGTGAAGTATAGAAATATCGTACCGTTGCCAGGTCTTTCACCGGCAAATCCCCAATCCATAGAATCATCCTACATCGAGTAAGGCTATTGTGAAGATGTAGTCTACACAGTTGCACTGTTTATTCCCAACCGCTGGTGAAAACGACTGCTTTACTCAACAGCAAACCAGGCACCTGTCAAGGAAGAGGGCATTATCTGAGACTAGCTCAATACTAATAACAAAACATACACTTGAGATGAACCGGGAGGGAATGTTCATCCATCTGACCCGGGACGGCCTTGGCCGCGTTACCCCTGACAGAAGGCGGAAGCATGTGCCTGCTGCTGGCTGACCCCTTCTTCCCCTTGGACGGCGGCCTCGATCGGCTTCAGCCACAGCACCTGCCCGCCGCCTGCCCCTCAACTGGGCCCGCCCTGGGACCCGCCCACCGTGGCTTGTCTTGTCCTCACAACCCACGCTAACCCTGCAAGGTTGGCTCGGAAAGCCAGCAAAGCATCTGGGCAGGCCCAGTACGTACGTATACGTACAGCAACCCTAGTACGTCAACATCGATCGCCTTGTGACTGACTGCCGGCTGCTTGTGCTGCACCCTGGAAATCAAGACCAGCTTCCTTCATCAGCAAAGGCCCTCTTTGATGCAATCCCCTCTGCGACGGGCTTGCCTATTGCTCTATCGCCGGTTCACACCTCTCTGAAATCACACACAGCTCTTGACAGTTAGACAGGAAGATCTGCAAAGAACAGGGCCCCTCCTCCCTTGCGACTCCCACCGCCCCTTTGACGATACCCAACCAGCCTGCGAAACCCAGCCCAACAACCACCACACCACAGCCTGTTCGAATCTGGCATCCCACCACCGCTGCCGACACGACATCGCGACCACCTGCACCTCCCAACATGTCTGGCAACTTCTCCCAGCCGGGCGGTATCTCTGACCCTGCGCTTATCACGTACGTCCCATCACCACCGACTCCCCCACCATCGTGGCCATCAACGCGCCTCCTTTTTGGAGGGACCTCGCCCCGGGTCGCCAGGCGGGACACATATCCCAGACAGAGATAGGAGAATAGATACTGACAGCTAGCCTCAGACTCGTCAACAAGCTCCAGGATGTTTTCACAACCGTCGGCGTCAACAACCCCATCGACCTCCCTCAAATAGTCGTCGTTGGCAGTCAGTCCAGCGGTAAGAGTTCCGTGCTGGAAAACATCGTGGGCAGAGACTTGTAAGTTGGGCTGCTACACCATGTATCCTTGGGGCACGAAATGCCCCGAATAGAGATCCTAGCTGATCCTTTTCCGCGCAGCCTCCCTCGAGGTTCAGGAATCGTGACACGTCGACCACTCGTGCTGCAACTCATCAACCGCCCTGCCACGTCCCAGACCAACGGCGAGAGTGAAGGCGTCGAGGGTACCACCGATAAGGCCGCGAACGTGGACGAGTGGGGCGAGTTCCTGCATATACCAGGTCAGAAATTCTACGATTTTAACAAGATACGAGATGAGATCAGCAAGGAGACTGAGGCAAAGGTCGGCCGCAACGCCGGCATCTCGCCCGCCCCTATCAACCTGCGCATCTACTCCCCCAACGTCCTGACGTTGACGCTTGTCGATCTGCCTGGTCTCACTCGAGTACCCGTCGGTGACCAACCGCGCGACATCGAGAGACAAATCCGCGACATGATTGTCAAGTACATTGCCAAGTCGAACGCCATCATCCTGGCCGTGACGGCAGCAAATATTGATCTGGCCAACTCAGATGGGTTGAAGCTGGCACGTGAGGTCGACCCCGAGGGTCAGAGGACAATCGGTGTCCTGACAAAGGTTGATCTGATGGATGAGGGTACTGATGTGGTCGACATTCTGGCAGGGCGTATCATCCCGCTGCGCATGGGATATGTGCCGGTCGTGAACCGTGGTCAGAGGGATATCGACAACAAGAAGCCCATCCAGGCCGCGCTCGAGGCCGAGAGGGCGTTTTTCGAGAACCACAAGGCCTATCGTAACAAGAGCTCTTACTGCGGTACACCATACTTGGCGCGGAAGCTGAACCTGATCCTGATGATGCACATCAAGCAGACGCTGCCAGACATCAAGGCCAGGATTTCAAGCTCCCTGCAGAAGTACACGTCCGAGCTGGAGAGCCTCGGACCTTCGATGCTGGGCAACAGTGCCAACATCGTGCTGAACATCATTACCGAGTTCACAAACGAGTGGCGGACGGTGCTGGACGGTAACAACACCGAGCTCTCGAGCACTGAGTTGTCCGGCGGTGCGAGGATCAGCTTCGTCTTCCACGAACTGTACGCGAACGGTGTCAAGGCGGTAGACCCCTTCGACATGGTCAAGGACGTGGACATCCGGACGATACTCTACAACTCGTCCGGCTCGTCCCCTGCCCTGTTTGTCGGCACCACCGCGTTTGAGCTGATCGTGAAGCAGCAGATCAAGCGGCTGGAGGAGCCCAGCTTGAAGTGCGTGTCGCTGGTCTACGACGAGCTGGTGCGCATCCTCACGCAACTGCTTAGCAAGGCGCTCTACCGCCGGTACCCGTCGCTGAAGGAGAAGATGCACAACGTTGTCATTGGGTTCTTCAAGAAGGCCATGGAGCCCACCAATAAGCTGGTCAAGGACCTCGTGTCCATGGAGTCTATCTACGTCAACACCGGGCACCCCGACTTCCTCAACGGCCACCGCGCCATGGCCATCGTGAACGAGCGCCACAACCCCAAGCCCGTGCAGGTCGACCCCAAGACTGGCAAGGCGCTGTCGAACACCCCGGTCCGGGCCGCGAGCCCAACCCTGGCCGAGTCCAACCTGGGCGGGGACGGTAACAGCGGTTTCTTCGGCAGCTTTTTTGCGGCCAAGAACAAGAAGAAGGCCGCGGCCATGGAGGCCCCGCCGCCGACGCTGAAGGCTTCGGGCACGCTGAGCGAGCGCGAGAACATCGAGGTCGAAGTCATCAAGCTGCTCATCTCGTCGTACTACAATATTGTCAAGAGGACCATGATCGATATGGTTCCCAAGGCCATCATGCTCAACCTTGTAGCGTACGTATCAATTCACCCTCTTCCTTTCCAAAGACGATAGAAGTCACCCAAAGAAAACAATAAAATACAAGCCTGCTAACACTGTGCGACAGATTCACCAAGGACGAGATGCAGCGCGAGCTCCTGGAGAACATGTACCGGGCGGCAGAGCTCGACGACCTCCTCAAGGAGAGCGACTACACGATCCGGCGGCGGAAGGAGTGCCAGCAGATGGTGGAGTCGCTGGCACGCGCCAGCGAGATCGTCAGCCAGGTGCAGTAGAAGAACCTCTCCACCCTTGGGTGTGTAGTGCACAACTCTAAGGAGGATCTGGGGGCGTTTTTGCTGGCTGCCTTTTCCTTCAAAGTCCTAGGGGTGGGGGGCTGGCGGAGGTGGGACCGGGTTTGTTTGGATGATCATCGGAACTCAAAAGAGAGAAGAAACCTTGCACGGCGCAGTGGGCGGTTGTTCTCCTTCGATCTTCGCAAATTGGGCCGGGCTTGCGTTTACGTCCTTGTTCCGTGATTTTTAGACTGGGTGATGAGGGAGAGTGCTGCCCACATACGGGGAAACGCGTCGACGACTGAATGCATGCATGATACGGGGCCGTCGTCTGCCTCGAGTTATGAAGCTTGGTTGGTGGTGGTAAGAAAGCGGGAAAGAAGGAGGGGGGGGAGGGTTGTGGTGATGGAGGGAGATGGAGACCCAACTCTGGGCCGTGTTTGCTTCGTGAGTGCACATTATAATAGACAAGCGCATGTGCGGTGAGGAAGAAGAGCAACCAGAAGAAGCAGAGGCAGGGGGAAGGGAACGAAGCGAACACTATACTGAGCGGGGCTCACCCATTGGAGACAGACAGGCAGACAGACAGAAGTTGTTCGAAAGTGGGCTTTTGTTCGTTTTGGTTTGGCATCTGAAGCAGATTGTACAGTGTTGTTGTTGTATGTAGATAGACCGACTGCCTTTTTACCTCTCTTCTTTCCTCTTTTTCTCTTCTCTCTCCCTCTATCTTCCTGAGGGCGCACACGGGAGAGGGAAATGTGTATGTGTGTGATCGCCCAAGTGGGATGTGCAAAGGGGAGGGAAGGGAAGGCATGGAAAGGAACGGAATGGGATAGACCGGTGGTGCTGTTTTGATTCTCCTGTCGTCCTCCTTTTCGATACCATTACATCCGAGATGACCGGGACGAGACAATACTGGTGCATAACCATCTTCGTTTTTTTGTTCTACCTCTTGATTCCATCCCCGCTTTTTCGCTCCGAACCAAGTACTAGAGCGCCCTTGATGGACTTGATAGGCCGGGTCGTCCTGCGCGAACATGCGAGTCTCGCTGAGGTGAGGCTAGAAAATGCGTGCGGTATGTACAAGATGCAGCTTATTTTTAGTTGCGTCACCACGTCAAGGCTTGCGCTTCCCTCTACTCCTTGTCAAGAGTGTTTTGACACCCCCGCCCTGCTGGTCTATCAACTTTTACAAATATGTTGCATAAAGTCAACCGAAAAGGGAACAGAAAAGCAAAGGGAAGCAATAAAAATACAGAGGTTGCGAAGGGTACAGTACACAGCCAAGTCCCAAACCCGGGCCGCTGGGTCGCTCCCGATTGGGGGGTATACAAGATGGCACTTGTACCGTGTGCCGGCCATTAGTACCGTCGGGAGTAGCTCTGGGATGTGGTTTCAGCGGCCACCAAGGGCCACTTACACGTGTTTGAGCCAGGACTAAGCTTCTCAGATCAGGTTCTGGGCCACTTCGGCAGACCATGCCCAGACCGGGGGGGCCACCAGCAGGCAGCGGCAGCAAGCGGGGAGCGAGTGGTGAGCCTGAAGAGCAGCTTGAGCCTCACTCAAGGTTTCGGGCCTATTTCACACCGCAACGACGGCCGGGAACCACTCACCCCCTTCCCGTTCCCCTACCCTTCCTTACCTCCTCTCCCCGAGCCAAGCTAATGCCGCCATCGATCGGGTGGGGGGGAAACTTCGCACATTTTCTTGCTGCCCGTAGTGGTAGTAGACAGGAAGAACCCTTTCACATGTCTCGGAATCTACCACCCGCCCAGTTCTCTGGCGCGCGCGCGCACACACACACACACGCTCACGCTCTCACACGTGGACAAGACGGTGAAGGGGAGTACCTTTCTGGCCACCGCATGCAGGAGATTTCCCGCTGCGGCGCTGCGCCCCGATTTGCTCTAACGCGCAGGCGGGCAGCGCAGCGCATGGACGAGCTTCTGCATGCAACGCATCGAAAAAGGGCCCTCTCGCGCCATCTTGGTCGACCCGTTGCAGGGGAAGCCCTTGGTTGACGATGGAGGGGGCGGGTGTCCCTTCTCGGCAGGGGACCAGAGTGGGCTGATGATGGCAGTGCGCGGGTCGGTTTGAGCTCTGTAGCTTGTTTATATGATGAACCTGGGACCCGGGACTCGGGGTCCTGAGAAGTTTTTGGACCGTACTCTGTCTATCTATCTATAGCTTGCTCGCGGTTCCCTCCCGTAGGATGTTTTGAACGGGCTGGGCCTTTCTTATCCAGTCTTGCTCCCCTCCGCATTCCTGTCGAAGTTCCTCTTAGATCACTCCGTGCTATCTGCTCCTCTGCTCGGACAAGAGCTCCGACCTTTCTCGACACCCTCACCACCATGGCGTCGTGTACCTCGCCGCGAGCCTCTGCCGTGTGCCAGTCTCGAGATCGACCTCCATCGCCCCGGCCCCCGAAGCCGCCGCCACCAAGCCCGTCCAGGCGAGTTTCGCGGAATGATGGTCTGAAAGGAAATGAATGAATAGGCCTGAACGCTTGAACAACCAAAAGCTTAGAACAAGGGGTGAGCACCGCCACGTTCCGACTTCTGGTCAGGCTGGTGAGACTGATCACAGCCTCTCTCTGCTTGTAGGCCAAGACACTGAACAGCGGATGACTCAACCACCTTGGGGCTAGAACGGGGATGTGAGATGAACATGGTTGGGTATAGCATCGGTATAGACAGACTGCACTGAGGTACAACATGTGAGGTAAAAAAGATACAGTATAAAAGGGTAAAGGATAGAGGGTAAATAGAGGATAAAGGCTGGCGTTTGATTCCTGCTTCGACGGATATCCACTCGGGACCCATCTGTTCACAACTTGGAGCCCGTCCTCAGAACTAGACCACCCTTTTCGATATCGTACTGCCTCCCCTTCTCCCACCCGAGCCAGGCCTTGAGCGCCGCCTCGCCGCCCTCGCCCGGCGCCAAGGGCTCACCGACGTACCCATCGCCGGCGACCCCAGCGCCCTGGCCACGGCTGGCCGCGTCCGCAGAGGATGGCCTCGTGCCCGAGTCGACAGCCAGGCACGGTGTATCCCGCAGTGTGACGGTCGGCCGCTGGTCACCCTCGCGCCCGTCCCCATCCCGGGCCCCCTCGAGCTCTCCGTAGTCAAACACAGGCGTGCAGCACGCGTCGGTGCCGTCAAACACGGCCTCCCACTCGGCCCTCGTCTTGCTGCCAAACACTTCCACAAAGACCCGCCTCATCTCCGGCCAAGTATCCCGGTCGAGCCTCCTCTCCTCCCACCCCTTCCCCTCGAGCCCCAGGCCCCTGACCAGCGCGGCGTAGAACTGCGGCTCCAGCGCGCCGACGGCCACGTACAGCCCGTCCCTGGTCCGGTACGTGTCGTAGTACGGGCACCCGCCGTCGAGGACGTTCGTCCCCCTCGGCCCGTCGCCCATGGGCGTCTTGCGCGCCATCCGCGGGAACGTGGCGAGGTACCCGGCCCCGTCCACCATGTTCGCCTCGACGACCTGGCCCCTCCCCGTGCGCGCCCTCGCCAGCAGCGCGAGGAGGACCCCCTGCACCAGCACGGCGCCGCCGCCCGCGAAGTCCCCCATGATGTTGATAGGCGGGGCCGGCCGCTCCCGCGCGTGCCACCCCAGCATCCCCAGCACGCCGCTGACGGCGAGGTAATTGATATCGTGGCCCGCCATGGCGGCGTACCGCCCGTCGCGCCGGAACCCCGTCATGCGCGCGTAGACGAGCCGCGGGTTCGCCGCGCAGAGCTCCGCGGGGCCCAGGCCCAGCCGCTCCATCACGCCCGGGCGGAACGGCTCGATCACGACTCGGCCGCGAGCGCGAGGCGCCGCGCCGCCGCCTTCCCCTCCGGCGTGCGCAGGTCCACCGCCACGGAGGCCTTGCGCCGCGTCAGCTGGTCGGCCGTGGGCGTGCCCGAGGGGGAGGGCCGGTCCACGCGGACGACGGAGGCGCCCGCGTCGGCGAGCAGGAGGCCTGCGAAGGGGCCCGGGGCGAGGCCTGCGAACTCGAGGACTTTGATGCCTTCTAGGGGTGGCGGGCTGGCCATGGTGGGTGAAGAGTGGTGGTGTTGAGCTGGGGTTTTGGTTATGACTGTGTGTTGCTGTTCTGGCGAGGACGATGCCTCCTCGGCATAGTCATTCAGAAAGAGTCTCACGTTGGGGGCATTGTTGCCTTTTGCGGATGAAAATGCCACGTGTCGGGTGCGTGGCCCTTCGCAGAACTCAAGAAGGGATATAAAGATGATCAGCAGCAGCAATGAAGCCGGGATTCCAGATCAACCCCGCAGTGAAGCTCCGAGGAGCCGAGGCTTCTGGGGCCCGGGGTCGGGGCGAAGTGACGGGCCGTCCGGTGGCGTTCCCGCCTTCGATGGGGCTCAATCATGGATGCGGCTCTTGGCTGTCAGTGCTATTCATCTCAGACCTTCTCGTGAGCCGAGCTCGTGAGTTCTCGCTTGATGAATGTAGTATGCTTCTATGCGGATGCCACATGACAAAACTTCGAGCACATGGCCCCTCGCCAGCGCTGTCCCTGGGGAATCTACCTACGCAGTTCTTGTTCGCTCCGTCCATGGTTCCACACATTTTATGTCCCTCCAACGCCATTGTCATGTTTTTTCTTTTTCATCGTGGGACCCCGTGCCTCTTCTCCCCATAATGGCCACGTGCGCTTTAACGAACGATCCTACTGCAGATAAGGCGCGATCGCAGCCTGGGCCTCTGGCTGCATGCGCTCCTGCACAAACTTTAGAACCGCCCCGCCCTGGCGCGCATTGCCAGCCTTCAGGTACTCGCTGACCCAGGCCTGGACGTTGTCAATCTCTGGGAAATCATCCCGCGGGCCGCGCTTGCACGTGTTGAGCGGGGTGAACCCCACGCCGAACCCAATGTCGTCCACGTCCGCCTCTGTGATGAACTCGTCTCCGAATCCGCCCGCCACCTTGGGTGGGTTCTGCAAGAGCTCCAACAGATGGTTCGCAGTGTTGGCCCAGCCTTTCACGTACTTTTGTGCGAACGCGGCGGAATCGCACAGCGTCTTTGTGTAGGAGATCACACCAATCTTCCGGTCGACTGGACGCGCAAACTGTTTCGTGGTTGGCAGGATCACTGGCGGGTAAAGCTGCGCGAATACACCGGGCTGCAGCTTCTCAGAATGGTTGATGAAGTAGTCAGTGCCCATGCCGGCTGCTGTGTTGGCCGAGACCAAGTGGTAGAAACGGACAAATCGTTGCTTGTACGAGTCGGAGGGATTGGACTGCAGCTTGGTGAAGGTAAGACTGAGGATGTCGGGGAAAAACGCATCCATGGTTGCTCTGCACGCTTTGGTCAGTAAAAGGAGATAGGTACTCCATCCGTGCTTGTGGACAACTCACCCATCGAAAGTGGCCACGACCGATTCCAGGATTTCAAAGGCATTAGTCTCGGTCTTCTTGCTAGCCAAAAGGCGCTGGAATATTCCCAGGATCGGCACCAGTTGATTGGACTCCACTATGGCTTGTTTTGCCTTGGGGACCATGGCCGAGAGGAACCGAGCGCATCCGGGCACGTTGCCTCTTGTCTCCCATACCGTAGGCGTGAGAATGGGCCCAAGTAGTGAGCTGAAATCAGCAGGCAGCGGACTTGTTGGGGCAGCTTCAAGCAGGGCAGCGAAGATCTGGAAGACGTAGGGGACGAATTCTGGGATGTGGTTAGTCAGGTCGGCGCGACATATTCCCGTTGGACAGCTTACCCGACACATCCTCATTAAGGATGTAAGAGAAGGGTTCCCATAGACGTGCGTGCAGCTTTGCCTCTTGGCTGGGGTCGGAGAACCTGTCATATCGTGTCAGTCCGGTCGCCTGAGGGTATCTCTCCTTTCCTGATCATCACTTACCTGACCAATGCTCCAATGGCCTCGAAAAGGTAATAGTAGAACCGAGGGTTGCTAGGGTTGGCCTTTATCACACTGATGATGCTGATGAGGTGGTCCAAAACGCCATCGATGATTGGCCGCACACCTGTGTTGATCACGATCAGGACTCTCATGATGCATTGCATGAGATACTCGTTCTCTTGCATCTTGGCCGGGGCCTTGTCCTTTTCGACGAGATTAAAGAGATGGTCAAGCAGATCCTTTGCGACTGGTTCGATGTCCGCTCTCGAGAACAGGTGCTCGCCAGCGTCGTTTGAGAGATAGAGAACTCGTTCCACGGCGATGGCTGCGTATGTGTAGACGACGTACTCGTTAGACGCCAGGTTCTTGATCAGAGGCTGGAACGCAGCCAGCCACTGGTCCTTGGTCAATTGACTTCGGAAGTTGTGCAGGTACTTGATGGCGTCAACCTTGGAGATTGCATGGACTCCGTCAACGTTCAGAAGATCAGCCGCGATATGGTTCTGGAAGAATTCAACGACATTGACGTGACTGTTGACGGTCTTGACGCCCTGCGCAGCAGTAACAGCACCCTTGGCGGCAATGGCCAGATACAGGTAAACCGCAGTGTCCTTAGCCTTGAAGTCCGTCTGGCCCTGCTTCAGGTAGTGGTCGATGTACCTGAAAACAACCTGCGTGACGAGCGCCTCAAACTTTTCCAAGAGCTTCCTCAAGAAGTCTGTGGCGGCTCGCCTCCTTGAATCTGTGTCCGATCCCTCAAGGTCTCTCCGAATAAACTCTATCGGTTCATCTTCGAACATTTCAAGATCCGACTCGCGGAGGCTGACGTTGGGAAGGATGACCTTTTCCACAATCTGGCCCAGGGTGTTCTCGTCGTTGAACGCTTGAGCGTGCTTGGATCCCGATGCCACAGCAGTGAGGAATTGCAGAGCTCTGCTGACCACGAGATCGTAACGCTTCTCTGGACCCACTTTGGACAGCAGGTTCCAGACTGATGTGATAAATCGTTCGCAGTAGCCACTGAAGTCCTCATCGTACTTGGTCGTGAACAGAGTTAGGGCCTCGCAAATATCAGCCTTGGCATTTTCCAGGGCTGTCGCTTCGTCATCGTCGCCGTCGAATATTGGGTTCTTGTACCCCAAGTACTTGTCGAGAAGGAGAAAGATGGACGACAAGTTTGACTCGATGATAGGAGCGAGATCGTGACAGGTCAGATCGTAGAGGATCTTGACCAGCAGACTCAGCGTCTCAAACCAACCCTTGAGCTCGGCGGCATTGTTCGTACTGGCCTCAATCTTTTGGTCCGCAATCTTGGGGGGTTGTCAGTTCGTGCCTCTAAGCCCTGCGTCGACCGTGTACTCACCGCCAAAAGCCGTACGAAGGCCTCTCCAAAGTGTTCCACAACATGGTTGACCTCCTCGTAAAGTTCGTTGGACTGGAATAAAGGTCGCCACCGCACGAAAATGGAATGTGCAACCTCCAAAACTCCGTTCGTCACTTTGTAGTCATCTGGCGAGATTCGGCTGACAAGGTCCTAGAAGACGAGGGCTTAGTTTTGAGGGCATACGGCCACGTGTCGTCCCGGAGCTTCAACAAACCTGTATGAGCGTGTCCCACCTCTTCCAGAAGTCGGAGTCTGCTATAACACTGATGGCTTCGCCAAGCTGGGTCTGGATGTTCGGTGGTGACAGGATCATGAGACCAACGAGCTCCTGCTTGATGGTGGCGACCTCTTCGGCGGGTAACTTGTGGTTTCCATCTTCATCCTGTATTGTCGCATGTCAGAAATTTCCATGCGGCCCTTTGTGAGGGGTTGTAGAGGCTTGATCATACCACGTAGTTGAGGCGAACGTAGTTCTTAAAGGCAAGGGCGGCAGCCAGGCGGGTGGTGATGGCGAAGTTGGCGCCGGCGACGATCTTGAGGAGCTGGAGGCAGTACTGCGGCTTGCTCTCTTCCTGTTTGAGAAGCGCCTCGGCTGATGGCAGAGAAATGTCAGCTCCTCATGTGTAGTTGTGCGGGCGTGCATGCAGCGGCGCCGTCGCCCAAGCTCCTGAGATGTTGCAAACAAAACAACAACAGGGCAGCAGATGGAGGGGGGATCTACCTTTGCGGTGCTGCTTGTGGTCCAGAGTTGCGTCCAACAACTGAGCAATGCTTGCGATGTCTGCCGCCATGTTGATTAATAGCCTGGTCTACTAAGATCAACGATGTGGGAGACAGCAGGTTGGGCTATTGCTGTTAAAGTACAAGAAGTTTTGCAGGTTCAGTCCGGTTGCAGGCAACCTTGGAAGCTGGGAAAGTAAACGGGCTACCAGGGTGGACTCCGTTGCTAGGTGCCTGGTGGCGCTGACTGGCAGGCGGACCTTTGTTCGAGGAGATGTGGGGGTAGGTGACGAGGGGCTTTGGAACACCCCTGACCCTGCTGCAGACACACTCGTGCCTGGGAAGCAGAGTGAGTAATTGGAGTACATACTTATCCGCAAACAATGTGGCTCAGGACCAACTTCAAGACACAGGACACGCGAGTATGCCCAAAATTGGATTCTGGCTAGGAGTTTATCACAACCCAAATGCCATGCACGAAGCTTGGAACTGATGTTGAACTGGTAGGATACGGCCTTGAACTTGACCGTGATCTCCATGACCTCTATCATGAGTGAACCAGCTTCTCCCCTCCTGTGGTTCAAGGTTGGGACGAACGCCTCCGGTACCTTTGTTATATTGTCTCTGCCAAACCACCTAGGTACTTTGCAGGCTGCTGCGGAAGCATGTTCAGTGGAATGCATGCTTCCCTCACCCACACAGGCACTGAACCTAAATCTTGCTTCAGTCAGCTCCAGGTTTTATTTACCAAGTATTGCACATGTTCTTGTATGATGTGACGAAATTCTCAGAGCCGATGCGCAATAAATCTCAGCGGCATGCCATGCAATCAACCAGTAGTCCGTCGAAAACGGCGCCAGAGTGGGCCCCCTTGGACCTCATGATTGACCGTCATGATCCGTGCACGGTGCAGCCGGCGTACCTTTTCCTTCGCGGTTCCCGTTCCCGAGACCCAGCTGGCCGCAGTTCAAGACATCCACATACCAATCAACCTCCCTCAGACATCTGTCACTTGCCGTCCCAAAAAAAAAAAAGGATATCCTTGTCGAAAAAGTCTATACTTTCGCCAACTTCGACAGCAACTTGGGCCAAGCACCGTGGCTGGTTGATATCACTGACAGGCCCGTCGTCCCAGGCTGCGAGAGAGAGGAGAGCGAGAGGTGGAGGAAGCTAGATGGTTGCAGTCATTTCGCCCTTGTCCATCCGATAGCTCTTGTTAGCTCTATCTCTATCTCGGTCTCGGTCGCCTATTATCTATCTCTTAGTTCCTGGCTCGCTCTCCATCCTTTTACCACGCGCCCGAGCTCTGCCCGGATCCAACCTCGCTGGACCCCTCGACGCGCATCGCTTTGCAGTTTGCACCTTCCTCGGTCTCGACTCGAGAGTGTCCAGCCTGACGGACGACGTACACCTTGATGGCCACTATGACGACCCTGACTTCATAGGCCCCTCTTCATCCCAGCGGTAGATGCGAATAGACTAGGGGCTTGTCTGTGAGTCTCCCGTCGCTGTTCCTGTTCCTGTCAATCTTTGTGGGGCCTCCTTGGCTGTTTCCCCGTCCCCTTCCTGGACCCCTGGCTGGCGATACCTGGACGTCGTGATGCACAACCGCGTGCAGGCTCTGGCGGCGGCGACTGCTATTCTCCTATTAGCTTTTCTCGCCCCGCCCCGTCCAGAATGGTTTTTAACCTCCAGTCTTTGCAGTTTTGCTCATCTACCTCGGCCCCGCTGGCGCTTTGTTCCATGGACCCAAAGCTGATAACATGCTTCGACGCATAGCCTCCCTGGGCTTTGATGCCCCTGACGCCCCTCCTGGAGACTCCATGCCTCCATCCGCCGACGACCAAGCTCCGTTGCCCGAGCCCAAGAGCAGCGCAGGGGGTCTTGCCAGCGTCTTCAAGGGCCTGACCGGAGGCTCCAAGCTTTCCAAGGTCCCGCCCGTGCCCTCTTCGTCGACCGATACTGTCTCCGCTCAGTTGTCCTCCGAACGAGTCGACACGGCCTCGCTAGCTGCCACCGGCCTGCCTCCCCACCACAGCGAAGCCCTAGAGAAGCTCAAGACCGGCTCTCTCAGCGAGCGCATTGCGGCAGCCGAGTCCCTACGACTGTCTGTTGCCGACTACCCCTTGGCGCCGGTACTACAAATATGGGATGCCGGCAAAGACTTGATAGAGACATCCAAGCCCAGCAACGCGAGGGTTGCCGGATGGGAGCTCCTCACTGAGTGCGTTCGGAACCCCTCTTCGACCGATCTCGAGCGCAAAGAATACTTCCAGACACTGTCTTTCCACGCCAGCCCCGATGACTTCTATCTCCAGCTCGCCGCCCTGGTTGATCTGACCAACCATGGCCGCAATCTGTCCGGGTTCGACTACGACGTCATCCCTCTGTTGACAACGTGGCTGCAGGACTCATACAATGCCGTCAGGGTTGCGCGGAGGCAACAGGCATTGCGCGAGAGAAAGGGCTCCAAGGGAAAGGGCGTTGCGCCAGCAGTTGCTGCTTTGGGCGAGGACAAGAGTTTCTCCATGCTGTTCGCGTTTATCCTCGAGGTCCTCAAGTTCAACTTCAGGGTCGCCGACGACGAAACACTGGGACGTTTGATCGATAAACTCCTGGAAATCTGCATGAAGACGAGTACGGAAGACGATTTGACGGCTTGCATTGAGGTAATTGATGCCATTATAACATACGCCTCAGTTCCTAAGCGGAGCTTGAGTCGTTGTGTTGAGGTCCTCAGCTCAATCTTCTGCCTCGTCGACAAGCTGACCAAGACTTCCTGGCACACACTATCCAACCTCCTGAAGTCGCACAATGGCCAGGCGGCCGTCCGGATCTTGCTCAACATTCTCAGGGACTATCCTCGCAATGGTCAGGAAACGACGGAAACGAATAGAGCAGTTAGGGGCTCCCTGACTGTTCTCCAGAAACTGATCTGGAAATCTTCAGAGAAAGGCTACCCGGCAATCCCACTGGCCCTTCTTGTCGACGGATGCAGCAATGTTGTCGAAAAATCACCTTCCACACGAATAGCCGGCTCCGTATTGAAGCTGATAAACACTCTGTTTGATGACGGGGAACAGAAATTGAATCCCCTTCTCGAAGGCGAAGACTGGACGTCCGTCCTGGAAGTTGCCGAGAAGAGTGTCGGTCGGCTGAATTTCAATCTCACTCCCAGCAGTTCCAGAACGAGCCTGAAAAGCAACTTCACCGTACAAGACCTTAAGAAGGGGAGTTCCATACTGGAGGAGCTCGAGACGCTTTTGCGGAGATTGGAAGGACTTTCTAGACAGCGAGGTTCAGACTTCGTCCAGAGACACGAGTGCATTGCTTTCATGGCGAAGATCCCTCACGTCCTCCCAGATTCCACGGCTGAGCTCGTCTTGGAACACTTCAAAGAGTTTCGTTGCTGCTACCCTTCGGATTTGGAATGGGAGAAGAACCTTGACTTGGTCTTGGAGTCGTTCTACCTCAAGCGCAATCGCTCTACGCCCATCCGTATTGCAGCTCTCCGAGGGATCACCGAGGTCTACGACATGCTAGAATTGGTTGAGGACGAACTTGACGAGGATGTCGTGCCCAACATCGTCAGGAACATCCTCTCGGGCATCTCTGACGAGACAGACACTTCCGTCCTGCAGGAGACCGTGTCGTTCATGATATCTGTCGCGCTGGCGGCCGACACCGCCCTCTTCGATTACATCGTGGAGACACTGAAGGGAGTCGTCACCAGCGACCGTACGCATTCCCCGCTGACGTTCATGGAAGAGAAGCCAACAATAGCGGACCAGGTGGGGAGTGGTGCCGATCAAAGCCCAGCCAATGTCGTTACGAGAGGCTACGTGCTACTTTTCATGAAGACAATGAATACGGATAGTCGAAAAGCGACCAGGACATTTCAACTCCTCGTATACATCGCCAAATTCGGTCAATCTGCCGACGCCCGGATTACGGCCATGAAAATGCTGTTTCGATTAAGAGCGGACTGGGCAAATCGGATATACCTGACATGCTTCACCGAATCGGAGGGCCTGGCTGGTGTTCTCCACCGGACGGAAGCTTCCCTGGCAAGAAAGGTCGCGGAGGACGCAGCCACGTCACACAGATTGAGGAGCGAATATGGAAGCTTATCTCGGTCCTCACGAGGAGTTTCGTTTGGCTCCTCGGCACAAGACAGGATGGTCCCAAGTCGGTCAGCTAGTGGTGCCAAACCCAATGGCCAAAAGTATCAACAACTTTGGTCCCTACCGGATCCTAATGTGCTACCAGAGACACCTTCTCCAATAGCGAGTCCTGTTCTATTCTCATACATGGAGAAGACGACAGAGGCTCGTGGTGAAGGAGAGGAGGTCGTGCAAGTAGTGGACCAGCAACCTGGCGTGCTCGATGTCGCCTCATGGCTCGAGGCCATCATCCATAATCTGACTCACGGAAGCGACTGGGAGGTTTACAGCTTCAATCTGGTTCACCTACCGTCCCAGCTGAGCAACCACGCATTTTTCAGGGGCACCTTACCGCAAATAAGGGAGGCGCGTCGAGTGCTGTGCGAGCAGAGCAAACACAATCTATTCCAGGACCCGCCTCCTCTGACCGGACTACGCCGGCCTGAAGTCAACATATGCATCTTTCAAATACTGACGACGATTATGAGTTACCACCAGTACTTTCAGAAAAGCGATGAAGACGATCTTGTCAGAACGTTCATGCAGGGCATCGGGCACTCCACAGCAAAGACCTGTATCCACGCGCTGACAATCTGCTGCCATGAGCTCCCTCTTGCAACTACTAAAGCACTCGTGACGATCCTGCAGAAGATGTCAACAGTCATCACGCAGGCCAACGTCGCCATGCACATTCTGGAATTCCTGGCGGGACTCGCTCGTATGCCAGCACTCTACAGCAACTTCATTGAAGATGAGTTTCGCGTCGTTTTTGGCATGTGTTTCAGGTATCTGGATACTGTGCGCGATAAGAAGCGGTATGTGCGAACGAGCACGGCGAGTGAGAACGTGCCTGCTACCATCAACACAACTCACGAGTACGACATACTGGGGCAACCCACTAATAGTGACGAACTGCCTCAGTATGTGCACGCCCTCGCGTACCACGTCATCGTGTTCTGGTTCATGGCCCTTCGCCTGGGTGATCGAGCGAAGCATGTAGGATGGATCGCCAAGAGGCTATTCCAAGGCCCAGATGGCAACCCGGTCTCGGACGAGCAGGCACTCATCACCATGGACTTCATTCAGAGAGTTGCATATGCAGAAGCGGACGAGTCAGCGGAAAATCCTCGGTTTTCAGACAGGAAAGCATCAGAGTACACTGAGAGACGGTGGATCATCGCCAACAGTCTTGTATCCATCAAACAGTCCAAGGCGACTCCATGGGCACAGGTCACTAAGAGACAGCCGTCAGGCACGTCTTACTTTACTGTCCGCGAGAACTTCAAACCTCCGCCGCCACATCAAGCCAACACATTTGGGGACAGCAGAGACACGGGTACGCCCACCACGAATAGCACCATCCCCAGCCACCTGCTTGTCCACTTGCTCTCCTCCACGCCTCAAAGTCATGAACCGGCACTGCGCCCACTGCCTCTCCCAGACGAGGAGGCTGTTGGCCGGAGCGTCAGGACCTTTGACCGCATTTCCGTGGTGGACGGTCACAAGGTTGGCGTTATTTACATAGGAGAGAATCAGACCAAGGAAACTGAAATTCTAGCCAATGTGTCCGGCAGTGCAGACTATACGGAATTCTTGAACGGAATCGGATCTCTCACCAAGTTGAAGGGTGCAGACTTCAACACTCAGGGCCTGGACCGGAGTACGACACAGACGGGCAGTACACGTTCTGCTGGCGCGACAGAGTGACCGAGATCATCTTTCACGTCACGACACAGATGCCCACAAACCTGGACCATGACGCTCAGTGCATCAGCAAGAAGAGACACATAGGCAACGACTTTGTGAACATCATATTCAACGACTCTGGCCTGCCCTTCAAGTTCGACACGTTCCCATCCGAGTTCAACTACGTCAACATTGTCATCACACCGGAGTCAAGGGCGTCATTTGTTGCGACTCGCGAGCACGGTGCCCAGCAGCAAGAGGAAGGAGAGAATGTCGAGGCTCTCAATAGGGGCAGCTACACGCCTTTTTTCAAGGTCCAAGTCATGAGCAAGGACGGCTTCCCCGAGATCTCGCCCTGTGCCGCAACCAAGATGATTAGTCTGAAAGCACTGCCGGACTTTGTCCGTCTGCTCGCTCTTAACGCGTCAGTGTTTTCTCTCGTCTGGGCTCACCGCGATCAGGGTGAGTACCCATCCGCCTGGCGCAGCCGTCTCAGGGAGATAAGTCGCCTACGTGAGCGTTATGGGCCAAAATTTGCGCCGGCGCTGGCAACATCGCCGTCGACTGTTACGAGTCCTCACGCCTCGACATCCAGCACGCCAGCACCAATGTCGCTCAGCAGTGCGCTTGCCTCTGCACAGCAACAGCAGCCGCTGGGGCAGCCAAACACCGACAGCCGGCCCTCAAGTGGCGTCGCCAGGGACAGCATTTCTGGGCTGAGCATGCGTGACCTGCGTCGGGCTAGTGTAGCGACGTTCCTGACGACTACTAGCGAGCAGAATTCACAGTCGCATCGCAGCTCGGTAATGAGCAACTCGACAGCGGACACGGAGATTATGATGCAGGCTTTCAATTTGGACTCCCTGGTCGAGAGTCTAGACTTTTCCAAGTGGGCTTAAAGGCCTACTTCGGCTTCACGCATTTTCTCGAGCATTCTTGTGAGCGGGAGGGCAGAATCTACACTGCCCAATCAAGGGACAATCAAAATTTGGTGCGTCTTGATGGAATGGGATAATGAAAATGAAGGTTGATGATCATGATGAAGGCACTTTTCGGGCATGAGGGCAGTCATGCAGAAATTGGAAGGCAGGAGTCTCGGGAACTGTGAGGGATTTGTTTTGACCACTATACCACAAAAGTTACTGCTTTCTCTTTCCCTTCTCAAGTAAATTCTCCCCCCACGGTCACCATAGCACTTCCACATATCGCGTGTGGTCTTAGCGTAGTGTTGAGGAATTTTGTACGATCGAGCCAGCCCAGAATGGCAGAGCCAGCAAGCAGTCCTGCCATCAGGGGGACACGCGCAACAGACGGCCAATGTGAATCCCTTCGCGCCCACGGCCTCTTCGTGCTCACTTGTCCGCGTGACACAGACCCGACCTTTGTGTGCATGTGTGTTGTTTATCCATGTATCGCACTACAAGCACGTGTCGAATGCAGGCGATCCCGCGGCGGTGGTGGTGGTGCGGACGGAACCCACTGCCCACCCCGGGCACATGACTTTACACCCACCCCAAGAGATGGTCTAACCCACCACCCTATTAATGCCTCTTGGTTACACAGGACCGTCGATCTCGAACGGTGTTACACAAGGAGCCTTTTTTGCCCACAACAGCTTGCAGATAGGAAGGATCGAAGCAGTGTACTTACTCCCGCAGCTGTCCAGCAGAGACAGTATCTAGATACTAATATCTGTGTGTGCTATTGTTGCTGACCGGCTCAGCATTTTTCGTTGGGCCCTCCCCCCGCCTCGCACTTGGTTCCCGCCAGAGACATGCTGCCCGCCTGCATACCGCCATTCCTTCGTCGTGTGGGTGCCTCGCGAGCTGGCTGGATGGATGGCTGGCTGGCCAGCTTCTGTCTAGCTGCGAGCCTTAGCCTCCGCCTTTTCCTCCATGCCTCTATATCTTGTACGCACGTCGGTCAAAAGGACCTCCGCCGCGACAGGCGCGGGGGAGAGATTACAACGACGGGCACATGCTGGATCGGAGGAGAAGAGGCGGAGGGCGAGGGCATCCCTTGGCAAAGCTGGTGTGTCCGTGTCACGTAGCACAGTGATGACAGGCTGTCTTTGGAATCCTTTATTATTACTGTCATTTTATCTCTGCCCTTTCGTCTATTCCTCAGGCGCGAGCCCCGGAGAAGCAGCGATATGTCATCCCTTGTGCGACCACCACCCCCCTGCTGTACTGCTCTCACTAACATGGGAGCGCCGACCGCCGGACGAGGCAAAGGATTCGGGGAGCCCGCAGCCGTTGCCTACGCGTGATCAGAGGCTTCTCCCAGCGGGGAGATATGTCAAACCATACACGCAGGCAGCCCTGCCTGAGGTTGACGTGCCTGTGGGCTTGCGGCTCAGTGAAACAGTGAAGGCGGTTGCTGCGAGTGGTCCGTGGCTGGGGTAGGGCAGGGCAGTGAGGAAAAGAATACTTCCGGGCGGCAGTGATCAATGGCGGCTATACAAGGATGGATTTAGTATTGTATGGATGTGTACATGGATTCGAGTGTCTTGTTATGTATGGCGTCTCGCTCGACCACAGGGATGCGCCAGGTTGCCAGCCAGCCTCGCCAGATCAGGGCGGCGCACTCGAACCAAAAGCGCCGCGCATGCATGTACGCTGCATGGACACTCCCTCCCCTCGGCACTTCCCGGTACACACGGCAGCTGAATAAGAGAAAAGGCGGAGGAGGAGGGAGAAAGGACAATGCGTCAAGCCAATGGGGGCGGGTCTTTTTGCACACCGTTCGTTGTTATTGCCCAGCTCCCAGCAGGATGGAACACAATTAAACCCCCCCCCCTCCGGGCGTTCGGCCCCGACGCACGACGATTCCTTCAAGCCGGAGAGGGGGCTATGGCGTGGTTGGGGGATTTACCTCTTGGGGGCAAGAGACAGAGAGCAGCCTGCAGGTCTGGAACCCCGAGCCGGATATGCAGATGGGACAGACACCGACAAGGCGGGAGGGAGGGAAGAAAAAGAACAAGAACAAGAACGAAGAGGTGATCTTTCTGAAGGATTCAAACCAGCGGGATGGGGGCAGGGCCCAACACCCGCAGTTTGGAATCCTTACTATGGGTCTTGGTTGCTGCTGCAGCCCAGACTCCCACCGCCCACCCGAGGGGAAGGCTCGGACTGCCGTTGCACAAAGCTCCACGAGGGATCGGGCTGGGTGTCATTTGTGCGACTCATTCCGGGTTAGGCTGCATGTTCGTGTGAGCTGGACTTGATGTGGGTATTGCTTCGCTGGTCACCGTCGGTGTTCGCCTCCGTCTAGGCAGAAGAATAGAACTGCGGTGTGCGCGTTTGTCCAGGCACCGGCTCGAGGCTGCAGTGCACGGCGCGGCAGTGGTGCACTCGCTCTTGGACTCGCGCTCTCGCTGGATGGGTTCATTCTCAGGCTACGGTCAGATATCTTTGCAGATGCTGCGGGCTCCCCGTTGCTCTTCGCATAAAATAAGTAAAAAACGAATTTGTTAGTTTGCCTGTCCTGAATGGCTGATATGAAATCGTTTTAGATGCAGCCTAACTCCCCGCCGAGCTCCCAATATAGCGGAGCGAGAATGAATGCAAATTATACATCCCGCCACACGTCTCTGTATCTGGCCCACTTCTGGAAGCCTAGGGAACTGTGTCAGTAAATGTGCAATGAATGAGAGCGGTCAGGTGAAACTCATCAGCCGCGTACCTATGGACTGAAAGCCGGCATCGCCCCCTTTTGCCGCATCAATGTACATCCTCCCCATGCCTCTTTGACGCAGTCCTTGCACGCAAGCGTCCAAAAGCCTGACCATGATCGAGTCTCTCCTCGACGGGTCATTGTCTAGATAGACAGGAAAAGAGTTAGCCATCCGCCAGTTCTGGCACAGCCTGTTCGTATTTCGAAACGTACCAGTGATACAAATGCACGTAACACCTCCCGTGTCCTCTGAAATGGCACCAGCCCAAGGTATGTCGTCCGCCGACGGGTTTTCGGAGCGCATGAGATACGTTATAGCCGTCGCAACGATGGCATCGCCACGCAGGCCTATAACGATGTCGCTCATGGACATCGAATCGGCAAGCTTTGCATACTGGTCGTACCAGGCCATGTTGCCGTTCCGCTCCGAGTCCTGCTCGACAATGTCCAGGACCCTGTCGAAGTCCATGTCTCCGCAGGGCCTGAAGGTGACACCAATGGGCGGCAGCCCACCAGTCGGCCACTCGTTGAACGCAAGCACCCAGTCCGCGACTTCCTGCCCCGTGCCGGCCGCATTGCAGTCCATATTCCAGCCACGTCGTCTGAACCACCCCTCAGAGGGGTCATCGACAGGCAGACCGTACAGAAGCCGAGGGAACGTGCTGCCCAGCTGCAGCCGGCTGACGCCTCGTGTCTTTGAGAATTCCTTGAGACCTGCGTCATGCAGTATCCGGCCGATACCCCGGCCCCTGTGCGCAGCCTCAACGACGACTGCGGCGATTGATCCCACGAGGACCTCTCCCTTGCTGTCCAGGTAGGTGATATAAGTGGCACAGAATCCCAGGATCGGCCCGGTCTCAGAGGCCCTGGCCACCAGGTGCTTCGCGTAGCCATCTCGCTGCAAAAGGCTCATGAGACGGTGCCGGGTGAGGTTGAATTGTTTTGGCATGCTCTGGCACCAAAGATCATAGACCGCTTGCGTGTCGGTCGCCACGTTAAACCCCTTGACAACCCACCTGTGCGTAAAATCCTTGGGCTGCGCACTCGGGATTTCTGGCGTCGGTGCGGTCTGCCTTGGCTGTCCGTGGTACAGAATGTCTGCGCCAATATCCAGGTCGTGTCGCGAGTAGCCAGGGAGCTGTACAATCGTTGGGAATATGGACGTGGCGGACTCAAGTTCCTGCACATCGCAACAGGCGACGACCACGTGTGGGCGATGATCTCCGGCCGCCTGCGCGATGCTAGACAGGGCCACCTGAGAAGGCTGTCCCGGGCTGGGCGGTCCCGAGATGACAAAGACCACAATCTTTGCCCTCTTGATGAAGGCGACATGAGTGCTGGTGATGCCGGCTGTTGCTGTATACGGAACGTGCCGAATCCATGGGTGGTACCTGGCCAGCCCTCTCCCGAGGGGCTCGAAGGGATCCTGGGTAGAGCCTTGTTCGACAGGGCGGACGACGGGTGTCAGCAGGAGTACAATGTCTCCATGCTCAAGAATATTTGAAAAAGGAATGTGGGACGGAGCATCCTGTATGAGCATCGCTCCAGGCTTCTTGATGTGATCCGTGCCTGGAAGCGTGTCTGCGACATATCCTGTTATCATCTCCAAGACCTGTAGTCATTGTTCTGCGGGCTGCAGCGGATACTTGGGTTATATATGCTAGCGGGCGGCGTGTTAGTCGGCAGTGCGCCCTGGGCAGTCCAGGTTGTGGGAACTAACCATGAGCTTCAGGGTTAGAGTCCGGTGGCTTGGTTACCACGACGTCAGCGAGAGACTCCCAGTAGTTGCATCGTATTGTTAGGAATTGAAATTAATGCACGCACGCTCTCACGTAAAAGTTCCGAGTGAGACTTATCGCCGCAGATCCGCCGACGGGGGAATTCAAGGAATGTTCAGGGTTCAAATTCGCGGTAACGCTCAGGAGATCGCCCTCGGTGCAGCCGCGGGTTCTTCGCCTCGTTTGTGGGGCTGTCTCTTGTGAAGCAGAACGGCGGAGGCTGGCGAGTCGACAGTTGGCATCGACGACACGGGACAGAATGAAAGTGTGTTGCACGGCTCTGCTGCTCGTCACGCCAGCGGTGCTGCTGACGGGGTGTATAAAAACTGCTGTTGTGCGGTTGAATATGCGGCAACAGGCGCCGAGGGAAGCGTGTCGAAGCACCCGGGCCAACAGGTTTGGTGGCTGCGTCAGTACTGCAACCCTGGGAGAACTGCAGGTGTCAAGATCCTGTTTGGGACAATATTGTGCAACCCGGCGCTCCGCCCTGCTGATTCCTCGACCCTACAAGTTGCTGCATAGGCCGCTGCACGCAGATGGCCCAAGTTGTCTGTACCGGTAACGTGCAGTGACGGCCGGGCGGGCAATGCCCTTTTGTGAAGAGAGGAGCCCTGCAAGGGCGAGCGGTTCCCGCAAATGGCCGACGCAACCTGAGGTAGGGGGAGCCGAATTAAGCTCAGGCGACACTGGCGCGACTACATGGCACCTGTGTCGAGCGACCTGCAGCGAAAGGGCCCCCATTGTTGATGGCTGGCTGGAAGATGCCCTCGTAGCAAGGCCTGGAGTTGTGGAACGAGAGTCTGGGCTCTCAGGGGTGGCCTTCCCTTTCTGACTGTACTCAGCGAGGCTGCAGGACGGTCACATCTGTGTGAACAGCCGATTGGCGCGAGTATCCTCGGCTCAGTGAGTTGGGCCTCTTGAGGGCATCTCGAGTTACACCGAAGGATTCGATGATATGTCAGTGCAGATGCTGCATCTTGGGAGGTTGCGTGACCCGTCCACCGGAAATAGCGGCGCCCTTGCTGGCCAGGGTGCAAGACGAGTACTGCCAGACTGCGTGGTTCTGCACAGCCTGTCGAGTGCGTGCCAACTGTAGGGACTTGGGGCGGCTGTGTACATAGATAATAGATAACCCGAGGGCTGAGTGCATCTGGCCGCTGGACTCGAGGACACAACTGGCGCAGGTGGTTGCACAGAAACCCAGTCTGTGTAACCACGGTCGAACTATGGTCCAAGGCGGCAGGCCGCTGACCAAGGGGGTCCTCTATTCATAGTTTGCCTGGCATGCGCGCATTCGGAGAGGAGCCGACCCACGCAGCGACGTGACTCAATCCGCGAGGTCTGGTCGCACATGATGAATAGACGAGTGGCCTGTCTTCAGCGTGGCTTGCCAAAGAACCACGACAGTGGCCCCCGCCCCGCAAGGAGTCGCGCAGCGATGAGCCAAGCACACGGGAGAGTGAGGCACAGTGGTCACACTCGCCCCGAGCAGGGCGTCCGTAAGAGCGAGTCGAGTCGCGACGGGCAACGACAGGCAGGCAAGCAGGAGACGCCGTGAGACGGTAAGCCGGCATAAGCGAGTTGTTTGGCTATCGGATCGGAGCAAGACCTTGTCACCACTCAAGGCGCTCGATGACCATGGTGAGAGTCAACATGGCAGCCTGTAGACTAATAAGAGTTGTATATCCATCCGTGGAACGGTCGAGTGACTGGACATGGATCGACCGCAGCCGTTGGCTCGCATTCGGGAGACGCACGCGACTTGTCAGACGCAAAAATGAGGGTTGCTTGCACATAGTCCCCAAGCCCTATTGCGTTTCAACGTAAAGGTGCGAGCAGCTTGTCGTCACTGCAAGCAGTCAAGGGAGGAGGGAGGGGGAAGAGGGGCACATTTCGACGGCACCTCCCTGATCCAGTCGTGAGGGTTACACGGCAGCACGGCTGGACAAACAAATATTCTCAGAGCTGGCGGAGGGATCGCCCTCACCGTGCCTCGATCGGGCTCTTTCTTTCAACGGCCATTAACACCGTCCTTGGCATTTCGTGTCTCGCTGCCAACGAAAGTAAATGCTGACCTATCGACAACGGCTTGTTCCATGACGTCGAAATTAGGCAGAAGACAATGTGTTCTTAAGTGTCGATGATGGTTGTAATGGATATGAATCAGAGAGATGGAATGCGAGTGAGTGCCTTGGATGCCTAGCTTACCTACGGTACAGTTTACCTCATGTGGCAGGCGCCGTGTGCTCTGTAATCCGCCGACTCTCAGGCCTCTGGTAACCGTGCACCGCCTAGCTCCCGCCTGCTGCCGGCCCGGAACGCGTGAACCGCCATAGGCCGCGTCTCGTCGCGTCTCCCCGCAGGAAGCAATCATGACTTTGAACAACGTCGCCAAAAACTGCCACCCATGCCGTCTGAGTGGGGCTGAGCTCGAGCGAGATCTACCAGCATGGAGACTGAATACAAGACCAGGACACGATCACTTATCGACGATGTCGTTGAAGGTGCGTATTTTGACCAGTGAAAGGATGAGATGAGTCTTGAAAATGAAGGCGTGATGGACAGACAATACGTGACACCATGGCCAGTGTTGACAACCTTGCACAGCTTCCGAGGTGCCTGCAAAGAGGCGCGTCGTCGACGTCAAGGCAAAGGTGACAGAGTTGGCTTCTGTCGCGTACAGCCAGGGCGTGCTTCCGGACGAACTACTCGATCTCATCAACTTGATCGTCTCGCCCACTCACCTGGACCAGGGCAGCCTAAACTCCATCATCAAAAACCTATACCCCGCCGGCAAGGTATCTGAAGATGTCGTCCTCAAGATAATCGGCTGCCTCGGTCTCGGCGAGATCAGGCCGTCTCTCACCCTCCAGAGTGCCCTCCTGAACTGGGTCATCCAAGTGTATCATGTCCTTGAAACCAAGGCGCAGGCATTGCTATCCAGGGCATACAGCGTCTTGTTCAATCTCTTGGACGTCTCTGCCACCAGGCCTCAGATATTCCATATCCTGGCAATCATCACAAGGCGCAAACATGTTCAGCATTTCCGAATACAGGCTCTGCTGAACCTGTCGAGGCAGGCTGGTAACGACCGCCATTTGCAGGGCTTGCTCCGCGTCTACAGGAACTACTACCCTGAGATCATCGTCGGAAATACCGGCAAGGGGAGCGCTTTTAAACTGCCTGACGCAGAGTGGCGGGAGAGGCTGTCCGTGATCCAGAAAATGCATCGCGAGCAACAGCAGAGCAGTCTCCAAGGTCCCAGGGACGGGTTCAAGACCAACCAACAGCTCTTTGCCGGGTCAAAGGCCGCCGGGCCAGGTGGCCTTCCACCTGTACAGACATCCAATGCGCATGAGAAGTCAGTCACGCTAGAGGAGATTGACAGTGCAGAAAGTCTGGCCGCGAATCTTGAGAAGGTCGAGCTGCCAGACCACCTCGTTGCTGTTCTGGTTGATCCGCTCCTCCAGAAGTTCATGATGCTCAGGCCGGACCTGGACCTCAAGAGAGCATCAGCTTGGATGAATGTGCAACTCGCCGAGATACTGAGCGGCGAGGCGGACGATCGGACCATTGAAGAGACGCTCAGGATCATTCTTGAATATGCTCGGACTACAAAGGTTAGCAACTTTCCAGTGCACCAACTTGGCTGAAGCTGACCATCGCTTAGGATATATCGCCGTTCTTCACTGGCCTCATGAAGCTGGTAGAATTGCGCCTTCATCTGAAAGCTAGTACTCGGATACACGATGTTCTCGCCTACGCGCCCCTGATGGAACCCGAAGGTAACTGGCATGAGATCCTTCACGACCGAAATGCACTGGGTACTAAGTGAATCACAGATTTCTCCGTCATGACGTCCACGCTACAGACAGCAGTACTGGACGGGTCTGCTTCGTCACAACTGGACCTCCTAGAACTATACACCAACCTGCTCCGCCGCTGGAACGTCATCCTCCTGGCCAACGAAACCAACATCCCCAAACACGCATCCGAGTCCGTAGCTCGGCTCGTCTCGCACGCAAACCAGCTCGGCTTGACTGTCCTGCAGACCTCGCCCACGGAGCACACGGCCCTCAGGGTCCTCGACTTCTACGAGCGCGCCGCGCACCTCTACTCCAACGGCACGCTCCTGCGGTCCCTGCAGATCACCATCCCGCCGGTGCCGCTCGTGTACACGCTGCAGTTCACGACGTCGCTCGCGGCGGCGTCGCGGCTCTGCGCCGTGCTGGCCGCGTACAAGCAGGCGTTCGCGGCGTACATGGCCAACGCGGCCAAGGCGCTGGGCCCGCAGTACGACAAGGCCCAGGTCAACACCTTCAACGGGTTCCTGATGGACATCTGCAACTGCCTGTGGCGGGGCAAGGCCTTCGCGACGCGCGACGCCCACGCCAAGGGTTGCGCCGTGTCCGCCGCGCCCGCCGCCGCCCTGACCGCCTACGTGGCCGGGCTCTCCGCCGCCTCCGGCGCCGGCGACATGGCCCTCGGCTCGCTATTCACCATGAGTTACAGCCCGCTGCTGTGCCTGCAGGCCGCGGCGCACGTTCGCCGGCTCGAGGAGAAGGAGGACGAGGACGTCGTGCTGCGCGCGCGCCACGCCGGCCCCGTGACGGCCAGGAGCCTGGGCCAGCTTGCGCGCAGGGGCGGGCTCGAGCTCGCGTGGCAGGACTACCGGCTGGGCGTGCTGAGGTACCTGGAGGAGAATGGGTTCGGGGGGGTTTCCGAGCTCATGTACAGTACGATGCGGAATTTGCTGGATGCGAAGGCTAAGGCTTGACCTGGCGCTCCATTTGTCGACTGACGTGCGTGAGTGTTCTTAAAGTGGCAAAGAAAGAAACCAATACCGTTATATCGGATGAGTCTATTCATCACCTCTACCTGAATCGATCTGAGATGCAATTCCAAGGTGTACATGTTAAAGTATACCGTCTTTCTTTTCCGCCCGATGAGGGGTATCAATCGTCCGGAAACGCAGCCGTAACGCCTATTTCACCATATCTACCCTCCACAGAAGACCATCCGTTGTTGAAGCCTATTCCTTTTCCGGGCCTATATGTTGAAAGGCATCCCGACCATCTGTCTACCAACGCCATGTTAAATGCGCTTCGTGGTGATGCCCCATGAAACACTCGTGCCAAAATGCCGTACGAATCTTTGTGAACTCCGCGCAACATGCCGTGTTGAAATTGATCACCGTCGGCCCTTCAGACAGATCATCCCTATGCTCACCCTTTCTCCTACCCCTACTTCTTGGCCTCCAACCCGTACCCGCCCAGCTCGGCGCCACCCATCCCGTACGTCTTCCCCTCCGGGCCCCGGCGGTTCTGGCTCCGCGGGCCCCTGTCCTTGAGATCGTCCCTGAGCCAGCCGAGGACCAGCTCCCCGAGGCGCGAGTTGCCCGTGTCGCCCTCCAGCCTGCTGAGGAACTTGTCCGTGGTGTCCCACTCCCTGACGCCACCCATGTGCATGTGCACGAGGTGCGTGGGCCACCCGGCGAGGTTGTCGAGGATGTGCGTCGCGTACACGATGGTGCACTCGCGGGACTCGGTCTCCCCTTTCAGCCAGGCGAGGAACTCCGCGCGCGACAGCACGTCGAGGTCGACGGTGATCTCGTCGAGCAGCAGCACCGTCCAGGGCCGCACCAGGCCCATGGCCAGCTGGACGCGGCGCCTCTCGCCGTCGCTGACGGCGCTCATGCGCCAGTTCTCGTCGATGTCCAGGACCTGCACCAGCTCGTCGCGCCTCTCGGGGTACGCGTCGCCGCCGACGGACCGCAGCAGCTCCACCACCCCGATGTCGGTCCGCACGATCGGGTTCAGAACCCACTCCAGCCCCAGGTAGGTCACCCCCTCGAGCCCGTCCTTGAACGGGTCCACCCCGGACACGCTGATGGTCCCCGACGGCGCGAGCCGCTTGCCCGCCAGCAGCCGCAGGAGCGTCGTCTTGCCCGCGCCGTTGGCGCCGATCAGGAGCGTGCGCGAGCGTGGGGGCAGCGACAGGCTGATGTCGTGCACGCCGAGGGAGGAGTCGGCGAACGAGTAGGTGAGGTTGTTCACCTCGATGGACGGTGACTTGGCCATGGTTTTGTGGGTGATGGGCTGTCCTGGGCGTTGGGATGAGAGTGGTGTTGATCTGGCAATGTCCAGAAATTCAGATCCGGTTGGTTCAAAAGGCCCAAGAAGATTGTTCAGCCTAACGGAGTGCTCTTGTGAGGCCGAGTCTGTCTGACCTCCTCCCATTGAGTCAGTCTATGACGACGAAAAGAAGTCCAAGTTTGTCAAGGCTGAGCACGAGACATATGACCTTTCCCTGCACAGATATGGAGACAACAATGTGTACTCACCAGTGAAAGCAACCTCAGCAAATTTGGCCTACAGTGAAGACGTACAGATACGCAGGAAAGAGTGGCCGGACGAAAAAGTGAGGATCGATGACAAATCACTTCCTCACTTCTATACGGAATAGCTTGAACTATTGCCGATATCGTGCCAAAAATCGACCATGGCGTGAGGTACAATTCAAGGGTTAGGGCAATAGCAGACACCCTGCTTATACCATTCTTCTCGATTAGTCCTCGTCAGGCAAGGAGGTCTAGAAATTGTCTGATAAAGACTACATATTCTAGCTATCTTTCTCAAAATATCATATCAAGATGAAGAGCTCAAACTAGCTTGAATTTGTCTATGAATGAGTTTTGACGGCACAGCTATATAGGGTACAGAAGCGTTCTGGAGAATTCTGACCTTTTGGTGTTTCCTATTGCCATATTGTAGCGACACTTAAAACTGCGCCTGCTAAGAAAGATCAAGCTGAAGTAGCGAGAGCGGCCAGGACATGAACACTTGTTGGTCTTATACTTGTGTGAATTACAATGAAATGTCGGTGAACCCACAGTTTTTGATGAACCACCACTCTGTAGATCATAATGCCAGCTGCGGTGTGTTCTGGTGACAAGGCACGGTTTATGTAGTCAAGCGTCATACCGGTGGCCGCTGCCGCGATGTTCTCAGCGTTCTGGTACGGCTTAAGAGCCTCGGGATCCATACTGTCCAGATCATCATTCAGGAGTTTACGTACAGTCGAGACATAAATCCCAGGGTAAACGACATCATCTGTTCCATGTGAGGTGTACCCATCCTGGGTGCTAGGGAAATTATCAACACTAGAACATCCACACCTTTCCCTTCTCCCGAGTCACCTCACCGCATCTCTACACTGCATCCTGACAACATTAGGCACCCTATAATGGTCCTCGTAAAGCGTATTTGCCCTCCAGGGCGCCGCAAGGCAATCATCGCCGTCTCAGCGACGCCATCTGCTCCCACCCTCTCCGTCAGCGGATCCGACTCATCACCACCCCTTCAGCTTCGCATCAGCCTGCGCATAGCTGTGACGAGCCGCCCCGGCGTCTTGTCGGCGCTGCTAAAATTAAGTAGTAGGAGAGTAGTAATGGAACTCGGCGGCCGGTGTCCGCCTTCATCAATACACCAGATCACGGACGACAGTAGCCCAGTGTAGTAGCCCAATAGTTTTACCAGATGCTGTACCATTATCCGTACTCATACAGGACGGCGCTATCTCGTACACTTCGACTTCAAAAGGCTTGCCCCTTTTCGAGCCTTATAGAAAACGCCAAAACTTCGCTTATACCAGGCTGGCTGATGACGACCATTCCAAAAAAGAGAAAATATCCTTGGACTCCTTTCCTTTCCTTTCACATACATACGCGAGCGAGCGCGTCTCACTTTGAGAACCAAACCCCCCCTGCCCCCCAGGTTCCATGTTTGATGATTTCGACAAGAACAAACGCCGATGACATGCAAGCCAAAGTAGTACCAGCCAGAGACTCCCCTGAGACATACCGATGGAGAGCGAGTCCAGAGATTCCAGATATTATGAGTTTTTTGAACTCCCAACCCCTCAAACACCAAGCAGCAGTTGGGCAAAATTTGCCGACAGTTCACAACCAAGATCATCCAACACAATGCCACTCCGCAAAGACACACCACTTCGCAATTCGGTCCGCAAGGACGAGGCCCCTCCAGACCCCGCGCTCAGAGCACTTGATAATGGTTTCCCATGTCCCACCGTCGCCGACCTCCTCTTCGCTGGCCAGGCCGCGGGCAGATGACCCGACGCTAGCGCCGTGGCGGCGGTCCTCCTTCCTCATAAGCCGCAGGATCTTTCCGCCGGGCGTCTGGATCGCGAGCTTGGCCGGCTTGCTGCTGCCCGACCCGCTGCCGCTGTAGCTGCTCGGGTTCGACGTCGCACTGATGCTCATGGCTGAGCCCGGCCGCACGAACGGGATGGGGCTAGCACTACCCGGGTTCGAGGATGGGGTCATACCGCTTCCGCCGGTGTCGGGTGCTGAGCTGGGGTGCTGTCGGATGGCAAACACGAATGTGTTGTTCAGGGCGAGGCGCTGGCACTGGGGCTGGACGACGTAGATGTCGTGTCGCTGTGCGTGCGGCGTGGGATGCCGCAGCACGAACTCGTACGATGGATTCTCGCCTGTGTGGATGATAGGGATCGCGAAAGCCATCGGATGCGGGATGTCCTTGATGCTGTGCATGAGGCCGCGCTTGCCCGCGTAGATCTTGAGGGTGCCGTGACCCTCGTCGCCGGGTAGCAGGGCCTTGACTGTGTAACGCTTGGAGCCGCTGAACCACTCGCACTGTGCCAGGGCACGCTTCTTCACCACGTCGCCGCTCTCGAAGAAGTCGCCATCCTCGTCCCGACTCAGGGCGCGGACCTCGACTTCCGCAGCCACTTCGACATCGGCGGGCACGTTGAACTTGATGTGCACCATTTCCAGGTCCTCGATGCGGGTGAGGGAGGTGTTGTAATCAACCATCTGCAAATTGTTCATAAAATAAGGCGGGCAGGCACAGGGTAGGTTGAGCAGAACCTCGTTGGCCACGGGAGGACAGACATGCTGTTGCTCGTGGTGTTCGGGCATGTGGGTCCAGCAGATTTCCGACGGGCTGGTCAGGAAGTACCAGAAATCGGCAGAGCCACTGCCCACGCTGGAGAAGAGGGCACGCTTCGGGTTCGAGGGGCTCGCGAGGCAGCAGTCCATGATGCGCCACTGTCCATCGAGCAGCACAGTATTCCACCAGTGATTCGGGCGGGGCAGCATGTTGGTCTCTGGAATCTCGCCAGGTGTCTTGAGGTAACCGCGGACCACCTCGCAGTGTAGGCCAACAGCACCACACATCTCCATCACCAGCACCGCATACTCTTCTGCACAGCCCCGCTTTGTCTGGATGACTCGACGGGTATCAACATCCCCCTCGTAGTCCTCCTCCCAGGTGATTAACTCGGCAACCCAGGTGAATATGGCCCGCAGTCGCTGCACGTCGCTTCTGTACGGCCTGCAGACGTAGGTCGTAGATAGCGTAATTGCGGTGGTCATCGGCGGAAGACTCTTGATGAAACGCGAGTTCTTGTCCACATTCATGAAGTTGATGCTCGAATAGTCCGTGGGTCTCTGAACAGGGAGACCGTCCGCGTCCTCGTCGCCCTCTATACTTCCGTACAGCTCGTCGACTGGATCAAGGGCCGGGTAGTCAAGCATCATACACCTGTCCCTTCGCTCGTTTCTCTCATTGCGGCTCAAAGTATTCGATCGGTTCACATCCCGCCGGACCTGGACCCAGTCCGTACCGGAGGCTAATCCCATGTCGCGGGAGGCGTCCTTGGCGACCACGGGGCTTGAGAAGCCAGCCGATGAAATCCCTGTTGACGACGCTGGCATCGTCGGAGGCATGGGCGAAGATTGCAAAGAGCCACCACTGCCTGTCATGATGCTGGTCCGCCCGCTTGCTACCCCTGTCTTGGCCGAATCCATGAGCTTCTTCAGGAAACCACGCTTCTTCGGGGTCGGAGGAGCGAGGCCGCCCACATTGCCCATCGGGTCGTCTAGGAAGGCCGCCTGGGACCGCGGTCGCTGGGCATCGGAGGCGTGGCTGCTGTGGTAAGTCACACCGCTGAATGGGGTTTCTGGCCGGTCGAGTCCGAGGTCGTGCATCCCGAGCGCGCTCTGGGCGCGACCCCTATTCTTGCGCGCCAGACTGCCTGCGCTGGTAGCACTGATACCGCCGGCCGAGACTCCGCTCATCAGACTCCTGTTAGTGCTCTGTGTGGCTGAACTGCTATCGGTCGCGCGGGTGCTGGAGGACGAGTTCGTCTTGGTTGTAAATGTCCGGCCGATCATCTTGCCGACCTCCTTGGCGGATCTCTTGTGACGTAACTTGCGATCCGGGCCGTCAGCACGAGTGTCCATGGAAGATTTGGGTCTCTCGACCAACCGGCTCTTAGGAGGTGGGGGCGGAGGCTCTGCATCAGCTTCATCGGCCGTCTCCGGGTTGCGCGAGTGCATATTGCGCAGCTGCGTCTCCATCCGCTGGACATAGCTGCTCAGCTGGGGCAAATGGCCATCTTGCTCGTGGCTCCCATGGTAGGTCTGTTCCCGGGACGATCCGCCGCTCCCAGTACCGTAGCCAGAATCGGCATTCAAGGCAACACCGATGGACGTCTGCGGCCTCGTGGCCTCCCTTCGCTTCCTTCGTGACTGTTGGTTGACCATGTCAAAGGATTCCGGGGACCATGGGTCGAGCGGTGGTTGCTCCGGCGACTCGGCCTCGTGCGTTCCAAGGGCATCCAGTTGCTCCATCACACCGTCCATGGCCTCTCTGAGCGGGGAAGGGGTCATGTTAACGCCGGAGCCACCAGGAGAAGGGGGACAAGGAGAAGCCGCCCGGGGCGTATGATAACCTGACATTGGCTGTTGCATCGAGGCTGACTGCTGCATCGAGAGATGTGATCCACGCCGCTCAAATCCGCCCCGATCGTCATACGAAGCAAACGAGCTATGCCTGCTGATGTCTTGATGGGCGCGATCATCATAAGACGCGTGAGAGCCATGCCGACTCAGGTCAGAGGGTATCCTGCTGTCATAAGAGGCGCGCGAGCCGTGTCTTCTGAGCTCGGCTGGTATCCTGGCGTCGTACGAAAGGTTTGAGCCATGCCTGCTAACTTCTCCCGACAGCCTTGGTTGTATACGACTGTCGTATGAAAGGCTTGAGCCATGCCCTTGGACACCGACGTGTCGATGAGGAGGTGGTGGTGGCGGCGCGTCGTCCTGGCCGTCAAACGGATTAGTAAATTGCGGTGGTTGGTACTGCCCGTTGAAAGATGGCGCGGGCGAGGGCGCGAATGCAGGACCGAGTGCTGGTGAGGGCTGTCTAGACCCGTAGCCGCGGACACGAGGTGGTGTCTGTATCCTCTCTATGTCTGACTGCACGCTGCGATTGGATTGTCTGAATGGTGTTCTTGTTGGTGTCGAGGAGAGGTCTTGCGATGCCCTTACGGGGCTCTCCCTGTATGTCTCGGGCTGCTTTGCGGTGGTATAATGCGGTGCTTTGGAATAAGCCTCGAACGGTTTTCGAAAGGTTTTGGTCTTCTGCGGGGTGTTCTTGGGACTGGGGGTGCTCTGGGGCGCCGGCATGGGGCTGGTCGACCTGCTGTAAGGTCTAAAGTCATCTGGGAGGACCTCGACGAAGTTGGACGGGAAGACGCCGATCATCCTCCTATCGCGGCGCAGTCTGCCCGTCCACCACGACCCGTCGCCGGCATTGAGGCATTCGATCAGGTCGCCCTCTATGAAACCAAGATCTCGTTTTGACTATAGGCATGGCGCGTCAGCACGACCCGTACGGCCCTCGGAGGACAAAGACCAGATCCAAGCAGCGTCATCATAAACATGGTGCGGGCGGGGCCAATAATCAACGCACCTCTCCCCCGTAAGAGTACACCGCCCTGCACCAGCAAGGAAACCGCTGAGGTATGCCCGGAGGAGCAGGCACCATTTCGACGGTGGGAGGATTGTGCGAGTTGTTTAGTGGCAGGAGCTCGACCGACTCAGCAGCATCTTAGTTCTCGGATCGGAGACTGTTCAAGTTCGCGGGTGTGGATCTGGGTCTGGGTCTGGGTCTGGGTCCTGTGCTGGTGCTGGTGCTGGTGCATACAATACACGTCCGCAGGGCAAGGTCGAGGCGCGTTGCTGTGGCTAATGTGTTGTTGAGCGAGTGTAGGGCCTGCAAAGCAATGGGCAGACGTGTTGGCAAAAGACTATTTGGTAGAAGCCGGTGGGCTGCTTAGCAGAATAATAGAGATGCAGCTATCTTGGGCATGTTGCGGTGTGGGCGGTGATGCTGTGTGGATGAGGATTGTTGAGGAGCTATGGCCGACCTTGCGCCTGTGCGATCCTCGTAGACGGCGGGTGGTGCGGCAGGTTCAAGGACGAGGGTGGCAGACGAAGATCATGGGTGGCCGGAGGGAGGGGTGGGTGAGAAGGCGTGTGTTGTACGACTCACGACAGATTCAGATTGAGAGACTGACCTGAGATGTGGTGGTCCAGTAAACAACCTTGGAAGCGAGCACCCGGTCTAGCGGCCCACACTTGGTCTTCCATCAGTCTGGGGTGGTGTTCAGCCTCAGTGGGTCGGGGTCACAGATCAACCCCAGAAGTTCGAAAGGTGCAGCTGGTAGCGGGTTCAGGTGCAAGGTACAGTACACACTGCACGGCAGACGTCACCCCGGCAACCCGTCAGGCGAGAGAAGAGGGATCCCCTGCCAGCACTTCAGCACCCCGGCGGAACCCAGGTAAATAGAGGGGCTGCAGCCCGACCGTGATGTCACCCCTGGAGCTTACTTGGAGCTACGGTGACAAGAGGGAGGCCAAGCTTGATCAGGTCAAGCTTCAATTGGCTTTTGCACTTTGTTTTGGTTGTTGACGCTGTTGCTGTCGCCGTTGCCATTGCTGCTGCAGCTGCAGCACCGTACCTGGATATCATGACCAAGGTTCCCCTGGTCGGTTCTCCTGGTCGGTTCTCCCTTTGCTTTTTGTTTGTTCTTGTTCCTCCATTTTTCCTTTCCTTTTTTCTCTGTCTCTCTCTCACTCCTTTTTCTGCTGCATGGAATATCTCCGAGGTCAAGGTCAGAGCCAAGGCAAGATCGAGTCCGGGTCTTAGACAATGAGGCTTGCTCAGGTCTTTTTGTCGAGACAATCGGGATTGTAAAAGTGGTTCAATTGTACTATGCTGTACAGTTGGTTCTATTTGTGGTACATGGCATTCTGAGATCTGACATTATAGTTTGAATTCGTAGATCTCCATCGCCTCGTTTCCGAGATGCTGGTCTGTGTGCCCATGCCGTCTGACCGAGCAACTCGCAATATAGATAACACGGTTTTACTCCCAAGCAAAGTCTCTGCTAGCTGCCCCATCTACCGACATACTGTCTGCCCAAGAACCAGCGCCAGCAAATGAAAAAGGAAGATGCCGTTTAAAAGGCGGTTATCAATGGTCAGAAATGTGCTGAGGGGATCGGTTGCCGGGCCCTCCGATCACATCACTGCTGTGTATAAACATGCACTAGTAGAGCACCCGATATGCACATGTATAAGTCAGATAGGAAGAAGGTGGTCACACGACCTGCAGGCGCGAGACAATCCTGTTGTCTGTTGGAATGCAGCTAGCAATTAAACGGTTGCATCGTGCTGGGTGATGGTTGATTCTATCGGACAAGTATTAAAGCCTGCATATGTCGCTGTCCTGGCCATCTGCTTGCTGCCTCCATCTTGCTTCTCCTCCTCCTCCTCCTGCACTCAGTGACACTTCATCGTGTTGCCCAAAGGTCCACCATGAGGATAATTATAACCCAGAAGGAATCCAGGGCTTGCACGTCTCCGTACTCATCTCCAGAATCCCAGGTCCAGGGCAAGGGTCCTCCGCTCCACGCTCATTTGGTTCGCTAGGCCCAGGGCTCCTCCTGGTCCTGGTCCTGGTCCTGGCCTGCTGGGCCAGCTGGCCCAAGCTCCACCCAAGAGGTCGCCTGGCCAACCCCAGCCTGGGAAATCCACTTAGACTGACCGTGACGAACAGTCGACAGCCAGCCATTGCGACAGCAAGCATACTTTGGGTTTTTACAGATTGCTTTCCAGGCATCCTTAATTGTCGCTGATTTGTTGCGGTACTCGCCCACTCGTCGTTTCTCAAGACATTTTGCAGGAGTTATTCATTGCATCGCCAACCGTCTCGCCCCAGTGGTGGCCCGCTGCACCCGCGCTTCGGAGTTGCTGCTGTCGTCGGCCCAAGGACCCATACACTCACTCCACTTCATCTGGCTCTGACCGCCCCCGGACAGCCCACACAGTTGACAGTGCCCGTGGGCAATCAGCATCAGTCCACCACGATGGCCGGCGACGACATAGCCAGTCATTACGAGGTGCTTGAGGAGCTTGGCCGTGGAAGTTTTGGCGTCGTCTACAAAGGCATTGAGCGAGCCACGGGAGAGACAGTGGCCATCAAGCACGTAAGTTGCATAAGTCGCACAGGATGCAGACGCAGCTTTCCCAGCGGGCTTCACTCGCAGACCCGACCTCGATTGCTGACACTTAGATATAGATCGACCTCGAGTCCAGCGAGGATGACATCCAGGAGATCCAACAGGAGATCTCGGTGCTTAGCACTTGTGCAAGCCCCTTCGTTACCCAGTACAAGGCAAGCTTCCTGAGGGGCCACAAGCTATGGATTGTCATGGAGTATCTGGGTGGTGGTTCCTGTCTAGATTTGGTCAGTCCTGATCTCCAATTTCTACATAATGGGTAACAATTTACTGATTTATTTTCCAGCTCAAACCGGGCAACTTCTCAGAGGCTCTGATTGCCATCATCTGCCGGGAGCTGCTGCTGGGGCTGGAATACCTCCATGCCGAGGGCAAGATCCATCGCGACATCAAGGCTGCCAATGTGCTGCTCGCCGAGTCGGGCAAGGTCAAGCTCGCAGACTTTGGTGTTGCCGCCCAGCTCACAAACATAAAATCCCAACGCAACACCTTCGTCGGGACTCCTTTCTGGATGGCGCCGGAGGTCATCCAGCAGGCTGGCTACGACTTCAAGGCAGACATCTGGTCCTTGGCCATCACAGCAATGGAAATGGCCAATGGCGAGCCACCTCTTGCCAACATCCACCCCATGAAGGTCCTGTTCCACATTCCAAAGAACACTCCGCCACGGCTCGAGGGCAATTTCAGCAAATACTTCAAGGACTTCATTGCACGATGTCTGATCAAAGAGCCCGAGCAACGACCGACCGCCAAGGAATTGCTCAGGCACAAGTTCATCTCGGGGGCTGGCAAAGTGGAAGCACTGCACGAACTGGTGGAACGCAAGCGAATCTACGATGCCAACCAGACCAGGAAGATGCACCCGGTCTACTACCAGGAGACCCTCCAGAGCCTGTCCACCAATGACAACACCGAAGAATGGACATTCGACACTGTCAGGTCCGTTGCCCACCCGCCACCACCAACACCGCCACCAAAGAAGGCCAATTCAAGGAACCGGGACTCGGCAATTTTCTCCGCGGACGAGGCGATGCGGAAGCTGGATGTCAACGACGGCCCTCTTCAGATGACTTCCCCAGCACCAAGTACCGTCCGGAGAGGCACAGTCCGGCACCACGCCACCGGACGCCGGCGACCAGACTCGGTCTTCCACGTCGACTCTGACGGCTCGCCGCGATCCTCCGTCGCAGGCAGACGACCTCTCCAACCCGACATGTCGTTCGGCAACACGGGGTCGACCCAGCGCCTGTTCCGCCGCGTAGCCTCAGACGACTCTGACTCGAGCCATCCTAGCGCGTCGTCTCGGTCGGACGGCTCGAACGCCGAGAACCGCGACCCAGAGTCCAAGGCGAGCCGCGACCTCTCCAGCAAGGAGGCCATCCTGGGCCACCGGCTCTACACCAAGGCCACGGAGCCCGCGCTGGCCGAGCTGCACGCCCAGACCTCGGCGCTCCAGAAACGCGAGGCCCTCGCCAAGCTGTCCGAGGCGCTCGCGCTGCTCGACGCGGTCGACCCGGAGGGGAGCTACCACCTGATGCAGGGCGTGGTCTCCGCCGTCGCCCACGACAAGAAGCTGGGCCAGGCCTTCCTCAAGGGTAGTGGCGACATCGGCAGCCCGGCGGCCGACCCCAAGGTTGCGCCCGAGGGCTACACCCACGGGACGGTCATCAACATGAACAAGCGCGACCAGGCGTCCGCGCCCGGCAGCCCCGCCAAGGTGCTCTTCAGCGCCGCCAACGGTAACGGACAGGCCGGCCGGACCAACCGCAAGCGGCGCGGCAGCGCGGCGCCCTCCAACTCCTCCGAGCCCCCCTCCACCCCGGCCAAGGGCGCAGGCGGCGACAGGCACCCCGACGAGAAGCAGCAGCTTGGCGACCTGGAGAAGGCGGCGCTCGAGGCCCGCTTCCCCGGCAGGGAGGCGCAGCCCGGCATGGAGCACTGCAGGCAGCTGTCGGAGCTGCTGTACGGCCGCTGGGTGCGGAACCTGCAGGGCCGGTGGCCCGGCATCGCCGCTGAGCCATGATGGATGGGGTGCCAGGCCCGCTGAAGACGCTCCAGTCTATTTCATTTTCCCCTTTTTGTCTTTCATACTTCTCCTTTTTCCCCTCTTTTTCGTCGTCATTCGCAAAACAGCGCGGTTGCTTGGAGATGGAGCGACTGCATTTTTTTAGAAGTTCTTTTGGATCCATCGGGACGTGTACACATTGGCAACGCATCAACGCATCATGAGCTCATTTCTGTTTTGTTCAGTTTTTGATGAGACAAGCAAGCATATGAGGAGGAAAGAAGAAGGATCGAGAGGACTCTGTGGGATTGTATGTTTCTGTACCACCATTTCGGCATTTACAAGGGGTTTACCAAAAGCAGCGAGCTCTTGGGTTGAACGCAAAAGAAAGAGAAGAGTTGGTTGGGGGGGGAGGGGTGAGAGTTTTCTTCAAGGTTTCTTCTTCATATGCGGGAGACCGGCCACGCTTAAAGCTTCGAAAGAGACATTTCGAAGCTTCCTCATAGACGCTTGGTCTGCACGGCTCCCATTTCCCTGGGCGGGCCATCCTGCCCTCTGTTAAGATGGTTGGCATTTCGCACGTTTTGTAGCCTGGCGTCCTAGGTTAGGTAGATAGTCCAACCCGAACAAATAACAAGATCAATACGGCACCCTTCTTCAAAACCAATAAATAGTGTGCGCTCTCGTTCATTGCGGTGATCTTCTTTGTCCGCCCTCCTCGGTTCAAACGCCGCCGATCGTCGTGCCTCAAGACGGATCCGCGCCGTCATCATCATCCGGGGCGGGTGGCAGGGCGAGCTTGATGCGGTGATTGATGAACTCGTCGGTTAGTATCCGCCCGTGACCCGTTGTCTCATTCGTCTTGTACACCTCAATGTGGGTGTCCCTCGCACGCCGGCGGATCCTCCATACGCCCTCGTCGTCGATCTTGGTCCTCAGCCCTGCGAACAACAGCGCTACCGGTCAGCTTTCTTCACTTCGTCCCGCGCCTGTCTGCTCGAAAGGCAGGAATATCATTCGCCAGCCTCAAAAAGGCCAGCAAAGATGGTACTAGGCAGACCCTGGCCAGAACGTAAACAGAACAGACTCACACTCGAGAAAAGAAGCCGCGAAGTTGGTGCAAATGTTGCCGTCCCACTGCCTTCCGCGCCGCGCGACCGTGTCCGGGATCGAGGCCACGTCCATGTCCTCGACCCGCTGCAGGATGCCGTCGCGCGAGCGGAAGCCGACGATGATCCGGGGCACGCCCAGCAGGAACGACTGGATCCAGAACTTGAGCAGCTTGCGCTCGAAGTTGTCGCGGTCGCGGTCGTTGCGCATCTCGGCCGACGTCTTGAGCTCCACCCAGTTGATGGGGTCGCCGGCCTTGGGGGGCTTGGAGTCCCAGACTGCGCGTGCGCGGAGACACAGATTAGCTGCGGGGTGTCCGATGGTCGTGCGAGGGCCAGGGGATGTATTCTTTGAGGCCGTAAAGAGAACTTTGACGTCTCGATGATTGATAGAGAGGGGGGCAACTTACCAGCATCGACCTCGCCGCCGAGGCACAGCACCGTCTTGCCCAGGCCGGTCCGGACCACGGAGCAGTACTGCGCCTTGTTGTTGACGACCTCACGCTCGCGACCCTCTATGTACTCGCGGCTGGTCTCGCCCCACGGGGCGGGCAGCGTCGCCAGCGTCTCGAACTTGTACCCCCAGAACTGCATGACCTCCTGGGGGATCGGCCCACGCCACGGCTGGGCCGCCTGTTCGGCCTGCGAGCGCATTCGGTACGCGTGGTTCTCCTCGATGAAGCTGGAGTCCTGGTCAGCTTGGGCTCGTCCTCTCGCGTGGTTTTCTGGCGTTGAGCAGTTGCGTGTGTGCGTACATGCAGTCCTTTGCGCGACCGGTCAGTACGGTGATCTCAAGAAGGGCAGGCATCTGGAAGGCGGGCGCACTTGGTATAATGTAGCGTTTAGCTCGAACCTGTGAGGTTGTCAGCCGAAAACGTCCTGGCTTCCGTCGAGTGAGCTGCTGCTATGCCCCGTACCCGTCACGGTCGTCGAATGGGCTTGACATTATCTGTGGCCGTATTAGCCACTGATTCTGGAGGTTAACCAGCACGTGCTGGATGGAAATAGAGATGGCTGGCAGACTTTGGTGAGAACTCCACGCCACGTCACGACGTTGGCATCGATCTTCTTCTTGGTTTCCTGTTCGTGGTGCATTATGGTCCTCAGCAGACTATCCAGGTGCTCGGCGACGCTGTCGTCGTGCTTGACGAACGTCTCGAAGCCCTGAGATAGATCCGCCCCCAGCTGTGGTGTATAATACCATCTCAAGGACCGATCCCCGTAGTGGTACTTATGCTCATCGTCGTATGAGAAGCATGCAAACTCCTGTGAGGGTGTTAACAGTGCACTTTATTGGGAGATCTGGTATCGGGAGGTGAGATGGAATGAGACGCGATGGACCTGCCTTTGGTCTCTTCACCGGCTCGCTCTGGCGGGCGAACCGGCCAATGGGCTGTATTGAGAAGGTTTGATCCATGGTGTAGGTGTGTTGCCTGGATCTTTTAGTGCGTGCCTTGCATGCTCCATCCGATGAGTAGCGACGTATGAGTCTGCAGGTCAAGCTCGCCGTGGGAGACCAAAGCATGGGACTGTGTGTTGCTTTTCCCAGGTGTGGCTCTTGACAGTGTGGTGAGATCAACCTGAGTTTCATCAATGTTCTACTTAGGTCAGGCCAGTATGCACGCCCGCCCAGGTGGTATGGAGGGCATGCAGTTAAGCGGTGGCCAGTGCGTTTTAGGGCTGTCTTCCACGATCAGCCGTGTCGGGGAGTCCCTGTATTCAGCGTGTCAGGCTCACCTGAGTGTCAACCCAGGAACCCCGTGGAACAAACATCTCTCTGCCTATGAATTCGCACTACTCGTCTCTAGATCTCCAGCATTTCGACTGCGAAGAACCGGCAATATGCACTTCATGCACGATAGTGTATCGATATTTCAAAGTGTAGATACATTCAATCTACGTATCGTCCATCAGGCCAAGACTGAGGTGCTTGCCGGTCTTCCCAACAGTGAAAACATACACGACGCATGAGTCTGGGTTTAGATCCGGAGGCCATTATATCCCAGAATTTTGGTCTTGTCTGCGCAGTCTGCTCCGTAGTTATGCCCCGTAGGCCAGAATTTGATCACGGCGATACTTCTCCTCATTGTCCACTGTCCTCATTCAAAGTGTTCGGACGTACAGTTTGGTCTGCGCCCCTGGAGTTGATTTATACCCAATGGGTGGGTGAATAGTCAGCAATCTTGGCCGAACGTCTCGAGAGCAGGCAGAAGCATTGCCGGCGATTAAGAAGATCTCAGCGGAAGTCTGGATGGAGGCAGGACCTAATCACGTGGAATGATTAATTTTCTGCCTCCTTGGTCTGGGCCTATATGGTCTGCCAGTTCTGAATATTCTGCCCGTCACATAACTTCTTGTCGACACTGTGGAGCAAGTTGGTTGAGGGAGGTCATGTCTGGCTTTGCCCCTCTACAGGAGGCGCGCGTCTTTCTTCGAGGTGTAGCTCTGCCTTCTCGATGCACATTCCCATCAGTTGAGTCCAGGGGCCGCTGTCTCATTTAAAAAGCCATTGCCGTGTTATCATGATGAATATCAAGCCAAAGAGTCCTGCTCGGCGTATGAGAATTCTCATGTTGAGACCGTCGTCAATTTTACTAGATGCGAAGAGCATCCCAAGCACCCATGCCTCCCCGCCATTTCGGTCAAGCTTTCACCGGACCGGCCCCGGCCCCGGCCCCAGCAGCGAGGCATGGGTCAGGGGTATCGAAGGTGATGGACCCAGTCCAATTTCCGGTGCTTGCACGTCGACTCAGTCTCCAATGGCAAACCACCAGCGATTGCGTCCACACGTGCTAGGGAAGTAGGCGGCCAAGGAGATTGCAACCCTCCCAAGAAGTCTTGAGAATGTGACAGCGTTGACTCCCGTCCCCAATCTGGGCTCATCGCCCGCGATAGCCTCGCCGAGTGCCGAGTTCCCCTGCCCTGCCCGTCCATATCCAACGTCATGTGGAGTTGAGGGCGATCATGGCGGAAAGACGATAAATATAGACCAGCGTCCCAATCGTCTGTCACCGGAGACCCTTCTGCGAGCGCAGATAGCAGCTTCGTGACTCGCTGACCGGCTCCTTCGCTGACCTGGTCTGGGACATTGCTCCAACTTTGGCATACTCTTCTTCGAGTACAGAACAAGAACGTTGCGATGCCTGCTTCATCCGCTGTCAAGGTCGCCGCTCTGGCCGTGGTGGGCTCTGTGTCGGCCGCTCAGATGCTGGCTCCCACCAACGACATCAACCTTCCAGCCAGCGAGACAGCTTCCGAGCCTCTCAAGTGGCTGGGTGCCAACAGCCCCTGGTTTGCTGGTGAGAGTCTCTTTTTCGAAAGCCCTGTTACATGCGCAAGGAACAGCACACTGACAGAAAGTGCAGGGCCCAACGTCTATAACATCTCCTCAGAGATCCCAGAAAACTGCTACGTTGACCAGGCTGCATATGTGTCCCGCCATGGCTCCCGCTTTCCAGACACTGGCGCCTACGCCGGATGGGTCGATATGCAGGAGCGTTTCTCCTCCGGCAACTACACCCCGAGCGGCAGCCTGTCTTTTATGAAGGACTGGCGGACCGTATTGACCAACGTGGACCTGCAGATCGCCATGGAGTCCCCGACCGGTGCGAAGGAGGCGCACGACCTTGGCTACACCCTCCGCACGAGATACCCTCAGCTCTACAACGAGGGCGATGACTTCTATGTGTGGTCGAACAACTACACCCGAGTGCTCCAGACTGCCCAGATGTTTGTCCAGGGTTATCTCGGCTTCACGTCCAGCACCTACGGCAATGTTGTCTCTGTGACGTCGAAAGGATACACTGGCAACATTGGGAATTCCCTCGGGCCGTCGGACCAGTGCCCTAATTTCAACGACAACTCCGGCGGCGACTATGCCACAGAATGGGCAGACGTGTACATCCCGCCTATCAAGGAACGCCTGGAGAGCCTCATCGACGGCAACTTCACATTCGAGGACAACGACATCTCCCAGATCCCCTACCTCTGCGGGTTCGAGAGCCAGATCACGGGCCGGCTGTCCCCGTGGTGCGGCGTCTTCACCGACGATGAGCTGCAGCAGTACGAGTACTCCAACGACCTCCGTTACTACTACGGCCTCGGCCCGGGCACCGACCTCGAGCAGACGATGATGCTGCCGTACCTGAACGCCCTCGTCGGCCTCCTCGAGCAGGGCCCGGGCACCAACGGCATCGCCCAGGACGGGGGCAGCTTCACGCTCCCCAGCCTGCTGGCGACCTTCATCAACGACGGCCAGCTCGTCGAGCTCGTCACCGCCAGCGGCGTGTTCGACGACGAGCCCGCCCTGTCCGGCTCCGAGATGGACCCCGACAGACTCTTCATCGCCTCTCACTTCACCACCATGCGGGGCACCATCGCCTTCGAGAGGCTGAACTGCGCCGTTGATGGCAGCCCCGGGAACAGCTCGTCCGGCGCGGCCTCGTCCGCCAACGCGACGTACGTGCGCATCAGGCTGAACGACGCCGTCTATACCCTGCCATCCTGCCAGGACGGCCCGGGCCAGTCCTGCCTGCTGAGCGACTACGCCCAGCTCATCTCGGACAAGGTCGCGGCGGCGGGCGACTGGGTGGAGAACTGCAACGTCACCGTTCCGGACGCGCCCACCACTGTGCAGGGCGCGACCTTCTACACGGACCTGACGAGCCCTTGGTTGCGGGAGCTGAACCCTGGTAATGTCGTCCTTTCGAATGCTTAGTCGCAGGGGCACAGAGAGTGTGCATATCCGTAGCGTGGATGTGAGAAGGAGATGAGTACGGTTCAATTGTATGTAATTGGCGTGCCAGTAAATGTAAGATGTCTCTTGATCGTTCCCTATGACATTTAGTGAGCATTTCGAGTATTGGAGCAATATTGTAGAACACCTTGTTAAGCATTGGGAAGGGCGTGAAGCGAGGAAGTAGAGCCCGAGGACACTGCGAAGTGATAGGAACACCTCATAATATAACATGTGTCCGGGGAATTTGACGTAGTTCGTGACACAATCTTGCATTATGCTGTCATACAAGACCTGCTTGTTTATTGGACTTAGACTCAAATTACGGAGCAGATGGGTGCATTAAATCCATAGCCATTGCCGATCTGAAGTGTGATGCGGCCAAGTTTTGAAACATGTCGCTCAAGTTACTTCCCGCCTTCCGACGTTTTAGGGGCATACGACCTGGGCCGACTGGGTGAGACCTGCAGGCGGGTGACGACAGCACCCAAGTACCTAGGGGACGCTATCGCCTGCATCTGCCAGGGCCCGCCCAATTTGACCTCGACAACTCGACTCCAACACCCCAATACGCGCCTCTTCACTCGTGGCTTCTGCGCATCGCGGGCTTCAAGCTACCCTCTCCAGACCGCTTCAACCTGTGTCTTGCTTACCGATGATGCTTTCACACACATGGAACCTTGACAGATAGCTCTCAGGCTCCTGGCTCCCTCCGCCAAAGTGACACCTTTCTGCCTCTCTTCGAGCAGCCAACATCATGGCAAACCGCTACCGCGGCGCCGGCATGTACGGCCGCAGCGGCAACGCCAATGGCTATGGGAACTTTGGTCAACCAAACGGCAACGGCGACGACTACGACCCATATGGCGAGGGCGGCGGCGGTGGCAGCGATCGCTACAGGACACCACCTCCAACACAAGCCGGACGCGCGCTTCCTCCCCAGTCCTCCCTCCGCGCCCCTCCCTCGAGATCGCAACTTCAGGCCCAGCAACTCACCCAGCAAGCACAATGGACCAACGCAGAAAGACAGATCAACGAGGTGCTGGGAATTATACAGAAGGACTGGCCACAGATGTGCCATAACGACTGCATACCTGTGCAGCTGGCCCTGCAACTCCTCGACAACAGCTCCGTGGGCAGGGCGCACGAGTACGGCAACTTCCAGCAGACGCACCAGTACCTACAAGACTCCCTCAAGGCGATCGTCCATGACTACCATCAGGGCTTCAACAGCTCCATCGGCACCTTCCACAAGATCCAGGGCAGCATCATGCAGAGCCAGAAGAAGGTCCGCATGCTGAAGGAGAACCTGGCAACCAGCAAGGTCGCCCTGTGCACGACGGACCCGGAGCTCAAAAAGCTTTACAACACGAGCCAGATGTACGACGAGCTTCTGCAGGTTCTGAACGAGCTCGAGGAGCTGAGGCAGGTGCCCGACCAGCTCGAGGCTAGGATATCTGAGAAGAGGTTCCTCACGGCTGTCGAAGTCCTGCAGAATGCCCTCCGAAGGCTGAGGAAGCCCGAGCTAGACGATATCGCCGCCCTGAGTGATCTGAGGAGCTACCTGGCTAACCAGGAGACGGCGCTGATGGACATCCTCGTCGAGGAGCTGCACGAGCATTTGTACCTGAAGTCACCATACTGCCAGGAGAGATGGCAGAACTTGGCCAAGACCCAGGGCGCCTTTCGCGACGACATCGCCGAATCAGGAGCTGTGGTGCCATTCTTCGAGGTCTTGAATGGCATGGACCTCGATAACCATATACAAGAGGACCCCGGCAGGAACCCCGAGTCTGATACTTTCTCTTACGTGGCCTTGTTGGTCGAGGCACTCAACAAGTTGGGACGTCTGGAGACTGCCGTCGACACCATCAAGCAACGTTTACCGGTCGAGCTTTTCAGCGTTGTTAACGACACGATCAACGAGATAGATCACAAACATCCCAGCTCACTGCGGGGTGTATCCTCAAGTTCGGGCGGGCTGCACATTTATAACAACAGAGAAACACAGATGAGGGCAGATGTGATATACGATTTGCTGTGGACACTGTACGGAAAGTTCGAGGCGATAGCCGAGGGTCACCGTCTTTTCCACGAATCTATCAAAGCTCTGATCCGCCGAGAGGGCGGCGGCAACAACGCTGCCTTACTCGGGAGCTTCAAAGAGCTATGGAACCTATACCAGAATGAGATACGGTCACTACTACACAATTATGTGACCACAGATGCGGATCTGTACCAGTTCAATACACCAAGACCAGGCACAACGAACGGTGTCATCGACGCGCATAGGGAGCACTTGTTCAAGTTCACCGAGGGGGATCCCAAGGCTGTAGACCTGACAACGGAATTTGAAAGGCTGAATGACACCATCGAACAGGCGGTTCCTGGCTTGACTGCCGGTCTGATAAAAGGCAAGGGCGACAAGAAATCCGGGAAGATTGATGCTAGAAAGAGCGCAGTCCCAGCATATGGTGGTCGCGAACAGAACGAGACCTACAAGTCACTCGTCGAGCCGAACGTCTTTAACATGAGTCTGTTGCTGCCGCCGACTTTGGTTTTCCTAGGCAGGCTCAAGAACATTGTACCACCGGGATCAGATCTGGCGACTAGCACTCTGACGACCTTCCTTGACAACTTCTTGGTCAATGTTTTCCAACCGCAGTTGGACGAGACACTTGGCAAGTTGAGCGACACTGTGTTCGGTGAAGCAGACGCATTCCAGCAAGATGGAGACTGGCACCAGGTCGCAAAAAGACCGGTGTTCAAAGGTGCCACAGACTTCTTTGCAGTGGTCACGGCGTTCTGCAGAATGCTGGACACAATCCCACATGACCAGGCACTCAGTGCGTTGATTATCACCCAGATGATGAGGTACTACGACCGGTGTTTTGGCTGGTACAAGACCCTGGTCACCAAAACACAGGAGGATGGCACGGCAACCCAGGCGCTACGTTCGTCGGCCATCATGGCCACCGAGAGCGGCGAGATCCATGAGACTATCCAGAAGCTCTGGACAGCCGACACTTTAGATCAAGATCTGCTGGACAAGGAAGTGGCACTGCTGATCACGGAGACAAACGAGAAGCCGCTGCAGCTCAGCGACATCATCTCGGACAGGGATACCATCTCATCGCTGTGCCTCCTGTACACCAGTATGAAGTGGCTGTCTGTCAAGGTGTCTTCGCTGAGGCACATCACACGCAACGATACCGACTCCAATCGCTCCAGTATACCTAAGCCAGAGAAGAGGAGGTGGACCCTGCTGAACGACCCTAGTAAGGCGACAGCTGAGGATGGACCGGTGTTCCTTCCGATGACGCTGGAGACAGTCCAGTAAGTTCCCTTGCTTCCATATTTCCTGGCATGAAATGCTAATAATCATGCACAGATCATTCGATGGCATCGTCTCATCCTACGAGGAGCTGGCCGCTACTGCACTGCTGAACTTGCACATGGAAGTCCGTTGCCGCACCGCCTATTCGCTGCGGGTGGCTCTTGACCCCAAGACGGCGCCATATCTGCTTGATCAAGACGTCAAGGAGCCCGACCCACAGATTCTCAGCCTCAATTCCGAGCTGCTTGCCTACGACGAGACAATTGTGCGCTTCCTGCGCGAGCGCGAAGTCGCGTTCATCCGCACCGGCCTGGGCCTGCTCACCAACTCCTTCCTCATTGCGAACGCGTCGATGGTGGCGCCGATCAACGCCCGCGGCTCCGGCCGCATGCAGTTGAACATCCTGGTGCTGCAACAGAACCTGAAGAACATCGAGGCTGGCGTGGACATGGCTCGTGCTGCCAATTACTGGGCGCTCTTTGACCAGGGCGTCGACGCCATCGTCACCAAGGCGAAGGAGGACGCCGTGAAGGCGGCCGAGGAGAACAACGTGCCGATAGGGAGGGACCCGGACCGGTTCACGTACGATGAGCTCAAGGCCCTGATCGAGCTGTGCTACAGCGAGTCGATGGCGAGTGCGGAACGGGGTAATGTGAACGCGGCCAAGAGGAATATGGGGGAGAAGCTGCTGGAGCTGAGCGAGCACATGTGGCAGAGTTAGGAGCGCCCGACTTCAGCTTCGGAGGAAGAGAAGAGTCTGGAGTGAAGGAATGCTTCATTTGGTCTGTGCATTATCCCAGCTACGGCATGGCGATGCGTCTTTGGAGCAAGGCAGAGCGAGGAGTTTAATTTAGGCATGCTCGATCTTCCACATTGCAGATGACTGAGCCCTCGCGCCGATGATGATCAGAATTGTTAAATAAGGCCCTGAATTGCGAATGGAATATTCCAAGTATTTAAAATATATATGCAGTGGGTGTTACTTGACATGACGGTGTCATTTGGCTTTTACTCTGTTGAGGAGGCCGGCATTCGACATGTGGCCCGTGCGGGAGACCATGGACTATTCCAAAAATTTTGGAGCTTCTCCGACGACACGCTTGACCTGACATAGCTCCGCCAGCCAATTGAGCAACGCGACACCCCGAACAAGATGGCGAGCTGGAGGGAAACAGTACGCCCACTGCGGCAACTACGAGTCTCACAGATATCACGGCAACCCAGGCCACTCTGCCCACGGAGATGGTACTCGGCAGAAGCTGCCGCCGCGGCGCCGGTTGAGACACCAGCAGCATACCGCGACCTCGAGCCGGATTCAACACAAATGGCCCCCGGCCCGTCGCCCGAGCAAATAGAGGAGTTTAAGAACCCCAAGAAGCGAGCAGAAGAGAGGAAATTCCAGCTTCCCAGCAATAGGTGCGACCCTGCGGCCCTCACACCCCGTTGGGGTCTGCTTGCCCTGGCCCTCGGCGCCCACTTGCTAACCCGCGGCCCCTTTCCCACCCTTCTAGATACCAATACCACCCGCCCAAATTCCGCCGCGGCGCCCTCCACCCCGTACAATCGCCGCCGTCCTCCGACCCGATCGCGCGCGACTTCCAGGCCGGGCCGTTCTACCTCCCCCGCCTCAAGGAGACGTGGCAGACGACCATCGCGCCGGACCTGCTGGCGCTAACGTACGAGCACAAGCCCCCCGGGACGGCCAAGGGCCCGATCGGGCAGCGGCTGCGGGCGTGGGACGACTCGTCGCCCTACCACAAGAACCGTCCCCTTCGGGGCCCCCGCGGCAGCACGGGCGCGCTGAGGCCGGTGGAGCGGGACATCGACTTCCGGACGGTCCCCGAGCTGCTGGCGGTGACGCTGTCGACGTACGTGCCGCAGGGCGTCAGGGAGCCGACGTACCTGCTCGCGGCGCGGGCGGCGCTGCAGGCGGTGACGGGGGCGCGGACCGAGATCACGCGCGTCAAGCACGGCGTGTCGCAGTTCGGGGTGAGCAAGGGCCAGACGGCGGGCGCCAAGGTCACGGTGTGGGGGGAGCAGGCGTACGAGCTCATGGACAAGATGGTCCACCTCGTCTTCCCCAAGATCAAGGAGTGGCCCGGGGTGCCGGGGAGCACGGGCGACGAGTCCGGGAACGTGTCGTGGGGGTTCGAGCCCGACCAGTTCGCGCTGTTCCCCGAGATCCAAGCTAACTATGACGCCTACCCTGCAAAGGTGAGTTCCCCCCTTGAGGGCAAAGCCCTGAGAGACAGGCCGCTGGGAAACCTTTGGCTACGACATGGTGTGCTGACTATTTTGGTGTGTTTGTTCAGATGATCCCCGGATGCCGAGTTAACGTCCAGACCACTGCCAAGTCCAACCGGCACGCTCGCTTGCTCATGCAGGCCCTGGGAGTACCGTTCGACGGCGAATTCAAGTGAGGCAGCGCAGCCTGACTCTTATTTCGGATGAAGCATGAGCGAGACAATATTGGGGCCAAGTTGCAGAACCAAACGTTTCGCTGTATTATAACATGTAAAGCCCCATGTCACATATGATAGAAAGGAAGGAGCAGACAGAGATACCTGGTGGCATCAAAATGGCATGTCTCATTTTCCGAAGATACAGAATAACTTTTATAGCCGGTCCTCGACCCGGCTTGTGTCCACCCCATGTTCATGTCTATGTGTGATCCCGCAGGCATGGTCCGCCGCAACGCCTTTTAACGCCGTCCATGCATGGCCCCGTTCATGCGTCCCTGTGGTATCCCGATCCGCCCCGTGTGGTATGCCACTTGCCTTGTCCCCCTTCTTCTTCTAGGCGGAAGCCTTCGCAGCATCCTTCTTCACCTGCTCCTTGAGCCCCTCCATGACCTCGTCAACAGCGTCCATGTTCGTGGCATCGACCTTGCCCGAGCCGGCGGGCCTGTGTCCGCCCTTCTCCAGCTCGGCAGCGACGACGTCCATGGCGGGCTGGTAGTTGCGCGTGGCGGAGCTGAGCGCGTAGACGGCCTTGCGGCGGACGTCCTCCCTCTCCGCGGGCGCGAGCGCCAGGCCCACGAGGCGCGGCAGCCCGCCCATGGCCAGGAGGCGCTCCTGGCTCGTCTCGTTGTTCTGCACGGCCGTGCCGGCCACCCAGGCGGCGTACCTGCGCACGTCGGGCTCGGCGTCGGACAGGGAGGCCAGCAGCGGCGCCCACAGGCCCAGGGGCCCCAGGTTGTTGGCGTTGTCGAGCGACTCGATCAGCTGCTCCAGGTTGTCGAAGGCCGTCAGCCGGTGCTCGAGCGTCACCTCCGGGTCGCCCGTCGCCGTGATTACCGCCATGGACTGCCGCATCAGGTCTGCGTCTGAGGGCCCGCCCAGCAGGGCGGCGAGGATTTCTGGGTTCAGGCCATTTGTGGAGGGGGCCTGGCTGGTTGCTGCTGCTGCTGTTGTTGTGTTGCCCTCGGCGGCTGGTGCGTCTGCGGAGGTGATGGCGGTGGTGGAGGGGTTCCCGTTCGAGTTGGCATTCCCGGCGGTCTGTGCCTCGATGCTCCATTTCAGGAGCTCATTCAGGTTCTTGTCCATGTTGAGGGCTGAGAGATTGGGCCTGGCTTGTTCTGGCTTGGTCTCGTTCGGATCGGACTTGTCTGGATTGTCTGGGGTGCGGAACCGAGATTGTGTTTTGCGCGGCTTTCCCTTCCGTTCCGGCGAGGAATGATTGAATTATTGCGAGAGATTGGGTATGGGAAATGGTACGTCTGCTATGGCGATCGGCACAGTCTTGTTGTTTGTGAAGTCTTGATCCTGGTGCTGTAAAGCTATCCCAAATTGTTTGGACTGCTGCTTTTTTCGGGAAGCTTCTCGAAAATTCCTGCACGTTTACGGCCTAGCGCGGGTCCATCCTTCCTGTCAAGCAGCCCACGACCGGCGAGGGTGGCATTGGGAATGCAATGCACAAGCCTAATGTTTCCTTTCCCACGGGGAGACATAATAGTCTATAATTGCCGCGGGTCTCGCAATGATGGTGATCTGCAAGAAGCAAGCCCAGCCGCGGAATTGCTGCTCATCGTCGAGACTGCCAGAACGGGACACTGAATATCTGTCCGCCTCGCCTCGCCCCGCCAGTCTTTGCCGGCCTCGAAGCTCAGGCCCAGCTGGGCCAGCTCATCCTGCCGGGCCTGCACAGGCCCTGCCCACCCGTTGATCACCAACCGACAACGGTCGCTGTCAGGGGTCCTCTTTCTAGAAGCGAATCTGGAGCTTCGGGAACCCCGCCAAATTGATGCCCCGCCATCGGCCTTCTCAAAGCAGCAAGTAACCAACAAGAGCCCCTTTTTGGGGCCAGGACACATGTATCGCATCGGACGTCGAGGCTCATCAGTATAGACATGTGAACGAAGTGTCGGCTCTGCATCCCATCCTCGACGCTCAACGCAGATACTGCCAACGTAGCCAGCGCCCTTCCGTGCCTGGCCGCACTCTCGGACCCTGGCAGCGTAATGTTCCAGTCGAGCTTCTGGTCTAAGCCTGGTAATCCCAGCCACGCCATGTGCACTACTGTATACACACAGCCTTGAGGCATGTACTCTAGTTTGTGAACTAGATGCTGATGTCCTAAAAGGGCGCTTATGGCGGCAACTGTCAGCAGGAGTGAGGCGTCTCGCCCCTGCTTGCGCAATCAACCTCATCCTCAACTCAGCCCGCCGACACTTGACGACGACTCGCGCTTGGCATCCGTCTTGCAGAGCTCTCGGCATCAGACGACGAGTTCATGCCGAACCGAACCGTCATGCCTTGATCCTGGGTAAACCACCGGTGCACAGATAGGCTGAAGCTTATTCACAAGGACCGTACGTCATCACCGCGATGAGACAGAGCTCAGATACATGTATCCGGATCAGCTCGTCTATCGAGACTGCACTGCGCTGGACCGGCGGGATCTTGGGCACATACGACAAGCTTGGGCAGGAGTGACAGCAGCAATGCGCTCTCCTGCACGGAGGTGTTCATCCTATGACTTGTGTCCGTCACTACCCTCTACCGTTTCACACGGATTAGGGTCGCAACCATGCGACTTGTTTCACCATGCTCTCGAAACAAGTGGCGGGCTGTTATAGGTGTTGAGGCCTCACAGATAGATGATTATCGGCGCTCTCTTGTGCGGCGTAATGGCGTACAGGGCACGGCAGGGCAGAGCAAGGCACAGAAGTGGGAGCTAGACATATCAAGCAAGCCCCCGCAGTACAGTAGGACGTAGATTACATGCATACCAGCCAGCCTCTTTGTTACGGGAAGGATACGGCTGGATGCTGTTGGTGCGTATATGTATACGCACAAACCAGGGTCCAAAGCAGTCACTCAGTCTGTGGCATGTGTTGAAGTGAGGGAGGATTGGCGGGTTAACGGACTGATAGACTGACAGACTGGCTTGAGTGATTGACAGCCAGCCAGCCACACCGACAATCGTCAGGAGCTGCCAGCGAGTAGTAACAGCTCAGCGTCTATGCAGGAGATGCACGTGTGCTCCGTAGACACACACAACTCATCGCCCTCTCCCGCCTGAGTGCCCTAGCAGACCAAGTCACAAACAGATTCGCGAGACTGTGAAGAGCACAAGAATCCCATTTCCGGTCCCGTCTGCCCGTCCAGCCCGCCCGTGCTCACGTAGAGAAATTGATCACACAGTAGGTGGCTTCAAACTGGGAGCAGTGAGTTGGCTGCCCCTACTACGTACCCCTGTCCCCTCCTCTCCCAGACTCCTCCAGGCGGAGCCCACTTGTTCCCCGTTCCAGTGGTAGGCTGATTGCAGAGCAGCCACTGGCAGGGTCGCATCAACCTTTCCTCCTGGCCACCCCCACTTTATCTGGCCCGGCCTGTGCGATGGCTTCTTTCCCACTTCAAATCTCAACGTAAAGTGCCACCTAGCTCTCACTCCGACCTGGACCTCCCCCTTTATCAACCCAACCACCACTGCCACCCAAACTCTTCCTGTCGTCAGCGACATAAACACTCCTCGACACCAACAATCTTGCTCCGTTCGACCATCACATCGTCCGGACTTTACTTGCCTTCTTTCTTCCTCGTCTTTATCTCGAGTCCCTAATTCCCACACTACCACTCTTTTTACTACGTAATCACCATGGAGGGTAAGTTGGCCACATCTTTGTCTGCTCCTTGCCCGCGCACTGCGCAACCAGCACCCGCCTGCGTCTGCTACCGCCACAACCACAACGACCAGTGGCGGTAGCAGGTCGAGGCCATCACGAGACCATTCACTCTCATCTGCTCGAGCATCGCTGACATTCATTTCCCAACCTGCAGAGGAAGTCGCAGCTCTCGTCATCGACAATGGGTAAGACTGCCGGCCACCCCCAAAACCCCCCTCTCGGCTGATGGCCTTCACCGACATCTGCCCAGAGGGCGTGCGAGCTGGAGACAGCCTCGCCCATCCCAATCGCATCGACAGTGCCGATTTCTGGCGCTTTCAAGAGCATAATATTCTAACACGAGTGCAGTTCGGGTATGTGCAAGGCCGGTTTCGCCGGTGACGATGCTCCTCGAGCTGTTTTCCGTAAGTCACCCCCGCTCGCCCTTGTCAGTGCCGGCGCCGCTCCCGCTGCCACAGCGTCGGAGATCAACGGCGCAACGCTCGCAACGACCATCAAGGCTAACAAATCGGCCAGCTTCCATTGTCGGTCGTCCTCGCCACCATGGGTAAATATCCTCCTCGGAAATATCAAACAACACGAATCGGTTCTAATGAAATCCACAGTATCATGATTGGTATGGGTCAGAAGGACTCGTATGTCGGTGATGAGGCGCAGTCCAAGCGTGGTATCCTGACCCTGCGGTACCCCATTGAGCACGGTGTCGTCACCAACTGGGACGACATGGAGAAGATCTGGCACCACACCTTCTACAACGAGCTCCGTGTCGCTCCTGAGGAGCACCCGGTCCTCCTGACTGAGGCTCCCATCAACCCCAAGTCCAACCGAGAGAAGATGACCCAGATCGTCTTCGAGACGTTCAACGCCCCCGCCTTCTACGTCTCCATCCAGGCCGTCCTGTCCCTGTACGCCTCTGGTCGTACCACCGGTATCGTGCTCGACTCCGGCGATGGTGTCACCCACGTTGTCCCCATCTACGAGGGTTTCGCTCTGCCCCACGCCATTGCCCGTGTCGACATGGCTGGTCGTGACTTGACCGACTACCTCATGAAGATCCTGGCTGAGCGTGGCTACTCCTTCTCCACCACCGCCGAGCGAGAAATCGTCCGTGACATCAAGGAGAAGCTCTGCTACGTCGCCCTCGACTTCGAGCAGGAGATCCAGACCGCTGCCCAGTCCTCCAGCCTCGAGAAGTCCTACGAGCTTCCCGACGGTCAGGTCATCACCATCGGAAACGAGCGCTTCCGCGCTCCCGAGGCTCTGTTCCAGCCTTCTGTGCTGGGTCTTGAGAGCGGTGGTATCCACGTCACCACTTTCAACTCCATCATGAAGTGTGATGTCGATGTCCGTAAGGACCTGTACGGCAACATTGTCATGGTATGTTTTATGAGACCCTTGGGATAATAATTGTGGGTCCTGGGAGCACGTGCTAACATCCACACCTAGTCTGGTGGTACCACCATGTACCCTGGTCTGTCCGACCGTATGCAGAAGGAGATCACTGCTCTTGCACCATCCTCCATGAAGGTCAAGATCATCGCTCCCCCCGAGCGAAAGTACTCCGTCTGGATCGGTGGTTCCATTCTGGCCTCTCTGTCCACCTTCCAGCAGATGTGGATCTCCAAGCAGGAGTACGACGAGAGCGGTCCCTCCATCGTCCACCGCAAGTGCTTCTAAGGTAAGATCTGCTCCCCACTTTGGCTGCGCCAGAGTCGGTCTGATTCGCTACACGTGGCTAACAACTGCGCCAGCAACCCAAGACGACGAGGAAGACCAGCCGATCTCAAGCTTGCGAACGTCTCGACCGGATCGGCCGCCATGCAGATTCCACGATGCGCACGCGCGCTACTCGAGTCTCATACTTACGAAAAGTTTTGGTCATGGTTGACAGTTGGGTGGCGCCCCGGCTGTCGCGGTGGCGGAAAACGATGGCCTTTGGTTTCTTAATAGGTTGTGCATAGAGGGGCGAACAACAACGTACAATCGAGGCTGATCAAAACCCCTTTATTGTTTTCCCTGCCCCATATGGATGGAATTGTCCCTTCGTGGTGCCATGAGCAGAGGTCGAGGTGTTTTAGAGCAATACAGTGAAGAATTACCTACCTGCGAGGCACCAAGCGCACATGTGACAAGACACGCCATGTGGTGATGATTACAATTTTGACATTGTGGCATTGTGTAGCTCGCAGCCATTATTCTAGGACGGGTTGTACAAGATGCAGTCATCGTATTCAAACCCTGATTTCCTGGATCTTGACAGTCCGTTTCGGAGTGTCGTCACGTAGAGGCTCCCCGTCCGTCCCGTCTGAATCCAGAGCCCCTTCGTCATCCTCCTCTCCCTCCTCGCCCTGCTCTCTGCCCTCAATGACATCGCGATGCTTCCTCCTGCTCTTCTTGGCAGCGCTGGACTTCTTCTTCGCCTTGAGCCTGGCGACGACGGCGGAGCGGCTCTGGTCGCCGTTGAGCATGTCGTCGATCTTCTCGGCGAGGTGCTCGCGGGCCAACTTGCGGTTCTGCTCGCGGGAGCGCGTGTCCTGGCACTTGACGACTATGCCGGTGGGGATATGTCTCAGCTGGACGGCCGAGTTGGTCTTGTTCTGTTGTCCATAGAGAAAAAGGTCAGAACCAAGCAGGCGGGGGTTTCTTGAAATCTAACGAGATCCCATGGGGGTGGGACGTACAATCTTCTGGCCGCCTGGCCCGCTTCCCTTGAGGTACACCTCTGTGAACTCGTGTTCTGGCGGTGGTTTGGGCCGCGGTGGGTACCGGGTTGCGCCCTTGCTGTCGGGGGATGTGGTCGAGAAGGGAGCTGCAGCGATGAAGAAACTACTGCTAGTGCTTCCTGCTGCTACTGTGTGCCTTGAGAAGCCATGGCCGTTGCGTGCGAAGGCAGCCGGGGCGAGGGCCTTCATCCACCACATTGCTTGGCTAGACTGTCCTGTCCGGACGGCATCGTACTGCCAGCAGTCGCATTAGAAGCAGACAAGGCTGACGAGTGTGGTATCGGAGTCGATAACGGGTTCGGCTCGGCGCGGTGGGGACTTTGGAACTGGCGAAGGACGTAAGGTCGAGGCGGACAGGGGGTCGCGTGGCCAGTCAGGAGGAACCCGTTGGGGCGGGCGCGACTGCGGACACCCCGGCTCGCGTCCCTTTGATTACGGCCCTGGCGGGTGATTGGAATTTGGGAAGCCGGGGCCAGGGGACATTTTGCTTTCAATGCGAGGCTTACAATTCCTCCATGCGCATCGATCGACTGGACAGAATAGACTTTCTTCTAGACGATCTACTTCGTCACCGGTTGCCCTACTGTCTGGCCTGAAAAGAATACCCCAATAGCAGAACCCAGCAGCAGCCAATTCGATCGTCGATCCCTCTCTCACTCCTGACAAGACGGCCGTTGCAAATCAGAATCCGACGATGTGTAATTGCTAGGACTCTTCACTCGACGACTGCACCCTCGACTTCCTGACCTCTGTCTGCCGCCGTAACGCCCGACGGATCAAGCCTGCTTCTTCATCCACTACCACAACCTCCCAATTCTCGACAGCCACAACAGGCGCCCTACGGACCCGAAGTCGCAAGACCAACTCGGCGACAATGGCCTCATCATCCTCCTCCGCCTCCGTCTCCCCCTACCAGTCCCTCACCAAGTGGCTCTCGCTCAAGATCTACCAGGTGGAGGTGACATTTAGCGTCTACATCTTCACGCCGCTGGAGAAGTTCATCTTCTGTACGTCCATCTTGCTTGCCCGGTCCCCCCATCCCCTATACACTTTCCACCGCCTCCGTCCTAACCGCCCTCGCTCCAACCCTTCGCCGCTGTCTATTTATATTCCCCCTTTGCTAACGCACCCGGAAAACAGGGTCCGTCGTCTTCCTCCTCTTCTCCCTGACCGCCATCGCCACCATCCTCTACCTGCCGCACCACATCATGTTCCTCGCCGGCCGCGCCTGGTTCTACATCCACGGCGACTCGGCCGTCGAGGCCGCCCGCGAGACCGCCCGCTCCCTGGCTGCGGCGGCTGCGGCGGCGGCCACGACGCCCACAGCCAAGGCCCTCGCTACGGAGACGGCCAGGGCGGTTGTTGGTGAGGGGGCCGGCAAGGTGGAGCTGTAGGGCGGCTTTGCTGGGTGTGCCTGGGTGGGTGCGTAAAAAGGGTTTTGCGGTTCGATGCGGTTCATGTGAGCGCCTGGTGATGGTGGCTCGGGAGATATGCCTGGAGCTCGGCTCGCTGGTCTGCGTGGGCTTGAACGGTGATTCTTATAACTGGGACGGTCGGGCTCGCCTTCCCCCTGTGGATCGTCAGAAGAGGCTGACTGGTGTGTTGGCAATGGGTTGTGGCCGCCTGGGGAAGACCAGGACATGCGTGTTTTGATTCTCCTGCCTCGGGGTCTGTTTCTCTATGAGAGATGAATTAGAAGCTGTTGGTCGCCTTCTGGATATACCACACGGACATGATACGTACGGCTGGAGCAGATCACAGCGCTGCATAGCACAGCACGGTACGATATAGATATGGTACTTAATGTTTAGATCATGGTCTCAGGGCCAGTATGAAAGAAATGCTGCAACGCGCTTATGCCTTCATCCAACAAGACTTTCCAGAGTGCTCCGCGGGCTCAGGATACAATTTGGGTTTGAATGGTTCACTACAAGGCGTGAATATCTATTGCTGGGTACTGGCGGGCATGATCTACTGCCTTCTGCATGCGTTTGCTGTCCAAGTGCCCCCAGTCCCTCCTTGAAACCGTCCTGATATCCAGACACCCAAGTATGCTATGCCAGGGTATCATCACTGTACAGACTGGGAGTGTGCCCAGAGATCAAAACATTCCTCCCACATGGGTTGAAGAAAGGCTCCTGCCACTAGGCGTTCAGGTCCCCTGCGGTATTTTGACATCTATGGTACAGATCCTCACCGAGCCGTCCTCGCCTGCCACCGCGAGCTCGGCCGTCTCCTCGTGGCCGGGCCGCCATGCGAGTTGCCGGATGGGCTTGGCGAGTTCGAGTCTGCCATGTGCGGGTTAGTGAAGTCCATGGAGAGAATCGGAAACATGTAGCCAGGAGATGGAAGTAATTCGGGAGGATGGTTGGAATGGGACGTTATTGGGCGTCGGGAACTTACAGAGTCAGGCGCTCGCCCGAAGGCTTCGGCGGAAATGGTACCCCGGAGCCTTCGAGGACGTCCCAGAGATATGTGCGGACGTGTCCCTTCTCGGTGCCGACGGCCAGCACCGCATACTTCCCCTGGTATGGCCGGGGCAAGAAGTCGATGGCCGTGATGGGGTCTTCCAGGGACACACTCTGCAGCTTGTGGAACTTGCCTGCCACTTCTCCGGCCTCTGTCGTCTCGATGCCGCTCTTCGCCGTGGCCCACACAATGAAGGTCTTGTCCCTGCTGGCCGTGGCGAAGATCCTCCTGCCGGGGACGTCCGGCATCAGTGGCCCCCAGGCCGCGTCGAGGACCATCCTCTTGTGGCCCTTGTCGTCGGTCTGGAACTCCTCGTAGCACATGCCACCACCGCCACCGCCACCACCCTCCTTCGAGGGCTCCTCCTCCCCCCCGCCCGTCCTCTGGAAGACAGCCCACCGCCGGTCCTTGCCGACGCTCAGCAGGAACCGGTCGTCGGCGCTGAAGCGCAGCCGGAAGACGGTCGAGGTGTGCACGGCAAGCGGCGGCCGCAGCTCGGTCCACCGGGCCGTCTCGAAGATGCGGATGACGGCGTGGTTGAGCGACGACGCCCTGCAGGCGCTGGCCACCAGCGCCCCGTCGTGGCTCGCCGCCAGGCAGCTGATCTCGTAGCCGTGCCCGTACAGCTTCTCGACCTCGGGCCAGCGTGTGCCGCGACAGCGACTCCTCGAGCGGCGGGTGCGCCGCGTCCAGCGCGGACCGGCGCACGATGCTCGCCGGGTCGACGGCGCCGCGGTCCATCTCTGGATTCACTGCCTTGGCCTCCTCGGCGGCGGCATCGTCGTCCTCGGCCTCGACGGTCGCCTTGTTGGAGAGGCCCAGCACCGGCATGTTGGCCGACTCGGGCAGGCTGTCGTCTGCTGTCCCGTCCCCGTCCTCTTGGGCGGGGCCGATGCCCGCCACGGCGCGCAGCATCTTGGCCACGGCCCTGGGCTTCTTGAAGACGCGCATGAGTTTCTCGTCGGCACCGGACACGAAGAGCGACTCGCCCAGCGTGTCGACGCAGTTCAGGTCGTACCCGTGGATCTGCGGGCGCGCCATCTCGTACCAGCGGCCGTCCTCGGCCCACCGCGCGTGCAGGCGCGTCGTCTGGTCCGAGCCGGTGGAGAGCAGGTAGTCGCCCGAGGGGGACCACGACAGCCCCGTGACGGCCCTGGTGTGGCCCGACACGGCGACCCCTTGCTCCCAGGCGGAGCTGCCGCCGTCCCAGTCCCAGCGGCGCCAGGAGCCCGTGCGCCCGAGGGTGAGGATGGACGAGCCGTCTGGGGACCACAGGCCCGTCCAGAAGCCGCCGATGCTGCCAGTGGCCGTGGTGGCGCCCTTCTCCCGCGATATCTCGCCCAGCCGCACGTCGGGCACCCAGATGCCCGAGGTCGGGTCGCACTCCCAGATGACGAGGGAGTTGTCCGCCGAGGCAGACAGGAGCCGCAGGCTCCCCTGCCCGCTGCGGCTCCACCGGGCGCTGTAGATCCAGTCGTCGTGGTTGAAGAGCAGCGCCTCGAAGGTGGCGGAGTAGTCGGCCTCGTCCTGGGCCCGGAACCGGTACGCCTTGTTGCTCGGCGACCTCCCGGGCAGGTACGCGCCGACGGTGGGGTCCGACGCGGTGGCCGCCTGGGCGGGGAGGTCCTTGCCCTGGTGGACGCGCCAGAGCCGCACGTACTTGTCCTGGCTGGCCGAGGCGAGGAGGAGGTCGCCGTCTGGGCCGTCGGGCGTCTCAGGGGTGATGTCGAGGGAGCGTATCCAGCCCTCGTGGCCGGACAGGGTCGCCTGGAGGCGGAAGTCGGAGATGTCCTGGCTGAACGTGCCGGTGAATATCTGGATGATGTCCTTGGTCCCGGCCGATGCGATCATGTATGTACTGCCGTCATTCCCAAGCGGGCTCACGGCGAGGGCCAAGGGAAGGTACTTGGGTGACAGGTGGATGGTCTGCAGGACCCTGATCTCTGCACCGTTGAACGTCCAGACCTTGACTGTCGCATCGGCCGCTCCGGTGACAAGGAGTGACCCTGCTTCAGTTCCTCCAGTCCAGCCTGCCTTCAAGGACGCGATGCAGTTTACCGCGGCTGTGTGGTCCTCAACGGCCTGGACGACGTCAACCTCCCCGCTGGCATGGTCGAGCCGCCACAGCTTGACGCACTTGTCATCGCCGCCGCTGACTATGTAAGAAGACTGATCGCTCGGCCTTGCCGGCAGGAACTTGACAGCCTTGACCAGTCCCTTGTGCCCGGGTGTCCTGGGGTGCCAGACTTTCTGGTCTGTCGGGCGCCATAGAGCGAGGTTGACATCTGCTCCGAATGCCACGACACCGCCGTAGCAGTCAGCCCAGTCAGAAGCGGCTGTCTGCCGGTTGGCGCCTATTGAGTAATAAGTCATGGCCTCTTGAACATGATAAAGTATTGTGTGTGGTGGAAATCGTAGGCAGTGGGGCACTTGATCTTGGACGAGGAGCGCAGTCCAGAACTTGAGCACGGTATGGAATTTCTGGCTGCCTCTTGATAAATTTGGACCATGCGCTTAAATCAACGACCGTGTCAAAGGCGGTGAGTTCGTACAACAACTAGGTTCAAGCAGAATGGGCTTTTTGTCTATGCTGTATCTTCGTTGCAGCTTGATCTTGTGAGTGAAGGTGTTGGCGATGGTTCGGGACTCCAAATTTTGATATGACACTGTGCCCGAAAACCGCACTGTGCACGCTCCCCGTCAGCCAGCACCCCCAGGTCCATTGCCGTACAGTGTATCAGAGCCTAGTCCGACTCAAAAATAAACTTTCGCTACCACTTGACGCCCGCAGAGCCGCAAAGACTGTGCACCGACCATCCTACGCGAAACGACTACTGCGTACTGAGGGCGGCTCTCCTATGTCCACGATGGCCGAGACGACTGCTGAGAAGGAAACCCCAATGGTGACTCTCACCGTTGAGTTCTCGTGAGTTGTTGTTGCCTTGTCATTCGTTCTCCTTCAGTCGTCACAGAAACACCCTCCCACCAATCCACCAAGCAGTTCGTCCTCTGTGGGGGCCCACGGCAGAAGTCGTCAACTATAGCATTCTCGGAAAGACCATGCCACAATTGCATGCTGTTTTTTTTTTTTTTTCCAAGGCGGTGGAATGTAACCCCAAGGGTAACACCAACAAGACTGCTCGATCAGTGGCCACAGACCGCATGAGGTGGCACCTGAGCAGACACATGATCGATCGGGACGACTCAAGGCGGTCAGTCCCCTTGTGCTCCATTGGGCGACAGACCTGCTGCCGCAAACGACTGTGCGGTGTTTCTGCGCTCGTCGTTGTTGAGAGCTTCGCCATTCCCGTGAGAGAGGCACGCGGTGGCAAGACGGCGAACAGCAAATCTAGCACACAGAGAGAGAGAGAGACAGAGAGACAGAGAAAACAAAAATGGGGAAGGTCAAAAGTCATGTGCTGACTTTTCCTCAGGGGCGGCCTCGAGATGCTCTTCTCGGACCAACGGCAACACAAGCTCGTCATCCCCGCCCACGACAAGGACAGCAAGCCCGTCACCATCGCCTACCTCATCGACCACCTCTGCCAGCACGTCATGAAGGACAGCAGGAAAGAGCTCTTCGTCCTGGACAACCACATGTACGTGCTCCTCTTCCATCGTTGCCCCCTGTTCCCCGGTTTTTCAGCGGCCATGTCACTCGCTGGCTGGCCTGCCAGCCTGTGTGTCTTATTTCTTTTCCTCTCTTGTTCTCGCCACTGTACCCACAAGGCGTTCTTGATGCACCTACACCCTCCCTACAATGGACAAATCAAAGAAGGCCCGAAAGACTAACGCTCAAGCCTTTTCTGGCTCATCTCCCTCCAGCCGCCCGGGAATCCTTGTCCTGATCAACGACGCGGACTGGGAACTAGAGGGCGAGGAATCGTACGAGCTCCAGGGCGGTGACAACATCCTCTTCGTGTCGACTCTGCACGGTGGCTAGGGGGGCTAGGGCCAGGGAAGCAGCCCGCGCGCGCAAGCCCTCCCCGTGAGAGAGTGTGCGTATGTATGGATGTATGTGTGTGAGAGAGAAGCCCCGATGCGAGGGGACGGCTATCTCGGCCGCCGGGCTTGGGGGTTTGAGGAACGGTCACGAAGGCACGGCACGACGTAACGGACACTGTTCTTCCATCCTTTTCCTTTCTCGCTTCTCTCGTCAAGCAACAGCCAGGGACGCATGCTCGCTCGCTTGGGCGCAGGGGAGAGGAACTGTTCAGATGATTCCACACGCCCCCATCCCCCCACCCAAACTACCCGACCACCAGTACCCAAACATCGTCGTTCCCACTCTGCAGTTGCTCACTGGGCCATAGCGCCAGGTGGTGGCCCGCCCCAGCGATCATGCCTGCTCCGGAAGACGCTCCTCAGCTCCCCCAATGTTTTGTCTCGGCCGTTCGAGAAGGGCTGGAGACCGCCGAGCATACTGCGGACTCGCGCTCCTCGTCTCCTTCCATTATCTGACGCAGGGCGATGGGGCCAGTGGGGAGGGCCCCGATGCGGCTAAGGCTGAGGGGAGGTGTGTGAGGTGTGAGAGAGGGGGGTGCGTTCGTCATGACGGGGCCGTCGCCTCTCGTATCCTGGGCGGAAGGGGGGAGGGCCCACCCCAGGCCGCGTCTCAGAAGGTCCCCCGCACCCCAGGCCAGGTCCCCGAGAGACAGGGCAGGAGGCTCGAGAGCATTATTGGCCTGTCCATCATCATTACGCCGCCGGGGAGGGCACGGGAGGGGGTGGGGGTTGGGGGGGTGCAGGAGCGAAGGGAGGAAAATGTGGGTGTGGGATCTCTTGGGCTTCCCTCTCGCTGTTTTGTGGCTGTTTGGGGCCGGGAACCCGGGGGTTGGTCGTGTATGAATTTTTTGCTTGCATGCACATGCATGCAGGTCAGGCCACCGGGGGAGACCAGACCTGTTGGGCGGAGGTTACCGGCCGATTCTGAATCAAGTGAATTTCCCCGGATCGGCCAGCCAGCTCAGCCAGCCAGCTCAGTTCCAGCCCAGCCCAGCCCAGCCCAAACCTCCATCACCGTGCGCCGGGGTCGGTGTCGTGATGTTGCGGTCACGGACTGTGTGTGTGTGTGTGTGGTGTGTATATGTCTGTCTGTATGTATGTATGTGTATGTACGTGCTGGGGGGGGGGGGTTGACTGAGTGGGGCTGGGTACTGCTGCTGCTACCGCTGCTGCCCAAAACCCGCCCAAAGTACATACAGACACCCATACATACAGGGCAGGGCAGCATATTGTCTGTGGGCATTGCAGCTGCCGGGGCCTCCTTCAAATCTCGCGGCCTGGCCCGCCTGCTGCTCCGTGTGCCCACTCCCCCAGTTCGCTCCGAGATAGACGAGGTCTTTATTTTGGTGGCGGTTGTCTAATTCCCCGCGCAGATCCCGGCTTGTGGGTGTGTGGGTGTGTCCGGGCCCCCTGCCGGTGGGTATGTATGTATGTATGTAGGTATGTAGACCATGTATGTTGTTTTGTAGGTATTGTGTGCTCATGCACGGTGTGTATGTATGTATGTCTGACCTTCATGGTGGCGTTCTATTTTTGACCTCTGTCGTATTTGTTTTTTTCCCCGGCCAGGGGACTGACTGTCTGGACTCTGCCACTGTCACTGACACTGCTGCTGCCCCCTGCAGGCAAGCATCATGGTTTGATGCTCCTGGGGGAGGATATTATACTGCCCGCTCCGAGGGATTTGCAAACCTGCATGATATACATCCATACATACACAGACACACACACAGTCTACAGTACAGAGACACTCCGTAGACGCGGCGGTGAGACCTGCATGGTTTGTGTCTCCCTCCCCGTGGGCCACGACAACAGGCCGCCGCTGCGGCGGCGGACGAACTGCGTGTGTGTGTGCGCTGTCGTTTTCACCAGCGGTGCCGTCGCATTGCATGCGGCACTGCAGTTTGCTTTTCAGATCTTGCGTCTGGACAGTCTGTTTGTGTCTTCTCCTTGGCCTTTTCTTTTGTGTTCCTAGCGGCGGTGAAGGAGCTTCTCGAAGATCGGTTGCCCCCCTTCCCCTTCCCTCTCAATACATGTCAACATGGCAGCGTGCAAAACCTCCTTTTTTTTTTTTTTTTTTTTTTGATTGCCTCCTTATGGCCTGCAGGCGAGAGGTACATTGCGCAATGCAAGGTTCATGAGATTCGGCGGGCGAGAGAAACAGCATAGAGGCAGCAGACAGGCCTGGTCTGTTGACTTGACTGGGGCCCTGCGAACAAGTCTCATCTACCTCTTTCCTGAAGACTCGAGCGCAGTAACCTGCGTACTGCATTTCCCTGTGCGAGCCGAGCGGCGAATCCTGATTTGATCTGTTTCGCCCACCCCCTGGGCGACATCATATCACCTACCTGCCTTATCGTAAATCAATCTTGCAGACAGGCGTCTTTGCCGATCTGGTCACTTGTCCTCTCTCGAACGCCCGTGCTTCGTGGTACAAGTTATGCACGGCGATTCAAGTAAGTATAGTAAGTATCATGTCACCGCGCCCGTGTCGCCTGTGTTGTGCGAGCTGTCACATTCGTCGCTGTGGTTTCGCTGGGATCTTCGAGGTCGGTTGAGAGTCTATTGACAAACATACAGACCGCTGACTGACTGCCATCCCCGCCCGCCCCCCTACTCCTGGTATCCCTCCGATCACGGAAGATCTGTGTGGCACACACGCATGACTCCCAGGTGTGTGTGTGGGAGACAGAAAAAGCTTGCCCGGCGAGTCGCTGGGCAGGGCGGGGCTGGGGCTTTCTAGGCTGGCTGTCTTTACAACGGTGTGCCTTGCTTGTACGGTAATTGCATGTCAAAGCCACAGGATGGATGGGGAGGGGGCAAGGGCTGGGGACAGTGCAAGTGTGACAGAGATGGGAAGAGGTGGGTGGGTGTGGGTGCTTTGGGGGTGGTCAGAAACCGGCGGGAAAGGACAGGACAGGGAAATCCCCCAAGGTGTGTGTGCCCCAGGCGCCTGAATGGACAGGCGGCACGCACACAAACACTCACACACTCTCTTTCTCACTCCTCCTCGATCTATCGGGTCCTCCTGCACGGACGCAGCCGACGAGTCCCCCACACCTCGCGTATCTGAGATGGGAGATGTGGGCTGCTTGGGGGCCATGCAAAAGCTGTCAGTCCACGTACTTTTCCCAGATCTTGGGCTGGCTGTTTGCATGCCATGGGGGAGTGGCGGTCGAGGAGTGATTGCTTGCGCTCTGTGCTCCTCTTCTCTCTTCTCTTCATCCGGCGGTATTCCCGTGTTGCTGGTAGTGGGAGGGGAATAGAAGCGAGACATACGTCCTGGTGTAAGTAATAGTCCCTGTCGCAGCATCACTAGTGAGCGCTGGGCTGGGCTGAACCAGATTTGAATGATGGAGGTTGCGTGGTATGCCTCTAAAGTCCTGTGAGCCCGCTATGTGACCTTATTCGCTCCCAGGTTTTGCAAGAAATGGGAAAATATCAGTAATTAGTCGTGTCCAAAGGCGCGAGCACGGTATCCCAGGATGATATCTTGTAGAAATTCCGGACAATACGACTCTCATTGGATCGATTCTTTTCAGGCCCCCCTTACAGCATACATGCCGTTTCTGTGCCTCCGACGCTCTCCAGTATGCCGTCCCTGGCAGTGGCTTCACAAATCCAGGGCCAATAGTGCGATCCTGTCACTGTTGTTTCAATTGAGACGCCGAATGGTCAAGATCTGGCAGCAATTTTTCCTCAAAGAGTATGGGCTTGAGGTCCCTTCGTCAATTCTGATGACAAGATACATTACACAGTATTGACAACGCGGCCTCCGTCATCTTCCTGCCGCAGAGTGCTGGGAACACCCGACAATGCGGGCCTCTCTGGGTTTCCGTTCCTTCTCATAGTCAAGGGCAAACCGGCGCCATTTCCCATCCATGATCTTCCCCTTCTCCCCTTCGGTTTTTTTTTTTGTAGTCCCGTACGCTCCGTTTCCCCACTGTATGTGTTGTATATAGATGGTCCGAAGCAGTCGTGTCGTAATGATATTGGTATCGAGTCGCCAGAGTTGGTGGAAAATCAGGAACAGACATGAAATCCCAGATCAAAAACAAAGAAAGAGAAAAAGAGACAAAACCAAAAACAACAAAAAGGCTACAGTGCCTTGCTAGAGCGTACATGATGTGGATTCAAACGCAGGCTTCTCCTCAACGTGAGGGGAAGCGCTGTTGTACATGCTGTGTGTATGTGCGGAAGTGAGGGGTAAATAGGAGAAGATGCAGAAAAACAACAGCGGTTGCATAGAGAGATCATGTAGGCAGCCGCCCCAGAGCAGAAGGAAAATTGATCCCACGTGTACGCCGGCCTGGCCTAGTAGCCGGGGCTTGGTGTGAAATGCTCTCCTGCTTTTCCTTTGCCGAACTCACTTTTGATCTTGCCGTTCCAGATAACTCTTGTAAGTCATGTTTGAACGCCTAGCACCGGAATGTGCAATGCCTTTGTGTTGTGTGTCCGTTTTCCCCGTTCCGGTCCATCCTTTTGTCCGATTTGCCTTTTTGTTTTCTCTACACTCCCCTTGTCCGACGCCGTTGTTGCCGTTGTTGTTGAATTATCCCGGTGCGACTGCACTGTGCTCGCTCATATCCGTAAGTCCGTGTAACCGTCGTGTCCATGCACCTGTCTTGCCCCTCTCAGGAACTCCCCGTGAAATGCGATGTTGTAATTTTCAAGTTTGTTGGTAGCGGGCGCGTCTATTGGTATTGCGGTGCCCATCCCATGTTGTTCCCCATGGGCTGAGGCAGGGTATGATAGGATGGTGTCTGGGTGTGGTGCATCGATATAGGTGCGTAATGAGGAGCCTGCTGTTGTTGTTGCTGCTGCTGCTGCTGCTGAGCAGGTAGGGGAAGAGCATGGAACTGCGGTTGAGCTTGCTGTTGCGCAGGCAGTGGAAGACCGTGGAATGGTGGTTGGGCTTGCTGATGATGGTCGTAATATTGCGACCTACTGTGGCCGACATCGCCGACATGGATCGGCTCTGGACTCACGGGCGTCATCTGCTGGGTCGCCTCTCGCCTGGGTTTGATCCTGGTCCTGACCGCGTTCTGTTCGTGCTTCAACGTCTTCGTATCCTTGGGGCCTCGACCCTTGATGCCCTTGTTGCTGTTCTTGAAGATCACGCGATATTCTTGGAAAAGCTGGATCCAAGTGTCTTCAAGCTTGTCGTTCTCGTTCCAGTGTTCCATTTTGTACACCAGTTCTTCGAGCGTTGCTTTGTGGACTTTGCCGATGTGGTTCTACCCAAGACGCACCGACGGTTAGCACCACAGACCAAAAGGAGAAGATCTGGCAGAAGGAAAGGCTTCATCTTTGCTAGAGTCTGGTACGAACCTTCAAATTCCCTATTGTCGTGAAGTGCTTGCCGCAACGAGGGAAGTTACAGACGGATTTGTTCTTCTTCTCGTGGACGTTTACGATGTGCGGCTTGACATTTCCCCTCTGCTTGAACAACTTGCCACACACTCCACATGCAAACGGCTTCTCGTCCGTGTGGCAACGTTTGTGTGTCTGCCAGGCACTGTCAGATATTTATTCTGCGGATCTGGACCCTCGGGACTATTGTCCCAGTCCCGGGGGTAGCAGGGGCACCTACTTGGAGATTCCCGGCCTGTGAGACCCATATACCGCAAATGTCACATTGCTGTTGATTATCAGTTAGTCCTGAAGTGCTTGGGGAAGCTGACGGCGGATGTCTTGCTCACGTGTGTCTTGATTCCTTTGTGTGTGTCCTGGTGAGTCTTGAAGGGAGCCTTCTGAGCGAAACTCCGATTGCAGCCTGCATAATCGCACTTGTATTTCTTGAGTGGCGCCTTGGTCCCAGGTTCCTAGCGAGTTCACGGTGAGCACATAATCTTGAACTGTCAGTTGTAACAGGATGACCTCGTACCTCTTTCACTGCCAGACTCGTGATGGCAGGGTTGGCATCGGGCTGCTGGGGCTGCTGGTCATTCGAGTCCTCCAATTTCAGGGTTTTCGGGATTAATCGCAGGAGGAAATCGAATTTCTCCTTTGATTCGTATTGTAGGGATCCATCCTCCTTCTTGAAAGGTTCGATGGTCTTTGGCGTCCTTGGGGCGGTGACGTCCTCTGTCTTCACCACGGTCACTGGCTTCGTAGAGGACCTCCGGCTTGTGTCTCTGGAGGTGTACGACGCCTGGCCGTCCCTGGAGTAGATTGAATGGCTGTCTGAGTCCAGTGGTGGTGTCGGTGGTGCCATGGGTCGGTGCGCGAATCGGTCGGGGTGTTGCTGGAATGGAGAGGTCAGCGACGGCGACGGCTGGCTGTAAGAGCCGTAGTCGCCGAACTGGGAGTGGCCGGGATAGTTTGAAGCCGACATTGGCGTCACCGGGCTGTCTCCGTACGAGTTTCCCATGACGTACTGGGGAGCCATGACGGGCCGTTGGAGCGGTGCCGAGGACGGCATCGACCTTGTGTCGTAGCCCACCATGTCGTTCATCATCACGTAGTCTGAGCCGGCCTGGTGTTGAGGCCAGCGGTCCCAGCTGTGGGAGGCAGGGTGCTGCTGGTATGGCGCCATTGTTGTTCAGATGTCAGGTCCTGCTTGATGGGGCAGAAACCTTGCCGCGGGCTGACAGAAACAGTCTCAGCTGTCCGGGCCGGCCTTTGGCTGGCGAGACAGCGTAGTCAATGCCGTGTATTCTGTTGACTCGGTCGCGTCTTTCAAGGAGGCAGTTGGAGGGCAAGGAGAGGGCGTGGAGGCAAAAGTGTGGGCCAAGTGTGAGTGTGTTTGTCCGTAGGTGAGGATGAAGATGTAGTTGTCGATGCTGAGTTGGCAGGACAGTTGTTGGCAGGCGGCGTGATGGGCAGTAGGGACCGTGGTATATTGTCCTGTTGTGGGCAGAAGAAGAAACACGCACGGGAGGCTTGGTGATGCCTGGGAGGGGCCGAGGAGGAGAAAGAAGCTATTTCATATAGTCCGGGTGGAACAGAGGGTGGATGGGTGTGTGATGTGCAGCCGGGGTGCGGCACTGCGGGACAGTCAGATCTGGGATATCCGGTCGATGGTAATTGCCATGGGCACTTCGGAGATCTCTGCTCGTGCAGGAGATTGGGAAGTCTGTCACATACATAGTCTACTTAGATACATGCATCCAGACATACATGATGATATATGGGCTCCCCACAGGGCCCTGGACGATGGGACACTGGGACCGGGGTCGAGTACCTTGCACACTTGGGCAAAAGTCCACCACCCGGGCCCCTACCCTGGAACACACCCCCTCCCCCCATGCTCTCTGCTACCAAGACACAGACACACACAAGTACAAACACACACCCGTACATAGACAGGGGAGAGGCTTGGGTAGGATGTATGTACCATTGTACCGTGGTACGCCGGAGGGTACCTTCAAGCACAGCAGACGCAGCAGCAGCAGACGCACACGCACACATCACATAGACAAGCCATGCCGTATTATGGCGAGGATAGCCAACCCCACTGCAGCTGGTTCCTCTGCCGCTGGGCAGCTCAGGCAGGCGTGTCGTTGGGCAGGGATAGTTTCAACTAGGCGGCGATGTGGTGTGAAGGCTGACCGGGATGTGGCCCCGATGGAGCTGAGGGTAAGGCTTCGGCAGACAGGCTGGCTGTGCTCAGAGCTCAGAGCACAGGGGCACAGAGCACCTCGCGAGGGTGCATGATCTAGCCTGGGTAGCTGCGAGATTTCCCTGCCTAGCCGTCCTTCGATGACCGAGCATGGGGGGCTCCCCCATGGAGCATCGACGACAGACATGTGCTGATGACGAATGAGAGACTGTGGATGAGGAAGGTGAGAACGGGAGAGCGTGCCACGAGCCTCTGGGTTGGAATGGAAGCCTCTGTTCGGCCGTCCTGACTCCGCCCAGGCGAGGCAAGACCTGACCCGAGTCGGGGACTGAGACAGAGAGACACTGCTGTCGTCATGGGCCAGCAGAAGTCGACCGTACAGGAATAAAGCAGACAGACAGCTGGCTGGCTACTTGGCTGGCTGGCTGGGAGACTGGCTGGGAGACTGGCTGGGAGACTGGCTGGTCGATGTAGGTACATTGCAGTACCGCCAGACAGACGAGACCAGGGAAAAGGCAATTGCCCTGATCGTGGCAACCGTCAAGGTTCGAGTTGGCAGGCGCTGTCAAACGGTCAGACAGGCAGTGTGATAGCTGTCAAAAAGGAAGACGGGAGGACAGGAGACAGGGGCAGGCGCGCAGGCTTTGGCGTTGTGGTGGTGGTGGAAATGCCCTCACTCAGTCCAACGACACTGAGAACGACGTCGAAAAAAAGGTGTGGCAGCCGCTTGGGTTCGGCGACAAGGGTCTTTCGGAGGCGCTAAAACGCCTTAAAGTGGAGGGCACTCGACCAGACTGCAGATGCTTGCGAAGTGCGGGTGCCACAGTCGCGATGTCTCGACCGCGGCTCCACGCGCAACTGGGGTTCCTTGCCCTTGGTGTTTTTTCACGCCTGCCCTCTCTGCAGCCTCTGCAGCCTCTCTGCCCTCTGGGGCCTCTGGGGCCTCTGGAGCCTCTGGGGCGCCCCGCTATGCCCACACCCCCTCCCTCCCTCCTTCCTTACCTCTCACATTCACACTCACCCTCGCCCCTCACCCTCACATCCGCTCCTCAACCTTGATCTGGATTGATCGAGGTCACCCGTCAGTTCAAGGAAGCGCCTCGACTACGGCACGCAGTACTATCTACGGTAGGCTAGACCACATGCGTCTTCTCACAACTGTACTGTACTGTACGTAACCCCATCTCCGTGCCTAGGTACGCAGCAAGGAAGCCAGCCTGCCCAATGGGCTACATGCAAGGTCTACTACATACAGTACCGTGTACAGTACAAGGCCCCTCGCCGCGGGATGTGATTGCGGCATCTGCGACTGGGGACTCTAAAATTGCTTGCATTAGGCCCTCGACAGGGCCCTCGTTGAGCGAGGCTGGCATCATCACATCGCAGCGTACCAAGTAGCGCAGCGCGGCGCATAGCATCGTGTCGCATCGCATCGCACCGCACATCGCATCATAGCATGGACAGATTGTCTTGTGCGCCGGGCCGGTGTCTCTATCATCCTCGATCACCAGCAGGAGGCGGAGATGGCCAACCAAGAACACCCACCAACCCCCAAGCCAAACCGTTTCACGACGCTGCAGCGCAGAGTATCACCACATACTCCCGGCTCGACTGACAGCAAGCCACAGGAAGCCTCTGTTGCTCCCGCCTGGCGGTCCACGTCGCACAACACATCTCACGACACCTCAACGTCCCTCCAGCTAGCCGCTCCGGGCCCGCACGGCGCTCGAACGGGCTCGGGCGTACAGCGTCTAGAGCTGCATGTCTCTCTGCTGGCGCGCCTCTGGCCTCTGGAAGAACACCGGGAATATCCTCCGGTCCATGCTCGTTTCCACAAATGGACTTGACCTTTGGCCACGTACTAGAACCATCTTGACGTTTGAGGCTGAGTCGGGCATTCGTATTATGCTGGTCAAATTAAGCAAGGGATGAGTAGTCCCCGAGCCTGACCTGGCGCCAGGGCCTTGCGCGCCTCCTGTGACGACAAGGCCAGGCCCGTTGGAGCTGGCCTGGTCTTTCTCCTCCCTCTCGCAAGTCCGCCCGCGTACAGCAGCAGAGACTGCGCACTGAAGACGCAGAAGTCTCAGCCTGTCGGAGGAATAATCTTCATACTGCTGGTCTTGTTTTCGGTGGATTGTTTTGGTCTTTCCCCGGAACGCACACCACGTATCGACTCTCACTTACTCGATGCGGCCAGCACATGCTGGTGAGGACCACGCCTACGGATCGAGTCTCTTGTGTATCATGATACGTATCATGCTAATGTGCTCTCGCCTTTGCATGGTACTCTAGGGCTCATCGTCGTTGCGACAGTTACTCGTCAGTCACCCGTCAGACAGACATCTTGCATCGCGGCAAGCACAAGTTCGTTCCGGAATGCCCGATGCGCATACATCATCCGTCATTACTCCTCAAACAGCTGCTGTGGTTCTCGAAATCTGTCGTCGGGCCCCTGACCGGCTTCCTCCACGCGCTCTGGGCTGCGGCATCATCTTGTGGCACACACGTGCATCCACCGGGTCCTTCTTCACTTCCCCGCCGCATTCCAGATCTCCACCCGGGTGACCTGTCAACTTTTCAACAGCATTCGCTTGATACGCGAACTTCTGGGCGCATCATGTACATGTAGCCCGGGTTGCAACAGGCTGGCCCCGTAACTCACCCCTGAAAAACACCTTGCCCTGTTCCCCCGGCTCGGACGCAGTCGACTGTGTTCCGGTCCACACCACACACAGGCACAGACACACACACTGTGGACAAGATGCAGGGAGCAACTTCAACTATGGCGTCCAATTTTGGTTTACGCGCGATGCCAGGAAAAAAAAGAGCCTACGCGACAAACGGCTGCAGCAGACGGCTCTCCGAGCAACCATTATTAGAGGGTTCGCAGTCAGAAGTCCTAGGCGCATTGCATCCGCAATGCTGGTGCCGCCAGGGTCACTGCGTCGCCATGCGAACGCAGAAAAAGGAGCAGCAAAGACACGCAGCAATAGGCATAGTCTTTGCAATGCTCGCATGAGTGACTGGCCAGGTTCCGGCTCAGCCCTTCCGCCGCCCGGCCGCCTGTGTGGTTGGTCGCTGGCCCTGCTTATCATAACTGTCTCAAGCAGATTCTGCCACGCTCGTACCGCATCTGCATCTCTCCAATCCGTGCTCAAGCCAGCTCTGCGGAAGAGAAAATCAGTCAATAGATTGTTTCGATCTTACTTCCTGGTCACACGGCTGCGAAGCGCGATCAACGAGGCACAAACCCGAGACACTGAACAGTCTTCGTGTCGGTTTCACCGCGTTAGGCATCAGACTTGCCCAAGACGACAGAAATATGACTCGAACGCTTCAACTAGACTCAAATCTGCCTTGATTCTCTCTGCATCTATGACTTTGATAGGGCCATGCAGGCGTGGGCGCGAGCGCGCGCACACACGCACACACACATACTTAGTCAACCCAACATACTCATGACCAGCACACGTGCAACATAATTTTTGCTCTTCGAGCAACTGCGGATCAAAATTCTGCCAATTTCCCTGTCAGTACATCGAATTTTACGCCTGATTGAGAAATTGAGCCTGCCACGAAGGAATTGCGACCTGTGCCGCCGTGATGTGATGTGATTCAGAGTGGTGGTCCCCTGTTGTTACCAGCAGACGCCCAGGGGTGAGACTCGGCATTTCCTAGGCGGCCGCTGGCTACGGCACGCTCTGGATCTGGTGGTGGGATGCGCCCGACCGTGCTTCCCAGCAGGGCCTAGCTTTCCAATCCGGCGCCTTGCAACCTTGTTTGCGCTCATTCCCGGTGTTCTGGAATATCGGACGATCTGATCGGGAAGGCCCCATTTCATTGGATGCTCTGCAGCGGAATGAACAGGGACAAGCCTCTGGGGCACCCAACTGGGCCTGTCAGCCCTCTCACCCCTCTGGCTCTTGTGGCGCCTCCGACTATTACCGCATACTCGCATACTCGCAGCCCCGACACCCAGTGCTGGGTTCCACCCACCCGCCAAACGGCGGTTGACCAGCATCGACGGCGCCGTTGTTGCATGGACAAGGCGCCGCCGCCCTGAGCAACGTCACTCACCGAAATCCTCCGCGCCGAAGCACACGCACACGTGGTTGTGTTGATCAAGGTCTCGCCCTGTTAAGGGCCTCTCTACGCCACGGGGCAGCCTCCACGTCCGCAAGGAGCCAGTGCCCGTACGGCTGTGACTGCGTCCTTGATATCGATAAAGGACTTGTTCTCCTGGAGCTATCATCCCAGCACCTGCGTCACGAGAATCAAAGCAATGACTAAACGACTGGAAAACACCGCGTGGGGGCCCAGAACCCTTCCCGTGACGAGTGCCAACTGAAACGAGGGGAGCAGCAGCTCGACCGATGACACTCCTGTACTGCGTAGCATCTTTGGAGCGCGTGCAGGACTGAAGGGATGCACTATATCAATCTGCACAATGCATTATTCTTGTCCATGCAGCATGCTTTGTCCCGATCTGCCGAGATGCTCGGAATGCATTGAGCCCCAAAAGCACGGTGCTATCGGCTGAGAAACGACGTATCGGCCGAGGCGTCTCGCCATGAGGAAAGCCATCTATCTATCTGGCCTCGGATAGATTGGAATGGAAGCTTGGGGGCACGCGATCGTTTTGTTCTCTGCAGCTCCGGATCGGGGCAGGTGGGTGTTAGTTGTGCTTCTTTCCGTCGGCAGACGGGCTGTTTCTCGTACTGTCCTTGCTGAAGAGCAACTCACGGCGGTTCCCGCCACGACCCGTCCCGCTGAGCCCGCTTCGCCTTGCCTTGCATCGTTCAAGGTTTCATTTCTCCATCAGGGTTGCTCTGTGCTCGGGCGCCCGAAGGCTGGCGCCAACAGCGGGAAGACGGGAACTTGTCAGGTCCTCGAGGAGCACAGACGTTCAGCGCCTCCCTTCGTCACACAGCAACGACTCAGAGAGGCTTGGAATTGCAGGGTCACATGAGAAGTTCATCATGCCGTTGACCCTTAATTGTCGTTGCACGCAAGCCTCCGACCTCACGAACCGTGTGCAACTGGAACGCCACCCAGTGTGACCGATTGGACTGGGCCTAAAATGCTGCGGTCAGCGGAGCGAATATGCGTGAATGCATAACGACAGGTCGAACACGACCAGTCGACCTCAGGTCGATTGAGCGTGATCCCGGGGCAGCACAGGTGTTTGAAGCATCGGGCAGCGGACATCGATCATTGATCAAATTGTAAACATCTTGCACCGGTGGGTCAGGCTCAGTCCCACTGCAGCGCTAATCTCGCTCGCGATCCCAACCAAACTTTGACAAGCTCCTGTCACTTCTCACTTCCCCCCTGGGTTGTGGGCGACCTGTGCCTGAGCGGGACCCACAATCCGGCACAGCTTTCAGATGCATCAGTTCTCAAGTCCGGGTGGTGCAGGCATGATCTGGCTTTCCCACCGCACTTTGCCAAGAGGTACGCAGTACGGTACTGTGTATACTCGGTGGAGGATGCAGGCTGTCGATTGCTGTCCCCCAAGCAGACAGGTCGGCGATCGAAGCACGCGGCCATTTTCAACGTACGATTTCCTGCGGCTCTTTTCCACAAAGAGCTGGTCTGTCTTCCCCCGGCAGTCTCCCCCTGGCCCGTCCTGACGCTAATAGGGGAGCAGCTGGGGCATTTCTGACACCCGTCAGGCCTCATGGCTGACGTGAGGGTTGCCTCGTATTGGCATCCAAGAAAATGGCTGTGGAGGGACACTGTCAATGAAGCACACCGACAGTGATGTGGCTTTCCAGAGACTGGCCTCTGCAACCAACTGAGCAATATCTCCGGCAGCCTCAGAGTCTTGGCCAGGGCCACCTGAGCCAGCCAGAAGATGCAAGTCACCGACAAGGGCTCGTGCCCACGGGTAGATCACCTCGTTCCGACATGTCGCCGAACACAAAAAAACAGGGTGCCTAGCTGACGATGACGGAGCCAAACTATGGCAGACGCCCCTTGCAGAGAGAATCAGATTAGCGAGATCTCAACCGGTGAGATGCCAACCTGGATAGGAAGAACCGGCTGAGCGGAATGACAGTCCGGCCTGCAGCTGCATGCTTCGCTCCCGAGAAACCCCTGGACCGGCTGCGTCGATCTAACGGGCATTGCGACCCCTTTTCAGCAGGCCAAAGGATCACAACTCGCAAGGGCATGGAGGGCGCGAAACTGACGGGTCAAACTTGCAGCCTGCGCCCTGATGGGGATTGCGATTCCACCACCCCACCGCCAAAGCAGCCATCTGCATGACTGCTGCAGTACCGACTTTCGGTGTGTACGAATCCATCGCGACGATTGCCCTCTGCCATACACAAGCTGAGATCCTACTCGCTCAAGCTGGTCCTTACCACGCACCTCAGCTGCCCCGGCGCCGTCTAGTCTGTCAGCGGAAGGTCCCACCATCCGACCATCACCAGCCGGCCCAAGTCCCTCCGGGCCCCCGCAAAACGAATTGCCGCCGTGCCACGTCAACCGCGGATGTTCCCGGCTCTAGGAGCCCTTGGGGCAGGTGTGACGCTGGCACACCATCTCATCTCCGTGTGCTGTAGGTGTTCCTACCTACTGATGCTGTGGCGAACCTCCTAGGCGGTGTCGAAGGCGCGATCGCCTCGCTACCACACATGCGATGACACATGCATGAGCTTCGCTCATGGGAGGGGGAGGGGGCCGGGCCGTTTCCGCGCGTGCCGCTCACTTACTGCCGTCGTCGAGATGCGGCAAAAGGAGAGAGGTATGCTCGAGATAAGCAGGGTTTCAAGGCGCATGCGGCCAGGTTGGTGCGCTTCTGCACGCAATGGGGCGGTTGGGACACTACCGCAAATAGACATGCACCGTGGTGCGTGGGTTCGTCGTGGCGGCGCTCGACAAGCGTCGGGGCAGGACCGAGATCTGGATGTTATGGGCGCGCGAGATCCAGCGCTGAGAAGTGCCGCCCCTGCCGACGTGTCGAAAGTGACAGGCGGTGTAGGCGTCATTGACATCCGCCAGGTCGATGTGTCGATTGCAGCTGGCCGGCCGCCTTGATTTGTCTCGAACTCAAACGACGGACCCCCCACGAGGCCAGGCTCCGGGCCCTGCGTTTCCGATGAGTATCGGACCTCTCGCGATTGGGGGACGGAGGCGCTGCGTGCTTCTGCCCGCAATGGTGTCGTCGCCGAGCGGGCAGAGTTCCTGAACTCCTGGGATCCTTAGGCCGTTGTGTGTGCGACATGCAGTAGGCCTACGTCGTCGTCGGGGCACAGGCCGTCGTCGTCGTCGGGACATAGGCCGTGACCAGATCACTACGGTTTGCCGTTCAGGATGCATGTAGGCTTACGGCCCGCCTCGGGCTGAGTGTCCGGCTTCCTCCACGGGTGTATGCGAATCCAATCTACAGGCGGGCTTTATTCTTCTTGTTACACAGAGAGACCATGTGCGTTGAAGCGGCTCGGCTCATCCTCACAGCTCACGGTACCGGGCGATCACACAGCCCTACGACGCTCTTTGTGCCGTACTTGGCGCATGTTGCATGGGTTTCGCTCTGTGCCTTCCTTGCGCAGAGATGCCGCAGGCACATTCTGCGGTCCGTTTCCTTTGGCTGGATCTGGGGACTGTCTACGGGGTTGTTATCATCGAGCGCTGTGGCAGTGTCTCGCTTCGAGGATTTCTTGGCTCGGTTCTGCTTTCCGCATCTCAATATCAATGGTTTTCTTGGTGAAGACTCGCGGCACGATGTAGGACGGCCATCTCATTGGAGCGTGCGTGTCTGGGTAAAGACTCAAGATTCCTGTGTTGGGTCCTACTGCTGAATGGCTTCTCAAATGTGAATGGGTATGCAAAAATAGCCTGTATTCTTGAAAGAGACCCCTTCGCCCGTCGCCGGCCGGCCGGCCCCATTCTTTTGTTTCCTATAAGCCGTGAGGCTCCGGTACCGAACGTCTCGGGGACATTGTTGAGTCATGGCATCAGTAACGCAGGCGAACCAATAATTTGAGCCCTCCGGCCGGGTAAACGCTTGTTTGAGGTAATAGCGTGTAACACTGTCGACCAGTGTGGGCTTCAGGGTACAAGCGCCCACGATCTAGGTGTTACTCGATATTATCGAGGGCAGTCTTGAGCGTTGGGTTGATCTCCCTCGGTGGAGGCCACCGACATGAGCAAAGGCCTCCACGCCGAGTCAGATGCAATCAATAATCAAACACATCAGTGGGGATTGCTATTTTTAATCTGGTCAAGTATAGGCCGAGATGGGGTTTTCATCCCACCTGACCCCCATCCTCGGCTGTTTAATGTGGGAGGAGAATATTTATTTTGACGCATGTGATACTCTCGTGTTCGTACTCCAGCTCTCTAAGTTGGTGTCGGGGATCTGGGGGGGGGGGGGGGGGCGAGACGGGCGCCGGCGCATGTCGCGCCTGTCAGCTCGGAATATATAGGAAGTGAGCGAGTGATCATGTCAGGACGGCCGTGCCATAATGACCGCTCGCGTGCTCTGGTCCAGCCATGCCTCGCCGTCGGTGCTGTCCCGTTTTCAGAGAGGCCGGCCGCGAATCTAGATGTGCTGAATCCATTTGTTAATTTTTTCTCGAGAACTTTAAATATGTCATTCAGATTACTCCTTGACTAGATCCTGGGGTCTGTCGTCTACGGAACTTACGAGTATGAATAGCTAAAGATAGGTTTCAGTGGCTTGGAATTTCAGTGACCGAAGGCTACTGATGAGATAAGACTGGAAACGATTTCACGACGACCATCTGGATCGCTCGTCTTTTTTATTCGTCAAGTAGCTAGCGAGGAGCAGCAATAGTGACAACGTTCTTCTGAGTGTTTTTGGTAGATATGAGCCAGGGTTTGGATCTGAGTATCTAGATGCTATACTTGCCTCGTCTTTGCTTGTTGAGTAGAATGTGCTCCAATTAAACCTGCTGTATACATCTGAGATAATTCATATTCAAAGGCTGAGCTTTAAAGCATCAGAAAGTAATTAGGTTCGTTGAGGCAGTAGATAATAGTGATCACGTCAGAAGCTGGAACATAATGTAGTACCAGACTATTCATGTGTAACCACAAGAGAGAAAAGAGTCTATACACGTTTGTAAACTTTACTGTCTTCCACGTCAGCATGTGAGACTGTAGCTATAAGTGATTTGCATCATATACCACCAAATGCTTGATTTAACCGATCCATCTATGCGATGATCAACCAGGTGTCAAGAAGCACCAATTCAGCACAACACCACACATGTTGCTGATGGTTAGTTCTGTTCAGCTCTCGACATGGATATCCACGGTTGTATTTCCCCGCTTCCAAGTGCTGATGGCAGTTGCAACAAACCTCAAAGCCTTGTATAACACAATGGCCACCTCAATAGCTCCCCCCCCCCTCTTGCAATTTCTATTGGGCCGCTGACATCACCATTCTGCCTAGAAGGCGTTAGAGCAACTGCACGAGAAGACACATTGGCTTATCACCGGCGTCAGCTCTCAGAAGGGCTGAAATTAGTGAGCATTAAACCCCTGCCAAGCGGAGAACACCAGCGCTGAACGGGATGTGCGTACGGCTGATTTGGATTTTCCTTATCTACTACGGCGCATACTCGTCACTTTCTGGGTTTCCACATTGCACACGCAGCTCTCTTCGCGAATTTTCATTACATGGAAGAGTAGCTATCTTAAATTACGTTGACAGGCGGGTTGCTAGGGAACTCGACACGCTGGACAAGATGCTGGGGATGTCACTCCTCCTCCGCCACAGCCATGGGCGATGCAGAGTGGTACCTGCAGGCAGGACCTTCCCACTACCAGTTGGGGAGGTGGGCGGCCCTGTGTACAATGACTTGGTAATTCTGTAAGCTTGTCGTGCTCGATATACTACCTGGTCTTCCAACAGGCACACCTTGGATAACTTTGCTGAAACATTTATGTACAGCGTCGTGCAGCATGACGACGAGCAGGCTGTGAGAGCGGTCGAGAACCAATTTGAGGGGAAGGGATTCCCTCGCAAGATGACCTGGGATGTCGGTCAGACTGGTGTGTATCAGCCGCCAGAGGAAATCATGTCTGGCCCAGAACGAGACATCGGTTCCCAGTTTGACATTTGGTCGTGTCTGAGACTTCGTGGCCTTGGTGGTCGCCTCGAACGATATGAAGGGGGATTAGGGGCCGTCAGCAGGGACCGAATTGAGAGTACGCATCAACTCTGTGATACTTCGACATCACTTAGCCCCAGAGTCTCAAAGGACTTTAATACTGATACTGTCTGGTTGACTCTAGGGGATTCAAAGAGTGAGACAACCGTGGGAACATGGATTTGTAATGGACAGATAGTGCTCGGGCCTCGGATCATCGCCTCGTCCCTGGTGGTGCTTGTCTTCCGCGCCGAGGACCGTCATTTTCGCAATTTCGCCTCTCGTCTAGAGGTCTATTTTAACAAGCGCTGCTCAGAACTGGTCTTCGATGCTATGGTTGAACAACCGCTATATATCTACATAGCGTTATACCAGTGTTATAACAGCTTTACGACGTTTTTCCACCAGTATCAAGGGATATATGAAGAAGTCGTGAGTATTCTTCGAATACCCGTATACATACAAAATTGCAAATGCTTAAGATACTGATCAACTGCTCAACAGGCTCTTCATCAAGAGAAGAGGATTACTAGTGTCTTCTCACGGAGTTTTCGTTTGAACAAGACTCTCATACACATGTCTTATTGCCAAGAAGATATCCTCATGCACAAGACAATGCTCATGAAAATTGGGAGGCTTATTGACTACGTAGCTAGGTACATAAACAGAACCTATAGATCCCAGTTCCAACTTGAACTTGGCTGATTATTACTGTCCCACCTACGCCAGATCCACCTACGGCAACGACGGATGCTCTGAATGAGGAACTGGAGAGTCTCCAGAAAGACCTGAACGATTTCGAGGACAAATATAAGTTCTTTTCTGAGAGATTTAAGGCAGCATTAGAATTGGTATGTTCATTATTTTGCTCCAGCGGTAGTATGTTTCAATGAATAACATTCCGTCTGTGAACAGGAGTTCAGCCTGTCTAGCGAGAGACTTAATTGGATCATGATGTTGTTCACAGCCCTTACCGTTCTGTTCACCCCCATTGCATTCGTTGCAGTAAGTAAAGTCTCAGCTCTCGACTAAGAACTTTCATGGGGCGTAACTAAATATTTACCGTCAAGGCTGTATTCAGCATTATCGATTCGGATCCTGTCTGGTTTCTCATATCTGGATCGGCAGTCTTGTGTATCAGCATTGTAATCTGCCTCTGGGCGTTCTCATCAATCCAGGGACTGGGTCACAAGATGACACAGGGTGATCTGAGAAGTCTCTTACATAAACTACCGTATCAGGGCCCTGGTTACAGGCGCCCAAAGGGACCAGATGGCGGCGGTCCTTCACCTCATGATCCAGGCCCGAGCCCCCCATCATACCCAAGTGCCCATGGCCCTATGGCTGAGGGTCGCATGTCCGGCCACGAATCAGGGCATCGACCTAAGCCAAGCCAGCCTCTTCCACCCCCCTCACCACCACCTCGACCGCCGGTCAGCTCCTTCAGGCCTCCAGTGAGTTACAGTCACTGGAGACCACCGCCGGGGCCACCACCGATACCAGTGGACCCAGAACATGGGCATTGGGGCCGTCATCCTCGACCAAAGCCTCCTCCACAGGGGCCTTACCGCCGTGTACCACCTCCAGCAAAGTCTGACGTGCGCCCGGGGCCGAGCGTACCGGTAGCCCGCGCACCCTCGGCCCGATCATACTCGTCGGGAGACTCGTTCCCGGAGGAGGAAGTTCTCCGCCGCCGGGAGTCACAGCTGCACGATCGGGAGGTGAAACTGCGCGAGCGGGAGGTGCAGCTGCGCGAGCAAGAAGCGCGTCTTCGCGTCGGGGTAGATCCTCGTCTGCGCGGAGACCACGCGGAGCAGGTGCTAGTCCGAGAGGAGGTCGGTCAGCCACGAGCCCAAGAACAAATGCGTCGTAGCGAGGAGGCTCACCGCGTGCTTCAGGAAGGGTTACGTCGTGAGGGGGACTCCCGGCGCTTGGAACGACGAGGGAAGATGCCAGAAAGAGAGTAGCGGATAATTCGGAGAGTCTGGAAATATTGGGTCTATCTTTGCATTACGGGCGAGAGTTGTGCTGGCTAGTTCGGACTTTCTCTTGTGTATATCCCTACACACACCTTGATGGAGAAGCCCGATTTCCCTCTCAGAACAAGTACGCGCTACTCATGCAGAGAATGATGTATGAGAATTTGGATGCTTTTCTTACCATGCTCTTACCTGAAAGAGGTGTTTTTTTTCTCGAAGTCTTTACCAATAAAACAATATAGATCAGCGTCATTTGAGGTCTATTACAATACGATGTTACGAAACATTTGCCCAGATCCTACTGTTACCTGTGCCTAGCAATCTTTGACACCGTTACTCGATGTAGACGTTACTGTGTCTCGTATTTTCTATAATATCTGAGAAGCTCGACAAATACGTTCAGTTGTCCTTTCCATGATGTTTGTCAATCTCAGAAGCAATTTGTCTGCGCAACCTCTGATGCGCCTTTACAATTATAGACACTTTCTGCTCCTTGGTGATGTCTCATGCTCTCCTCCCACTCAAATGAGCTTGAGTAATGGCGGCTGGCCGGCCATTCGAGCGAGTTCCTCAAAAGTCTCCATGTGATAGAAGATCCGACCAGTTTTTGATCATTGTCTTCGTTCTTATAGATGTCCAAAGAGGTGTTGTCACACAATCTGATAACGCTGGAGTCTGTCTATAAGTGATATTCCAACGTCGACATGACTACGCCTGAGTCCAAATGACAATTTTAACCCCAAGTAATATTGCGACCGAGCTTCGTAGAGGCATTGTGACTGCATATGATTCTATCATTCCATTCTATGACTTTACCAGTGGCTCGTTCACGATTGCTCACTTATCACAAGAAGTTGTAGAATGATATTTCTTTTGCTTGTCAGAATAGACAAGTGATACATTCCAAACGGTGATGATCCTATACTTGATCTCTCAGTTTTATCTGAGGGCTTCCAATCTATCCCAGGCCTACCTCTTGCCGTGATCCAGGAAGTTCACCTAGATATTCTGCGAAAGATGGTTGAACGTGCCTACCCTGATCATGTATCGCGCAATGGCGCCGTAGAACAAGTTCGTGAGCGCCTCGGCCTTGTAAACGATTGTCGTCATAAGCTCTCAACAACAACTAGTGGATGCAACTTAGCCAAAGAAAGACTGAAGTAGCGTTCTCGTCTTGTTCGATCGGAAGCACGGGGCCAATAAGTGGCCCTGTTTTGTTATCACGCGAGTTTTTTCTTAGGGCGTTGTGGCTTCCAATAACCATGAGTGGAATCAAACATGTTAGTCCCTGTTCGCGTCTAGAACTGCATGTATATGTATTGCCTACGAACTTGGGCCTGGCCTGTTCGAAATGTTAAAGATGAAGATCACCTAATTGAGTAGGTATGTTTATTTCGTGTCAGGAGGGAAGTATCAACCATATGCGTTGCAACTTGAACACAGTACGCACTAAGAAAATACCACACTGCCATGGACAGAAGCGGTTCCGTTCCAGAGCCACTCTAGAGTTGTAGAAGATACGCCAGATCCATGCCAGGGGCGATACAAGGGTGGCAGCGACGCGGGCAATATTTTCTCATTTGCGACTGTGCCAGCGGGAAGGACACGCTCGGCAAGCTGCATGCCGAATCATCAACCGCTGTCTTGGGCACTGCCTGAGGCTGATATATGCCGAAACTTACCTTGCTTAGAGCGTATCCTTGTCGCCTTGGGTACAGCAGCCACGTTGACTCGCACTCGGATTCGTCTTCACACCCTTACACACGCCACCGATTTTTCCTGCGATTTGTCGAGAGCTGAAATATCTCCGACCAGGAAGTCTTTCCAAAACGAGACTTCACCCGCGTGAGGAGCCTCACTCGAGGGTTGGCACTTCGGGAACGACACTGCCCTTTGGCGTCAGGTGACAAAGCATACTTACACGTGCTTGTGTGGAGAATAGCATGATCATGCTAGGTACCAAATCTTCCATGCATAGCTCTCGCACACCGGTAACAGTCGCTGCAGTGACAGCGCCCTGAAATGGCCCTGGCGCAGACGCAAGTGTGTCCTAGTGCTACAGGAGCATCCACAGAGCTGGCCCTACAGGTGAGACACACACCCAGAGGGAGGACATCCCAGCAGGGACATCACCAGCCCACTATATAAAGGTTCAATAGCCAGCAAATTATGCATGACACTGCCCATCGACCCCTTTCTGGTCCTGCACGGGACCGTCCGCAAAAGGCGAGGGTGGGTGCCGGGTGCCCTGCACGTCGCTCGATCGGGTCGGCACGTGAGGACCGTCAGGCCCCAAAGCGCCCCCAGAGCTACCACTTGGCTGGCTCCTAATGCACAGGCTGGTGGGTGCTGGTGGCGTGTGGGTGGGATGTGGGCAGCCCTGTCCAGGCACGCTTGCAAGAGCCGTTCATCCTTCGCATGCAACTAACCCACCTGCAACCGTAGCAGGGGCTGATCAGCACCCAGACGGTGGCGGGAGAGCTGTAGTAGGGGTGTTGTTGCTGACGCGCGAGAGAGAGGCGTGCAGCGCCCTGTTTAGTGATGCTGCTTGTTTTCTCTGCTCTGCGATCCAACCAGCAGTTATTGGGCATCTCCACTGCGACGATGCGTGATCGTGGACGTCACGAGAGAGGACGGGTGGCCAACCTTGCCATGCAGGCCTGCCTCTGTCATTTGTGACGGGCCACTTACAGCAGGTGGGCTCGGTGCAATGGGCATCGACGTGGTGCCACCTGGCTGCACCGATTACAAGAGCTTGCTTGGATGGGCTTTTGCTCCCCCGGAGAGCTGAGGCACACACACCCACGGGCGCTGTACACCACAGCTCTCAAGCTGCCGCGTATTTGTCTCGAAGGCCACGAGCTCACAGGACAGGCGGCTGTATCCGGTCTATCCGTGGGCCGATGCCTTGCCTTTCTCGGTACCAGTTCAGCGTGCTGGATCCGCGGCTGGAACTCGACGAGGCAGGTTGTGGCCTATCAGCGGCGTACTGGCTACTGGGAAGATGATCCATTGCAGATTACCATCGCATCAAATCAGTAGCATTGGTGTTACCATCTGACTCTGGGCCGTCGCACCCACCACAGATGTAGACATGTGCTTCTGCAGGCCACAGGTACTGCTCAGGCACAGGCGAGAGCAATCCTGGTAGCTCACTTCAGAGCTCTTCAGGTAGCCATGCTGATGCTTGAGAAAGCGTGAAATCAGTGCACTGCTGGCTCACCGATTAACGAATGGATTTCCCTGTGAGATGGGCGGTTTGATTGCTTGCAAGGCCATCGCTCCGCCAGGTTACACCAAGCTTTTGAGGATGACTTGCTGGTTGTTGGGAATGGGCATGGCCAGCCACATTGAGCTCCCAGCGAGTGGTTGATGAGGAGGCTGTAGATGGGGCACAACATAGCCACCGGGGGACAGTATCTCTCAGGCTGGCTGCAGCGTTGGGATCTGGCAAAGGCGCCAAAACAAGGTGAGGCGCTCGCCAATCACGGCGTGTGTGCCCGCGATGGCTCACCGAAAAACGAAAGGTGTGAGATCTTGTACCTGACCTGCCGCCTACCGATCTGTGTTGGGAAAGCCCACAGCCGCCCCGAGACCACGATCACATGCCATTCCCTTGAGCTATTTCAGGACCTTGCACAACGTGGCTTGACAGAGGGGGACGATGTCTAGGTGATACACGGCCAGGGAAACGAAGGCTCACGATGTTTGTTCTTTTCCTAGCGCCAAGCACGGCTGAGTCTGAGCGTACCTGTCGGGTCTATCCGGCGGAATGCTGTGTAGCTCAGGCAGCCCGTCGCAATGTGATTGAACAATGCAGGGAGCAGAAGGTTCGCGTGAGACAAGTCCTAGCTCGTCAGGCGGTCCGGCCCTGCTGGCTTCTGATAGAAAGCTCCGACGCTGCTGCTGGTGATCGAGCCCAGCGTGCCCTTCGGGACTGGCAGGTTGCTGGGTCCGCACAGATTTTCACTGCTACGTAGAGATGCAAGGTCAGGCCAGACCGCGTATTGAGGCTGTGGGTGTCCCTGACGGCCGAGTCATGATCCAAGGGGACCTGCTATCAGAGGCGTTCCCGAGAGTTGATCACCTGCAACGGTGGCTCCATGGGGCTTCAGCCAACCTCAGCCCTACGAGCCGGAGCTCGACGCCGCTCAACCCAAACTGAAATCTCCGAAGCGAGAAAAAGTGATCGCAAGGGATAGCAACACGAGGCGAAACATGTGAGATCCGCTCTTTGTGCCGGCTCAGCCCTCGTGAAGCAACTCGATCCCAAGGAATTCCCGCGCCTGAACGCTCAGGGAAGCGAGATGACCTGCATCAGGCACCTCGGGAGGACTTGCTGTGACTTTGGTAGCCGCAAGCCAAAGCTGCAGCATTCGCCGGGAAGATCATGTGCAGTACAAATTGCTTCTGATCAGTGACAAGCGGCCATGCGCAGGAAAGGAAACCTTGAGGCACAGAAATGTGCATACAGCACAGCACATACAGACAGGCCCTGACAGGGCAGGTGAAAGAGTGCTTGGCTGGAACGCGTACCCGTGAAGATAGCATTCCTCCTCTCTCTGCAAGTCTCATTGTCTCTGCGGGGCCTGAGAAATGTGCGTCGGGAGCGTGCTGATAAGCGGCGATATTCGGGTGGCTCAACCCATTCGTGTCTGAGACACGTCTGGCGAGACAGGAAGCCTCGTCAGCCAGCTGCGGTTGTGAGGCGGCGGCCACCTGTCACGACAGCTGCAAGCTGGTAAGCGACAAGCGAGGGAGCGCCACCATTGCGAGCCCGAGTGGTCCGGTATCAGAGCGTTGGGGGTGTGGTACGGCCTGCTTCTGCACAGCTCTCTGTTTTCCCTGATAATGTGTCAGAGCTTTTGGCATCAGAGGTCGGCTGGGCCTGATTACGAAGCAGCGCAGGCCGAGTAACGACATGGACAGACGCATGGTCTAAAAGTACACACGGGACAGCGGCAGTAACGGGGCCAGCAAACAACTCCGCGCGCTACAGCCCATCTGAGGGCCGTTCCAGACCGAACACAACACAGGGGGCAGGCCGTTGAAGCTAGATGAGTCCAACCTCAAACTAAAGGCAGGATTAGCGCGGTGGGAGTGTCATGAGACGCCCTTTTGCATAGCTGATCCCTGAGCTCCCATGCAGCTGGTGTCTGGATCACCACAGGTACCGATGCAGTCGAGGGGCAGCAGCTGCGTGCCCCCGCCCACCCTTGGCCGCTCCAGCCCAGCACTCGACGCATGTGAAATCATCATGATCGGGAGCTGAAGGGCTGGTTTGACTTGCCTGGGTTGTGAGTAGTGAGGACTGCGAGAGGGGTCGGGAGGATGCAACTAGACGGAGTATCTCCTTGTACTGACCGCAAAGGCAAGCACACCCAAGAAGACAAGGGGAGCTCTGCCCTACACTAGTAGGTACTATACTGGCACAGCGGCGCATTATTACGCCAGCTTTATGTCAGTTGGAATGGGAAAGTCAACACGTCTTGCGCCCACACAAAGAGTAAGACAAAACTGTAGCCATGCTTGACAGACAGACGTTGCCAAAGGAGATGCCAGGAGTCAGCTCTGGGGCTTGCCGTGTCGTGTCGTTGCCGTTAGGGTCGTTCCTGTCACGGCAGGAGCAGAGCAGAGTAGAGCAGACCAGGACCGCGACCATTTCCCCCAGCAGTCTTGCAAGCTCTTTCCAAAATGGGCTCCAAGGGCCCCCTTTATTATTATTATTAGTCTATCTTATCCGCTTCCCGGGCGGGTGGACAATTGAAGGTGGGAGCCAACCTTGGGAAGTGAGTCGGTGCGATCGGAGGGGTGCCCACCGTACCGTACGGACAGTACAGTAGCTACTTAGCCCTACCTACTTGGTAGGTTGACTAGGTACCGTACCGCGCAGCCTAGGCCATCGATCTGCCTTTGAGAACTCACGTCCTGTAACAGTTGCCGCACCCGTCCTATGCTCTGTGACTCGGCCTATGTGTCAGAGGGGCTTTGACGAAGTGCACGGCAGCGTCACTTGACCTCTCCTTCCCTGGAGCAGCCCAGGCAGAGGAGGGAGGCAGAGGGGAAAGGTGTGGGTGGCCATGTGCTCAGGTTCTTTCTTGGAAAGTCACACTCGCCGTTGCCCCACCAAATGGCACTGCAGCTGGCCCACACCCCCTCTCCCAGCTCTGTCTGCTTGCTTGCTTGCTTGCGTGGTGTGGTCTCGCTGCCCCGCTTTCGACGTCGACAGCTGAGAGGACGGATTTCCAAGGATTCGGGACGACGTCGACGAGACGGGCGGGCCCTCACTACAGCTCCAAGGCCGTTGGCTCGCCGTCGACCACACAACACAGCAACAACACAACGCATTGTCAAGCTCGAGATGATGATGCAATTGCCACTGGCCTCGAAGCAGATCTGCTACCGAGATCCGGACTGTGCTCACCGAGCCCAATGGCCCAGGCTGAACCTTCAATGGCCTGCAACGCGTCGTCGTCCGCGCAGTCTCTCTTGCCTGCTGAGCTTCCCGAGAGACCAGGGCGGGCTGCCGGGGAGCTCTCTCTCTCACTCTCACCCTCCCTCCCGCTCGAGTAGCTCCTCCCGCTCCCTCTCTCGCGTTGCAGTCTGCGGGGAACGCCCATGTCGATGGATGGAGGGTCACCTTCACTCCGACTGGCTGGCAGGCTAGCCACCGTGTGCAGCCAGATCGGACCCCTGCCGCGACCGAAAGCCTCTAAAGGTTGTCTCCAGCAACAGCACTACTGTACTGTGAGCACATAGCTTGTGTGCCCCCCCCCCTGACAGCCCTGGCAGTCCAGAGTACCAAGTAGTCGGGGACCTATGTACTCCGTACGTACGGTAGGGACTCGAGGGACCACAGGTATTTTAATTCTGGTGACAAATCGGACAACATTGCCTATGCCTCATGCTGGCTGCGCGAGGGCGCGAAGATGAGCTGAGCTTTGAGGCGGCAGCAGGGCAGTGAACGGCCAACCACCTCGCGCCGGCGTGGGAAGGCGATGATGCACTAGGCAGGAGGCTCGAGAGCTCGCTCTCGAGGTTCACGACTCCTGCCAACTGCAGATGATGCATCATGCAAAGGAGGGGGATTGCGTTCCGGAACTCAATCCTGAGCTCAGTGATCACGGGCTCGGCAGGCGGCAGATCCAAGATGCAGGGAGCTCAAAGCAGCAGCGCTGCCCGAACACGCACGCGCACACACACAACTCACACACCACCGAGGACGAAGCCCGACCTCGACCTCTACGGCCTGCTTGCTACGGTGTCAGATCCTGCCAGGTACCGGTTGGCCCATTCAAGGCCCTCGAATTGCAAACTTGGTAGATGATCTGTCCCTAACATCCTGCTGCTAATTGCGTACTACGTGAGTACGTGCTGCTCGACAGGTTTTAGAGAGCCATTCCTCTGAATAGGATTCCGGCCGGTGCTCGAGATAGGAGGCTCCCCGGGTCACACCAATGCCTATGCCAGGATGGGTTCATCCCCGTTCGAGGTGGTTCTTGGGTAGCCATGGGGCGTGCCTGAGTTGATGAATAATCTCCTGAGTCCTTGACTTACCATGCGGCGTCTCACCTGGCTGCTCGACCACTGGGCGCGTCTACAATACAACTGCGTACCAACCCATTGGCGACGAACATGCTGGGAGCTCTTCTCAATCGAGAGTCGAGGGGTGGAGGGGATCGCAGCGCGACCAGCCCGCCCGCGGTTCCGAGACGAGCAGCTCGGCAGCTCGCACCCTTGCCCAGTTGACACCCACCGGCCCCAGGCTATAGGCCACAGGCCAACAGGGCCCAGGGCCCAGGGCCCCCAAGCTCGACGCCGCCCGGGCAAGCCCTTCCCGTCACGTTGTACCGAGACAACACCTCGCGAATTAGTCAAGACACCTACTGGCATCGATGATCCCCTGTCCTCACCGTACGGGATGTCACCGAAGCAAAGTGATGGCCGTCCAGGAGCTGCCGGACGACACTGACCCTACAGGGCCGGATTTTTTATAACAAAGCGGAAGACCCTGCAGGATCGGGTCGCTCAGCAGATCAACCAAGCCTCCTTTTTTGACTTCCGCTACGCGGACCGCTTAGCGCCTGTCGGCCGTCTCAAAAGAGGGCACATGATGAACAGGCTCCGTTTTGAGCGGGTCAGAATGACAGGCGAACACAATCTTGTAGTCGGGACCCGCTAGCCTAACCATCATTTCTTCAATGACAGAAAGCAGCGGCGCCCCTGCCGTCATCTTGACCACGTCTAGGCGCGCCACGATAGGCCCTGCGCCGCTGCAGTCCTGCTGCATTGCATGCTCGCGAACGATTGAGGGAGAAGATGATCTCGCACCAAAAGGGGAAAGGCAGTCAGGCACACAGGCAGACAGGCACGCTGGGCACACAGGCACGCAGACGGGCAAGAGCCTGGGTGGTGAATGAACTTGGCCCACCGACGCACGTCGTGCATGCACTGCATGGTCAGGATCCGGGCTGGGAGGCAGTCAAGCCGTTGCATGAAATGGTAAACGGCCAGCAGGAGTGGGCTTACACGTTTGGCCACCCGCCGGCCAGAATTGAGCCTCAGTCAGCGACAAGGTACTATACTATGTCAATGTAGCAAGCTGTATCAGGTGGCCCGACCTGGACCGAAAGCAGGTCAGAGCTTCAAACGTGTAGCGGCGGCCGTGGATACATACATGCATACTTCCAATTTGGTAGTATGGGAGGTACATAGTCTACACACACACTGACAACCGGCGCAAACAGACAAACGCGAGCACACGCACACACACACAAATACACAGGACTGCACTTCTCTTGTTGAACGGTCAAACAGTCTACCAGGGGTTCCATTTATGACATACATAGAGTCTCGGGTGTTTCCTGAGCCTGTCGATTTGCAGCTATGCTTTTCTCTTCTCTGTTCTGTTTCTCAAAAAGGGGCGGATGGGTGGAGGGGGCCCGAACTGAACGAGCCATATCGAGATAGATGAGGCTATTCGCTGCGACGTACTTAGTACCTATTTCTGTCTGGGACCGGGGTACGTCACTTGGAGTGGTCATGCACCCAGCCTGCGCTAGCCTCATCACACGATGCGTCTCTGTCCAGGACTCCAGTTCAGTTCCAGTTTCCAGCAGTCCCTCAAAACGAAACGAGGCGCCAATTTCCACTTTCACTTCCGCACTTCCACCCTTTCACGCTGCTCTCACCCGGACCGACCTGGAACCTCGTACAATATCTCGTCAACACCGTCAGTCAGTCAGTCAGTCAGTCAGTCAGTCAGTCAGTCAGTCAGTCAGTCGGTCGTGCCGTGCCGTGCCCGTGTCGTGTCGTGACCTTGACCTTGACCTTGGAACCTAACCTCCTGGACAGCAAAGGAGCCCGCCATCCCACCTCCCTCTCTTTTCCCTCCACCACCTTGCCGTCGACCTGGGTTCTCAACCCCCCTCCTTTTACCCAGCCAGCCAGCCAGCCAGCCAGATTTATTTCTTCTCACCTGGGACTTCCTTTCCCTTGATCCAACTGCCTGGCCTGCCTGGCCTGCCCGCCCTTTGGAACCTGGGAACCTACCTGTGCACCTGAGCGACCAGCGCCTGCCTCGGATTGGACCTAAACCTGGACCTGGACCTGGACCTTGACCTGGACCCGACCCTGATCATCGGCCCCGACCTTACCTCGTAAGTAGACGCCTCTTCATTATTGCCGCAGTACGCTGGTGCAGCTGGCAAAATCTCACCCTCCCACACCCATTCCATCCATTGCGCATGCAATTGCTTTCGTATCATTTTTGACAGCAAATAGTTTGCACCGTCAAGACTCCATACAAGGCCTTCTTGACCAGCCCAGCTCGTTTCTCATTCGTCCCAGGGCAGCTCTCGAGTCCTTCTTACCCCTCACTCACCCACCCGGCACCAACCCAAAGCTTGACTTGGACCGCCCTCACGATCCGCAACCCCGTCTTTTCGAACCCTCGACTCGCGACGTCCAGGGCCTTGCCTACGTGTGCGCTTAGCGACCACCTCAGCCTTCGAATCGCCTTCAGCAGCAGACCGTCGTCACATCACCGGCTCTTTTGGTCATACTTTGCAATCATTGTAAGTTACTTGTCCTGCGTTGCTGCTGTGTTGTCCGGACCCAATTGCCCCCCCAATTCGTCTCCTCAGCCGAACGAGCTACCCTCATCACTCATTACCCCTCCACCATGTCACGATGGACCCTTCATGTGCGGTGACAGGTCGGGGCACGCTTGAGGAGCTGGCAACCCAGAGCCCAGTAGCCGCTGTGGTCTGCAGCCCACTCATCCGCTTGCTGCCGACCCTTGTCTGCACCGTTGAGGAGGAGGCTATGGGCGTATCGCGGGCAACCTGGAGGACTGGAGCACCCCTCAGTCTTGCCGTTGGGAGACGAGAGACGCGTACAACACACAGTATGCAGCACAACGGCGAGACTTGCGAGTGCCATCTCCCAGTCCCTCTCCATCCCGCCCTGCACCTGAAACAATCATAGACTCTCCCGCCGAGTCTGTCTTTGTCGACCGTCATCAGTTCGGCCTGCTGTTACTGTACTATGCTATACTGTCCTGTCCTGTCCTCTGTTCCTTCCCCCCACACACATGCGCACGTACAGACATACGTATTTGGGCCTGCGTGGTTTTTGGCTGCGTGCCGGACACACCACTTCGAGCCCGACAAGTCGCCACCGTTTCAGTCGCTCAAATGTCTGGGCTGCTGCAGCTTCACCTCAACCGCGCTGCGCTGCACTGCACGGCACTGGCTGCACTGCACTGGCACCGCAGGCTGGGATTGGACTGGATGGCGGCGTTGGGCTTGGCTGCCGAGCGAGCGAGCAAAGCGGTTGAGCTACTGCGCTGCGCGCCTGGTCTCCCTGGTCCCTCTCTCACCACTGGATTCTGTCCACTGTCCACTTTCAAATTTCTACTCACTGGGTCCCCCCGTCAATTCCAACCCGCCTTTCCACCCCTCCTCCCCAGACTAGACTCCGTCATCTCTCTCTTTCCTCTCTCCTCTCTCCACCTAGAACGCATCTCTGGGCACCTTGACAATTCTGCATCGCATTTCACCAGCACCCCACCGTTTGTGCCATCAGTACATCAGTGGGATGGACCATGCAGCAAGTTTCTAATCGTTTGGACCAGTTTGATTGACAGATTTCTCGTCTCGGCTCCGCGCGCCATACCTTGACAACCGCATTCCTCCCTGACCCACTTCCTACCGCAACAACAAACCTGCCCACCTGCCCGCCCGCCCGCCTGCCGGTTCCTTCCTCGACAGAGCCCAAAGCAAAACGCGGCGTCGTCCTCGACTTCCACACATAGTCGTGCAACCAAGCCTCCGCTTCGACCGTGTACCTCGTTCATTCTTCGGCACTAGCAATTCGCCCCCACGGGTCTAACGGGTGCCAGAATCCTGTCGATTTCTTCCGAGACCCTACCTCCAACCGGCCTCGTACTGTTGCCCACCACGGCCCGCCTCAGGCGTCTGTCTGTGTCTCTTTCTTCTTCGAGTCTCGATCTGCTTTACAATATCTTTCTGTCCGCAAAACGGTAGCAACAAGCCCAACAGCTCTCAAGATGGCCCAAAATCGCCCTGCAGCGTTCAACAACCTGCGGATGGGAGGTAGGTATCGATCGCGGCCTGGTGGCGCCAGTCGTCTTGCTAATTGGCGCCGCAGAAGTTGTCCGCGAGAAGGTCCAAGACGGAATCACCGGCGAGACGAGGGATCTACAATACACGCAGTGTAAGATCGTGGGAAATGGATCTTTCGGTGTCGTGTTCCAGACAAAACTCTCGCCTTCCAATGAGGATGCCGCAATCAAGCGGGTTCTCCAGGACAAGCGATTCAAGGTCAGCAGCCACTTGCTGCCCACCACCACCGGTTTATGTTGGACTAATAGAATCCCAGAACCGTGAGCTGCAAATCATGCGTATCGTGCGACACCCCAACATCGTCCAGCTGAAGGCCTTCTACTACTCCAATGGCGAACGGGTATGTTGATTGATTCTCCAATATCGCTCGGTACCCTCTCTGACAGGGCCACAGAAGGATGAAGTGTACTTGAACCTTGTTCAGGAGTTCGTGCCTGAGACAGTATACCGAGCGTCGAGGTTTTTCAACAAGATGAAGACCACAATGCCGATTCTCGAAGTCAAACTGTACATTTACCAGCTCTTCAGGGCCCTCGCCTACATCCACTCGCAAGGCATCTGCCATCGCGACATCAAGCCGCAGAACCTCCTACTGGACCCCAACAGTGGCATTCTGAAGCTGTGCGATTTCGGAAGTGCGAAGATTCTCGTCGAGAACGAGCCAAACGTCTCGTACATTTGCTCGCGCTACTACCGAGCACCGGAGCTCATTTTCGGCGCCACCAACTACACTACCAAGATTGGTGAGGACTGACTTATGTGACAAGTATCTTCGCCCTGGAAAATGTGCTGACTCAAAGTTACAGACGTTTGGTCTACGGGATGCGTCATGGCGGAGCTGATGCTGGGACAACCGCTCTTCCCGGGTGAATCCGGCATCGACCAATTGGTCGAGATCATCAAGGTCCTGGGTACGCCTACTCGCGAGCAGATTCGGACTATGAACCCCAACTACATGGAGCACAAGTTCCCTCAGATCAAGCCACACCCGTTCAACAAGGTCTTCCGCAAGGCCGATGCGAACGCAATTGATCTCATTGCCAAGCTTCTCGAGTACACGCCGACCGAGCGACTCGGCGCTATCGACGCCATGGTCCATCCTTTCTTCGACGAACTGCGGGATCCAAACACGAAGCTGCCGGACTCGAGACACCAAACCGGCCAATTGAAGGAGCTCCCAGCCCTGTTTGACTTCTCTCGCCATGGTGAGTGTCCTGATTGTTAATTCTTTCCTCCTCTGTGCTGGGTAGCTAACGTCCACCAGAATTGTCGATTGCCCCTCACCTCAACCACAAGTTGGTTCCACCCCACCTGCGACCAGGTCTTGCGGCGGATGGTCTGGACATCGACAACTTCACGCCGTTGACGAAGGCAGAAATGCTTGCCAAGCTTGACTGAGCACCTACTGGTGCTCGACATACCTTCACACACTGGACTTGTCGGGAGTAGCAACTTTCTAAGAGGATGCCAGCCTCGGACGGTCTGGACTATCAACATTGCGTTTGCTCACGGTCGCCGATGCGGTGTTGACATTTTTCTGCTCCAATACGACCACGCTGGGGTATCCTCGGATGGATATGGGAAGCGCGAAGCGTTGCATACGATATCCACCACGATCACAGAAGCGGAAGCCGCAACTTGTACCCAGCCAACGAGGTAGCGAAGGCAGGCCTTTGACGAGGGCCCAGGAGGTGAATTCGAAAGGGACACGACCGGCTGTCCCGTCAGAGACCCGTGGTCCTGCGACACATTCGAAAGATGAGCATATCGATGAAGATTGGCGGGACCATTAGATTTCTTTTTCCTGCACGATCAGACGTGATTTTGCTTGTTTCTGTTCATGGCCGCCTGGAAGATTAATGGCGCAGGCGACCACGCGGTGACTAGGACCAAGACGATTTTTTATTTTGCGGCGTGGCCGGACCTCTCGATGAACCTCTCTGGGAGGAGGCGGATGGTGGGCCTTTGCTGGATGAGTGGCCGCTGAGTATTGAACTACAGTGTCGGACTAGGTGGCAGGAACTACTACAACGTGAGGGTTTTGCGGGAGGGGCCCCGGTGATGGACTTGCATTGGGATACCAGCGTGGGCGAAACCCTTGTGTATGGAGGGGGTTGATTGGGCCAATCATGGTTCAAAAAGAATTTAAAACCCTTGTTTTTATCCTTGTCTCTTTGAGGGCAGCTTCACCGGCTTGGGGGAGAGGGCGAGGCCAGTCCTTTCCCCGGATGGCGATCAAAAGGGAATCCTGGGCTGGATTGTATTGCTCAGGCCACTCATCGATGGACAACAAAATAAAAAAGAGCTGTTGACCTCTGGCCTCTGGCGCGACTAGTGTGCATGCAGTACTGTAAGCGGAACGCTGACGCCTTGGCGATCTCCCACGGGCCACCCACCCATTCCCATGTCTTGTATTTATTGTACGTTTCCGTGCTGGAGAGTGCACGCAGGCAGTTTTATCCAGGACTCTTACCTCTGTACAAATGATGGGAATTGGGCTAGTCATGGACGCAGGGGCAGTACTCCCCTGTCTGCTGGGCCTTCCCCTCCCCACTCCTGGCGACTCGGAGGCATCATTGAAAATCATTGAAACTCTATATGGTCTGCCTATGGAACACGACACCGCCAACCAACAATCCCCACAAAGGGCGGGAACAGGCTCAGCTGATCGGCCGCTCACCTTCGGACGTGCGCCCACCATCTTTCATTTAGTCGAGATGGGACAGGTGCGTCATGGTATGTTTCAACAGCCATGCGGTGAGGGGTGATGACCAACCACCCTCAGCTCGTAGGGGTGGGAGGAGCTATTTATTCATCAGGAGGTTTTGCACAATTTGTCAGGGCGAAGTGTCGAGGTGGTGATGGCTGATTTGGAAGGGGGAAGGGGGGCTGGCTAAAGGCAGTTGGGGGGTGTGAGACCCCGAATGAATACTCGAGGCGGTTGGGATAAAGGTCGCCTAGGCTCAGAAGCATCTGTGCATCACGCAGTGCTGTACCTTCTCAGAATTACATAAGCAAAGGGGGACTGCCTGACCACTGTCAGCCTTCTCTCCCTGACCCCCAATACGTCGGTCTGGGTCTACCCAGCAGCAGACCAAGCTTTGATTGAGCTAGCTGCGCGGCGCGAGGCTACTGCTACGACACGGTCCAGCAAACAGCTGTGGTTCCACTTTCGGAGCTGACGTCGCGAAAACTCCCCCAATACTTTTCGCTATCGACAACACCCTCATTCTCTTCCTTCGTCAATCCAATTGCAGGCAGTGAGTTCCAGACATGGCCGATTACGATCGCAGACAGGGCGGTGGAGGGTACAATTCTAGGAAGAGGCGATACAGGGGTGAGCAGCCAGTTCCAGTTCGAGCTCCCGCCCACTGCCTTCTCGTTGGCCTCAGGGCACTCGCATGTGATACGAGCGTCTCTTTTCACGCACTGACCTTTCCCGAACACCACAGAGGATGACGATCACCACCAGTCCTACCGCGACCAGCGCGGCCCCCGCCGTCGCCACGAGCCCCCAGTCCCGTCCCGCCTGCGCAAGCAGATCATCGACCTCGCCGACAGCCCCCTCCGCCGCGTCCAGGAGGAGGTCAACGGGGTCGCGCACCTCTTGGCCGACAACTACGACGACGAGCGGCTGCGCGCCAACTTCGTGGACCTGGTGCTGCAGCTCGCCGTCGAGCAGCCGCTCAAGACCCCTTTCGCCGCCGCCGTCGTCCTGGTCGTCAACACCCTGACGCACAAGCCGCCGCCCGCCGCCTCCACGGGGGCGCCCAACGGCGGTGACGACGGCGTCGACACGAGCATGGAGAACGGCGGGCAGGAGGAGGCGTCCAAGGAGCCGCAGCCCACGAGCGGCGTTGTCGACGACCTCCTGGCCAAGGCGGCCGCCCAGGTCGAGGAGAAGGTCAGGCTGGGCGAGTGGCGCGCCGTGAAGCTCTACCTTAAGCTCCTCGCGTGCCTACAGAGCTGTCTGGAGGGCGACGGTGTCTTCCCAATCCTGGAAGACCTCTTCAACCAGGCTGTCGAGCTTCAGACTAATAACAATGAGGATGTAAGTTGCGCTGAGATCACCTACGGCTCGTGTGAGGATGTTTCATGGCAGATTGGCTGATCTTTATTCTGCGCGTAGACAATTGGTACCGAGTTGGTCAAAATAATCCTCCTTACGATACCATACGCCGTCGCCGCGGCGCCTAACAAGACGGAGAAGCTTGCTACGGAGCTTCTGGACAAGACGGAGGTCATTGCTGGGGAGCCTCATACCCTCCAGAACCTGATTGATCCGTTCTACCCGGAGGCCGATGAGAAGAGCCCTGCTGCGACCATGAGCTTCCTGGGGCTACTGCAGACACAGTTGCAAGCTGAAGCGAGCAGTGGGTGGAAGCTATCGTGCCTCCCGAGGCCGTGGAAGATGCCCCTCGAGGAGGTGGAGCAGCAGGAGAAGCTCGACAACTGTCCCACGCACAAGCTGCCTGCGATTACAATCCCCGAGACTCTGATTGCTGGGCCTAGACCATTGTTCCCAGAGATCTTCTTCTCTGTGTACCTCGGCCAGGAAATCGAGTCGGTTCCCCCGGTCACGAGCGTCGCATCATCTCTGATACGCGACAATCTGGTGGATACGATAAACGTTCTTCACTTCAACCGATCTGTTGCTGCCAGACGCCTGATCGATATCGATAATTACTTCGCAGAGGGGACTTTCGTTAGCCGCGCCACGCCTTTCGACCAGATTCGAGATGTCCCACCAGGCAAATCCACCTGGAAGCCGGAAGACGTCGTGGTCGATGCTGTGTTTTCCCAGCTGTTCCTGCTACCAGCTCCAGAGCAGAAGCTTGTCTACTACCACTCCGTGCTTACCGAGGCATGTAGGATTGCCCCAGCAGCCATCGCACCTAGTTTCGGCCGGGCGATAAGATTCCTGTACCGCAACATTGGCCTCCTTGACATAGAGCTGGGCCAACGCTTCACCGACTGGTTCGCGCATCATCTGAGCAACTTCGGTTTCACGTGGAAGTGGACCGAGTGGACTGCGGACGTGAAACTGCCAAACCTGCACCCCTGCAAGGCCTTCATCATGGGCGCCATCGACAAGGAGATTCGGCTGAGTTTCGCTGGACGGATCAGGAAGACCCTTCCCGAAGGCTACCAGGAACTGGTTCCTCCCGAGAAGGACGTGGAAGAGCCGCCCTTCAAATTTGAGAAGGATGGTGAGCTAACACACAATACCTTCATGACTTTGGGTGATGTGGCGATATGCTAATTCTACTTGTAGACACGCCTTTTGCACAGGAGGGCCGCGAATTGGCACAGCTCCTGAAGCGTAAGGCTTCAGACGAGGACATCCAGCCCGTCATTGAGCGGATTCATTCTCTCGCCATCGATCAGGGCTTGGATCCGCTTGTGGCAAGCACTGACGTCTTCACCACGGCCGTGCTCTCCATCGGCAGCAAGTCGCTCTCGCACGTGCTGGCCGCAATCGAGCGCACCAAGGAGCGCCTTATGGATGCGGGCGCGACGTCAGAGCCCGCGCGGGCGCAGATCATCACGGCGGTTATGGACTTCTGGAGTGCGCACCCGGGTGTGGCCATCACCATCATCGAGAAGCTGCTCAACTACAGCATCATCAGCCCATCGGCGGTGGTGCAGTGGGCGCTGGTGAGGCACGCCGGCGAGACGAGGGGTGAGGCCCTGGCGCGCAGCCACATCTACGAGCTGGTGTTCAAGACGATCGCCAAGGTCACGAAGCGGATGCGCGAGGTGGTCGCCTCATCCTCCGCCGCAGCTGCCGCGCCGCAGGCAGAGGGCGAGGACACCGACATGTCGTCGGAGCTCGAGGACGCCAAGAAGCGCGAGGCGCAGGCCGCGCGCGAGCTCTTCCGCACGACGCAGGACGCCCTGGTCGCGTGGGCCTCGGGCGCCAAGGACGAGCTCATGGAGGACGCGGGCGGCCTGTCCGACGCGGAGAGGGAGGAGCGCGACCGCCTCGTGAAGCGGTGGGGCAACCGCTGGCTGCGCGTCGTCAGGAGGAGGGCCGCCATCGAGGAGACGTTTCTGCTCGAGGCGGAGAAGAACCCCAAGGCTTAACTTGCACACGACGTTTGGGGGCCGGGGGAAGTTGGGTAGCTTCGCGGGCTGGATGTTCGGCACATGGCTCGTACGAGAAGACGGGGCCATTGCTGGTGTGATCCTGTGAGGGAGAATTCACCTGAGAATAGATGAGGGGCAGTGTTTGTGGCCGATGCCCCTTTTCGGGGTTGGGCCCGTCATGCATTTCCAATCGAGCTTGCAACACGATCTGAGTTTCCTCTCTAGGTCGATGCAGGGCTCTTCACCCCCCCCTAGGTCTCTGTTGCTTCTCTCTTGATTCTGACAGGCTATGGTGGAGAAAATTGGCTCGGTCAGCGGTGGAGAGACTAGGGCCGGCGCAATTGGCAGGCAGACAACTAAGGGGAATAAAAGAAATTTAAATACTGTACGTTCGTGAGAGGCTGAGCACCTCTTGTGGTCGGGATGCTTCTCAATGTGTATGTATGTGCGTATATGTCAAATTAATGTAAGGTCATGGGCTCGCGTTCACGGATACATCGAAGTCACTCAGTCAGTTAGCGAGTTGCAAGCGTCGGATTTCAGACGGTCAAGAGAATACGTAATATGGAGCATCAAAGTCTCTGGTTCATTTGCTGCCACGCGCTGGTCAATAGCTGTTCTACTTTCCGATGGGTGGCCTCCAAGATATCATTTACAATAAGCCTCAAGACCCTGCCTGCCACAAGTCCTCCCCAGAGCAGACCTTTGGGGGTGTCTTGCCTCCGTGTGTGCGCACCCGGTTACTGCATTTAGACTCGGCCCCCTTCTCCTGGGCTGCTCAACAGCACGGTCATTCGCAGGGCTTCATTGTCTGTACAGATCGAAAGGCCCGCCTAGAACCCGGGTCTGATTTTTCTCTGCGGACACGAGATTGGCAACTTGCTGACTCTCGAAGACGCTCGACACATAGCTGCATACCCACACCAACACCGGGTAATCCTGGACCGTAGCCGGTTTGCTGCTCTCTTCCCCCTGCTGAACTCCTCTGCCTGGGTCTCCAGAGGGAATACTGCTGGAAGGGATCCCGAGGCGCACGGCCGCCTCTTGGGTGCAGGCGAGTAGCAGCATCCATTCAGCTGGTTGAGGAAGGCGTTAATCGTAGTTGTATCAGAGTCTTCCGTGGGGCGCTGATTCTGAGTCTGAGAATCACGGTGCTGCCACGCCGGCGTAAACGTACATTCTGGGTGTGAATAGTCAGACCTGGACCGTGAGCGCACTCGTCATTAGAAAGGCGTGTGTACCTTAGCTAACAGGCGGCTGGCTGGACCTCAACGGTCGGCCGAAACAGCCGCGGCTGCGTGCATGTCCAGCTGCCATTGCCTTTTCAATGCTCGACACATCCTCAACGGCGACCGAATCCAGGAGGAGCTTGCCCTGGCGGCGGGCCTCCGAACCCAGCAGGTGGGGGCATGAACCCGGGAGGAGGCGGCGGAGTGCCGTTGGGGGCCCCGAACCCGGCCGGAGGGGGCACGCCGAAGCCAGGAGGAGCACCACCGGCAGCGCCAGGGGGCGCGCCGGGACGGCCTGGGTGGAAGTCGCTAGCCATACCACCGAAACCGACTGACGGCACTGGCGGCCGAGCAGGCAGGCCGGGAACAGCGGGTGGTAGGCCCGCACCACGCCCGAATCCTGGCGGCACCATTGGGGGTTGATGAGGCAGTCCGGCGTGGCCTGGGTCGAACCTGGGCGGTATGCCGGCACCACCTGGAGAGGCGGCGGCGATTGGAGGGCCCGGGGGCGCAAAACCACCTGGGATGCCCAGAGGCGGCATGCCGGGCGAGGGAGTTGGGCCTGGCGGAGGGACTGCGGGCCCGTCGGCGCCGTACGGGGCGACGGGGGTGGGCGGGGCGGCGCCGTTGGCTGCCGTGGTGCCCGGGGCGGCGGACGAGGAGGCGGACATGAGGAAGGCTGGCGGGAGGGGCTGCTGCTCGGGGACGACGTTGTGCTTCTTGCCCTCGGCGGCGAGCTTCCGCTCTGCCTCGTCGCCGTGGCGCTCGCCCTTGCCGTCCTTCTTGTAGGCGTACTCGACGGTGATCTGCTTGCTGAGGAGGTACTGGCCGCTCATAGTCTCCCTGGCGGCGTCGGAGGCCTCGAAGGAGTCGTACGAGACGAAGCCGTAGCCCTTTGACAGGTTGTTCTGGTCGCGGATGACGGTGGGCGGGGCGACGAGGGTGCCGAACTGCGAGAAGGTGTCGAACAGGATCTTCTCGTCGACCTGCTGGTCCAGGTTGTTGACGAACAGCTCGGCGCCGATGTCGGTGGGCTTCTGCTTGTCGGCGCTGGCCTTGTTGACGCGGATGGGCTTCTGGTGCAGGCGGATGCCGTTGAGCACCTTTGACGCGTAGTCGGCGCTCTCGGGCGTGTCGAACTCGACGAACCCGTAGCCCTGGTGCGTGCGCGACACCCGGTCCATGGGCATGTGCACGTTGTAGACGGGGCCCATCTGCGTCATCAGCTCCCACAGGTTGCCCTCGCTGACGCGCTCGTCGAGGTTGCCCACGTAGACGGTGGCATCCTTATTCTGCTCCCTGTGGTTGGTTCCGCTTGTCAGAGAGCTGGGGCCTTGCAGGTCGATGGGGGGATTGGAATGGGCGATGCTTACCAGTGCTTGGCCATGGCGACGACCTTTGTGTGGTGGGACGGAGCTTCTGCCCGGTGTGCTGCTTGTTGTCTGCGGGCGGGTGTTGGGAGCTCTTAGAACCAGCTGGTGATCTTTTGGCGACCACTTCTCAAGGTTGCCTGGGTTCATTTTCCCTTGTACCTATGTGTCGTGCTAGTACCACCTGAGAGCTTCAATAGTACCCGAAGAAGCTAGCGCAATGAGATCCCAATGGCCCCACTCGAGGTATACTGTACAGCGAGACACTCAGGACCTACATGCTCACTGGACGGCTGTGCAGCATGTTTTCAAAATATGAATAGCTTGAATCCCGAAAAACCAGCAGTGGTTTCACCCTGATATTTATCCAAGGGTGGCAGAAAAGAGTGCAATGGATTGATATTAGGTGGATGGTAGCCTGTACTTCGGTGACAGTGTCGAAGAGACTTGCGAGACTAGTGGGCCGTCTCCAGCCTAGTGGGGCCTCCAAAACTTGGAGCTCCCTGGTCCAAGCTTCCGCTGGCGGATTCTCATTCAGGTCATTCATTGTCGGACTGAGAATTCCATCTCCAGAGTCGACGTCAATCATCCTCACTCGCAACCGCCGACAAGCCCTCCGCCCCGCAACGTCAAGCCGTCGCGAACCACCACCATTCTTTCGTATCTTCCACTCTCAGCTCAGTGCTCACAACGGTCTCAAGATGTTCACCCTGTCGGAGGAATCCAAGGTGTGTTGCGGCCAGTGATGGTGAGGCATCAAGACCAAGGGCTGACCAGGTCACAACAGGAGCGCATCGGCAAGCTCATCGACGTTGCCCGAGTTGCCATCCACTAGTATGTCGCATGGAATTCATGTGGACCTGAAGAGAAGCCACAGTGCTGACAATGAGATAGCGGCTACCTGCCCATGGTCCTGTACCTTGGTATGATCACTTGAGAAGTCCCAGGAGACTGAAAAAAACAGACCCTAATCTTGACGCCAGGCTACACCCGAAGCGAGCCTCGACCATCTCTGCACCGGTATGATGTTCTGGGTTCCAAGCTGATGAATTCTTGGCCGGTTATCTGACACGCTCACAGCTTGCTGTCCCCGCTCTCTTAGGCATGAGGCGAGACAGAATCCCAGGCAGCGTAGGAAGTTCGGGGGTGTATCACACCAAAACGGTGGCAGATCTCAAGCGGCGCTCGACTCGAGGCCAAAACACGCGGCTTCGATGAGTAGCGGACACGTCTCATGGTCTCTGAGGCATAGGGAGGCGTTGGGCGAGGCGGACAGGACATGAACCAAAACGGGTGACGGGTCCGAACAAGTGGCATGAATCTCGCCACTTGTCTGTATTATTATTATTCTGACGGATGGATCACGACTAGACCACTCTATTGAAACGAAGATACCAGGAGTGCTGGCAGCGAAGCCATGGCACAGCCGTCCGTCTTCCCGTCAACTGGGGCGTGCTTGTTCGACGGATCGCTCAAGTGTGTCTAACCTGCATAATGAGACTGCAGAAATCGAAACAGAACGCAGCTTCGGTTTCTATTCATTGTGTTTGCCAACTAGTGACGGGGCGGCAGTAACTGCAGCTCTCACTATAGAGCCTGGGTTGCGCCTCCCTCCCGTGCAAACCCCCCGAATTCCCCGGCCAGCGGCTTATCGGTCAAAATTTGTTGATAAGCAACCTGGAGCTCGATAACGTCACTCATTACCAAACTCCAAATTCGGCGAGCTGCAGTATTGACTTTCGACTCCCAACCCACCCCTTGAGTTGCGCCACTTCACCACATATCTCATCGTGAACGTGTGCACACTCATCTGCGGGATGTCGCGCCATCGGACGCCCTCGTCATAATGGAGAACAAGAATGGAGGAGACAAGCCTCAAGTGTCTGGCGTTGAGACCGCCGCGGGCTTCACAGCAGGCGTCGTGTCGACGCTGATTTTCCACCCGCTAGATGTCATAAAGACGCGTCTGCAGGGTGAGTTTGTCGCCCCCCCCCCCCCCCCACCGACAGAGTCGCACTCTCGATACAAATTTTGACCCTCATCCTTCAGTGAACCTCCAGACCGCGACTGGCCCGACGAAGCCGAAGCCACGGCCGCTCTCTACCATGGACGTCGTGCGGAGCTTCACGAAGGCCAAGAACCCGGTCCTAGCGGCATACCGCGGCCTCCCCGTCAACCTGGTCGCCAACTCGGCGAGCTGGGCCTTCTTCTTCCAATTCAAGGAAACCTTCGAGGACGCCATCGCCGACATGGGGTACCCGCTCATGTCGGGCGACAAACCCTCGGGCCTGGGCTACTTTGTCACCTCGGGGCTCGCGGGCGTGACAACCTCGTGCATCACCAACCCACTCTGGCTGCTCAGGACGCGTATCACGTCGACCGACCGGCACACGGCCGAGGCGTACCCCAACATGCGGGCCGGCGCCCTGCGCGTGTACCGCGGCGAGGGCCTCAAGGGGTTCTACAAGGGTCTCGGCACCAGCCTCATCGGCACCTCCCACGGCGCTATCCAGTTCGCGCTGTACGAGCCGCTGCGCAACGCCTACTTCACCTGGAAGGGCGACAAGGAGAAGCAGAAGATGTCCACCGAGGCGACGCTCGCCATCTCCACCGCGGCCAAGACCACCGCCACCGTGGTCACCTTCCCGCACCAGGTCGTTAGGAATCGCCTCCAGAACCAGCGCGGCACCGACGTCTACGGCGCCGGCATCTCGGGCGTCGTGAGGAAGATGTGGCAGGAGGGCGGCGTCAGGCCCTTCTACAGGGGCATCGTGCCCGGCTTGCTTAGGACGCTGCCGTCAACCTGGGTGACGTTCATGGTCATCGAGTACGTCCGCTTCCACCTGCCCCGATGGCTCGACGAGACCGACGGTGGTGGTGTTTCTGGGGAGTGAATTCTTTCCTCAGGAGAAGGAGCGATGGGGGGGGGGTGAGTGGGTTTACACATGTTGTTCAGCTGCGAGATGAGGCACGCCTGGAAAGCGCTCGAGGGCTTGTATCGTAGATACACAAGCAGAGCGCAAATTTTCATTGACTGGAAAGTGAGGGAGGAAAACAAAGATGATACCCCAATAAATAGATCTAGCGTAGTAGACGGCACCGTTATGCTATTCTGACACATGAAAAGAAGACGGTGCTCAAAACAACCCCTGAATACTTTTGTTTCTCGTAATACATGCCGAAAGATATGTCCCTTCCAAGTCATTATGATATCCCTGAGCGAATCCAACATAACATATCGTGACACTCCGTGACAACTCCAGCAATGGAATCTATCAACCGTCGTGACCCATGCCACCCACCCAAGTTGCTTCGACGGCTAAAGAGAAACAACGCGAAAAGTAACATGTGCCTGGATTGAAACCAGGGCTTTTACAAGAATATTCCGCTGGCCAGACCGGCCACCCCACGAAAGGCCTCTGGGCTAGCCAGCATCCGACCAAGGGGGCCTCACCAATACTGCCACGCCACTCTCGAGATTAGCGACTGGATCGCTGTTTGCGACACGAAGTGAAGGTCGTCCGGAGGAACGGCTAGGTTCTCCAGGTGGGATTGTGGTCAGAGACAGGGAAGTGCGACCCTCGGGAGTCCGACCTGGCCGCCCCGATGTCTTGTTCCCAGCCCGCGTGGTACTTGTGGTGCACCGCCCTGATTCCTCCAGCTTCACCACGACATTCCCAAGTCGACTTGTTGGATAACTCGGATGCTTCTCATCATTCTTCACCTTCTCACTGGGGGGGGGGGGGGCGGATGACCTCCGCTTGCGCGTCCTATTCATCATTCATATCCACGCGCAGCGCGTCTCCTTAGCGGGTCATCATCGCCATGTCGAAAAGAATCCGCCGAGGCGGAAAAGGAAATGAGGCGGCTCGAGGCACTTGGATGGTGCTCTCGCAATGTCGCCTCACTCCGATTTTGAGTAACGGCACCGTCACGGCATGGCAGCGGCAGCAGCAATAAGCCACGACTGACTCTAACGCCGTCTACAACCAATCCCTGTCAGCCCGGAGAAATATTACCGCTGCGCTTCCCTGACCAGCGCCCTCATCTGGGGCGGCAGAGGCGGCATGGGCGGCGGATCCGCAGGCGGGCCCCCGATGGCGCCCTGGCCCCTGCGCATGGACGACATGGACCCGGTCCTGGCCCGCATCTGCTGCTGCTTCTGCAGCAGGAGCTGCTGGTGCTGGTGCTGCTGTTGGTAGTGGTGGTGATACTGGTTCCGGCCCCGCTCGCCGCCGCTCGTGCTCGGCCGGCTGCTGGGAGGAGGAGGAGCGGCCTGCCACTGGAGCGGGGGCGGGTGCAGCATGCCCGGCGACATGTTCCTCCCGGGCACCTCGAGGAACTTGGGGCTGCCCGTCGGCGAGGGCGTGCCCGTCTCTGCCCACCGCGACGCCATGCGGTAGTTCCTCGCGATGTCGCCCAGCGCCGACTGCGCGGTGACCCTGGTGGCCACCTGGCGCACGCCGCGCGCTGGTGGCGTCCCGTAATGGTGGTGGCGCTGCGACTGCGCCACTCCTGAGCTGGTGCTCGGCCGTTGCTGCTGTTGTTTTGGTTGTGGCGAGGGGTTGTTGAGTCTTTCAAGACGTTGTTGCTCGTATCTCTGTCTAGCGGTATGTTCGATTGCGGATGGGAGCCATGACCTTGCCTGTACCTCTGGTCCAGGGCCAGGCTCCAGCTCGGCCTGGGAACAGGGTCCCTTTGGGCTGGTAGAGGTGGTGGTAGAGGTGGTGATGGATTCGACTGGCAAAGACACAGCGATCCCGACTCCCGTCTGGACACCGTCTATGAGCGGTTGCAGTCCGCTCCCGCCGTCATTCGCAGAGGTCTTGGGGCGGGCTTGATTGCTGCGTGCCTCTTGCACAACACTATGCGTGTTCCCCTCGTCCTCCACCAAATTCTCCTGTGTCGTAGTCGGTGCTTGGGTTGGAGGGGCATTCTGGTCCTTGAGTGTAGATGACAAGGCAGACAGCCTTGGGTCCGGGATCCAATCTTTGCCGAATTCGTCGATTGGCTTTTCAAACCGCTCCAGTTCCACCAACGGCTGGAAGTCCCCAATATTATACGGTGTCTCATCAATCGATACCTTCATACGATGTTTCTGACCAGGGACCTTCATATGGCTGATGCTCTTCCTCGGCTTATGCTTGACTGGTGTGATCTGTGGCGCATCTTCCATTATCCTCTTACGCTGTGCCTCCCTCCGTGCCTTGACCATATACCAGCTTCGCCAGCCATGCACACGTGCGGTGAACTTATTCGCGATAGCTGGGTCATCAGTGCAGAAGAAGTGGACGAAGTTGGCGGAATCAGTAGATATGGTCGCCTTTTGCTGTAACTTCAAGGCGTAGACGAATTTCTTGGGTGGCTTGAGGTTTTTGGCCACGGTACTGGCACTCTTCGCTGCACCTTCGCTTGTGGCCGACGTGGACTTGCTCATGAGCGTGTAGATGTCGTACTCGGACAAGTGGCACAACCATTGGGTGGACTTATCACCACTTGGCTGTCCTTTCTTGGAAGAAACAATCTGCCCGTCATCGAGCAGCGTGATCCATCTTTTGCTCCACTTGCCGGGCCGCGATGAGTGGTGGAGTTGTAGGAAGAAACCCGGTGGTGGTTCCAAAGTTGTTGGGACTGATGAGATGTCGAGATCCCTGTCGTGTTCAGAAGAGCCCGAGGGAATGATGAGCAACAAGTTCTGGGCGTCGTGGTCCCATGAATCTAGCACGTCGCAGATGCGTTCATACCGCCGGAGACGCCGCTCGAGGCCAAGCTGCGCGTAGCACTCATATACCAGACTGGACGCTGTGTTGATTTGTTGAGTGATAGATTCGGAGGCTTGGAACAAGATGTCTACCGGGCTGCTTTCAGCCAACACCACTAGGTTCACAGTCACACCTCTGCAGCGTACTGTGACGCGCTGGTGTTCCGTCAGCTCATGATGCGCAACAGCACTACCGAATCGACTTACTCTGTCATGAAAATGATGCGCAGACATCGGAGACAAAGGAGGCGTTATGAGCTGGCCCTGCCCGCCTTGATCTAGGAACGCCCTAGGGGGGAGAGATGGGTCCAGGCTGTGCGTGCGACTAATGTCCACCGACGCGGTTGTCGACGATGTTGGTGAGAGTGTGGCAGCCTTTGAATTTCTGGCCCTGTTGAAGAAGTTAAACTTCTCCAACACGGGACTCTTGGGCTTGAGGGAGGACGGAGATAGTGAAACTGTCGACTGCGTCGCAACCAGCTGCTGGTGAAGCCTCGCGAGGTCCAGTTTCTTCTGCTCCGCCAGAATTCGATCCGTTTCGCTCTCGAGTTTGTCGGCCAGGCGATCAGATTCCTCCTTGCTCAGTACCCGCCTTTCCTGCGCCATCCATTTCTCGTCTTCTCGTTTCCATCGCTCCCTTTCTGCATCGTAACCCCCACCAACGGCCACATCGGTTGTGACCGCAGTGGCCATGGCTGAAGAACCGGGCATAGGCGGAGCCGGAGCTTCCCTGGGCGACAACAGTTTATCAGGCTCCTCACATTGCTCTTCGGCCCCTGGCAATGGAGCTGATGAGTTCCCCGTTACCGTGGGCCGCGAGATGGTGCTCTGCTGTTTTTGTGAAAGAGGGACCGGTGGCACAGGCGGAATTGAGCAGTGAGGAGTGAAAGGTCGGGTATCCGAAATATGAATTTGTCCCAAAGATTTGGAGCGTCTTCTGAACGTTGATTTCAAGGGAGGGCTCGGTTCCTTCGGTCGATCAAGCTTGTAATGGCCAAGCGCGTGGTCGATGGCTGCTCGTGACTCGGAGACGCTCTTGCCGCGCAATCTGCGGTACCGAGAAACATTCTGGGTGGTTGCGGACATCGTGAGGACAGTCGTCCCAATAGCTGTCACCATCGGTCCGGTGATAATAATATGGTTAATTTCCAGCTTCCAGGCGTGGGCGGCTAGTGGTCGATCGTTTCCTCGCCTGGTCTTAGCCAACCAATATAACCTCAATCCCACTGCAACCTCTTCTCTAACCAGCTCTTGCTCCGTGGTAAACCTCGCGTGTTGACTTCGATGAGAAAAGCAGGCTCGGGTAGCAATGAATTTGAGAAAGTGATGGAGCCATTAGAGCAACGAGTTGAGAAAAATGTCGAGGTTCGAGGGTGGCTAAGTGATTGAAAATCCCCCCTTCGCGCACTCAGCATTCCTGCGCGGGTGCCATCCTTGTGAGTACCCGCGGTGCCGCGGTCGTGTTGGTATGCAGGAGTACCAAAGTGGTAAGCACACAGCAATCTCCACCAGTTCAAGCGGCTTTCTGCCGCAGGCGTCACACAATTGCCACTGATGGGCCTTGAGTACCGTTGGAGGCATTCCCTCTGGGCCTCTGAGACTGTAATTTGGAGAAGCCAAATGTCATTGGGTCGCCGTCTCGTCAGGACGTAGTTTGTAACATCGGTGGCTTTTATATGAGGATTGAGTCTGATGCACCTTCATATGTTTTTTCTCTGCTCATTGACGTGTAAGTCCACGCCGGAAGTCGTAGTTCGCGTCTAACTGTGCTTGATTTGAGTTCTGTCATCTAAGTGTTCGAGGAGAGTAGATTAGAGCAACCGTATGACTGCACTTCACTTGGTCAACCGACCGTCCATTAAAATGCTTCCAATTCTGTGGTGAGGTCTGATGAGATCTTCGTTCCACGTGGAGAGCGGGTAGAGAACGAGACTTGGAGGGCCTAGCGGATTCGCACACCGACGACCGTGGTCCGAATGTGTCATGCTCAGGTTGAACGCCAAGCCCAGTTTTATGACCCAAGACTGCGCATCTCTAACTCATCGCATACGGCGGCTGTTGCCCCGTCGTGCCTGTAAGAAAGCCAACTGCCCTCGTCCGGCCCATCATTTTCTGAAAGCCCGCACTTCGCGTCTCCACCAGCCAGTGAAGTCTTGCGTCGAAACGTCGATGCCGATATCCTTCAAAGCCTTGGTGCTCAGGTGACAGTCGAAAGGTCTTTGTACACTGGCATTGGGGTCATTGCCCTGGGTGTTCGGCTCAATTGCATCAATGTTCAAGCCCATGATCTCGCCGAACAACTGACAGATTTCGTACTTTGTGTACTTGTCCTCGCTCGAGAACTGCAGGATCTTGGGCAAGCCGGTTCGCTCGCTCTCGCTGGCAGTTAGGTACTTGACAGCAACATCTACGCCATTGTCAGCTCGCGAAGGCCGGCATGTTATGCAGGGCAGGTATCTTACCATGGCAGACCCTTCCCACGTCTTCGGTGTTAGTCGGATACCGGAGAGCCCAATGCTCCATCTGCACCTTCTCCCCTTTCTGGGCTTTCCACACGACGTCCATCAGGACGTTGACGGCACTCTCGTTTGGCATATTGGCTTCGCCATACAAGACTGGTACTCTCAATACGACACCCAGGCCATCCTTGCCAGCGGCTTTGAACTCTTCCAAGGCCGCGCGCTCACCATCGAGTTTGGTTAGTCCATACAAGTTGGTAGGACCAGGGGCGGCATCTGCCTGGTACGGGGCATCGCCAGGCTTGCCGGAGAAAACATCTGCTCAGCCTCCTGGTCAGTGAAACTGCAATCGATTTTACTTGGAGTTCTGTCTCTGGATCCGCAAGACAACGACTCAGGAGCGCTCCAGCCCCTGAGACATGTCTCGACGGTCGAGCGGCAGACTGACGGCAGGAAAGAGGGAAAATGCGCACAATCTGTGGAGATGTAAATCAAGAAAATATCACGTCTTGCACAAAGTCTGGCGAGGTCACGAGTAGCCTCGACATTCAGCTTGCGTGTGCCCTCGGGGTCCTTGTCGACCTTGTCCGGGAAGCGGTTTGCTGCGCAGTGCACCACAACCTGAGGCCTGTGGTGATCATGGTCAGCCAATGACGCACAGTGAGGAGACCTGGTGTGGGGGGGGGGGTTGGTGTATGGTGTACTTGGAGTGATCAAGAGCTTTCTCAACCTCCTCGAAGGAGGCCAAGTCGACCTTGAGGATTGTGGCCCCGTCTGCCCGGGACAAGCCCGTGCCTTTGGCAGTCCAGTCCCGTCTCGTAAAGGCCTTCAGGACCTGTCGTCCCAAGAGGCCGGTGGCGCCTGTGATGAGTGCTGTCTTCTCGGCCATGCTGTTCTTTCTTGTGCGGATTTCTGTCCTAAGTCTAGGAGGTGTGAATTTGGTGTTCTGTTGAAGGTGAAAAGAGGTAGGTGGGGCTGTGATGCCGTCCTTGCTGCGTAAGAAGCAACGGGGTCCCTTTCCTTTTTCCCACTTCCTCGACCCGCTGTCAACCACTCATGCACTGAGGCAAAGCCCCACGAACTATCAACACTGGAGGCCAATTAGTTTTCTTGCACCATCAATCAAGGTCCTATCCATTTGGCCTCTAATCTACTGGTGCGAGAAAAGGCAAGGCTTGAGCTGTTGAAATTTCTAGGGTAGTAGGTACTTCGTGCTCAAGCATGCGCAGACGTTGAGCTAGGTTAGGGTTAGGGATTTGCCATCAACCTTGGGAGACGGAGAGCTTCCGCAGCAGAGGCGCAATGGCGTTCCAGAGATGAGAATGTCTAATTGTCATCTAAGCCATAAATGCTCAAAATCACGTCCAGCACATTGATCCTGTTGATTTAGTCTCAAATTGAGAATGGCCCGAGATGCACCGCAGACATGGACGCGTACTCATCTGCCCCGCTGCCTCTACTGGATGCTGCCACACGAGGCTGGAACGGACAACTGTGAACATGGGAAACGGGATTGCAGAATTATTGTTGCAACGCGTGGATACTGAAAACTACATTCCCATCTCACAGCACTTATAAGACTGGCATTCAATTGAGGGAGCTTGTTCATGTGTTGGCGGAGGAGGCATCGAGCTTGTGGTCAGCACCACATCCTTGTCCACATAGTGGGCCGTTTGGGAAGTAGTCTGCCTGAATGATCTAGTCTAGAGCCTTACAAGTGCTCATGACATGTGATTTTGAAGGACTTCTTGGACGTCGTGTGTTTTCTCTCGTGCCGGTGCCTCGCGCCCGCGGGCTTCACACGGTTCTCGGGCGGACGACAATTCAGATGGCAGAAACGGGCTGGGCTGGCCATCTCCTGCCTGAGCTTTTGCCTTTCGAACACAGTAACTGCCTACCAAGGTAGGAAGATACAAATACCGTTCCATGGGATAGGTGGTTCTAGAACGGCCTTGCTCTAGGCATGCTCTGTATTCTCCGCGGGCACATGGCACTGCCGGACACAATATAGATATCCGCTGCGTTGAAACTGACTGACTTCCCTTCCCACATGTTGATGCAGGGGTTGAGAATCTCGGGCACCATTCCTGATCAAGGGCCGCTGGGTGGGGAAGGCAGACCCCTGGCAGCTCCAGTGACATCCCTAACCCCTGTCGGTCGCAGCCCACCACGAACAGCTTCCCAGCTGCCAGCTCCCAACTAGCCCGTCTACCCTGGTGTGTAGGCGCGTGTGCCTTTGGTGGTGGCTCCCACTCGCAACGACCTGGCCTACAACCGCAGCTTGACACACCCCTAATAACCTCAACCTCAACCTCGCCCTCGCCCTCACCCCTCACCTTCACCTTCGACACAACCCCTCTCCCCTCCGTCCCCGAGGCTTCTCGCCGTGACGTGTCTCAACCTGCCAGCTCCTCCCCTCCTTTAGGATCCTGAGTCTTTGCGACCTGCCTCTCTCTGCCTCTCTCTGTGCCTCGGTGGCTGGGCTTTCGGCGCTTCGATCGCGTGTTCTTGTTCCACGCTCCGCGCTCCACGCTCCTCGCCTCCGACCTACCTCTTCATAACCCACCGCCGACGAGACAAGCTCGAGCCACTCCTTCCGTCTTCCCTTCGCGCCTGGCTTCCGGGTTCCTCGACGCCTAGCCTTCAATTCTCGGGTGCTAGACTTGGCCATTCGACGTGTTGCCGCGGCCAGACATTTGTGGCAGCAACAGGCTGCCAACAAGGCTCGTCCCACCCCGAGGCATACGCCTAGTTCTCGTTGCGCGCCTCCAGGGCCTGTCTGTGCGTGTGTGCGTCGTGGATCATAGCCATTGTCACCAAACCAGCGCTCCATAGCCAATTGGCCACGACCCCACCAATCACTGTTACGACGTGCTGCAGACATGTCGTCTCTCAAAGGCGATGACTTCTTCATCTCCGGACTCGCCGCGTCGCACGACGCCTCCCAGCTGAAGGGGAATGTCGTCGCTGTCGATGCGACCTACTACCTGCGCCTCCTTCTCGAACGCTCGCACGAACCCCTGATTCCCGCCGTGGGCGGCCCCCTCGCTCTCGAGGATTGCATCGAGGTCGACCTGAACAAGTGGAAGGCCAATGACTGCACCCCCTTCTTCGTTTTTGACGGATGCCCGGTGAAGGGCCAGGATGAACTCTCGCTTGAACTCGGCCGGGCTGCGAACGTTGGTACAAACGCCGCATGGGAGCTATATAACAACGCACAGGCTCAGCCTGCTGTCGAGACCTTTGGGCTGCATTCTGGTAAGCCAGCCAGCCAATCGCTCATATTGATTCAAGCACAGTGTCTGATTCTTGCGTAGGGGCGTATCGTCTAGAGTCGTTCTACCCGACCCTCCAGAGCATCCTAAGGAGACGCGGCCTCCATTTCTTGGTGCCGCCTTTCAAGGCTGTCGCGCAGGTAAACAACGTCTCCTGGACGGATTTCCCCTAGGGCTTTTCACTGATTCTTCACAGATTGCCTATTTCTCCAAGGTAGAGCAGATGTGTGGTGCAATTATGGGTCCCCGGGAGTTGCTCCTTTACCCCATCTCCGACGTCCTCATCCAAGCCATCGACTGGGACAGCAACAAATTTCTGGCTGTGGACAAAGACACGCTGAAGCGCCACCTCAATGTTGATGACTCCATTCTTGTCGACGCCCTCCTTATAACGGGGACATCATTCCTGCCACCGTTTCCAGCCAAGACTCAACAGCAAGCTCCAAACACTGTTAGAGACGCGGTGAACATGCTGAGGACTAATGGCAAGCACGTGAAGCAGGTGTGCCAAGCTTTTGATGACATACTCAAGAGCCAACAGCCTGACTGGTTCGACAAGTACTGTAAGGCGCGCATGATCGTCGACCACTTCATTTACATAGGGTTGAACGGCGCCGCGGAGATCGAGGCCAAGGACACCTTGACAGAGGATTCTCACGAGTACCTGGCTCTGCGTCTTCCTGACGAGCTCCACCACTACCTCAACACTGGCCTCATCGGGCCTCGCTTACTCAGCTACCTCACGCACAGCAGGATCACGATTCTGCCAACCCTGGATGGTGTCTCATCTAGCGAGTACAGACATCTTGTCACCCAGGCGCTGATGCCGGTGAGAGAGCTCGCACTCGGTCTGGTGGTACCGAGGCTCCACCGCGGATTCCACTTCAAGGACATTGAAGTCAAGGATTGGTTCTCCGACCCGGGACGGGCTGCAATAATACGGAACAGCACTTTTCGAACCCCGAGCCCCAAGGTTGCGACTTGGGGCATCGAAGAGAAAGCAGTCAAGGAGCAGTTCCCATCGTGGAGTCTCTCGGCACCTGCCTCAAAAGACCGCTCGGGATCTATCGCCTTCGAAGTCTCTGCTCTGCAGGCGCCTGGCTTTGCTAAGGCAACGGTTGGCAAGGGAGGCAGCAAACCCAAGGGTATCGACTCTCCACATCACATCATATCTACGGCCATATGGCGATTCCTGCACCTGCGGGAGTACGTCGACGACTCGCACGAGCTCACATCCTGGGGCAAGGCTCTGGCCACGGCCATTTCTGAGCTTGAAACCACCGTGAAGAAGTACCCGGACGTCACTGGGCTCCATGAAGCGCTGCTCCTGGCATTCGAACTCATCAGACTCGAGCAGCTCAACGGCAAGCCGCGTCAGGACGAGGGCGATGTTGACCCGTCGCTACTCCTACTTAGTCGCTCTGCTGTCCTATTAAAGCTCAGACACGAAGCTATCGGCTACACGGGCCCCCTTCGCAAGGACATGCTCTCATTTGCCTCCCAGGTGTCAGCTGTCCGCGACGCAGACCGGGATCTGGTGGAGGCTATTCTAGTGCAAATGTTCTTGAACAACCAGACCGAGAGAAAGCGAGAGCCTGCTGAATATTGGGACATCAGTAATGCGTAAGTACCAGACTTGACGCCTTGAGTCCAGACTCGATAGACGTAGACCTTGTTGATCTGACCATGAGCAGGCTTCCATTCGTCAACCGAAACTACAACGCCGCGATGGGCGTTGCCATCAGGACCTACCTTGAGATGGATTCCGACGAGAATCGCGATCTCGACAGGTTCTCGAGTCTGTACTTCCCCAAAGCCAAGGCCATTCGAGAAGACGTTGAAGTCTTCTGCGAGTTTTTTAAGGCTTTGGTCACGGGCATCAAGACCTTGGACCAGCAAACAACGAAGGACGTCTGGGTCAAGGCCCAAGAGTACCTTGAGTCTCGGACGCAATAGACTCGAAGGGATTGGCTGCCCAGTGGTGAAGCGTTCAGGGTCGGTCCTGACCAAAGGTGTGTACGTCACGAGTGGCTGCCGTCGAGAGACTCCCGGAAACGGTCTGCGGACTGCCACCGGAATAGAGGATGAATGTTGGGTTGGCATGTATCAAAAAGGGTGGCTTGCCAGAATCGAACGAAAGTCAACAAACAACATCGATCCTGAGTCTCGACACAGGTGAAAACCGGCGAGAAACATATTTTGAGTGCAGTCACAACCGTGGAGGGAGCGCCTGGCAACGTGGACGAAGCCGATGTGAGGGAGAAGCCTAGCTGATGTAATTTTTGGACGTGTAGCGGCCGCTCACGCGAAGACGGACCAAGGTACCAAGTAGCTAGCAGGGACCCCATGCCACGAGATGAAGGGCAAGCAAAAAAAAAGGTATCAGTTGTCCGGAAGCCAGGCAGAATGGTTCTGAGCCCGGGCTTGGGTCCGGCCCAGGCAGTACCCCCTAGAAAATGAAGACAAACTTGAAAGACAGACACGAGAAAACCACCTGTACCTCTGTGTTCAATCGCGAACACAACTGGCTGCGGGCCTGTCTGTTGATTGACCACCGGCTTCTTCGCCACAGTTCAAAGGGAATTCGCGCCACGCCGCGCCGGCGCCGGCACCTCAGGCATGATCAAGCAGCAAGCACTTCACCTACTTTCGTATTTGGGATGTTGCGCTAATGTGAGTTGAATTTAGTCTTTGAAATTCGCCTTGGGCCTGGAGCAAAACTGACTGGGTGTGGGAGACAGCTGGGGGTGATCAACTTTGTGGTTTGGATTGAAAGAAGTGCGGTCTAAGGAGTAGGTTTCTTAGTAAAGTGGGTGGCAGTTTGAAAGGTAGGCCCTACAAATGTCAGTCACTAGGGCTCTTCACTTAACCCATTTAATTAACTCATCCACCCTACACCTTACAAGCGCTGCTACAACTGGGTGCTTCTATAGGCCAGGTTTACATAAAATTATTCTCAGCCCCTACTTAAAAGTAAATAAGGTAATGAGAGGAAAAGAATCTCTATAGAGGAAGAGGGACGGGAAGAGAAAAGGAAAAAGAAAAAGAAAAGAGAAGGCAAGGGTAGGCAGGGTTTCTCCAGGTTCCAGAGCAACAGTGGAATAAGGTCTCCCGGGAATAGGGGGCTCTCTATAACAAACACCACGGCATATTTCTTGGAGATTTAATGTGGTGTGGCACGCTGACCGGACAATGAAGTAGGGCACAAAGTGAATGAAGGCCACGAGGTTTTGAGAGCGAATGTTTTTTATCACCGTTGCTTGCCTCGTGGAGGCCTAAGCTATTCCGTCCACAAGGAGCCCCCTGAGTTGTGGACCCTCCCGCCAGCGCCAAAAGCTAAACGCCACGAAGATCGTACTTGGTATCATAGAAGCTCCAACAGAAACACAGCCGCCGTCTGGACAGCCTCGCACCGCCCCTGGGTGTTCCCCTCTCTCCGGCCTCATGGCGCGGCATTTCGCACCTCCCGAATCTGGTCTTGCCAACCACCGTCTGTCCCTATGTCACCGTCGCGCTAGATGATCAGCTTTCTTTTGACTGGTTGTGAGGCAGGCACGCCGTCAACATGGCTCTGCTCTTTCTTGGTCGCCTTTTCTCCCATTTTGCGGATCTTCTCGAGCAGATGACTGTGGGCATGTTCGTTAGCAAGTGGTTGTTGCGTTCGTGAATACTCAGACTTTAATAAGAAAGAAAGCACAGATTGCGCAAGTTTGCACGAAGTAGAAGGCGAGATCTTCGCGACCGGAGGTCCGTTCAAGTCCAGCTGCTTCGTTCCGAGGGCATCATGACCCTTCACCGCGCCCTTCGACAACAACGTAGACGAAGAAAGAAGGAGGAAAGTAAGCGTACTTGATAGGCATGTGATTCCGAGTTCCCTCTGAAAGCGCGAGATTCAACTTTTCAGCCCGGTTCGCGTGGTCCTGGAAATGCTTCGCGATGAGGTCTTTGCCCTCCGGCTCTTCAGCTGAACGAACAATATAGTTGCAACCATCTTCCTCACACCTCCAAGTCCCATTAGGGCCGCTTGGTGACAGGCTAGGGATTCTCTCAGCGCGGACAACAAGACGGGCTGTCTCCAAAGGTGCCGGTGTTGGCGTAGCGAGCGCTGCATTTCTGTTGTCTGAGGCGTGGGCTGCATCACTGGTGTCGTCTGAGTCAGCGCCTTCATCGTCCTCCTCCTCCTCCTCATCTTCATCTTCTGAATCCTGTGACGTCCGAGCCGCTTTACGAGCCCTTTCGTCGCCGTCGTCGCTGTGGTAAACAGCAGGCCTTTTAGCGCTGGCCCCTGGTCTCAAAGCCGCAGGCCGAGGAGTGAGTGTACTTGGCGGCCACCGCTTCCCAGCCCCCCGCGGGGGTATTATTTCATCTTTGCGATCCTCCTTAGGTTTCGAGCTGGATTTGTCCTTTTTCTTTCGTCGTCTACATTGTGTTGGAATCTGGTCTTCGGTGAGGAGTTTGGGCTCGAATGGCTGGTCAGCGACACTGGTAAGCCAATCCCAAAAGGGGCTCGGATTCCATTTCTGTGGCAATTCTTTGAGAAGCGATTTAGCATAGAAATGTGTGATTTCCCTTGCTGCGCTGTACAGCTTGATGCTGCACCTCAGGTACATCTCGGTATGAACTTTTCCGTCCTTGAGGCTTTGCGCATTGCCCCCTTGTGCCTCCAAGATCTCTTCCAGCACCTCGAGAAGGAGTTTGACTGGATCCTGATGTTCGGCTTCAGCAGGTAGACTTTGACCCCCAGCATTTGGGGTAGAAGGCGCCACTGGCTGAGCGTGCCTAGGTGGGGGAATCATAGGCGGAGGAATATAAGTCTCGGATCGACGTGGCGGAGCCGCCGGAGCCGGGGGAGCATCCTCCATGCGGACGTCCTTTTCCGCACTTTGCCTGCTCGCCCGAGACTTGCTTCTCCTACTTCGGTCAGTTACCACAGACATGCGCAACGACGAATCCTGTGCGCTATCGTTGGATTCTTCTTTCAAGTCTGATGTATCGGCTGCTTGCATCTCCGTGGGCGGCGCAGGAAGAGGGGCTCTTTTCTTAGCTTCGTCCAACCTCTTGACAAGGTCCTGAGAGTGTGCATTAGTATCGATACCATATATTGCCTTCCGATAGTAGGGCCGCACCTCGTTTGTTTCGATCAGCCATTTCCGGAAGGATGTCGGCTTCCAGTTGAATTCGCTCTCTTGGTCGAAATGGGCCAAGAGAAAAGGTGCGTGTTTCTGACATCGCCTTTTCACCTCAAGCAGGATGGCGCCGTCACCAATGGCGACTGAGTACTTCTGTGCCGTTAGCTTACAGGAAGGTGCAAGTGTCTCGTGCTGCTTACCTTGAACAACACCTTCTCAATGGGCGTCTGCCACGCTTTGTATTTCCTGCCCTTTGGTACGTTCTCGCCCATGGAAACATATGCGTCCATGATCTTGTAGTATAGAGTGATGCCCTCGCACATGTAATCATGCATGGGCCTGTACTCGTCAGACGGATTGATCTCGTACCAGCCAGCCCTCCCGGACGCCCAAACCGCGGGCCAGGGACCGTATCCAATAGAATAGCCCTCGCACACGGATATTTCGATGTAGGCGGTGTTTTTGTAAGGTTTGCGTACTAGAATTTCACACTGTCAGTCGGAGCGCACACTGATGGCGACAGTCGGCCAAAGCTTGGGACGGGGCGGCATACAATGGGGCACAAGCTCCTCCTCCTCCACCTCCAACTTCCCGCGCACGACAAGAGGACCTTCCAGGTTGACGTTGCAGACGTTGGCGACTACCAACTTCCCATTGGTGTCTTTGCGATATATGACGGCGTCGTCCAAAACGAAGGTGGGAAACTCATTGATGGATGCGGCTGGCTTCAGAATCGACATTTCGGGGACGTACTCGATCTGGCTGTGATCGACGGAGGCGACAGTCGAGTCGGAGTATCTGCGTGAACGACCAGGAGGACGTCCGGGGCCACGAGGGCGTCCAGAGCCTCGCGGTCGCCCCGGCGGCCTTCCAGGCGGCCGTCCCGGCCTGCCTCCAGCCATCACGAGATGTGGACGGGAGAAGGTATCGATGTGATTAGAGCGGTGATGACAGTCCTGACGAGTATGTATTGATGATGCTAACAAACCACCGTACTTGCGTGCGTCTCATCGATAATTCAAACACGAAAGTGTGAACAAAGCATGAAAGGTGGAGGGTGGCGGTCTGAAGAGAGAACTCCAGTTGGAGTCAAGCTTGAGGTGCCTGAGTGGGTGGGAACGCGACTGCGAGTTGCGCCGGCACCAACGCGACCGGAGTGTGGAGGCGTAAAGTGATCGGCGCGTACCCAGTACCCTGCAAGCGAGCCCATGCACCCTCCAAACAGCCTTGCGCTACGTCACTCATACCTAGGTACTTTGTTGCAGGGTGGGCAGGGATGATACCCCTGTTCGCGGGTGACAATCGATATCGATAAGAGCCGCCTTCTCAATCGAGCTTGCACTACCAGAAAATCGCCGAAGCGCAAAAAATAACCGACCCAGCTCCCCTTCCATTGCTGTATTGTTGTGTTGCCCTGCAGCAGAATGGCCCGCTCTGCAGCCATTTGAAGAAAACGGCCCCAATCCCAACCGCTGTCTACACGCTTGCTGACATAAATGCATTGACCTCACTTCTAGAGCTCAAGGCGGTCGTGTGGTTTTTCTCCGTTGCATAAACTACTTCGTTTCTGGCTGTCTCGTCGGTTTGACTCCACCATTTGCTTGCAGCGCAGCTACATGCAAGCCCAGCGGCTGTTCAAAATGGCGGCAGAACAAGTGCTCGATGGCGTCTTCGGTATGTTGCGCCCACCAATTCTTATTCATAGTGACACTTGACTTTGTCTGACTATTTTCTCCAGCCATCAACAAGCCGTACGGTATGAGCTCCGCCCAGGTCATCCGCGACTGCAAGACCTACTTCAATCCCTCCAATGTATTCAAGCCCATGCTCGACCAAGAGAAGGCCACCCGCCAAAGGGAGTCGAATTTCCAGCAAAACCGCCGTCGCAAGGTCAAGCGCGCGATTGAGGTGAAAATGGGACACGGCGGCACCTTGGACCCGATGGCCACGGGCGTTCTCATCCTTGGCTGTGGGAAAGGCACCAAGGCGCTCTCCAGCTTCCTCGGCTGCACCAAGACCTACGAGACAGTCGTCGTTTTCGGCGCCTCCTCCGACTCGTACGATCGATGCGGTCATCTGCTCAAGAAGCGACCATACGACCACATCACGAAAGAGAAGGTCTTGGAGGCCCTGGAGAACTTCCGCGGCACCTACCAGCAGATGCCACCGCTATTCTCCGCACTCAAGATGGAGGGTAAACCACTATACGAGTACGCGCGCGAGGGCAAGCCCATCCCCAGGGAGATCCAGACGAGGGAGGTCACCGTCACGGAACTGGAGATGCTTGACTACTACGAGCCCGGGACGCACACCCACTACTGGCCAACGGCCGAGGCCACCGCGGCGGAGAAGCAGTATGCCGAGCAGCTGTGGCGCGTCGAGAGGGATCAGGCCGCAGGCAAGACGATGACGCCCGAGCAAGAGGAGGCTGACACCCAGGCGCTGGCGGAGCACGAGGACCTGAAGCGCAAGTTCGAGGAGAGGCAGGACGACCTGGTCAAGGAGCGCCAGGCCAAGAAGCAAAAGAAGGACAGCAACCAGCCTCAGACCCCAACCGGCGCGGACAGCAAGGATAAGCCCACCTCGCCAGTCATGTCGGGCGCACTGGGCGAGCTTCCACCCAAGGGCAGGGGCTCCGACCTTGTCCCACCCGTCCAAGAAGGCACGGCTGCCCCATGGGAAGACAAGGGCCCTCCAGCCGTCAAGATCCGCATGACAGCCACGTCGGGCTTCTACGTGCGGTCGCTGGCCCACGACCTGGGCGAGAAGTTAGATTCGGCGGGGTTGATGACGGAGTTGGTGCGGAAACGACAGGGTGACTTCGTGCTCGGCGGGCCCAACTGCCTCGAGTACGAGGACCTCGCCAAGGGGGAGGACGTCTGGGGCCCCCAGGTCGAGGGCATGATCAGCCGGTGGAACCAGCCTGGCGGCGTCAATGGTGGTGAGAGCGCGGCGCAACAGAAGGTCAAGGTGGAGGAGAAGCTGGCAAAGAGCCCGAGCCCCAAGCGCGAGGGCACACCTGAAAGGGCCAGAAGCCCAAAGAAAACTGATACCCCAACGCGACGGTCAGCCAGCCCGAAGCGAGAGAGAAGCGGCAGTCCCAGGAACAGCTGAGCGAGCACGTGATGCGAGTCGCGAAGTTCTCCGAGGCGTTGGAACCGGTTGACTATCCCTTGAAAAAAATCAACACCCGACGTCTATTAGACTCAAGGCATGCTTACGTGATTACAATTGGTTTTCATGGTCGGGTACAAGTCGATTCAAGATTTGCATCTAGTACAGGGTTGATACCAGAAGAGTGGGCAGGTCACAAAGCCACTGTCTGACTACTTAGCATTATTCATACCAAACCATCATGTCTGCTTTAGAAGAGAACAGATATTCGCACCTGCAAAAACGGATGGTACACCAGTACATCACCAGCACTAAACCAATACCCATACCCAATTCACATACCGAGCACCCAGCACCCACAAGCCAGCACCCACACGCCTAGCACCCACACGCCTAGCACCCATATACTTAGCACCTATACACCTAGCACTCACGTGCCTAGCACCTATACACTTAGTACCCTATTAAGTATATAAATTAGGTATATAGGTGTTGAGTGCATAAGTTTTAGGTATATATGTATTAGACGTGGAAGTATGCAAATAGGCTTGGGTGATGAGCTGTAGCTGTGGCGTCAGTGATGGACTGGTGTACCATCTGGTTTTACAGGTGCGAATATCCGTTCTCCTTTTAGAAAAGCTGAATATGTGATGAAACGAACGTCTACCAAAATTTCCGCGTTGACTTGACGCATTATTACAATCTAGCCGTATCCATGACCGATTTTTCCCCATATCAAAGGGCTCATTAACAATCTCTCCCTGAGTCCAGTTTTTACTCAATGCAGTAATAGTAGTAGTAGTCATCCCATCATGGTATCATAGCGACAGAACAAAGAAGAAGGTGAGAAAGGAAGAAAGAATAGACATGTAAATGTACAGAATAACAACCCCCAAAGAAGCCTCATCACGCACTAACCCTCTTGTCCGCCCCACCGCCGTCGCTCCCCCCATTCAGCAGCGCGCGCGCCCTCTCGATGCGGCCCATGGCCTGCTCGAGCCTCTCGAGGCGCCTCTTCTTCTCGCCCTCGCGGCGCTCGAGCTCGCCGACGCGCTCCTCGAGGCGGGCGCGGGCCCGCCGCTCGCTGGCGACCATCTCGTTGGCCTGCTCGAACAGAGTCACGCTCAGGTCCTCGATCTCCTTGCTCGAGTCGTTGAGCTTGCCCTCGGCCGCCAGCCGCAGCTGCTGCTCGCGCGTCAGCGCCTCCAGCAGGTCGTCGCTCGAGGGGGCCGGGCTGTGGCCGGGAGTCCAGGTCACCTTGCCGCCCGACAGGGAGAGCGTCAGGGGCGTCAGGGGTGGCGGTGGCCCGTTGCTTCCGTTCCCGCCGGGCGTCCGTGGTGGTGCGAGGGAGGATGTGCTCCGGCTGCTCTGGTGGCCTGGGCTGCCGGCGGCCGGCCCCGCGGGCTGCGGGAGGAGCGAAGAGGTGCTCAGCGAGCTCTGGTGGCCTTGCTGGGCCTTGAGGTTCGGGGTCGACTTGCGGGACAGGTACGCGGAGATGCGGCTGCTCGCGGCGGAGGCGAAGCTCGTGACGGCGGCGCTGGGGCTGCCGAGGGTGCTGTTGGTGGCCGGGGACGAGGGCGTCTCGCGCAGGGTGGGCGTCTGGGGCCTGGCGGCGGGGGCGCTGTTGTTCCGCCTCTTGAGCTCGGACTTGAGCTTGCCCAGCTCGTCCTCGTAGTCTGCCCAGCGGTCGACGGCGGCGGTGGCCTTCTGGTTCAGGAGGCGGACCTGGGCCTCGAGGTCTTCGATCTGCTTCTGGGCGGCGGTGAGGGCGGTCGCCTGGGCATCGGGGGTGGAGAGGTCCTTTGGGATGAAGGAGAGGGAGAGGTCGTTGCCGCAGCTGGGGCAGCAGGGGATTGTGCTGAGTCTTGGTTGCGGGAGGGCAGGCATCGTCAGGGTCATTGTTGAGGACATTTTCGATGGATCTGCCGAGTGGTCGAGACGGGCCGAGAGTTGGGGAAAAGGAGTAGTAATAGCGGGACAGGCTAATTGATCGTGGGCGACGATCTCGAGAACGAGGCCTCTTTTCTGTCCCGTCGTGCGCCTCGCCTCGCTGGCTGCGCGGGTGGATGTAGATATGTCTCCGTGGCGATGACGGCAGGTGTCTGGTCTGCGGTGGCTGGGGGATGGGGACTGGGGAATGGAGACCGTCTAGCGCTGGGGTTGGTCGGTGAGTTAGTTGGGTTGTGGTTGCCGTGGCTCGGTTTACTGGTTTGCCTGTCGCATCACCGAACTCGATTGCCGCGTCGTCGCAACGACCTGGCTGTTAATAGATGGTTTTACTTCACGGAACCAAAGACCAGGAGGTCGTCGGCATGACCGCTGGGTGTGGGGGAATTGTCTTTTTTATCATTCAGTTGTTGATGCCCGGCGGGCTGGGAGTCGGACATGGGGAGGGGCCGACAGGGACCGATAGGGCCTTGGAATAAAGTTGTCGTCTGCTGCGGCTCGGTGGCGGGAGTCGTTAGCCCAGAGGCCACCACTGAGCCCTCGCCAAGGGCCCGACTGCGCCCCGCCTTTTACGGGTTGGGGCCCTGAAACTGCCGGGGAGTCCCTGCGCATCTGCTAAATTGGGCCACAACTGTCAGGGGGTTCTGCAATAAGAGGGTTGTATTCAGTTTCTGGTTGTGGTTCTGTCTAAGTTTATGCCAAAGGGCCAAGGGGCCGAGGACTACTTATTAATGCTTATAAGGGGTTTATGCAATGCTCCTTCCTTATAATTTACCCCCTTTAAAAAATAGCAATGCCCTTATAGTTAATAAATAATTTTAAAAGGTATATTTAATAAATTAATTATCTTATATTTTATCTTTTAAGCAAAGTATTAAGCTTAAATTATCTTTATTTTTCTTATAATTTTTATTTTTATTTTTTAAAATATTAAAATTATTTTAAAGTTTATTTTATAATTTATTATATTTTTTATAATTAATTACTTTTATATTTTTACTTAATTTAAAATTATTTATAAAAAGTTTTATTTTAAAAGTATATTTATTATTAAGTAATTTAATAATAATATTTATAATATTTTAAATAATAAAAAAGGCATTAAATTTATTTATAATTATTTTAATAAATAAAGTATAATAATTGCTTTTTAAAGTATTAATTTATTTATTTTTCTTAATTAATTAATCTTTTAAGTTAATAATATATATAATGTTAAGATTAAGTTATATTTAAAATAAGTTTTATTAAGTATTTAATTTAATATTTTTTAATTATAATTTTATAATTTAAGCTTATTATTTATTAACTTTAGTAATAAATTTAATATTTTTTATTTTATATTATTTATATTTTTATTATTTTATTAAAAATAAAGATATTATTAATAAAAAATATAAATAAGTATTAATATATTTTATTATAAATAAGAAAGGTAATATAAATTAATAAGTTATTATATTATTAATAAGAAATATAATAAGTTATAAGAATATATTAAACTTTATTTTTTTTAAGTTATATTATAAATTTATTATAAGCATTATATTAAATTTTTTTTAATTAATTTTCTTTAATAAATTATATTTTTTAATTTAAAATAATATAATAAAGATATTAAAATTATTATTAAAGGAATAATTATTAAGAAAAGGTAGTTTTTTAAGTAAGTTTTCTTTAATTTTATTATATATAAATTTAATAGCTTTAATATTTTTATTAAAATTACTTTTACTTAAAAATCTTTTAAATTTAAATTAAGATTTAGCTTAAGAAAAAGAAATATTATAATTTATTATATTAAATAAATATTATAAAGAATATAATAAAGTTAAAGCTTTTTTAATTAATTAATTTATCTTTATATTTATATAAAAAAGATATTAATTAAATTTTTTATTAATAATATTTTATAATTTATTATAAATATATATTTATTATTTATATTTTTTTTATGCTTTTTAATAAATTATAAAAGCTTTTTATTATATTTTTACTTTTATATTAAGTAAATAAGGATAAGGAAATTTATAATTTTATTAAGTTTATTAATTTTAATATTATTAAAATTAAGAATTATTTATAATATAATATATAAGTTTTTTATAATAATTATTAAGCTAATTTAATTATTTTAATATATAATATTATTAATATTTTTAATTTAAAGCTTTGGATTTTAAAAAAGATTTATAGCTTAACACTTTACTTTAAATTTACGCTATTTAAGTTTATTTTTAAATAGCTTTTTATTCTTATCTTTTTTTATTATTATTATTAATAATAAGCTTAAATTATAAGGCTGTTTTAAGTATATTTTTTATTAAATAAAGATAAATAAAAAAATAAAAAAGAGGAAAAAGTTTATAATTTTTATAAAAGAATTAAAATTATGCTTTAAGTAATGTTATATTTATCTTATTTTTTTATTTAAAGTTTTTAAGTAAATATTATTATAAGTTATTATAATAATTATTAATAATAATTATTAATAATAGTTATTAATAGTAATTATTATATTAAATTTATAATAAATAGTTATTTATAAGTAAATTTATTAAGTAATAATTATATATTAAGTCTTAATTATAGCAAGGTTATTTATTCTTAAAATTTAGGTTTTAATTTAATATATTTAATAAGATATTTTATATTCTTTAATTTTAAGTATTATTAATTAATTATGCGCTTTATATAATCTTTAATTTAAATAAGTTTAATTTAAGGTATATTTTAATTAAATAAATTTAAAGGGTATAGCTTAAGGTAATTAATAAAAATAATATTATGCTTTAACTTTTATATATATAGAAAGTTAAGTTAATATATAAAATAGCTAATCCTTTTTATAACTTTAAAAGGGCCTATATATTATAATTTATATTTATAATTAATATTTTATAAAATTTTATATTTTTTATATAATTAAAGTAATATTTATGCTTTAACTTTAAAGAATTATATAAAATGTTATTTATTAAAATATGCTTTTATTATTATTATTATAAGTACTAAGGCATTATATATATAAATATAGCTTTAAGGAAGGTTTAATAATTAATAAGGTACTTAGTTTGTAATAATATTTAAAATATTATTAAGAGTAAAGCTTTTAATAATTTTATTTAAGAAAGTCTTAATTGCTTAAGATTTATTATTATAGTATTTAAATTATATTTATAGTAAAGTATTTAATTATTTTCGTGAATTATTAAGGCTGTAAATAAAGTAATAAAGCATAAATTTAATGGTTTATATCATTCTTTTTAATTAGTTATTAGTTTATAAATAATATATAATTATATAAAGTAGCTTTATTTTAAATAATTTTTATATTAATAATTAAATACTTAATAGGAATTTAAGATTTTGGTTTAAAAGGATAACTTTTAAATAATCTTAATTACTTTAAAGTAAGTATTATAGCAAAAAAAAGGCTTATTTTATAGTTTTTTATATTAATTTTTTAAGCATTAACAATAAGTTCTTTAAAAATTTATAAATTATTAAAAGGATATAATTATAGCCTTTTATTAAGGAAAATTTAAAAATAAAGTTTATTATAATTTAATAATATAAATATAATAGGCTAAGCAATAATTATAAGCTCTTATAAGATTTATGTCTTTTAATATTAAAGACTTAGCAATTAAGGTAGCGACGGGTAAATTTACATAGCTTAAAATGCAATCTTTTAATATAAAAAGGCTAAAGAAATTTGCTAAGTTAAGCATAACTATAATGGCTACTTATATAAATAAGTTTTAAGATTTTAATTATATATAATTAAGGGATATAAAAATAAAAAGTTTTATCTTTATTTAATATTTTTTAAATAAGGTTAAAGCAAATTTTAAATAAAAAGATAGCTTTATTTTCTTAAAAAGCATTATTTTGCTATATTATATTTAAAATTTTTATTTATTAAAGGTTTATTTAATAGCTATCTTAAAGGTGCTTATGAAAATTAAGAGATATTTTAATATTATTATAAGCTAGCCTTGGGTTGTTTGCCGTAAGGTATTTAAATAGGGTTTATATTTAAAGTGCAGAGGAAAAGGTTTATTCCCTATTTATATCCGTGCCAAAGCCTATTCTTATAAGGTTAAAGCCTATTAACTAATTATAATGGGCAAAGCCTAAACCGTAATATATCCTCCTTCTTTAAGTTTTTATAATAAGCCTTAAAGGATAGCTATATAATAAAAAATAAAGGATATTATAATTTAGTTATAAATTAAATATTACTTTTTACTTAGCTATTTAATTATACCTTAATACCTTTTAATTATATTAAAGGCTTAGCTTATTATTTATAATTAACATGCTTTAGCCCTTATAATTTAACATGCTAGCTAAAGCAAATTAATAAAAAATAATTATTTAAGCATAAATTAATAGCTAAATTAATAATATTTTTATAATCCTTTAATGCAAGCCTTTTATATAAGCTCTCTTATTTAAAACCTTAAGATTATAAATTTATTATATAATTTATAATTAATTAATGCTTAATTATAAGTAATTTGCTTTATTAGCAAGAATTTTCTAAATTTTAAGCATTTCCATAGGGCTGAATTAGCTAATACATAGCTAATTTACTTTAAATTTAAGTTAGCGCTAAGTTAATATTGCTTTTAAGCCTTATTTTATAGAAAAAATTTTATACCCTTTTAAATAAACTCCTTTCCCTTGCTAACCTTAGTTAATAAAAGCTATACTTTTATTTTTTTATAGCGGTTAAGATAATTATACTTATAATGGCTAAGTTGGTTATATGTAAAATTGTAATGGGCTTGGGTTATTGCCTAAGCCATAATGCATGCCCATGCCAGGCCCATACTGCACCCAACCCTTTTACGTAATGAGGTATATACTTAAAAGATAAATCTAAAGTTAGGCCCTTTTAAAGCTTAACTTACTTTTTAAATATTATAATTTATAATTTCTTTTAAATACTTTTT